TCTTGAACTGCCTTGCGATGGCAAAGAGAGCAGCAGTCCCTGTACAACAACGTGAGACGGTGAAAAATCGGCCACAATATACAGTTTTCGCTCACCTATACCGTTGTCGAAATCGGGTACAATAGCGGCTAGAGTGATGATGAAAAGCTGAAAGCCTTTGCGAACGTCCGACCACTGTTGACCAAGAGCAGACACTCAGTTCTCGCATCGGGAACGTCGGAGCTCTGGAACGCACGTTCTGGGGGTCGTCAGGGTCGTCGGCAGGTTGAGGCCACAACACTGTCGTCCCGTCAGCGGTCAGCTTCAATTTCTTCGAAATCTCTTCTCCAAACTCTACTTTCGCTTCCCTGTGAAAAATCAATCGCGAGTCGTCACATAGAACTCGAAGATGCAGATGAAGACGTAAGCTGAAGACGTACTCGGGATCGACGACAAGCCGTCCGGCGTTATTCTCGTAGTAGGCGACGAAATCTAGCTGCTCGATCGAAGCAGTTACCTTGGCCTCAAAGTCCAGCTTCGCGCTATCTGAAGGCGACCCGGGCACTAGCACGGACTGAGGCTCAGGCATGAAGGGTAGATGGAGCGCAGCGGTATCTTTCCACGAAGTCCGGCTCTGGCCTACATAACAAATCAACAGCGCCGTAAACCAAGAGCCTTCTTATCTAGCCCCCCTCCCCAAGCTATTTCGTCCCATGACACTTTTATGTGAGAACATAGTTCATGAGGCGCACCCTGTGAGAGAATGTCAGACGCCAAGTGGTGGGTGACCACTGACCGGGACCAGTCATTCTCGCCCACATCACGTGCACCATAAGCGCTGAAATGCGGGGGTCAGTTTTGCTGCCTATACAGCGATGTCGATGCTAGGGATTAGTATAAAGAGCTGAAAGTAAGTTATGAAGCTTCTAGTTCGTTTGAAGGACAATTATTGAACATCAGTGGCGTAATTACAAGATGCGAAAATATCCCGCGAGTCTGGGACAGTCTGGACAGACCTGTTCTAGACCGCGCTCAGGGCCTGCAGACACACGAGAAAAACAGGCCGAGAATCCAAATTTATATCGCTTATAGAGTGAAATTGAATTTAAATCCTTACTAGTAAGGATCTCAGTTAGGGAGCTTCTTGAACCGCTCAGGAGCAACTGAGCCATCAGCGAAAGGGTAGTCGGTATACCCCTGCGGGCTTTCGACAATGTAGTACGTCGAACGATCACCCTTGTCGACAGGGATATCATTCTGCCATCGCACCGGTAAGTCAGGCTGCAAAATCAGAATCAATATCAATATCATGAAGGACTGGCATATGCCACCAACGTACATTCGAGATGAATAATCTACCGGCAGCGATCAGGCTGCCTTTCGTCTCGGCGACCTCGAATGCAGACTCTTTATCGTAGCCACCGGCGCTGATGAACGGCCGATGACCCCAAATTTCTCTCAGGAAGTCATTTGACTATAGAACAATCAGCGAGGGGTTCGTCCTGGCGCCACAAGCCGGGAAACCTACCTCTCCTTCCCCGACTACTCTGTCTCGATCGGCCTCCGTTCGGGGCTCAATCAGATGAATATAGGCGAACGATGGCCACCGTTCTGCGATCTCCGACACGAGGAAGCTGAAACCAGGTTTCGGGTCCGCCATACGCATACCTGCACCACACAGCCGTCAGTGAATCAAATATCACCTCCGCCGACGCCACTCGCACTCACCGCTGAAATTGCTCCATGGGCTGAACCGGATGCCAACCTTGCTCTCGCCAATCGCCTTGACTGCCGCGTCGAGCACGTCAAGCGCGAACCGTGCCCGATTCTCCATCGAACCACCGTACTCGTCTGTACGCTTGTTTGTAACATCTTGAGTGAACTGATCGATCAGGTAGCCGTTGGCCCCATGCAGCTCGACACCGTCGAAACCAGCGCGAGCGGCGTTCTCTGCTGCCGCGCCGTAGAGCTTGATGTACTCTTTGATTTCTGGAGTAGGCATGAGCACATTATGGAGATATAGCTTGAATCCTGTCATGGGCATGCTTACCTTCCCCAGTCAAAGGGCGCGGTGGGAAGGGCCTGCCCTGCAGTGGCACGTCGGATGCAGAGATGTAGGGATATCCTCCCTCCTCCTGAAGGACAGCTGGGTTGGCCGCTCGCCCGAGGGCCCATAACTGCAGATAAATGAAGGACCCCTGACCATGCACGGCGTCCGTAACCTATACATTAACGTAATGTTGTTTAGTGACAGGGGCCGACCACCGTGAGAACAGTACGTACGAGCTTCCAGCCGGCAACTTGCTCGTCATTCCAGATGCCAGGGACGTGTCGATATCCACCTGCCTGTGGGGCGACGGGGGTCGCCTCGCTGATAATGAGTGTGCCGGGCGTGCTGGCACGCTGTGCGTAGTACTCGGCCATGAGTTGCGTCGGGACGTGTGCTTTGGTTGCGCGGTACCGCGTGAGGGGGGCCATCACGACGCGGTGTTGCAGTGTAACATCGCCAACCTTGACGGGTGCGAAGAGCTTTGGCTGAGACATAGCTGAGAGAGAGACGTGTTTCGTGGCATAGTGTAGCATGCCACTATATACTCAAGGACCTCTTATTAATAACGTACGCACAGTCAGCCTTCTGCAGAACTATTTTTCCGCCGCTTCGCTCAGCGGGACTGCCGGGAAGTGCTAATCCGAGCTTTCGCATTGCTCATGATTCATAAGTAGAATGCGGTTGTAGCAGGAGTATGACAGGACTCGTCGCTGGCAGCCGGCGGGCGCATCAATGCCTTATCTGACGGGGCGCAGCGCTAAGATCAGCCGACGTCGCTTATCATCTCTTATCATACGTTCAAGATATCAAAAGAAGGGATTGGCTGAAGACGACCTCCACTGTCAGTTTCGCCCAGGAAACATCGGAGGCCGTGTTCCCCCCAGTATGGACAAAGTGTCCGCTTAATGCCATCGATACACTCACTTTAAGCCAGCTCCTACATTGGTCACACGTCGACGACTCCAGCGCTCTCAGTCGTCTCGAATTCGACGCACACTGGGCTACCAACGCCATTCGTGTCGAACCCAGGGTTCTTTGGGCGGTGTGCCAAAGGATAGACATCGACAGTAAGCTTAACCTCCCGGGTTATGCTATGGGGACTAGCTGGCACGCGAGCAAAGGAAGCAACCGTGATACGAGCGATGGGCTTGCCCTATAGCGCCCGCTGGGGCTGTAAGCACGACAATGTCTGTATCAGTACACTGAATAATGAAAATAGTGAAGTCGAACTCTTCGAATACTATCTTCTAAGCTCTCTAGTCTTGATACAAGTTGTCTCTTGCGTTATAAGTCTGTAGACAGCGTACAACACTTTGATGCTAATGTTACATTCCGATCACGGGCTACTCGTCGCGTTTATTTATTCCTCAGCGACGATAATCACGCTCTTCCCATGGTTTTTGCCCTGCTGATTCTCCAGGATGGCATGGCCGGCCCACTCGAGGCCCTTCTTGGCATCCTCGATATACCTGAGCTCGCCCTTGGCGACGCGCGCCGGGATTTCGCGGTAAAAGTCCTCTCCATACTTGGGCAGGAGCGAGAAGACAAGGAAGCCGTAGAGCGTGATCTCCTTCCCGAAGACCACCGCCATGTTCTTCACCGGCGTCCCCTCGCCATTGTAGCCAGTGATGTAGCCACACTCCTGTAACAGTGGATGCTTAGCAGAGCGGGACGTGTGTCTGAGCGACGAGGAGGCTTACCACGAATCGGGCGTGCTTTGCCGCGTTTGCAAGAGCGGCATCGAGCGACTCGCCGCCGACGTTGTCCCAGTAGACATTGATGGGGCCTTCCTTTGCCAGTACATCGGCCGTCTTCGTCTTCTTGTAGTTGAACACGACGTCTGCTCCGAGGCTCTTGACGAATGCGACCTTTTCGTCGGAGCCGGCAGAGGCGATGACCTTCATGCCGTCGGCGTTCGCGAATTGGACGATGAGCGAGCCGATAGGGCCAGATGCCGCCGTGACAAAGACGGTCTCGCCCTTCCTCGCCTGGGCGTACTCCTTCCAGGCAGCGTAGGCGGTCTGGCCAGGCATGCCGGCGACCCCAACATACGCAGACCATGGGAGACGCTCCTTGTTCTCGAGGATGCGGGAGCCTTCGAGGTTGGGAAGGGTGATGTACTTTTTGAAGGCTAAAAGTGGAATTGTAAGATTCGCCAATAAGAGCATAGGATAAACACAACACTCACGGAAAAGGCCATGGACGTGGTCTCCAGCCTTGATAGCCTTGTTCTCAGAGCGCAGGACGACACCAACACCGAAATTGGAGATCGGCTGGCCCTTCTCGAAAGCGGGCTGCAGGAGCAGCTGTTAGGGGCCGACAGATCAATGCAGGATGTGACAGGTACGCACTACGAAGCTCTCGACCTTGGGGTCCCGCATCCTGGCACGGAGGTAAGGATCAGCGGAGAGAACGAGAGTCTTGACGAGGAAGCCGCCGTTCAAGGAGACACTGTCGAGATCAATCGTCTCGGACTCGTCGTAGATGGTGGTCTTGCCAGGTTCGGGGTAGCCTTTGCGCAAATCATACGTCAGACGGGCAGCGATATCATACATGGGACCGCAGACACTCACCTGAGGGAATATCATTAAAGAGAAGACGACCATTCTTGACAGGAGCCATTTCTCGTTTTTTGGGTTGCTCGGCGGGCTGTCTCAAGCTTGGTGGGCTGCTCAGTGAGCTGATGACCACCTGGCTACCCTGCAGCCTGTTGATATATCCCCCACAAGGCCAGCGCCTAGGTAAGCGTGGAGGACATGCTATCCCCAGTCGTCGAGTAGATGGAGTGTGTACTGTGGTTCGGCTTGATCACCCCGGACAACGACATCGCCGAATGAATTCGCATCATTCGAAGGGCGGGTTGAACGGAAATCGCCAGAAACGCCTCTAACTGCCTCTAAACGCCTTTAAACACCTGGGCGGCGGTCGCAGAGACATCCGTTGGCGCGTATACATCGGCGAGCGGGGCTGAAGACGCTCCGTGCGCGGCGCCGCCGATAGAGAAGAGGTAGTCAGCATCGGCCAGTGCGGGTGTGGGAACGAATTGCGACGCCACAAAGACGACCACGGCTCACATCTAATTTCATTCGATAGCTCCACTTGGCTATCGTTCGCTGACTAAATATCCGCCATTGCCAGACAGTACTCCTGGCGCACCAGTCCCGCTGCGCATGTCCCGGTATGAGGTGAAACATCCTCTATACGAATGCAGGAGTCTGTGGGTCATGGTATCAGAACTACGACGTTATTCTAGAACTCGGAGATATAATGTTATTACTGGGTTGTCACAAGTTTGGCTTCGGATATGCTTCCAGTGAACGTTCAAGTTATTTACCGTCACGATATTGTGCAGGTCGATGATACGAGACAACATCACTAGCAATGGACGTGGTAATGAGATACCAGTGGTGTACAACCAGAAGCTAGAGATACAGTGTGCACAGTCAATATTTGGTCAAGTAAAACGGCCGAGAGCATCGATAAATTGCACAAGCTACTCGACGCGTTTCCGCTTTTTGTATCGCTTAGTCGAGGCGGGCTGCCCATCGTCCTGCCCCTTCTGGCTCTTCCCTACCTTCTCAGCCTTTTTAGCGGCCTGCGTGAGTCATCAATCAATCAGCCACTGTATAACGCGCCAAAAAGAGCGAAGTCACCTTCTCTTCCGTCTCAAGTCGTACCAACAGTACCCGGTTCTCCTCTGTCGATAACGCCTTACATCCCTCCGCACTCCTTAGGTGTCTCTTCAACGAGTCGAGCCTGCTGTACTTTTTGCCGCACCCACTGCACGCCCGTTTAATGTCGCCATTGTGCGGCCCATCGACGTGGCGCCTCAGGTCGTGCTCGCGCGTGAACGTCTTCCTGCAGCCCGAAATGTCGCAGACGAACATTCCCTCCGGCTTGCGAAGAGGGCAGCCGGCGCGGCTTCCTTTCGATGACGCCGCGGACAACCTGCGACGCTTCCTCGGAGGCGCGGAGGCGTGGTCTCGGGGGATGTACACGTCGCTGTCGTTCTCATCACTCAACGGAGCGTCATACTCGCCGTCTTCCTCATCCTCGCTCCCAGAGAGCTCAGACAAGCTCTCAGAGGAAGACAGACAAGCGATGCGGCTGTGATCGGCGGTTCGGCTCGTGCTATGCGCCGCCGAGAGGAAGGACTTCGGGAATCGCAGGAGGGCCGCGGATTGTGCGGGACGCAGTGGGGATGGAAGCACACTTGCAGACGTCCCGTCGTGACAAGACGATAACGACGATTGCGCCATTGAACTACTGAGCCGCGACACCTGTGAGCCCTGACGTACGGATGCCGGCAACGGCGCTTCTGCCGATGGCGCGGCAGGGGAGGAAACAAGTAGCAGCGTGCGGTCCGGTGGGGGTTGCTGCGAAGATGGGTTCGGGGTTGTTAAGTGCTCGTCAGAGCCATCAGGGTCGCTATCGCTGTCTGTCTGGGCTCCATCGCTCTCGTGGACGTCTTCATTGTCATCTGGGAGCTTGTCATACTCCGGAGGTCCCGGGGAGATGTCCGAAAGGCGGACAGTAACAGGATACACTTCTGGGTCGGGTAGCGAGTCGCTGCTGGACGATAGCAGAAGACTTTCAGTGACAGAGCGCGCCCACCGCGGTCCTTGGTCTTTTGCGGGCGACTGAAGCTCACCCAGATCAGCATATATGATTATGGATTGTAAATAAAGTGTACTCACGAGGAATAGTCTGAGGTTATTTTTGTCGGAAAGGTAGGACACTGGCCATGGATGAAGTGTCTCGAAAGGTAGTGTTGAGGACTGAGAGTGCCCAAATAAGTCCGTAGACAAGAAATTCTCGGGACAGTCCGCCGCGAGGGCGACCACAGAACTGCCTGAAACTTGGGAGCAAGGCAATCCAGCGGCGACAGCGCCGGTATTGCGTGACGATTCAGACGTGTATATTCCAACGAAGGCTTTTGATTCTTCCAGAAGCCGCCTTTGTATGTATGTGCAGAGCGCAGCAAAATCGTACCCTCTGTTGGCGCTGGAGTCCCATATTAAAAGCTTTTCCGCGTTGCGCTGCGATCGCGTGGCATAAGCCAAAGTAAAATTGAGGGTGAGAGCGTGCATACCACAATAGCGCCCGTGCATGGGCAGCTCATCTCCGACAAATTCGTGACAGAGTCGACGACAGCGACGTAGATGTTGTGATCCAGCTCGATTCGGCAGCAGGCGGGTGAACGCGGTGGGTGGTATAAGCAGGTGCCGCTGGATCATCGAAGCGCTCGTCACTGGGCGATTAGCTAACATTCGTAGAGAAGAAACTCACCAGGGCGCTGGAAAGGCAGCGGATCCTGAAAATTTTGTCTCTACAGCGACTCTGAAATCCACCGCGAGAGGGATGTAAGAGACAGCTGAGGAAGCCCTCCACAGCCGTCTCTTACATGGCGCAGATGGTGTTTCAAAGACGACTTCCGTCTGTCCTATCGAGTCGCGTGTCACTACCGCGATGAGATCTTGCAGACATCCGCGTAAGTCTCGGACGAGTTGGTGGATCCCGCCGGCCAAGTGAGAGAAGATGAACGGCATCTTTCAAACGAAAGGTTTAGTACTGTAGATCTAGAGAAAGGTTCAAAAACAGAGCACTGTCAGTTTTATAACCACTCCGTACCTCTCTCAGATGGACACCCACCTGCGGACTGTTTGCTGAGATTTGGGGTACAACCTTGTTTGGTCGTTTGTCCCCTCAAGGATCTCCGTATACAGATATCAACCTTGCAAGATTGTTGCCGGGTATCGACTGATCGTCGGAAGAGTGAGTGTCTGGATATGAGCAGAATTCGCAGCTAGACACGAGCAGCATGGACCTCTTAAAAACGGCGAGTGGAGTTGGCAGGCAAGTTGCAGCTTGCGAGCCGTGCGGCAGCAGCGTGTTGTTGCATCGCCATACGCACAGAGCTCTTGGGCGAAGCATCCCATATGCAGTTCTGCGATCCCGAATCCAGGTTGCCTCGAGGCTTCGCCATCGCCTTCCATCACTAGGGCACCAATGGATGTATTGGTCGGCGGAGGGAAACTAGCGCCCTGTTACTCGTCTCTCACGCCCATTATCCATCAGAGACTTACCTTCGGGAGCTCGAGTTGAGACTATTATATCAACATGGCTGACCTAGGCCTCGTTCCCCAGGTCGGAAAATTAGCAGAGCCTGGATAGGGTTGTACGGACTTCTGTCGGATTACCCGCCAGGATAGGCTCTCCGATGGTGCCTCAAGCAGCCTCCGGCACGAAGCCCGCGAGATCGACGCCGGGACAGCTGCATAAATTAACGGAGTGGAATCAGAAGTGTATAGTCTACTTAAAGATTGCTCAATTACCTCGTTCTCTCTGAATCGCGGGGATGGAACATCGATAAGAGACGGCGTCGGAGGCATAAGCGCATGCTCGAAAAAAGGCAAGCCTGTTGGACCTATAATAGCAAATAAGACGCAAACAAAAACCGCTTGTCGCAGTAGGCAGCTCTCATGGAAGTGCTGACCATCGTCAACGCATTGGTATGCCGTCGATACGACGTGAGAGTGTTCACCCAACGACGAGATGCTCATAATATCTAATCTCGTTAGTCGTCACCCCTTTTCCTTCCGGTAACATTCAAGTACGCGACGAGCGGGTAGCCCACTTACATTCCGCAGTCTCTACGAAGAAAGTTCATCTTCAGACGACGCTAAATCTAGGAATAGCCGTCTGCTTGTATCAGCCTCATGTGCGATTCTATCCACAGGCCCGCATACTCACGAGCGCTCGATCGGGGATGGGTGTTCTGCCAATCGCATGGAGACCAACTACGCACTGGAGTACAATCACCGGGTCATTGAAGGTAGAGCTAAGCTGAGTGACTCGCCAATTCATATCAAAGCTATTCCATTTGTCACATTCTGCTGTCCAGGCTTGAATCTTCAGCCACTATGAAGGCCGGAAGATGCATGGAGTTGAACGTACCTGCATCAAAAAGCTCTCGCAAGCGCGAGTATGACAGTAAACTCCGTTAGGATCTGGTCTGGCGCTCACTTTCGATGCAACCCGTACGAATGTGGTCGCTTTAATAACATACTCTGGTCATAATACTAGTGAAAGCATCGCTGCGTTATTGACCGGTCTTCTTTTGTTACGAAAGGTGATAATAATTCTCAATCTCGGGACGATAAGCTGTTATCTCGGGTTCTTACCCAAGTGTGCTAGCTTACTACACATGTGAAGACGAGTACAGATGCACGTCTGCCAGACTATGCACGGACATTGGGGTTTGTGCGCGCCCCAGGAGCAAAGTTCACAGGCAGTTGAGATGAGGTCGCCCTGGATGAAGGGATTGCTCACAAGTCAAGCCCACTCGCCTCGGGGACACAATCTAATCACCGCGCTGGTATCCTTTCGGAAAACTTCAAATTTCAGGGCCCAGGCGGATTTGTTGATGCTAGGGATCGAACACTGGAACGTGTAGACAATATTTCCGGACCTCTTCGTCACCATTCTTATGTGTATCGCGCACGCGAAGGAGAGACGGGCCGTGGCAGATTCTGGCTGTAGAAAGCTGAAGCTGGAGAGATGACTTGCCCTTGACTGGAGTCGTCTGGCATGGATCATAAATTCATAATCAACAAGACCGCCCTGCATGCGCGTTAGACTTCAAACGCCCAGGACCCCAAGAGGTGCCTCTTGGAACGAGCAGACTCAAGGTACTGTACCCGCGGCGACGCTCTCGTACGCTGACGAGCCGGTCACAGTACTCCCGACAATGTTAATGAGAGGCTGAACTCGGCGGTTTCGGCGCGCGTAAGTGTAAAGGGCTGCACTGCGGGCTGCGTTGTCTGCGCATTGTCCGCCCAAAACTAAGTATGCGCCCTCACTAAGAGGGAGTGTTGAGCGGGCTGGATGCCTCGGCTATCGACGTCGGCCCTGACTATTGTGATGTATCAGTCATGCATGACAGGCGCGTGTCGCAGCAGCTTCTAGGGACATATAACACCCATGTAGCACACACCCTCACTCTCAGCCATGTCTCACCCAAAACTCTTCGCGCCTGTCAAGGTCGGCGACGCGATGCTACAGCACCGCGTTGTGATGGCTCCGCTCACACGCCTCCGCGCGACCAAAGCGCACGTCCCGACACCACTCATGGCCGAGTACTACGCACAGCGCGCCAGCACGCCCGGCACGCTCATTGTCAGCGAGGCGACCTTCATTGCTCCGCAGGCCAGTGGATTTCCACACGTCCCCGGCATTTGGAGTGACGAGCAAGTTGCCGGCTGGAAGCTCGTACGTCTGCTCTCGCAGTAGCTGGCCGCCTATCGCTAATCCACATTACGCGACAGGTCACGGACGCCGTCCATACTCGGGGGTCTTACATATATCTGCAGCTGTGGGCTCTCGGGCGGGCAGCCATGCCACAGATCCTCCAGGAGGAGGGGGGACATCCCTATGTCTCTGCATCCGACGTGCGGATGTCTGTAAGGCCGTTCCCACCGCGCCCTTTGACAAGCGAAGGTGAGCATACTTACGACGAAATCTGGGTCTAATTTTACGACAGACTGATGCGCCTTCTAGAAATCAAGGAGTACATCGGACTTTACGGTACAGCAGCGAAGAACGCCGTCCGTGCTGGTTTTGATGGAGTTGAGCTGCATGGGGCCAACGGCTACCTGATCGATCAGTTCACCCAAGATGTTACAAACAAGCGTACAGACGAGTACGGTGGTTCGGTGGAGAATCGGGCGCGGTTCGCGCTTGACGTGCTCGACGCGGCAGTCAAAGCGATCGGAGAGAGCAGGGTCAGCATCCGGTTCAGCCCATGGGGCGAGTTCAACGGTGCGTGCAAGCGACGCCATCGGAGGCAGTACTTAACCCGCTGATAACTGTGTGGTGCAGAGGTGCGTATGGCAGACCCGAAACCCAGTTTCAGCTACCTTGTGTCGGAGATAGCGAGACGGTGGCCGTTGTTAGCCTATCTCCATCTGGTCGAGTCCCGAATGAGTGGCGACAAAGACAGGGCAGTTCAGGAAGGAGAGGTAAATTTCCCGGTTGTAGCGTCTGGACGGATCCCCGCTGATTGTTCTCTAGTCAAATGATTTCCTGCGGGAAATATGGGGTTCGCGGCCGTTAATCAGCGCTGGTGGCTACAGTCGGGAATCTGCCCTCAAGGCCGCAGAGACGAAGGGTGACTTAATCGGTATGGGTAGACTGTTCATCTCGAACGTGCGTTACCAGTATATGCTAGTCCTATATGACGCTGACTTTGTTTTGCAGCCTGACTTGCCAGTGCGATGGCAGAAGGATATTTCTGCTGAAAAGGGCGACCGTTCGGCATACTACACCTTTGAGAGCCCTCAGGGATACATCGATTATCCTTTCGCTGACGGTTCGGTTGCTCCCGAGCGGTTCAAGGAGCTCCCTAACTGAGTGTGGATGCGTGGTATAGATCTAACGGGTCTTGATGTACCATCTGGGATAGAGCAAACATAAATACTACGCCAAGAATCGCTGCACGACCATATGATCTGACTGCTGGGATCTAATTTCTCAAGAACAATGCCATCGTTCTACAAGGTTCGCACGGTGGTCGTACGCCAAAGCCTTTGGTTACCCTATTCCACATGCTGCCTCGCTGGATAGCTCTGAGCCTCTGGCCCTATATCCGAGTTCGGAGCGCTGCCGCATGTTTTTGTCTAATTCTGCTCGAGGCACGTTGCGCGGACCCTACGCTTGCTCGCATCGAACTTCCGCTTTCAAGCGTGGAAATCTAGCCGCCGGTTTCTCTTGCAAACCCATACTACACCAACAGAAAACGTCCTTTAAGAATAAGTCCACCTTAAATGTATCGCACTAAGCGGCAATCTGCGATATCTTGATATGACAATGCCGCTCGCTGCCACCTTCCAGGCCATGGGGCCCGGCGCCTCCAATAACTGGCGGAAGTTGATTTGAACTCTCAGACAAACTCCGGGAGAAAAACTTTTTCACGTACCGAGGGCACAGCATATATGGGCGTCCTGGAAACAGCACTGTGATGGCGAGGTCCGGTCTCGGCCTACTTCTCCTTCCATTACGAGCGCTGGGAAATATCCAGGGATGATAGAGCCATGAGTGCACAGGCTTACCGGTGTCGCGCAGCCTCGTCCTTCCGCGACCCTTGGACAATTGCGGCAAAGCAAGCATGGTATGAACAACGTAAGGAAAATTTTGCATACTAGCTAGTAACATTATGGGTACGTTCTTTTGAGGTCCTTCATCGCTAAGTGGCCGCTATGAAAACGCAGCTTGCATGCACGAATAGTAGTTCATTTGGTACCTATCCCATGCACCCCGAAGCATGCGCGCTAGACTAGGCCTCGTGGTCAATCGAGCTCACACGAATCGGAAAGCGGATGTTGCCTCTGTCACCTTCCAGGGTCGGGGCCATGAGGCCGCGAAACTCTCTGCGCAGCCTCTTTATATCTTCAGTCGGCACAAACTCGAAGTTCGGTATGAGTTCGATCAGGAATGCCTGGACCATGTAGATGCTAAAGAATGGGGTTAGTTGAGAGGATGTCTGACGAAGGTGAGGACGTACGCGAATCTCCAGCCGATGCACGCTCGTATACCTGCGGCAAAATTAAAGCTAGGTGACAATATCAGCAAGAAAGATAACCAGTGGAAGCGACAGGCTCACAGATTTCCAAATATGCCTAGTGCCTGGCCCTTCTTGACCCTGCCATCCAGCCAACGCTCAGGATCGAACGAGTGTGGGTCGCTTCCCCAAAGGTCCGGATCGCTAGACTCTCTTAAGCAACAAAGACAAAACGCTCAGCGACACTAGCGAGCAACGCACCGATTGTACGCAGCAACAGACGCTATCACGCGCGTCCCCTTCGGGACGGGCAGCTTCTCGAGCACCTTGCCCGACTTGGTCGTGAGGGGCTTTGAAAGCGGCAGCACGTCATCACGTTCAGCAACACGAAAGGTATGGCCGATAACCGGGTGGACGCGGAGCACCTCGCGCAGGACAGCCTGCAGGTATGGCATGCTCTCCGCGTCGGCGGCTGTGAGCCCGGCGCCGCCGCGGGTGCTCCGCTTGCCGATGATCTCCTGGCGGAGCCGTGTCTGCGCCTCGGGGTGCCGCGCAAGCTCCAGGAGGGCCCAGCCGATGGTCGAGGACGTCGTCTCGTGCCCTGCGAAGAGGATAGTGCTGGTCCACGCCTGTGAGCGACGCTACCTGGACGCGAAAGGAACAGCGCTGACCGCATCTCAGCGTACATCTCTTCGTCGCTCAGGCGCGACTTTGCATCCTCGGCCACGTTAGCTTTGACTGCGCAATGCGGGAGAGGTCAGTGTGTGCAAGGACTAGAGACATAGGCTGCGACGTACCGAGCAGGCTGAACACATCCTTACTTCCCTTGCCTTGCTTCAACGCCTCTGCCTTCGTGTCCACCAGCTCCTTCGCAACCTTCAGAGTCAGCCTTTCGCACTCCCTAGCTTTCTCCATGGCTGGGTTGTTCTGGCGGTCTTGGATCCACTCAATGACGCGAGCCGGGAAGAGTCGCAGAATGTCGACCATGATCATAGCTTTGGCAGACGGCAAGCTGAACACTAGAGGTCTGGACGAACAAATTCAGTCTCTTCACAAGTGTAACCACTTCCTAACAGAGATTCAGACGCACGTGAGATCACGGTATGCGCGCACGAGATCATTTTCTGGATCCTCCATTATGCCGAAGTGATAGTCGAAAGCCGCTACCGAACAAGTAGGTTAGTGCTGACTGGTAGCGTGATGTTAGATGATGATGCAGACATACCTTCCCCGACAGCACTTAGCGTTGCCTGAGACAGCCAGGCGGGGATGTCAATCTCTGCAGACTGGCCAGTAGACGTGGTCAGCAGGTCCTTCCATCTTACTGACATCTGAACAGAGCATTGTTTGTCTTCGTGGGTAGAGTCGTAGACAGCGTGCGGTACTCACGGCCTCGGCTGCACGAGTAAAGTGGGGAAACAGGGCCTTCATCTCGGGCGCTTGGAATGCAGGGAGCATGACTTTGCGTTGACGTTGGTGAACCTCTCCTATACGAAGCTATTAGCGTGGAGAAGATAACTATGGGCTGAGATTTTACCCTCCGCCCATGCCAATCCGTGGCCTGAGTGCAATCGGGACAGAGCGCGACGGTCGGGAGGTTTTGTGAACCTGTATCCAGAGGTTACATAGATGTACTGCAGTGCCTTCGGGTCGGAAATCCACAGCGATTTGCCCTAAAACATTTCAAGTGGACATGTGAAGGGAACAGAAGCAGGAGAACGCGACTCACCCCGAGACTGGTATGTACACGGGCGATTCCGCCATACTGCTCCTGGAGTTCGAAGTCTCCCTCTCCCACCTGTTGGAGGTACAAATGCTTGAGGTTGCCTTACGAGGATCGGGTCAGATGATGCATAGGCAAGCAACAGCGGCTTGCTCACCTAGCCAGAATGACTCGGGTTTGGGACCCGGGACATCACTCAAGGATATCTTCGTGAGTCTGCGACGTAAGAACCATAGCAAGGCTGCGACAAGGACCACGGCGACTGCGACGTTCGCCATGTTGGCACGTCTGGAGTACCGTAGACATCGCTGGCTTGCACCGACGCCTTTATATACGGGTGGGTATGCTGAAAATCAAAGAGGCGTATAGCCAACGTTGCGGGAGCGTCCCAAACTCTCCGGACGTGTCAGGTGTTGTTAACATTGCGTCTGGGAAGCCCTAATAGTGCACCACTGTCATAGGTAGTACCGGTCACGCCCAGTACTTCCCAGTCCGATTCGAGCTCGCGAAGTGCCATATAGCTCTGCTCGTGAGACGCCTCGGCGCACCATGTCAGACACGATAAGTCAAAATTATAGTTTCGGCGTGGACGGTGGTTGAGGGTGAGGGAAAACTGGTAGGTTCAGGGCTTGATGGGTAGAGTCCCTCGACTGGCTTGGTGCTCGTGTGAGGCCAGGGCCTCGGTGAGATGACGCAAAAACTGCTGACATAGTAGACAAAATAGTAATTACGAGGTAATAGACAAATAACCACTAACGCAGATAAGATCTTCTGAAAGCCGCCTAACTTGACCCACTACTGTACCTTAAAAGATAGCGGGAACTTGACGGAGCAGAAAATTATGTGCAGCCAGCTCATCTCCGCATCTGAGCTGGCTTGTGCTTGTGAGCGCAAGTTGCAGCTTAAACTACTGCGGGTCGGTGCCGAGGAGCAGTCTTAAACAATCCAATTTCTGTAGGTAAGCGAGACATATCGGATACAACTCCTACGTTTATTAGGCCAGCCTCGCTCAGTCAGCGTGACTTGATGCACACTCCTCAAGGCTTAACCAGACTGGCATCCGAAGAGTCTTTTGCATGCAGTTTAACAGAGGTGAGCCACAAGCTGAATAACCAGACCCCCTACTACGCGATTTTTATGCCACCGGTCGAGCATCTAAAGCATCTCGTAGGCATGCTACATAGCTCTATCGCGGTCTTAGCTTCCCTGCTTCGCTCACTTCGGCTCTGTTTGTAGTTCTCAATGCTAAACATTCCCAGCTTCGCCCGGTATCTCTGCTACAGTAGCAGCTGGCAATATTCTAGATATATTCCCACGAGGCCCTGCACCGGTAAGTGGCTGCTATGCACACACGGCTTGCATACACATGTGCTAGTTCATTTGGTCTAATGGTACTATCCCCTGCATCCCGAGGCATGCACGTCAGACTATGCCGCGTGATCCATTAGGCTAACGCGAACTGGCAAGCGTATGTTGCTTCTGTCGCTCTCCAGTGTTGGGGCCATGACGCCACACAACTCTCTGCGCAGCCTCTTTATATCTTCAGTTGGCACGAATTCGAAATTCGGTACAAGTTCGATCAGGAATGCCTGGATCTCGTAGATGCTAAAGTATACGGTCAGTTGAGAGGATACATGACGACAACGAGGGCGTACGCGAATCTCCAGCCTATGCACGCTCGTGTACCTGCGGCAAAAGTAAGGCTGGGCGCTATGATGTCAGCAGGAAAGATAACAACGAGGGAAAGCGACAGGCTCACAGATTTCCAAACATGCCCAGTGCCTGACCCTTCTTGACCCTGCCGTCCAGCCAACGCTCAGGGTCGAACGAGTGTGGGTCGCCTCCCCAAAGATCTGGGTCGCTGTTCGTTCCTCAGCAAGAATCCGACACATTCAGCAACGCCGGCATGTGGCTCACCGATTGTATGCAGCGATGGACAGAATCATGCGCGTCCCCTTCGGGACTGGCAGCTTCTCGAGTACCTTGCCCGACTTGGTCGTGAGGGGCTTTGAGAGCGGCAGCATGTCGTCGCACACCGCGACACGGAAGGTATGGGCGGCGATTGGGTGGAAGCGCAGCACCTCGCGCAGGAAGGCCTGAAGGTACGGCATGCTCTCCGCGTCAGTCACAGTGAGCTCGGCGCCACCACAGCTGCTCCGCTTGCTAATGATCTCCTGGCGGAGCCGCGTCTGTGCCTCGGGGTGCCGGGCGAGCTCCAGGAGGGCCCAGCCAATAGTTGAGGACGTCGTCTCATGTCCTGCGAACAGGATGGTGCTGGACCGAGTCTGTGAGCGACGAGGTCTGAACACCAAGGAAACGGAGCTGACCGCATCTCGGCGTACATCTCTTCATCGCTCAGACGCAAATTCGCCTCCTCGGCTGCGTTAGCTCTAACTGCACGATGCAGGGGAAGTCAGTTACAAAGACCGAAGACAGAGGCGGCGACATGCCGAGCAAGCTGAATACGTCCTTGCTTCCCTTGCCTTGCTTCAACGCCTCTGCCTTCGTGTCCACCAGCTCCTTCGCAACCTTCAGAGTCAGCCGTTCGCACTCTCTAACTTTCTCCATGACTGGGTTGTTCTGGTGGTCTTGGATCCATTTGATAACGCGATAGGAGAAGAGCCGCATGATGTCGAACCTGAAAATCGCTTTGGCAGACGGCAATCTGAACACCAGGGACCTGAGCGAACGGACTCAACCTCTTCGCAGGCGTAACTACTTCCTGACAGACGCACGTGAAACCGCGGTACGCGCGGACGAGATCATTTTCTGGATCCTCCATTATGCCGAAGTGATAGTCGAAGGCCGCTACCGAACAAGTAGGTTAGTGCTGACTGGTAGCGCGATGTTAGATGATGATGCAGACATACCTTCCCCGACAGCACTTAGCGTTGCCTGAGACAGCCAGGCGGGGATGTCAATCTCTGCAGACTGGCCAGTAGACGTGGTCAGCAGGTCCTTCCATCTTACTGACATCTGAGCAGAGCATTGTTTGTCTTCGTGAGTAGAGTCGTAGACAGCGTGCGGTACTCACGGCCTCGGCTGCACGAGTAAAGTGGGGAAACAGGGCCTTCATCTCGGGTGCTTGGAATGCAGGGAGCATGATCTTGCGTTGACGTTTATGAACCTCTCCTATAAGCAGCCATTAGCGCGGAGAACATAACTATGGATTGTAATTTTACCTTCTGCCCATGCCAATCCGTGGCCTGAGTGCAATCGGGACAGAGCGCGACGTTCGTGGGGTTTTGTAAACCTACAAGCAGAAGTTACGTAGATGTACTGCAGCGCCTTCGGATCGGAAATCCACAATGATTCTCCCTGAAACCCTGCAGGTGAGTATGTGAAGGGAGCAGCAGCAGGAAGGTGCGACTCACCCCGAGACTGGTATGCACTCGGGCGATCCCGCCGTACTGCTTTTGGAGCTCAAAGTCTGCCTCTCCTACCTGTTGAAGGAACAAGTACTTGAGGTTGCCTTGTAAGATCGGATCAGACGTTATACGGGTCAGTAACAGTAGAGTATTCACCTAGCCAGAACGACTCGGGTTTAGGACCTGGGACATCACTCAAGAATATCTTCGTGAGTCTGCGACGTAAGAACCATAGTAAGGTCGCGACAAGGATCACGGCGACTGCTATGGCATTAGCCATGTTTGCACGTATAGCAAGCTGCGTGCCTCAACTCCTTTATATACAAGGTGATATGCCGAGGATCAAGGAAGCGTGTCTCTCGGGCCGGCGTGCAAAGTTCATTGCTCATGTAGCGCATCAGCTGGCGACGTGGTCGGTGAGACAAACGTCCCAAACAGGGAGTGAAGCAGCATCTCCGGACGTGTCAGGTGCTGTTGCGTCTGAGAGGAAGGAAGCTCCAGTGCGTCACTGTTATTGTTCACGCTCAGTCGACGTCCCAGTCCGAGTCGAGCTCGCGAAGCATCATCTCTGCTCGTAAGACGCCTCAGCGCAACGGGTATCTAGACCATTTCGGCAGCGGTACGATACACTGCACCATGTCAGACGCAACAAGTCGATGAGCCATGCAAACAGTGGATTTAGACACACACACCCAGCGATGGCTCTAATCAATTGTCGAAGCCTTCGGAAGAAAGAAGTTAGCTGGACGATGCGTGGGTCTGTCAGTAAGCATATAATGTCAGCAAAAGCCGGTAAGCCTCTTGACTCTGGAGTTTTGGCGGGAGCCAGGCAATTACAGCGCTTTCAAAGTTGGATTGGCTCGGGATACTCCGAAGTGTATGACAAAGCCGCCTGGCATAAGCAGCCTAGTAGGTAGTTGTCGCGGTCTAGAGTGACTATTCTTCCTTGTAAATTCATGACAATAGAGCATCCATAAACACACATTTTATATGTATTCCAGGTAGGGAAAATATGTGGCTGAAGCTGAAGACGCGCCTCTGCCACTTTGCGGTGGGGCATAGCTCCACCAGGAAACCTGAATAAAGTACTAACTAGCACAAACATTATTTGTCATTCGATCCGAAGGAGAATCATGGGGAAGAAAGAGTGGAGAGAATACTTGATTATGGCATCACGGTATGAAGAACGCGAGAATTTTCGCATAGAAAGCTAGCAACATTATAGATACATTCTTATGAGGCTTTGCACCGCAAAGCGGCCATTATGGAGACGCAGCTTGCACACGCAAATCGTAATTCGTTCGGTCTAGTAGTACCTATCCCTTGCACCTGGAGGCATGCACGTCGGGCTAGGCCTCGTGGTCGACCAAGCTCACGCGAATTGGCAAATGGATGTTGCCTCTGTCGCCTTCGAGGGTCGGGGCCATGATACCGAACAGCTCTCTGCGCAGCCTCTTCATATCTTCAGTCGGCACAAACTCGAAATTTTGTATGAGTTCGATCAGGAACGCCTGGATCTCGTAGACACTAGAGAGGGCGGTTATTTGAGAATATATGGCAAGGGCGAAGACGTACGCGAATCTCCAGCCAATGCATGCTCGTAGACCTGCAGCAAACGTAAGGCTGGGCGACATGATGTCAGCAGGAAAGACAGCAACCAGGGAAGACGACAGGCTCACAGATTTCCAAACATGCCTAGTGCCTGGCCCTTCTTGACTCGACCATCCAGCCAACGCTCAGGATCGAACGAGTGTGGGTCGCTTCCCCAAAGGTCTGGATCACTAGACACTCTTAAGCAAAAAAGCCAGAACATTCAACAACACCAGCGCGCAGCGCACCGATTGTACGCGGCAACAGACAAGATTACGCGTGCACCCTTCGGGATGGGCAGCTTCTCGAGCACCTTGCCCGACTTGGTCGTGAGGGGCTTTGAGAGCGGCAGTACGTCGTCGCGCACCGCGACACGGAAGGTCTGGCTGATGATCGGGTGGACGCGGAGCACCTCGCGCAGGACAGCCTGCAGGTATGGCATGCTCTCCGCGTCGGCGGCTGTGAGCCCGGCGCCGCCGCGGGTGCTCCGCTTGCCGATGATCTCCTGGCGGAGCCGTGTCTGCGCCTTGGGGTGCCGCGCAAGCTCCAGGAGGGCCCAGCCGATGGTCGAGGACGTCGTCTCGTGCCCTGCGAAGAGGATAGTGCTGGTCCACGCCTGTGAGCGACGCTACCTGGACGCGAAAGGAACAGCGCTGACCGCATCTCAGCGTACATCTCTTCGTCGCTCAGGCGCGACTTCGCATCCTCGGCCACGTTAGCTTTGACTGCGCAATGCGGGAGAGGTCAGTGTGTGCAAGGACTAGAGACATAGGCTGCGACGTACCGAGCAGGCTGAACACATCCTTACTTCCCTTGCCTTGCTTCAACGCCTCTGCCTTCGTGTCCACCAGCTCCTTCGCAACCTTCAGAGTCAGCCTTTCGCACTCCCTAGCTTTCTCCATGGCTGGGTTGTTCTGGTGGTCTTGGATCCATTTGATAACGCGATATGAGAAGAGTCGCATGATGTCAACCTTGAAGATATCTTTGGCAGATGCAAATCTGAATGCCAGAAGCCTATACGAACAGACTCAGTCTCTTTGTGGACATAATCACTTCCCCACAGAAAGTTGAGACGCACGTGAAATTATTGTACGCACGGACGAGGTCATTTTCAGGATCTTCCAATGTGCCGAAGTGATAGTCGAAGGCCGCTATCGGACAAGTGGGTCAGTGCTGAGTAACAGCGCGATGTTAGCCGACGATGTAGACACACCTTCCCCGACAGCGTTCAGCGTTGCTTGAGAGAGCCAGGCAGGGATATCGATCTCTGCAGACTGGCCAGTAGACGTGGTCAGCAGGTCCTTCCATCTTACTGACATCTGAACAGAGCATTGTTTATCTTCGTGGGTAGAGTCGTAGACAGCGTGCGACACTCACGGCCTCGGCTGCACGAGTAAAGTGGGGAAACAGTGCTTTCATCTCGGGTGCTTGGAACGCGGGGAGCATAACTTTACGTTGTCGTTTATGAACCTCTCCTACACGAAACCATCAGCGCCTAGAAGGCCACTACGAAGTGTAATCTTACCCTCCGCCCACAGCAATCCGTGGCCTGAATGCAGCCGGGACAGAGCGCGACGATCGGGGGGTTTTATAAACCTGTATCCAGAAGTTACGTAGATGTATTGCAGTGCCTTCGGATCGGAGATCCACAATGATTCGCCCTAAAGCCTTGCAGGTAGATATGTGAAGGGAGCAGCAGCCGGAAGGTGCGACTCACCCCGAGGCTGGTATGCACTCGGGCGATTCCGCCGTACTGCTCCTGGAGTTCGAAGTCTCCCTCTCCCGCCTGTTGGAGGAACAGGTGCCTGAGGTTGCCTTGCGAGGATGGTCAGATAATGGTTTATGGATAGGCCAGCTACAGCGGCTTGCTCACCTAGCCAGAATGACTCGGGTTTAGGACCTGGGACGTCGCTCATAGATATCTTCGTGAGTCTGCGGCGTAAGGACCATAGCAAGGCTACGACAAGGATCACGGCAATTGCGATGGTGTTCGCCATGTTTGTGCGTCTGAAGCACTATAGAGAGCTGCTTGTCCCAGTCCCTTTATATACGAGTATGTATGCCGAAGCTCAAGGAAGCGTATCTCACGAACGGCATGCAAAGTCCACCGCTCAGACGGGCGATGCAGTCGATGAGACGAAGCGTCCAAACAGGGATTGAAGCAGCATCCCATGTCAGGTGTTAGCGTCTGGGAGGAAAGAAGCCCCAGTGCGTCACTGTTATCGGTCACGCTTAGTCCCAGTCCTAGTCGAGCTTGCGAAGCTCCATTTCTGCTCGTGAAACGCCCCGACGCAATGTGTATTTCAGAAACAATTTTGGCACTGGAATGATACACTGCACCATGTCAAGCGCAATAAGTCAACGAGTCGTCCAAAAGGTATATTTGAAAACACATATCGCTCTAATAAGATTTCCGAGTCGGAGCCTTCTGACGAGCGAAGCTAGCTGGATGATAGGCCTGGTGGGTCTCTCAGCAAGCACAGGATATCATCAAAAACTGGTAAGCTCTGGAGCACCAGCAAGAGTCAGGCAATAAGAGAAAGAAAGAAAGAACTTGCGCAATTATATAAGCGCCCTACATCGATTGGCCCGGGACGCTCCGAAGTGTATGACAAAGCCGTCTAGCATAAGCATGCATGGCTCCAGCACTACAAGGAGACCTGAATCTTTTAACCAGATGCCCCGAAAGTAAGTAACTGGTACCCTACTATTTGTTAACCCTTTACACGCCCTGCGGAGCGAAGGATCCTCCGGCCCTATCTTTCTTGGTGATGGTTAGCGGGTTTCAACTTAGAGATGTTAAATGGGGACACTGTCCTGCTACAGAGCCCCTACACGTACTCCTTTGGTGCTCAATACTACTGTGCAGGAAAGCCCTGAGCTGACACGCTCCCTCCCAGACTCGCCGGCCTGCACCATGGCCAATCCCGCGGCCCCTGTTATAACGCGCACACTTCCGTTCACTCACGATGGCGAGACCTACCAAACCTTCTACAAGCTCTTCGGCTCTCCGGAGAACCGTAAGCGTCGGCCTCTCGTCGTGCTGCACGGCGTTCCGGGGCTCGTGCACGATTACCTTGTGCCCTTCAGCGACCTCGCCGTGACGGCGGGCATCCCCGTGTTGCTGTATGATCAGCTCCGGAACGGGCTCTCGACGCACCTGCGCGACAAGCCAGCCGAGTTCTGGACCATCGAGCTCTTCATTGCCGAGCTTGAGAACGTGCTCGCACAATTGCGTATCGACGGCGAGTTTGACCTCGGAGGGCACAGCTGGGGCAGGATCCTCGCGACCGAGTCCGCTGTACGGCGCCGGCCGCGCGGCCTGCGGCATCTCGTGCTCACAGACTCGCTCGCCGCGTTCTCGCTCTGGCAGGAGAGCAACGCGCAGTCATAGCGACGTTCCCACCGGACATCCAGGCTGCGCTCAAAGCGGGCATGGCGCAACCCAAGGCGTACCACGACGCGCTCCTCGTGTTCCGCAAGAAACACGGTTGCGCCATCGAACCCACGCCGAGGGAGTACTTGCATGTCTTTGAGATGGTTTTCAGTGAAAGCGAAGATTCAACGGTCACCTCGGTGATGTGCATCCCCGTCGTCCTCCCCCTCTATTCAAAAGCGTACTGACCTACAAGACGTTGCTAGGTATCCCAAAATCTTGTCTTGGTCGATCATCGACCGGTTGCACAACATAGAGATGCTGACACTCGTGGTGAACGGCGCAGATGACGTTGCGCAAGACTTTGTCGTCGCACCTTTCTTCCAGAAGATTCCGAAAGCAAAGTGGATCACTTTCGCGAACTCTAGCCATACCCATTCTGGGAGGAGCGCGAGTTGTACATGACACGACTGGCAGACTATTTGGAACTGTAATCACAGTGCTTGGGGTTAGGATAACCCAATCTGAGGTGCAAACGAGCAGGTACCACATAAGACAAATAGATGAGCCAACGAAAGATTGTGATGAACAGTGATACAATTTTCCTATCCACTGGACACGGTTCCCGTATCTCGTAGCCCACCGCATCACGCATTCAGTATGGCCGCAAGAAGTACCAAATAGCACAGACTTTATGGGTATGCGCGGAAAGTTTAATCCCGAAGTATTTGAAGACGAACAATACGAAAGAGTGGAGAGAATACTTAATCATGACTCCACGGCATGAAAAACCGAGTGAAAGACATAATCTCGCATAGCAACTAGCAACGTTCTGGATACATTTAAGGCCTGCATCGCTAAGTAGCGGCAATGGAGATGCAGTCTACATGCACAAATCATAGTTCTTTGGTCTAGTAGCGCCTATCCATTGCATCCCGAGGCATGCACTTCGGGCTAGGCTTCGTGGTCAACCAGGCTGACGCGAACTGGCAAGCGGATGTTGCCTCTGTCGCCTTCGAGCATCGGGGCCATGACACCGCACAGCTCTCTGCGCAGCCTCTTTATATCTTCGGTTGGCACAAACTCGAAATTTTGTATGAGTTCGATCAGGAAAGCCTGGATCTCGTAGACGCTGAGAAAACGCTTAGTTGAGAATGCATGGCGAGGAAGAGCACGAGCACGCACGCGAATCTCCAGCCGATACACCCTCGTAGACCTGCAGCAAATGTAAGACTAGGCGACATGGTGTCAGCAGGAAAGACAACATCGAGGAAAGCGACAGGCTCACAGATTTCCAAATATGCCTAGTGCCTGACCCTTCTTGACCCGGCCGTCCAGCCAACGCTCAGGGTCGAACGAGTGCGGGTCGCTTCCCCAAAGGTCCGGATCGCTACAATCTCTTGAGCAACAAAGCCAAAACACTCAGCAACACCAGCGCGCGGCGCACCGATTATACGCAGCAATAGATAGAATCACGCGTGTCCCCTTTGGGACTGGTAGCTTCTCGAGCACCTTGCCCGACTTGGTCGTGAGGGGCTTTGAGAGCGGCAGTACGTCGTCGCGCACCGCGACACGGAAGGTCTGGCTGATGATCGGGTGGAAGCGCAGCACCTCGCGCAGGACAGCCTGCAGGTATGGCATGCTCTCCGCGTCGGCAGCCGTGAGCTCGGCGCCGCCGCGACTGCTCCGCTTGCTGATGATCTCCTGGCGGAGCCGTGTCTGCTCCTCGGGGTGCCGCGCAAGCTCCAGGATGGTCCAGCCGATAGCCGAGGACGTCGTCTCATGTCCTGCGAACAGGATGGTGCTGGCTCATGCCTGTGAGTGACGCTACCCGGGCGCGAAAGGAACGGAGCTGACCGCATCTCGGCGTACATCTCTTCGTCGCTCAGGCGCGACTTCGCATCCTCGGCCACGTTAGCTTTGACTGCGCAATGCGGGAGAGGTCAGTGTGTGCAAGGACTAGAGACATAGGCTGCGACGTACCGAGCAAGCTGAACACATCCTTACTTCCCTTGCCTTGCTTCAACGCCTCTGCCTTCGTATCCACCAACTCCTTCGCAATCTTCAAGGTCAGCCGTTCGCACTCTCTAGCCTTCTTCATGGCCGGATTGTTTTGACGGTCATAAATCCACTCGATAATGCGAGTGGAGAAGAGTCGCATGGTGTCGAACTTGAAAATCGCTTTGGCAGACGGCAAGCTGAACACCAGAGGCCTAAGCGAACAGATTCAGTCTCTTCGCAGGTATAACCACTTCCCGACAGAAATTCACAACGCACATGAGATTATGGTACGCGCGCACGAGGTCACTTTCGGTATCTTCCATTGTGCCGAATTGATAGTCGAAGGCCGCTACCAGACGAATAAGTCTGATAGGACAATGTTTTCCGACGGTGCAGACGTACCTTCCCCGACAGCATCCAACGTTGCCTGAGAGAGCCAGGTAGGGATGTCGATCTCTGCAGACAGACCAGTGGATGTGGTCAGGATGTCCTTCCATTTTACCGACATCTAAATAGTGTACTGTTTGTTCTCGGAGGCACAGTTGAAGAAAGTGTGCGGCACTCACAGCCTCGGCTGCATGAACAAAGTGGGGAAACAATGCTTTCGTTTCCGGCGCCTGGAATGCGGGGAGCATGACCTTGCGCTGCTTCTTATGATCCTCTCCTACATGAAGCCATTAGCATGGGGGAAGGTCATTATGGACTGTAATCTTACCATCTGCCCATACCAATCCGTGGCCTGAGTGCAGCCGGGACAGAGCGCGACGTTCGGGGGTCTTGGTAAATCTGTACCCGGAAGTGACGTAGATGTACTGTAGTGCTTTCGGATCGGAAATCCACAATGATTCACCCTGCGGATCCGCAAATGAATATATGGAGGGAACAGTAGCCGCGAAGCGCGACTTACCCCCAGGCTACCACGCACACGGGCAATCCCGCCGTACTGCTTTTGGAGCTCAAAATCTCCCTCGCCCACTTGTTGGAGATACAACTGCTTGAGGTTGCCTTGCGAGGTCCGTGTTAGACAATAGTCACAGAGTCGGTGGAGTACTTACCCAGCCAGAATGACTGGGGCTTGGGACCTGGGACGTCACGCAAAGATATCTTCGCGAATCTGCGACGCAAGGACCATAGCAAGGCTGCGACAAGGACCACGGCGAGTGCGACGACGTTCGCCATGTTTGCACGTCTGAAGCACTGTAGAAAGTTGCTTGCCCCGGCCCCTTTATATACGAGTGGATATGCCGAAGCTCAAGGAAGCGTACCTCTCGGACCGGAATGCGGAGCTTAATGCTCATTTTGTGCATCAGCCGGTGACGCAGTCGGTGAGACGAACGTCCCAAACACAGATTGGAGCAGTATCCCCGGATATGTCAGGTGCTGTTGCAGCTGGGAGGAAGGAAGCTCTAGTACGCCATTGTTCTCGGCCGCGCTCGATCATAGTTCGAGCTCGCAGAGTGCTATCTCTTCTCGTGAGATGCCTCGGCTCGGCGGGTACTTGTGAGCCGTGTTGGCCGCAGCTAGACGATGTAATGCATCATGTCAGACACAATAAGTCAACGAGCCATGCGAATGGTGGATTTAGATGCACATATGCCTACAGTGATTCCAATGAATTGTCCGAGTCCGAGTCCGAGTCTTCGGACGAAACAGCGAGACTACCACCATCGACAAGCGGCCAGCCAAGCAGTTAACATGGTTGTGACCCGAAGTCAGCGGACAGACGGGAAGTCGGCTTGTTAGAACGCATCATATGGCATGGGTAACCGAGCTCTCGTCGGTGTCTTTCACTATAAACACATACTGTAAGCATACGCGACGTGTGGAGATCGTAAAGCTAGGCACCAGTATTTTACTCATGCGGTGTTACTCAGGACAAGTTATCCGATGCTTGCTTCCCTGCACTGCGGTTACGGTGCGGTACACTAGATTAACTGATTGTTTACTCCCTGGAGCACGCGTTGGCTGGTTTCCGCGTCGGCAATTGGTCATAACAAGAAGTCCGAGACCCGCTGTTCCCCAGAGTCAGCCCGAGCAAGAGAGGCAAGAACAATGGAGAAATAAGAACAAAAGCTTACACAGAATGCCACCCAGGCACCCTCCAGAGCTTCTCGCGCGGGGGAGAATGACTCTACGGGGCCGTCACGGGGTGGTAAGCGCAGTCTCTTTCTTGAGGAAACTCGCTCAAAACTGGAAAAACAAGAACCAACTCGGCTGGGGCAGATGAGGGCACAAACTGGTGTCAAAAGAGGTTGAAATGTGGCAAAACCGGTGGAAAAGGAAGTTATGTCTCCAAATCTTCTCAGATGAAAACTGGTTAAAAACAGGTGCTTTTTCAGTCAGCTTTTGACTGATCTCACGAGCGAAAAACTACACTTACCACCCAGTGCATGGGCGTTGAAAATTGACGTTTAAACGTTGCACAGCCGCGACGCCCGACTCGCGCATCTTGCCTAATCGAGGCAAACGTATCCTCCCGCTGTAAACCAGCCGAAAGACGACAAAAAATTGCCCAGCATAAGTATATATATTGCTCTTCTAGTATTTATACGTGCTCAAACATAACTCTATGGGCCAATTCAAGGTCCTCAGCACATATCCTGCGAAAAAAGTGGACAAATGGTCGAAATATATTATAGAGCCCTCTCTCTCCGTTCTACATTGCTTCTAGCTCACTTTCCTGTCAAATGACATTGTTCAATCAGCATACTGCACAATATGGTCGGGATACCGCTGTGCAAAGCCTCGCCCAAAGCGGACTCGGGTTAGGGTTCCTTGGTTCAGATGGGCGTCCCGCTTGGACCAAATGATGCTCCGCGTCTCCTACCGTCTCCTCGCCACCCATTCATCTGTTCAACCATACTGGTCTCACCAATTCAGAAGCGACAATGAGCACTACCGCCGAGGCTCCCATACAGCACTCCGACGTCTGGTTCGACGACGGAAATATCGTCTTGCAGGCAGAGAGCATGCTGTTCAAAGTCTACCTTGGGATCCTGCAGGCGCAGTCCCCATTCTTCCGCGATCTGTTCACTCTCCCGCAAGCGGGGAGTGACCAGTCGGAGAGGTATGAGGACTGCCCTCTGGTGGTGATGCAAGGCGACCGCGCAGCCGACGTGCGCGTCTTTCTCAAGGCGTTGTTCGATTCGCAGTGCGTGAGACGCTCTGATCTGCGTGCCATCGCCGCTCATCACGGCGCATCCACAGGTTCTACGTCGACGTCAAGTTGGTTAAGGATGTCAACGTCGTAATCGGCGTGCTCAAGCTGAGCCACAAGTATCAAGTCGACCATCTCGTCCGCAGGTCCATCCCTACATTCACGGCGCTGTACCCTCCCACCTTGCAGAAGTGGGACATCCGCGAGACACGCCGCCAGTGGTCCCCGCTCACCACAGAGTTCGGACGCGCTCTACCCATCTTCGTCGTCAACGTGGCGAGGACCACCGGAATGGACGTCCTGCTCCCGTCGGCGCTATTCGAGTGCTGCAGCTATTCCTTCGAGGAGATTATCGCCGGTGTTCCCAGCCCGGCAGGCGTCACATATTCTCTGCACCCCCACGACCAGATCCTCGTCCTCAAAGCACGCGAGAACCTCGCGCAGTTCGCGCGCAACTCCGTCTGGAGCTTCATCTACCAGAAGGAATTCATGGAGAACGCCGTGAAGCGCCCTGACCTGTGGACGCGTCTGCACCGTTGGGTGCAGGGCGACGGCCCGACTAATCAAGGGAGCTGGAGAAGCCCGCTGGCGCAAGACTTTCCTTGGAGCGACTACTGCGAGATGACGCGGAACCTCAGTGGCAGGCTCCGGTCGCAGACGGAGAAGGAGTTGCGTAACATGCGCAACGTATCCTGGGCGACGCTGCCTGCGGTTTTTGGGTTGCCGCCGTGGGAAAAGATGAGGTGGTAGAGCGCGAAGGAGTAGCTGTACTGCGGTGGTGTGTATGTCCGGCTTGTTCATATGGTTTCGGTTGCTGACGGATACAGAATAACAGGAAGACTGAACACTGAGTCCTATTATGAGTATTACATGGAACAATAAGAGAACAAATTTTGGTCTTAATTATTGTACAAAACTGGATATCTCCAAGGGGAATATGAATCTATGTTACGTTCAATGCTTTATCGGTGCTGAGACGTCAGTAGACCTCCAAATAGGCTCGGTAACTCTGACATTATCCACGAGCTTCGCATACCCCCTTAGCAACATGGAGCCCGCGTCCGTTCCGCAGGGAATCCGAGTCCACGCAGGGCTCCCCTTCTCGAGTACCTGCGCCGCGAAACCCGTGCCACAGACGAGCTCGCGCACCCTTGCCGCGAGCCTGTCCGGGTCGCCGACCCAGCCGTTGCTCGCATGCATGCGCGGGATCCAGTTGATGGAGTCGAAGCCCTGGCTCGGGTCGGCGTACGCCGTTTCCCTCTGCTGCTGCGCACACTGGTCGTCCGCGGCGTAGAGCGGGTGCCCGACAAAGAAGCGCGTGGGGAAGTGCCCGGGCACGAGGCAGAGCACGCGCACGCCGCACGGCGCAAGCTCCTGCGCAAGCGTGTCCGCGTATAGCTCGAGCGCGGCCTTGGACGCGTTGTATGCGCCCCAGGCGGGTGGCGCGAGCGCGGTCGCGACGGACGAGACGAGCAGGACGTGTCCCGTGCGCCGCGTGCGCAGGTGCGCGAGCAGCGGCTGCGTGAAGGCGAGTGCGCCGAAGATGTGCAGCTGGAACTGCTGGCGGACCTCCGAGAGGCTGGGGGGTAGTCGTCAGCTCGGGGGCTGGCATGCTTGGGGGACCGGGGCAGCGTACCTGGTTTCTTCCACAGGGCCGTAGCCAATGTGGTTCGTCCCTGCGTTGTTAATCAGCACGTCGATGTATCCGTAGACACGCAGCACCTCTTCCGCGACGGCCTTGATCTTGTCGTCGGTGTCATAAAGATCGAGGAGAAGCATGTGCGCGCCTGCTTTTCTAAGTGCATCGGGAAACCTATCTGCCGACCTGACCGTGGCAATGACCTAGTGGTAATTCAGTAACGCTGTTGCAAAGCTTCCTGTGGAACTAACCCTGTCGCCGTGCTTTAGTGCATGCAATGCCATTGCCAGACCGAGCCCAGAATTGGTGCCGGTAATGACCCAGACTCGGCTTGGCATATCGTAAGAGCGAAAGTTGGTTTGGATAGCCGATGAGGTTGCAGGGAAGCTGAAGCTGAAGGTACACGGACAACGGAAGCGCATTTATAGTCCACAGGCCATCCATTGCGGCCTCGTGATGCAATACTCGTAGTCGTAGCCTACTGGTTGAGGATGTGGCGCTTCGAATTGATGTGGGGGAGTGTGACAAGCGCAGTTACAGTGATATCCAACTGGCCTCCGAGAGGTGTCAGTGTCACAGCTCGCACAATTTTCGCACAATGTTCCGGATATCGCTCACCGATTTCGTCTGCATTGCTGGCTTCTCTACAAATTTGCGCGTACCGAACGGACAAAATCCGCAGCAGGAACGTGGACAGCCAAGGTGGATACTATCAGCTCCCTCCGGCTTTTCCGCGAGGTTCGCATGTCCCGATAGGCATCATACGAGCGCTGCGGTTTGGTACACCTTCATGAATTATCAATAGAATATCGATGAAGCGCCGCAGATGTACTACCTTGCCTAGATCTCCCAGCCATGAAAGAGAAAACATTTCGAGCCCACTGCCGACATCTCCAAGCAGCGACAGCTTCCTGATCATTCATTCTATGACAGAGTGGACACGTTGTGTGTATGGCCTATGAAAGCCGATATGTTTGGCGTCTGTAATAATGGCAGATGCTTGTCATGCCCTCTTCAGGCCGGGATGGGTCCAAGATGAAAGCCACGGATGGATCCCACCAAGCTTAACGATGTAGTGCAATTTAGCATCAGGAACACAGTTTGCTTAGAGCACCGACCGTACCGAGATCGATGATTGGACTGGTGGGATTTCATAATCTGCCGATTTGAGCGGAAGCTCCTATATTTTCAAGTTTCCGGCGTTTGCGAACGTACCTGCGTCGGTCCTCCGCGGAGTCTTTGGAAGATTTTCTACGAACTGTTCATGCTGATGTGGTAGAAGTAACGTGGACCTTCTCTGATAAATGATTTAGAGAGCGTTTTCCGGTCACCCATGGTACGAGCATGTACGAGCACGGCGAGCAGTGACTCCACTGTCGGACATACGAGCTAAAGACAGTTTGCATGCAACAGAATTGATTGCACATATAATATAGAGCTGAGTGGCCAAAACCTGACAGAGAATCAGTGAGCGTACGCTCCGCAATCGAACCTCGAGAACCCACTTTGTTTTTTGAAAATCAGCACCCGAGCCGTTCACAGGAGATTTTTCCTTCTTGACTCGCATGCTCAGAAGTGACATAGCTCTTAGGACCTTTCGACATTCTCCTTGCGAACAATGAAGATTTCTAGGATTTGTAACGGAGTCAGTCATGACGGCTGAAGCTGGCAACGTTGCGAGGTTCCGGTCCGGTTGCTGTCCGGGGGCTTTGTGGCGCCGTGAAGAGCGGTGCTGGCCGAAAGCTCGCGTCATGGGCGCCATGAGACTTTCAAAGCGCCCAAGCCTACCGCCATCTCATGGCGCGGGCTCTCTCCCCAGAATCACACCTCGACTCACAACCACAACCCTGCCCATAAAATATGGGACTCTTCGGTCTCAAATACACTCGAATATCGGGCTTGTCGCTAGGAGGAACACGCAGGTCCGGCGGCCTCCACTCGGTCGTCCGACTCCAACACTCGGCGGCACCAAAGTCAAGTCCGCGTTCGCTATGGAGCTACAGAACAACGAGGGCCTTCGTGTACTCTTCCGCGTTTGTCGGCGGTGTCTGGCTACTAGACACTCAGTTCAATGCCTCCTCCATAACCAGAAACTTTCGCACTCTATGGACTGTATGTCGTGTTGCGTCGCGTCGCGCCCTCATCTACGACTAACACTCCTGCCTTGCAGTTCTCCTTAATTGCATTAGACTATAAACTAAATTTCACGGAAGAGAAGAGCGAACAGATACCAGAGCTACACCAGCGAGTTGCAGATAGAATGTATGACTTGTTGACGACTAACGGAGGACTATACATTAAAATAGGTGCGCCTTCGGTCTCAGATCCACTCTTTGTCGCTCACTCTGACAATTCATAGGACAGGCAATTGGCAATAACGCTGCACTACTTCCGGCACCAATGCAAGAGAAATTTTCAAAGCTCTTCGACGACGCGCCCCAGGTCCCGTTCTCCGAGGTCCGTGCGGTCATCAAGTCCCAATTCGGGAAAGAGCCCGCCGGACCAGATGGACTCTTCGAAGAATTTGACGAAAAGGCAGTCGCAAGTGCAAGCATCGCTCAGGTACACAAAGCGAAGCTCAAGGCACCCGACGGAAACGGCCCCGTGGTCGCCGTGAAGATCCAGAAGCCCGCGGTCGGCCAACAAGTGGAGTGGGACCTGGGCGCATACCGGATAGTCATGTGGCTCTACGAGCACTACCTCTTCGACATGCCCGTCTATTTCCTCGTCGGTGCGCGCCGCCCCTTTCGTGCCTGACGCCGATCCACTGACAATCCGCCCGAACCTTAGACTTCATTTCCGATCACCTGCGCCGCGAACTCGACTTTGAGCTCGAGGCTCGGAACGCGGTGGAGACCGCGCAGTACGTGGCGTCTGAGCCGACGCTCGCGGGCCGCGTGTACATCCCCAAGACCTTCCCCGAGTTATGCACGAAGAAGGTCCTCGTCGCCGAGTGGATCGAGGGCGTGCGCCTGAGCGACCGCGCCGGCATCTTCCGGCTCATGGGCGAGCGGGACCCGCGGGCGGTGTCGCATCCCGCGTCTGAGCCCGCGCTGGCGGCGGAGGTGCCGGCGCGCGCTCCGCTGAAGGGCGGCGTCGCGGCGATCCTGGACACGATGGTGCAGCTCTTCAGCGCGCAGATCTTCAGCTGGGGCTGGGTTCACTGCGACCCGCACCCCGGGAACGTCATCGTGCGCGAGCACCCGGCGCGGCGGGGGCACCCCCAGCTCGTCCTGCTCGACCACGGGCTGTACGTGCGCGTCTCCGAGACGTTCCGCAGGCAGTACGCGACGCTCTGGCGCGGCCTGGTCACCATGGACCGCGACACGATCCGGGGCGTCGCCGAGGCGTGGGGCATCGGCACGCCGGACCTCTTCGCGAGCGCGACGCTCATGCGGCCGGTGCGCTTCGGGGCGCAGAAGGACGCGGAGGCGTTCGAGGCGCTGAGCCAGTACGAGCGGAGCGTGCGCATCAAGGCGCGGCTCCGGCGCTTCCTGGCCGACACGGACAAGATGCCGAAGGCGCTCGTCTTCATCGGCAGGAACATGCGGTCAGTCTCCCCGTGCGCGCCCCCTTGGTGTGTGCTGACGCCGTGGGTCTTTACCTGTTGCAGGATCGTGCAGGGAAACAATCAGCTGTTTGGCTCACCCGTTAACCGGATCCGCCTCACGGGCGAGTGGGCGTCGAGATCACTGGTCACCGACCCCGCGCTCTCGCGCGCGCAGCGCCTGCGCGCGTACGTCGCTTACGCCGGCTTCGTCTTCGCCACAGTCGCCCTCGACCTCGCCTTCTACGCGTCGCGCGTCCGGCAGTGGGTCGGCTTGCGGCTCGGGTGGGCGAGCGCCGGGTTCGAGGACGAGCTCGAGCGGACGATGAGGGGCATCGCGAAGACCAATTTTGGCGTTGACATCTCCGCGACGGCGTTCGAGGGGTGATGGCACGTCGCCGTGCGAGCGACCTGGGGGGCGGTGGGTGGGTGGGCCCCGTCATAGTTCGCGTACAGCATGCTGTTAGTGCCATCATTTTTCCAACGAAAACGACGTCGGCTGGGGGGAGTTCATCCTTGTGGCTCTAGCGGCGTGTACGCGGTGGAGCCCGTCCGCCCTCGGTTTCGGTTTCGGTTGTGGTATTACTCGTGTTGCTGATGCGCGCGAATCGACTCGACGTCAAAGCGATGCCCTGGGGGCGGGGCGACTCAGCCGCACAATGCTCACGGCCTATATAGCGACTTGCGCGTACCGAGGTCCTTTGACCGCGGGTCTGGCCCGCACGGCAGGTTCCGTCACCAACCGCTGGTCGACGGGCAGGCCATGACGGAGCGCAAGGGGAGGGGTCTATTAATTGTTTGCTTCATTTCGCCGAGTACGACGGGGTCGGTAGCGGGTCTGAGAGGCCATCCGCAGCATGGTACGTACCGAGATACACATCTTAGATGCATGACGTCGTCGATACGCTCTAACAGCTTGTGAACGCTACCGATACCGTGAACGGTCGCTGCCGATGTGAGGCATACGTGAGATCGTTCCTCATGGACACTAGTGCAGACACAGGTGGAGGTGACGGTCCCAATACGGGCCTTTCTTGCTGGGCCTTGCTATGACCAAGAAGTGACATCATGAGCAGTGTTGAAGAGCTCTTGAACCGATGTGTGAACGTAAATCCGGAGGAATATCCTATCTTACTGCAGCGAACAACATCCGCACACTTTGAATTCTTCCGTAGACAGTTCGAGTGAGATTATTCCGAACTAACCAAGGGCCCTATTATAAATGCAACACGTAGAGAAAACGAAAAGACGAATGATCACATGTGAAACCAGTTCAAGGGGGCAATATCGTGAAAATGGATAGGGATACGTTAAAGCTTCATGAGACCCTTCATTGCGTTCGCGACAGCGAAGCTCGACTTCGCCATCACCTGTCGGGAGTCCTTCGTGACCTCAGGAAGCGCCTGCACCTCGCTGAGTTTCGTCGCATGGTCGCCGAGCTCGCGCAGGATCTCACCGCCCTGCTCGGCCGACGCCGCCGGCAGGTTGTCCTTGCAGACCGCGACGATGCTCGACACGATCGTGATGATCTGCGTCAGGTTCTCGTTCAGGTTCGGTGACGGCGTCGGGCTCCGCACCGCGGAGAGCACGCTCTGGATCGCGTACACGATGGACTCGGTCTGCGCCTCCAGGTACGGCTGTGGAAAACGGGATGCATGTCAGGGAGTCGTGTGAGCGGACTGCTGGCAGCGACGCGTACCTTCAGCTCCGTCCAGGCGTCCTCCGGTCCCTCCGCCAGCACCGAGTCATCGCCCGTCCCGTTGTTGCCCTTGAACGTGGATGAGCCGTTGCCTGCGCTTGATGGTTTCTCGAGTGAACTCCTACCGAGCGAGGACTTGGGTGAGACCGACGCAAACTCCGCCAGACGGTCCGAGCGCAAGCTCGAGCTGCTGCCGGCGCGGTTGTGGCCCGTCGAACGCATGGTGTTGAACGCGGTCGAGGACGGCGAGCTCGTTGGCGGCGGCGGCGACACCGGCGCGAACCGCTCTTGCTCCGTCTTGGTCGCCCGCCGGATGCTGATCGTCTTCCCGATCTCGGTGATCGTGAAGGAGACGTGGCTGGCCGCGGCGTCGAGTAGGCTGACGGGCGACATGCCCGCGCTCGTTGCGTGGGTCTTCGCGGCCGTGACCAGGTTGCTGAGCGTCGCCTCTGCGCGCTCGCGGAGGGCTTGCAGGGCCTCGAGGTCGACATCCGCGCGCTCGCGGGCTGGCCGGCGTTCAAACGCACGGACATCCTCGATGATTGCGGTTACGGCATTCACGACTGACTTCATGGGTGTCAACACCCGAGTCGGCTGAGGCGAACGCCCGACGGTCAGCAGGCCGTCGATAGAGGAGACAAATCCTGTGATATGAATATCGAGCAGACCTCCATCTGACGAAACCGGAAGCTGATCGTCTACCTTGGGAGGCTGCAGAAACAGCTGAGACGTGGCTGCATAGCATTACTTAGAGATGGGCGGATAGAAGCGGGCACGGAAGACGACCTACCTTTCATGCTCCTCAGCTCGGTCTTTGCCTGTTCGTACTTGCGCTTGTACTCCTTCAGTTGAGTATCCAAGTCTCGGATAACCACCAAATCAGCGTCTTTGGCGGTCATGAGCTCGTCATTGCGCTTGGAAAGGTCTGACAGCTCAGTCATGAGTCCCTCCATATCCGAGCGAAGATGATCGAGGATTTCAGGATCAACCTAGAAGACGAGTTTTGAATCTGGAATGGATGGCGCGTGAATAGGAACTAACCTCTCTGTCGCTGCCCGCTTCGAGACGTTCGCGTAGCATCTGCATTTCCTCCTCGTCTGCCCGTGCCCGCCGAGCAGCCATCTCTTTTTCCCTCGCATTTTCTTCGCGAATCTGGTCCAGCTCATGCTGCAAGATGCGCATAGAGTTTGTCTGTTCTTCCACTCTCTGCATTCCGGGTCAATGGAAGGCTTCTAGCGTAGCAAGCGTTGAACTCACCCGTCGGAGCTCTTCGAGCTCTGCCTCCATCAGTCGCACTCTGTCGTCACCATGCAGGGCTTCCTCGAGGTCCCGCTCGAGGCCAGTGATGCGCGTCTGCATCGTCGCGATCTTGAACTCGTACTCCCGCCTGATCCTCTCGTCCTCGCCAGCCACACTCGTTCTGCCGCCGGTTATGCGCCCGCTTGCGGAGCGGTCGGAGGTGACAGAGGCACGCCCATACGACAGCTTCTCGAAGTAGTCGTCGTTGCTTCGCGTACCCGCGAGGCCCTCGTCCTCGTCCTCGTCGACCTGCAGCCGCGCGCTCAACGCGTTGAGCCCGCCAAAAGTAGGCGCAGGACTTCGCATCTCGTCCGTTTCGCCCTCCGTGTCGGTGCGCTCTCTGCTGCGGTCGCGTTCGGTTCCTGTGCTCTCGCGGAGCTCGCGGCCATAGGGCACCTCGATCTCTTCCTCGGCGATGGTGCTCTTATTCGGGATGATCATGCCTGCGGTCGCGCTCTGCGCGTTCGTCGCCGACGTCGAGTCGCTGTGCACGCTGACGGACTGGCTTGGCCGCCGTCCAAGGCTTTCTCTTTCGAGTGACCGTCGGCCGGACGCGTCCTGCGAAGGTCGCCTGCGGCTTCCGTAGGGGTCCGCACCATAGCCGTCGTGACTTCCGCGTACACCTGAATAATCGTCACCGCTTTTCCTCATTGGTACTGGAGAGCTCGCGCCATATCCACTGTCGACAGCTCGGTCTTCCGATGTGCGACGACCCCCAGATGACGCCTTGTCATACAGCGTACTGTATTCGGAAGACTGATAGTCGTCGTAGGGCGATGGCATGAGAGGAGCAACTGGTGACTGTAATGTGACACGTGAGGGAAAGTGAGACAGAATAGCATGATGCTCACCACTTCTTCCTTGAACTCTGGATATCGTCGACCAAGCTCGTAATAGACATCACTAGACAAGTCTTTGAAACGACCTGTTGGCAACGTCGCAAGTTTCTGACGAGCTTGATTGCGCTTCGGGTGGAAGTCGTCCCGCACAGGCAGGAAAGGGACTGGTGACACGTTCATAGCTGCGGAATGACGAGGGGGATCGTGGCGCACCTTCGTTATCCGTCGTATTCGTCTTCCTTCGAATCAGCTCATCGTACACATCCGTAGACAGTTCCTGAAACTGCTGCCTCGTCAGCCTCGTCAGCTTCTGCCGTGCAGTCGAGCGCGAGTTTGCAGGTTCTTCGAGGGAGGGTTACGATTGTCGTTATCAGGCTCCGAAGGACCACTCACCTTTAGCGAGGTAAGAAGCCAGGTAACGATGGAGTTCCTCGAAATGGGTGCGTGCAACTGAGCGTGCGTCGGTGGCAGTGTTGGTCGTGGGACTTGCGCCAAGAGGCCGGTAGGAGTCTGTCTTGTAGTTGGAGATACCAGAGTAGGTGGTGTTGGTGGGAGACGGTGCACGCATGTTCCGTTGGGCGGACGAGCCGCTTCGTCGCATGTTCTGGCTGTTGTGGGTCGGGGGATCGAAGGAGTGTGAGGAGGAGAGGACCAGGAGGGATTCGGGATGGTCCTCCGGGATGTATATCGTGGTAGACGCAAAGTCTTTCCTCCTGGTTTCGAGCTGGATGGCGGTCGCTTTCCGCGTTTGTACCCTGGATCAGCGATGTATCATAGATCAGCGCGACGGCCTCGTTGCAACCACGACGTTTTAAAGCCAGCCCTGACTCGATATTGCAAGCTCTCGGGAGATGCTGCCTGCGTGCTTTTGCTCTCGTTTTCGTCGGCGGGACGGCCGAGGACTTGTGAAAGTATCAGGAATATCAAAACCAGATGCTACGTGTGTCTGGGGTCCCGTCGACTTTGATTGCAACAACGCCATGAAGATTTTCTCCACCTTTCTCCTCGACACTCACTACCACGACCCACCACGACCGTCACGACTTCAGAGGCTCGCAGCGCAAGCAGGCTTGAACGCTGTACCCAGTTGTCGAATTTTTAGCTCGTCGTCGACATGCGATTCCCTGTTCTTGGCCGTCTGAGGAGCCACGAATACCTCGCCATAATCTTTGGTTTCCTCTTTATCGTCTCCGAAACCTGCCTCACCTCTGTTATCTCTATCCTCCCCAAGTCCGTCATCCAGTGGTTTTATAACCGCTCCCGCTACATATTCCACCTCGTTGTTGGCCCGCCGAAGCGCAAGACAGAGGAGGAGCGTCTTGCGGATCGCATTCGCCGGGCACGCGATTTTGAGCACCTCTGCACCATCTTCGGCTACACCTTTGAGGAGCATGTCATCCAGACAAAGGATGGCTACCTGCTGGGCCTACATCGCCTGTGCCTGAGGCAAGGCGATCGGCGCGACAGGATGGGCATATCCACGGGGAAACCGGTCGTTTACCTCCATCACGGCCTCTTGATGAACTCTGAGGTCTGGGTGTGTCTGACCGAGTCTCGTCGATCCCTTCCTTTTGTCCTCGTCGAGTTGGGCTTCGACGTCTGGCTGGGCAATAATCGTGGCAACAAATATTCAAAGAAGTCGATCTATCATGACCCCAACTCCGCCAAATTCTGGAATTACAGCATCGACGATTTCGCGTGGCACGACATCCCGGACTCGATAGAATACATTCTTAACGTGACGAAGGAGGAGAGTTTGAGCTACATCGGGTTCAGCCAGGGCAGCGCACAAGCCTTCGCTGCCCTCAGTATTCATCCTCAGCTCAATGAGCGGGTCAATGTTTTCATTGCATTAGCACCCGCCATGAGTCCTGCAGGGTTGGCTGCGCCGATCGTTGATGCCCTCGTGAAAGCTTCGTGAGTACCGCAAACTCCGACATTAAGTCCATGACGTACTGATATGCTGGACTATTAGCCCAACCCTACTGTATCTCATCTTCGGCCGAAAGGCAATTCTCTCATCTGCCCACGGCTGGCAGTCCCTCCTTTACCCACCCCTCTTCTCCGCCGCTATCAACACCTCGCTGCGTTGGCTCTTCAACTGGCATTCTCGTAATATTTCCAGCACACAGAAGCACGCCGCGTATGCGCACCTGTACTCCTTCACCTCTGTCAAGTCCGTCGTCCACTGGTTCCAGATCATGCGGAATGGCAAGTTCCAAATGTACGACGACGACGTGCAGCACCCGCTAGTGCTCACGCGTGGCTTATCCGGCGTCAGCTCCTACGCACCGGCGCGCTTCCCTACCCGCAACATTGTCACCCCCATCGTTCTGCTATACGGTGACAGCGACTCACTTGTTGACATTAACGTCATGCTGCGCGAGCTGCCTTCCCACACCACCGCGATCGCCCTTCCCAGTTACGAACACGTCGATATTCTCTGGGGAGAGAATGTTGACGAGGATGTCATCCCGCACGTGATTCGTGCTTTGCGTAGTCACTGCATATATCCCGACAGGTTGGAGATGGACGTGAAGATGGTGAACGGACTCACCATTGTAGTGGAGCCGTCGGGTTACACGACGCCGGCGGAGTCGATAACTGATTGACGATCTAGTGGTACAACGGCGACCGCGTATGCGCCTTCTGCGCACTACGCCGGGCTCGATCGCTAACATGTCGACCTACATAATTGTAATACCACCCTCCTGTTCTTCTAGCATTCCAGGCCCTCTTGCGGCTTTTGATGTCGGTCGAGGCGAACGCGTACGACATGGCTCCAAGCTATGCGAAAGGGTGGTAGGAATATAATTTGTAGTCCTTGGTCCCGAAAATGCTAAAATACGACGCCCGCGGCCGATGCAGCCCTGGGCCGCACTTCATTCCGACGCCGACGGACCAGGGTGCTTGCGATATTCGGGATGGTATGGTGGTCGTAGCTCCTTTCAACGACCGAGGGCTTATTCACTCACCGTTTACAAGGACTTGCGCTTGGAAGATCACTGATACTTTCTTGGCTTTTCATAGGTTATTACCACGCCGTATGAGCTACTCCGTATGAGCTAAGGTGACGTATAGATCCAGGGGGACCGATTTGACAGGATTTGTCAACGCCGAACTGTCAAACCAAAACCAGAACCATTCTAAGGGTATGTCATTCCGAACTGCGGTACTCCCAGCAAGAGTGCTCAGAGGCGCTGCGGCTGTAACTATGCCAAACACTCACCCGTGTATGCTGAGTGCATATCATCACAGGTCAGAGTCGCACGCCACCGTATACGCATCATCATTCGCTATTCGAGATACGAGCGCATCAGGACCAGCACGAAGCTTACACTGCCTGCACTGCCTTCACAGTCCTTAGTTCTCTGAATGGTGAATATGAAGCCCTTCGCAGCTTTCACGAGCCATATCTGCCGTCACTCAGTGGCCGGGGACGGGTAATAGCACCGGTAGGGCAGCCCGCGATTTCCGGGCTGATGTCCGCCTACTCGGGTTATGGCCTCTCGGATTCAGGTCTTCGAACGCTCTAGGAAGCACCGGGTCACGGTCAGGAAAATTACCTTGACAGAAGCGGCGGAGTCGGCGGCTCACTTTCACTCGTCACTACAAGTCCGAGAGTCTGGGGCTCGACATGGTACTTGTGCACACCGGCACACCAAGAGTAAGCCCAGTATAAATACTCTACCAATCATCCCGACGGTCTGTGCCAGCGCATCGAGCAACTCCTCCAGAACCGTGGAAGAACCTCGACAATGTCGGATCCCCTCGTGTCACCCACCGGTGTCATTTTCTCTGACTTTCGCCTACCGGAGAACGAGAGGAGAGAGAAGACCGAGAAGAATGAGGTCACCACGACGGTGAACCCGGTCGACGGGTCCGGCAGCGCAGACGGCTCCCGCGCACCGTCTCTTAGCGCCGCAGAGAAGGGAGAACGCACCCTCGCAGACGACGACAGGACCCTCGCTCGATACTTGGTGCCCACACTCGAGAAAGGTCGCAAGAATGCGCTGCTCAAGAAGCCCAGCCTTTGGACAAAATTCCGAGTTTGGTACAACCCATACCGTATAGTAAAGAAACACGTCCTTTTCTTTGGCGTACACCCGCTGATTCATAATCATGTAGATGTTCTCGATCATCTTCACCCTGAACATAGTCGCCATCGGCATCTCTTGCACTCGTTACAACTTCTGGAGATATGCTGAAAGGAACGCGGCCGCATTGGCTCTTGGTAACCTTACGGCTGCGGTCGCCTGCCGAAACGAGTTCTTCCTCCGGTATGCCATCTTCTGGCCCACCGTCAAGGCGTTCCAGAAGGTAGATAGCCTCTCATCGCGCCTCGACATGTCACTAACATTTGCCTTGTAGTGGACACCACTTCGGTGGCGGATCTTCCTCACTGCGTTTATCCAGCATATCGGTGGTATCCACTCCGGATGTGCCGTCAGTGCCGTCGCCTGGCTATTCTTCCTGGTCATCCGAGAATTCCAGAAACGTTACGCAAAGCACACGCCTAGCGTCGTCCTCGCGTGGGGCATCATCACTCTGGTATTTGTCAACGTCACCATGTGGGCTGCCATGCCATGGATCCGTGCACACCACCACAAGTGAGTTCCCGCCCAGATCCAGATTAAGGGCGACGCATACTAAATTCATCTTCAGTTTCTTCGAGCAACACCACCGTTTCGCAGGCTGGATATCGACCGTAGTCGTGTGGATTTACGTCTGTGTCGACGACAGCTACAACCAACACACCGGCAAGTTCCACAGCAGCGGTAGCCACTTGGCCATGCGTCAAGAGTTCTGGTATGCGATGTTCATTACCATCCTGTAAGTCGTCACATGCCTCTGGTGGCGAATCTAAGACTGATATGTACATGCGCCTAGCATCGGTATCCCCTGGATGACTGTCCGCAAGGTTCCGGTCGAGATCACCACTCCCTCGCCCCGCGTCGCCATCATCAAGTTTAACAAGGGTGTCCAACAGGGCTTGCTCGGCCGTATCAGCCGCAGCTCCGTCATGGAGTACCACGGCTTCGGTATCATTTCTGAGGGTGTCGAGAGTCGCGCGCACTACATCATTGCCGGTGTGCAAGGTGACTGGACCCGAGGCCTTGTCGCTGACCCACCGGGTCGGTTGTGGACCCGTGAGATGAAGGCAAGTGGCTGCTACTGTGGACTTGGCAGACCAGCGCAGCTAACAGGGTCTCCCGCAACAGTTCGCCGGTCTGCCCTACCTCTGCCATCTGTACCGCCGCGGTATCGCCATCTGCACGGGCTCAGGTATCGGTGCTGTGCTCTCCACATGCGTGCAGCTCGACAACTGGTTCCTGATCTGGATCGGTTCCGACATGGAGAAGACGTTCGGACCCGTCCTGTTTGACATGATCCACCGCAGAATCCCCAAGGAGCGCTACATCCTCTTCGACACCAAGATTGCGGGCCGCCGTCCGGACACGATGAAGATGCTCAAGGACATCTACGTCGCCTTCAAGGCTGAGGGTGAGTCGCCTGTACCAATTACCAAGCACCGCTTTGACACTTGCACCGAACAGTCGTCATCATCACCTCCAACCCGCAGGGTAATGCGGAGCTCATGCAGGGCTGTAAGGAGAACGGCATGCACTCCTTCGGTCCTCTTTGGGATTCATAAACGGCTGTCCACCCCCCTTTTGCGGGTTTCAAACAGCTGCGAAAAGCAGCATCATAGCGTATTATACACCACTAACAATATTGGGCATTCACGATCTGGGTACCCACGCATTGCATGACTTTCCTTCCTTAGATCAGCTCACCAGAGAGCCGCCAAGATGTATATTAGATAGTTTTAGGTACTGGGCCCTAACATATATGTACGTAACACTCTAGCAGTTTTCGTTATGAAAAGTATTATTCTTTCGCATCAGAATCCATGTTAATAACCCGTCTAAACTTAAGCCAGCAAACAGACAACAAGATAGATCCAGAGTCACTCAATACATCCAGGTAGATCAATAGCAAGGGAAGGGTGGTCGTGATGCACACACACAGCTCTATGCCTCCTTCGGCGAACACGAGGCGGGCGTCAGCTCAGAGTTTCGCCTCCGGCGCGGGCGTGCCTGTAGCTGACGGTGATTTCGGTGGGCAGTGCGCTTCGACCCACGCGACGCACTCGTTCACGAGGCGGTCGGACATGCCGTCAGGTTCATGTACAAGCTCGTGGAAGCCTCCCTGTGAGCTGTGTCAGCGCGTGCTGGGGTGTGGCGGGGGCGGTGACTTGCCTCATATATTGAGATCTTCTTGTCTTCTGCGGAAACCTTCTCGTAAAACTCTCTAGAGGCTTCGCAGCTCGTGACCTAGCGGCGCTGCATGAGTTTCCAGGCATTCGAGGGCCGGCGAGGGACTCCGACGTACCTCGTCCGCGGTTCCGTGAATTATAAACAAAGGGAGATCTTTCGGCCATCGCGCGTAGTCGCCTGACAATAGCTTCTCTCCCTGATAACAACTTAGTCAACCTAGACTGTATGCCTTCGTGTGAACTAGACGTACGCCTGTGAGCATATCGTCCAGACCCTTCAGGCTGCCCGTTCTCCTGATCAAGGGGTCTTTCAGGTATTCATCCCTCACGGCTTGGTTCCGCGTGATGTTCTAGATCAAACTTAGCCGCTGTGTTACTACCAAATCTGTCCGGAGACACACCTCGACGCCAACGTCTGCTGGGATAAGCTGGTATGGCCGGATAAGTGCTAGCTTCGCTCCAGTCCACCGTATGATCTTCGGCTTCGGGTGCGTAAGGACGAGACACGGGCTGCTAGCGATGACGGCCTTGAACAGCCCCTTGCCCTCGGTGCTCGGTGGCGCCTTGTCGCGCGTGTAGTATGCGAGCACAGCAGCGCCGCCCTGCGAAAGATGGATTTCGGTTCCCGATTACTGCTGCCCGGACACGAGCGACGGTGATGATGCGTGCTTACCGCAGAGTGTCCCATCAGGTACAGCGGCGTGCCAGGGTATTGCTTGGCAACGTATTGCCCAAAGAACTCGATGTCTCGGAGCTGCCAGTCCCAGTTCGTCTTTCCGTACGCCGAGTCCTTGCTCTTGTGCTCGGTGTCCAGGGCCGTGCGCCCGTATCCCCGGAGATCAAACGCAAAGACGGTGATGTGCCGCGCGGGGTACCGTGCATGTGAGTGCTGGTAGCGGCCAATGTGCTCTGCAAAGCCGTGCACGAAGAGGACGATGGCTTTCGGGAATGTCGCGGCATACGTGCGTGTGTAGAACTGCGTGCCGTCGTAGCCGGGCAGCCACTGCTCGATGAAGTCGACTGCAGAGACCATTGTTCAGGCTTCGAGTCTGGGAGAGGGACAGAGTCCGAGAGGTAGGTGCTCAACGTCGCTCGATGTTCAGGGCGGAAGCAAGAGGCACATTAAAGGGGCAAGCCGTTTCTGATCGTGTAAAGCCGACACGGGATGGCTAGCCGAGCATCTCAGCCAAGGTACTCCCGCCAAGGGATCATGATCCTGGGATGCCTCACACGAGGCCCAGAGAAGGCAGACAGCCTGCGCTACAAACGAGCGGTTGGAAGGAAACCAGAACAGGATCCAGAAAGCATGCTCCAAATCATCAATAACATCACCGTAGCACTACGCACATTGCCATCTCCTGGGATAACCTGAGACAGGTGTTGGTACGCAAAAGGTGAGAAAGCATGTAATAGAACCCAGTAAATACATCCAAAATACGGCTAAAATCTTTTGCTGTCGTAGAATGGGTTGCCCAGCGCCGACCCACCCCGGCCAATCCCCGAGCCCAAGCCTTTGCCGGGCTGCCTGAGCGCGTAACGTCCGTAGCCGTACAGCAGTCCTGCGACAACGCAGCCGAAGAGCAAAAACTTGACGACCCTGGACAGGAACGACGATTCTGGGTCTGTGGGTTTGTTGTTCCTGAACTGGTCGCGTGGTGCATCGGGGCTCGAGAGGAGTGCAGAGTATGTAGTGATTGCGACAACATCGTGGTTGTCCGAGACGTCGCCTGTCATGGCGGAGATACCAATAAATGGTGATGCTGGCAAGGAGATTCCACGGACGGTAAAGCACTCCGTCCAGTCATCCCCTACGGAGTAGTCAATACTATATAACGGAAAAACAACAAAGCTTATACTTACAGGCCCTGTACTGAAGCTGAACGTTCAGGTACGTGTCCTTGATGTATGTGATCTTAAGCTTCGTCGCAACGTTCGTCTTGCGGAAGTTTGCGGAGCAGGCCCCAATCTTGTTGGCCTCGCCGTCGTTCGCCTGATCATACTTCGTTTTGCCATCACCAAGCATAGCGACAAGGCGAGGGAACGAGTACGTGTGTCGTGAATTTGCATAGGTATCTAGGAAAATTCCTAGTCCCTCGAAATGATCTACAGATGACGTGACCTTCCCTGCGACATCGAAGCTAGCGTGCTGCGCTTACCAATGCTACCAAAGACGGGCCCTGGTTGCGCACGCGCTGTTGTTAACCAGAAGGCCATGCCATCTCCATAGAGGTGTCCCGCCTCTCCCGAAATCTAGCGCGGAGTATTCAGTTATGTAAAACCATCCATGAGGCGAGCATATCACACCTTGAATTCGATTTCCAGGACCCAATTTGCAGCAGTCAGCGGTAGCCGAGACCACAGCCACCCCTACAAGATCGTGAATTGGGCGTGCAAGTTTGACACGAAGGGGATGGCACACCATTTGTGACGGTCGGTTTCTTGTAAGACGAATGTGCTTGTTCGTATTCTAGGACAGATATCAGGAGATGCAGGCCCATGGTTAGAAATGCATGATACTCACGATAATGGTATCCGCTCCAAAGTCCCACCATCTTCATAGCAGCAAGCGTGAGACCAAGACCAGTGTCATTTACAGAAGGTCACATACCGGTTTTGCAGATCCTGGTCAATGTATGGCGCGTACATCGAGTGTGTTCGCAGGGCAACAGTCTAGCGAACAAAGTTCTATTCAGCTTCGGGTTACACAATTAGTGGTGGGTATGTACTGGAGGCTCGAGAGGTATCAATGTCCCACTGATGCACCAACACCACCTCCCATCTAGCACACCCAACACACCCACGATAAAGACAAACGCACCCTTTCTATCGTCCTGTTCGCAATTTTGACCCCGTCGTCGAGCGCTGCAAGGGTGCCGAGCGGCAGGAGGCCCAACACAAGGCAGAGCAGTCCGCTGAGCAGCATAGTGGCGCAGGTAGCAGCGGTGTAAAGAGTGGCGGCGGTGAGAAGGCTTGGGTTGTACGCGAGTGTACACGAAGGGCAAAAGGGATTAGGTGGCGGGCGGCCGCGAGGGAAGGTGCTCGCAGCTGCTGCCCAAAGAGATCGTGACGGTACAAGTCAAGGATGGGTATCAAGGCGCCAAAGCGTCAGTCGCGCTTCGCTTCGCGCTGTGCGCAGACATATCCTCGGGCTCGTTTGTCAAGACGCATAGAGCAGTTTAAGAGTTACACGCTCAGGAATAGCTTATGATTGGCATTGTTCGACAGCGATGCTAGATAAATGCGCAATCGATTGCGAACCGCAGTATTACGTTGACTATATACAACTATTTTATGCTGGTAACTCAAACTTCTGCCCTTGTATCACCCTGCGACAGTTCGATCACAAAAAGAAGTTGAGTGAAAGAACGATGAGTAAACGATACACATGAAGGAACAGAGCAAACGCACGTTGTGAAGTACACGTAGAAGAAGTCCGCATACAGGGCAGTCTGCACGAGACCTGCGGTGACAGCAATGGGGTCAACAACGCCTTCAGAGAAGTACCTACGTAAAACATGTACCATGAGCGTGGATACACTGGAACGTAACGCTGCTACGCACCTGTAGATCCAGTTGGGAATGTAGAGAGCTCTATATGCGCCCAGCGCGGCCAGGTAATGTGTCGTGATCGTCTCAGCTTCGCCAGTCCGCTGGAGCATGAATAGTTGTGGGAGGATGGCAAGAGACTCGAGGAAGATGGACAAGGACCAGAGGACCTCTGTGAAGGTGAACTTGTAATTGAAGATGAGCGCGAGCAGGGCGCACGGGCCGACGAGAAACTCGACGCGGAAGGTGTCAATGGACGGGTCATGGGTCGGGCGGTATTTCATCTTCATGAGATAGAGAATGAAGCAGCTGCTCGCGATGAAGAAAACCTTCATCACAAAGTTGTAGAGCGAGACCCATTCCCAGAGGATATCGAGGTAGCGCGAGACGAAGACGGCGACGTATAGTGCTTGCGTCTTGAAAGAGATGCCTACAGATTCGCTAGTCAGATGCTGTGCAGGACCGGCGTCGTCAATCACGAACCTCTACATGACCGCGTCGTCCGAATCTTATGCAGGAGGATGAATATTGAGGCCAGGTGGGAAAGGTCCCCTGCAGCACCCGCGATTCAGCTTGTCGCAGGTAAGGCGTACGTGAAAAGGCGGCGTACCAAACAGACGAAAGAGGTTCATGGCGAGCGAGAGCGGTCCGCGTTCGCTGGGTCGGTGAGTAGGTGGATACAGACAACCGACTCGTTTTACCACTCAACTTCACGTCACCAACGTGTAACCCCGTGGGAACCACGTATATGCGTGGGAATTAGGGTTTACACCTATTTTTGCGAGCGCGTGCCCGAGCGCTCGACTCCGTCACTGTCTCTGCCACCACCAGCTGCCCGCCACTGCCACTGGACCCTACAGCGCGCCGTCGTCATTGTCGGCACACGTAGGCGCGAAGAACGGAACAGGGGACAGGTGAGCCGTTACTCCAGAGCTTTGATCGCTTGCGAGACATGCACTGCGCAACGGCGGCGGGCGAAGACAGGCCACCCGGGGCTTCTCTCTCCAGCCCCCGGACGCAGCCGCATGCTCGTACAGCTATGATGTCCTAGTAAAAGGGTCGATCCCAAGCAGTGCGAGACGCCGCACCCTCGAGCCGCTCGGAGCCGCCAGAGTTCGTAACCCGACGCGCTATGCTCGAGACCACCGTGGCGCGCCTTAAGGCCGGACTAAAAGCCTCCGTTCTTCACGACGCGGCTCCTTCATGGCTTGCGGACTCGCAGAGCAACAGTCAGTAAGCAAAGGCGGAGCCTACAGCCTGCATTTATGTGCCCGTGACCGCCTGCTCGTCCGGGCGGCCACAGCAGATCCGCAGGGACGTCCCTGCCAAGCCGGTGCAGGAGAGACTCCTCTGTCGCTGGCGGTCGCAGACGTGGTTTTTATTTTCGAGGACGTGACAAGACCTGCTTGTAGCAGGGCATACGCTCAAAGCATGTGGCGCTAGAGAACAACGCGCAGATGTGTGGTTTCGTATGCACAGAGGCAGGCACTGAGCGCGTGTTAGGGCTGCAAAGTGCGTTTAAGCACGCTTGGGGACATGAGATCATTTTCGGGCCTCGGCCCCCCTGAACATTTTCTCGCTTTGATTTAGTCAATGGACTCGATACTGATGGCTTTGCTTCCCCGTAGACCCGATGATTGGGCTGAAGGTGCTCGCCAGCTGGTTAGGCTGGCGATATGTCCCAGACATGCTTGCCAGCCAGCTTTTAAATATCTTCCATCGTTTCTACGCGTTCGCTCTTCATCGCCAGCCACCACCACCGAATACTCCGCTCTACATCAAGCATCGAAGATACTGCTATACTCTCGTGGTCTTCGGCTACGCTCTCTATACCTTTTCGCAAGCCGGATCTGCGATAGGGCAGAACTTATACGAGATCCTTGGTGTACCCCCCACAGCAGACGAAGCTGCAATGAAGTTCAACTTCCGGGCCTTTGCGAAGATCTGGCACCCGGACAAGGCTGGACCACATGCTGAGACGTACTTCATGGAAGTCCGGACTGCATATGAGGCGCTCAAAAATCCAACAACTCGGTTCGCTTACGATAGGTGGGATGTCGCAAGTCTTCGTGGAGTTCGGCCCCGTTTTAAAAATGTTCTCTCGTTCTTTTAGATTTGGTCCGCAAGCCTTGAAATGGGATAAAGTTACGACAATGCAAGACTACTTCATGCGCGGTATGGGTCACTCTGTGCTGTACTACGCAGTCGGTATCGCCGCCCTAATGTTTTGGAACAAGATTGCGCCTCGGGATCTAGCCTTCGTGAGTGTCACTTCTGCATTAAAATGTACTGCATCGTAAACGATTATCTCCAGTGGAATTACTTGATTCTTTTCTGGACTTTTGCTGTCGAGCTGCTCTTAATTATGGCGCCTTCGACGTCTGACTCTTCGCACACCGCCCTTCCGTCTTCGCTCTACACGCCACCTGATGCCCCTTCTCGGACGGGTCTCTTGGGACTGCTCTGGCCGAATCGTGTCGCCTACCAGCACATCAATTTTCTGAAGTCGCTCTCGATACTGTTGTCTTCCGCCTTGTACCAAGTCATCCCAATACTCTTCCCGTCTGCTACTGAGAAGCTTGACCCGAAGCAAGTCGCCCAGTTCATGTCTCTTGCGAACAACGCCTTGCGGAACATTGATCAAGAGGGTGAGTAGCACACGCATCATGCTGTGCTCGTGTTGACCGACAGGTGATTTAGCTCTGACTACGATACACACCGACTTGCACGCTTGCCATGGAGAGCCTACAAAGACTGCGCCTTCGCAAGTCGACTTCCCAAATATCCTACCCTGCGACCCAGCAGAGCCGGTGATGGATTTGGTCCGCCAGGAAATGGAAGCTGTGGTCCTCGAGAGCATCCTTCTCGGACAACAGGGAGAAGCCCGAAAAGCTGTCGAGGCGGCTGTGTTGAGACGCCGGAGGGTTGAGGACGGCAGAGGGTCGACGTCCGAGTCTTTGCCGCGGCATCAGAACATCTCCCGACGCGCGCCGCCGCGCCCTCTCAAGGTGCAAGGAAGTGTGTCCGACATTGGGGACGAATCCAAGTATGTTCGAGGTCGGTCATTATCGCTGTAACATCCTGTATTGTTGTACATATTTGTAGCATATTATTTTGTAACAGGTAATGTTTGCGGCGGAATTAAGTGCTAGTTATATGGAAAGGACTTTGTGGCGTGAGAGCTCGGTTAATGGGCGATCAGTCTATTTCTGAATTGCCTTATCCGGGTGCCCCTTGCGACGCCCTCGGCTTTAATCTTCATTTTTTCACCTTTACCATCCAACCGCTTCCTGTCATTCCTTACCACCAAAGTCGCTCTTTGCCTTTCACGACGCTCCTTTCAGTCTGTCCTTTCGAGTCTCGTAGCACACCGCTTAGTCTACTCGACCTAGTGACGTTGCCACCGGCTAGACTGCAATCTCTCTTTTGCTTAATGAACTCGCAGCTGTTCTAGTAATCCCTGATAATCAGCCTACTGCACGTCCGACCTTTGCCCCACATGCTCTCACGAAGTTTTTCTCGCGTCCTGTCCAACACGCTTTCGATATGTCTGTTCGGCCTCGCTACCGCTACGCACGCGTCGCCTGTGCTTTCAAAACGCGAACCTGTGATCACATATGACGGCTCGGGAAACATTGTCAACGTCACCGATCCGACAACAATGCAGCAGATCGCGCAAGGGTCTGCGACGGACGGCGCCGGCGTCGACTTCAGTGTCCCCGCCATCGTCTGGCTCGTGTGGGCATTCGCTGTCGGTATCCCGCTCATGCTCGCAGGCTTCAGGCTCGGTAGACTGACAACAGGGGCGGCGACTGGGTGTGCTGCAACGCTCGCTAGTGCGTGTTTGTGTTCCTCGCGTCGTGAACGTCCATACTGACCGCACAACGCCGTGCCGCCCAGTTTGGGCGTCGTTCGTCAACGCGGTCGGTGCAGACGGCATCTTGGACCTCTGGCTCATGGTCCTTCCCGTGGCCGCCTTTGGCTGCGGCTTTGTCCTCGGACTCTTCGAATTCGGGCGCATTGCAGGCATCGCGGTGCTCGGCGCGCTCGGCGGCCTGTCCCTCGGCGTGCGCATCGTCCTTTTCCGCCCGGGACTCCTCTTCCCTCACCCGTATTGGGCCAACTGGGTCGTCACGATGGTGCTCGGCGCCATCTTCCTCATTCTTGTCATTGCGAAGCAGAAGGCCGGCATCGTAAGCGTCGCTCTCGCCGCTAGCGTTGATGTGCTTGTGATACGTGGCTCACCCCCGGCTTTCTAGACGCTGTCTGCAGCCGCGCTCGGCACGTTCCTCACGGCCCTTGGCGTCGATCTCGTCGTGAACAAGCAGTCCGGCATGAGCATGGGGCTCAGGTACTTCTTTGACCGGAACGCGGCGCATATATATTGGCTGCAGACGCGCGGATGGCATCCGCCGATCGCTACAGAGGTCATCATGGCTATTTCCCTTGCTGCAATGTACGTCATCTCTCTGCATTTATCTTCGCAAAAACTTAATGAGGGATTTCGCCATGCAGACCTCTCCTCGCATACGCCCAGCACCGTATCTTCAAGCAGCCCTTCAAGCGCGTGCGGAGCCGTAGCATCTCTTCGCGGCTGTCTGCTGACGAAGAAGACGACATCACGATCACAAACCGGCCGTCCGAGGCCGCTGAGAAGGAAGCGCTCGCACCGAATGTTGAACCTTCTGATGACACGCCTGTCGCAACGCCTGCAGCGACAACAGAAGACCTTCTCTCCCCCAAAGAGGACACACCCTTCAAGCTTAAGATGGGCAAAGCGTCACCATCACTATCGACAAGTGGATAATAGACCTTGCATCTTTGTATTCGCTGCTCTTATCTTGTCCTTCCATCTGCGCTCGGACATTTTTCTTATAGATGCTACGGATCCCGGACTTCATGCACATCGCACCAGTCACTTCTGCATTCCAATACAGACTATCGGGTAATCATTAGAACTTTCGTTTCTCTTGCACTGCATCTGGCATCTTCGGGGGTACATACGCACATCGCATTACTAGCATTACTATTCTTTCACTTTGCTTTATCTTCTCTTTTGGTATATCCACTGTGCTCTACCGTAGACTGGCTCTGGCTCGTAGTTAACAGTCCACGCATATGCTGCGCCTTAATCTTCTCTCCAGCACGCAACCACCCTTCCACGGTTCGCCGTCCGGTCCCAGGTGTCCTCTTTGGGCGGGCCTGTCTCCGGCGTACGATACCGTGTATTGCTACAACGCTCCACCTGTCTGCTGGCAACAGCACCTACCGCACCCCTCTGTATGTCCTCTAGTAATGCGGACGTATGTCTACCATAGCACCGGTACACACATGAGGAATATTTAGGACATACGCATGGAGCGCGAGATTGGCCCCGGCACAAGTCCATCCTCCGAGCCGGCCTGAGTGGAACGAGGCGTCGCAGTCGCGCGACGTATCGTCTCTCGTTTTGTGTGCCACGCGCGTAGACTCAAATGTCAGTCTACTCGGCGGCTGGTAGGGCTCGGGAGGGGGGGGGGGGGGGTTCCGAGGGTAAATGGTGGTCAGTATGCCGAAATCATAGCTAGTACGAACTTCAAATGTCGTCGCACAAGTGCCGTGGTACAGGCTCTGCATTTTTCAACTGCTATCGGTGACGGAAAGGTACGTAGTAAGCATTTGAAGAACTTCCAAACTTAGAGGTCTCCGTCACGACGACGTGGTCGTCGTCACCGCTATAGCTGTACAGTCATAACCGCTGCCTTACAGGTCGAAAAATACAGTATGTACTTTAGAACAGCGCGAGATGGACTACGCTAAACAGGCTTAGAATCTCATCTGACTTAAAGAATGCTCGCATACTTGGAAGATACTCTCATGAAGACGAAGCACATCTGTGTAAAACTGAGCATGCGCCAGAGGCGAAAACGCCATGTGCTTTTTCACGGCCTGCATAAAGACTTTATTCAGCACGGTACAAGATAGAGCCACACTTCTCCGTCCGCACCGTTATCTCCTCTGCTGCCCTCTTTCTTTTTGCCTCCAAATCTCCTTTGGTGAAAAATAGTGTTGGTCGTAAAAACCTCCCGTCTGGCAGATGAGGTTCGTGTCGAATAACGACGGCTGGATTATTGTCCACGGCTCTCAAGGCCCGATCACGGAGAGCACGCAGGTCCTTGTCGGAGCAATCCCGCCCACAAAGGATCTGAAATTGTTGCAACTTTGGAAATGCAGATAGCAGAGAAGAGACCATGGACCAATCGCGAGAGCAGAGATAGTCGAAGGTCAAAGAGGGACGATCATCACTGTCGCTCGCGGTTACGAGGTCTATTTGGCGAAGGGACCAAGCCTCGTCGCCGCCACCGGAAGGTATAAACCTGACGACTTGCACTATAACTTGCACACCTGGCAGACGTTCGCCAACAGAGGAATCTGGTAGATAAGCGAGGAACGTGTAGGCATCTTGGGAGTATCTTATGAGCACGATGGTCCAGTAAGAGAGAGAGGCAAATAAAGCATACCCGGCGTTGCTTCTATAACCTTGAACTGTGACAAGCCAAGCATGTCGTCACCTAAGAACGTCTGGATAAACTCGATGAGGGCCCATGTTTCCGCAGGAACTGCCTGCCCAATAGTTCGACGTCGGGTGAACAAGTGTCGTGTACTCGCAGCCGCCAGGAGCCAAGCGGGTACCGCCATGTTGTTCGTGCAGTTCCGAAGCTCGACTGAGCGAACACAGCTGAAGGAGCCACTGCAGACGTTGTTCGCGGTATCAATTGTTGTGAGTGGTGCGCCTGACCATGTGACCCGGTCAAAATTGACGGCCTCGAGGTGGGTGATATCGCCCAGTACGCGGAGCAGGATTTGGAATGATGGAAAGTCACAACAAAAAAGGGACAGAGCAGTGATGTTCCGTAATGAGCTCTTCAGATCCGCGCTACGTGATAAACGTCCAGGGAGGGTGTCACGACGATCATGCCCCCACCCGGAGCACTGGTAGATGGTGCGGCACGCGGGCAAGAGGCGAAGGAGTGCCATCCAGAGTGGACAGCCAGAGAACCAAGTGCTTTCAAAGTACAGCGTAGTGATGCAGTCCGCAAGCCATGATGACAGCGGGGATCGCACTATGCCGTAAAGCATACGGCAGTCCTCCTCATTCTTCAGTGTCAGGACGTCGAAGAGATGAGGACGCAACTGTCGGCACCAGGCTTGCGAGACTAGAGAGAGCTTTGAGAACTCAGCTCTGTCACCGTAGCCTGTCACGAAGATCTGAATGTCGCGTTGCAATTCAAGAGGAAGCTTCCTCCAGTAATGGGTGAATGCATGAGACGAACGAGGTTCGCGACCTGGAGGACTCAAAAGTGTGAGTAGAGCGGCCAGGTTATCTTTCGCAAGTGCGACCCATGTACACCACGCACCATCTGCTGCATGTAATTGAACTCGAGGTCGTCCAGTTGCCCGCCGTGTCATGTAGCCTGAGGTTGGCGATGCGCTATCGAAGTGACGTTCTCTCAGCAGGCGTGCATGCGCCCTCCACGTGGCTTCACAGCCCCGGATCGTGAGTAATAGGTTGCTCCTAACGCGATCAGCCTAAGGCCGCAAAGCCCCACCGAGTGTGGAACGCTAACACGGTGCCTGCGACGGCGTGTACAGCTGGCAGCTCGAGAATCCGCCTTAAAGCTGTTGTATCGGAACCCGTGTCGTCGCACAAAAATTGTGGTTCAGGCTCCCCATTTCTTCACTGCTGTCGAAGACGGAGACGTGCGGCAAGTGTTTGTTTATATGAGTTCGTACGCACGTTCCAGCCCGAGAACAGCGAAAAATAAGCTAAATCAACAAGTCTAAAGTCTCATCTGGCGCAAAGCATGCTCGCACACTTCGACGGTATGCTCATGACGACGAAGCTCATCTACGACAAATTGCTCACATCCCTCATCCTTCGTTCGTTTTTTAGGTCCTGCATAAAGACATCGCTCAGCGTGATGCAAAGTGGCCACGCTGCACAGTTCGCACCGTTATCTTTCGTGCTGCATCCTTGCGTGTGGCCTCCAATTCTCTTTCGGTGAAGAATAGAATCGGCTGTAGGAACCTTCCATCTGGCAGGTTGCGGTTATGTTGAATGGTGATGGCTCGATGGTTATTCACAGCACCCAAGAGCTGATCGCGGAGAGTATTGAAGTCCCCTTCTGAGTAGCCTTGCCCGCAAAGGACATGGAATCTTTGCAATTGCGGAAATGCAGATGGACGGGAAGTGATCATAGACCAATCGCGAGAGCGGACGTAGTTTCCGGTCCACGAATGGTCAGCAGCGTGGCTCACGAAGGCATTCGCGAGGGCGACTTCGCGAACAGACCAAGCCTCATCGCTGCCGTTGGAAGATACGGACCTTGCGACTTGAACTGCGACAACAGAATTCTCTAGATATCCAGAGAACGTGTAAGGATCTTGGGAGTATTCCATGAGTCCGATAATCTGTGAGGATGACGAATAAATCTCACTCTGAGTTGCTCCCATGACCTAGAACTGTGAATGGCCGATATCGTCATCACCCATAAACGTTTCAATGAACTTGATGGTGGTCCATGTTTCTGCAGGGACTGCCGGCCCTGCAGTCCGACGTCGGGTAAAGGAGTGTCGTGTGCTCGCAGCCGCCAGGAGCCAGGTGGGTACTGCGGTGTTGTTCGTGCAGTCCCGCATCTCGACTGAACGGACATAGCTGAACTTCAGCCATGTCCGCTCAGTCGAGATCAAGGAGCCACTGCAGACGTTGTTCGTGGTACTAATTGCCATGAGGGGGGCACCCGGCCAACTGACCTGATGGAGATTGACGACCTCGAGGTAGGTGATATCCCCCAGTACGCGAAGCAGAGCCGAGAACGACGGGAGTTTACAGTGGTACAGGGCCAGGGAAGTGATGTTCCGTATCGAGGTCTTCGTATATGCACTGCGTGATAAACATCTGAAAGCAATGTCGCGAGGATCGTACACCAGCTGGTGGATGGTATGGCACGCTGGCAAGAGGCGAGCGAGTATCATCCAGAATGGATGGCCAGGGAACCAAGAGTTATCGAAGTACAACGTACCAACGTGATACGCAAGCCAACCTGACAATGGAGATCGCACTATATCGTAGAGAATACGGCAGTCCTCTTCGCCATTTATCCTGAGGGTACCGAAGAGACGAGGGCGGCACTGTTGAGACCAGGCTTGCGAGACCAGAGAGAACTTTGAGACTATAGTTTTGTCATCAAAGTCCGCCGCGAGGTCCCGGATGTCGCGGTATAGCTCGAGGGGAAGCTTGCCGAAGGGGGTGAATGATTTGTTACCTGGAGGACGGGGTGAGCAGAGTTGCAAGGCCGCGGTCTTTTAAAACAGCGACTCACACCACGCACGATACTCCTTTGTTAGTGGCATGTAATTAAAACGGAATCCGCCCAATTACCCACCGCGATGGGGGTTGACGACGAGCTGTCGAGGCGACGTTCCTTCCGCATCAGCTACGCAGCATTGTCCAAGGCACCAGAGAAATTTGGAACTTTTTTGTTGCAAAAATATGCAAAAACAGCTTGTAAAAATAAGTAAGAAAATTCAACTCGGCAACCCGGCAGCCGAGCCGACTGTCCGCCAGGCCGTTTGTCAAAGCGCCCGGGGGACGGTGGCACCCGGCGGATAATCGACTCGACTGCCGGGTTGCCGAGTTGCCGGACTGCCGGATACTGAGCAAAAAAATACGGCCTTTTCTTACTTATTTTTTCAAGCTTTTTTTGCATATTTTCTGCGACAAAAAAGTTCCAAATTTCTCTCGTGAGGAGGCATCTTAACTTGGAACCTGGAAGGCACACCGCCCTCCACGCGCTAAAACTTTAAACTTCAAAGCTTCAAAGCTTCATGCATTCATGGCCGGTTGCAGTGAACGTGCACTTGTCACAATTTCAAATCGTAGACGCGGAGCCTGGCATACCTAGCCAGGGGAGCGCCGAAAATTCAAACGGCAAGCAAGGTGTAGTAGCAGTACCGGTAATGGTGACATATCAGACATATCCTGCGGCCAAGGAACGAACGTCAGAACGCCGCGACGCCCTTCATCAGTTTTTCAACCGTCGGGGATGCACAAGAGGTTGCCAGGCGGCACTTCGACGTTGATCGGCCGTGGAAGATGGTGTGCATCAGACCGACGTCGGAGGCTGGCGTTCTGCGTCCCAGAGTGCAACACCGCATCGCGCACGGCCTTAGGCAAAATGAGACCAGTGCTGTCTACTCCCGTGCGACCGTATACACAGTCCAATGGCGACAGCGGCAAGCGCAGTGCGCCTTTGTAACTCGAGTTACAACTAACGCCTTGGAGCATTCGCATATTTTCCACGCTTGCGTTTTACACTTTATGCCTAGGAATACCAATACGAGAAAAGATAGGTACAGAAACGAGGAGAGAAACAGAGACTGAGAACCAATACTGTCGTGCCTGACAAATATAAAGAAAAAAGGTCGGCAGACAGGACGAGATCCATGTGGGAATGTAGGATCATATAATGTATGGTATCTAATGAAGGGCTTGTTTGAACGTGGGTAGTTAAATGTTGCAGGAAAGCAAACGGAAGACTTTGATGCAAGACGGAGGGGGACTCGGGCGCGTGTGATGGGACTAGAGACACATAAACACGATCCAAGGGGAACGCAGGAGCCACAAGAGCGAGAGGATAGATCACAAGACGAGATTGGATCGAGATATAATGAGCAAGGAGCGAATGCAGGGTCGGTGTGATATGCCGAGTCGATGTGTTTAACGTGCTCGAGCGGAATATAATACCCGCTCTGTCCGTCTGGGCGCCCAGCCCGTATGCCTCGCGAACGCTGAAAGGAAGAAGGGCAAGGGACATGTTAAAATACAGAATCTTGTACAAGCCGACGTGTCCTAGAAGCCTTCAGGACTAGTCTGCCTCAGTGGAAGATTCAGGAAGTCTGCGGCTGCGAGAGGAGCTACGTTAATGGTCGATCGCAGAACAGGGAGCGGGAAGCACGCACTTCTTTCCCACACACTGTTACCCCACCAGTTCACCTGAATCGAGCCACCTCTCGGGAATTGTAGGGTGAAGAAGATAAATAGCAGGGATACAAAGGTGCCTGCAGCACGACCCATCAGCAATTTCTCTCATCATTCAAAGTGTCGTACACATACCGATATCCAAAGCCGCACTCGTGACATAGTTGAACTTGCTCCACCACGCAAAGTTGCGTCGCCTGATCCAGTACTGGAAGATGAATCCGACCGTGATCCAGGACGAGTAGTTAATACCCGTCGCAGGCGGAACGTACGTGACCGCATTGAGCGCGATCGGCGTGCTGATATACGTGTTCCAGCTATTAGGGTATTTGCGCTGCCAATACCAGAATGGTATGGGAAGGAACACGCCGACGATGACGGCGTACACCTGCGGATAGTAAATGGAGCTCTTGCCGAATTGGCGACTTGGGCCGAGGAGACCCCTGCACGACACCAGATCAGTCCGAGCCTTCAATCGAGGAAAGTTCACAATACACACCAGATCGCCGAGGCAGTGTAGTACACTTGGTTATGCGGGCATGTAAGTCGACTGCGCTGGTCTGGCTGGCATATATCGGGAATGCTGGAGAACATCCACTGTTTCACACCCACTTGGATGAACGCCGCAAATAGCGTCGCAGTGGATTGCACTGGTATGCCAGCATTATGTTAATCAACTACTTCTGTCGCAGTACTCTGATACACGACGTACCGATGAATGTTGCGCGTGGCGGAACCTTGATGTAGTGACCCAGTTTCAAATCTTGAACAAACGACAGCGCCTCAGCGAGCGTCTGGATGGTGTAACCCTTGAAAATCTGTCGCATTGTCAGAATCCAGTTTGATGAAGATGTGAGACAATCACTCGCTCACCATGTTCGCGATGGGCTTGCCAGGCAGGAGGCCACCAGGAATAATTTGCGCAAGGAGGTTCAATGCCACCTAGAACAATGTTTGGTCAGCATGAATGTCATTGCAGAACAACCCGAATACTTACAGATTGCCCTGACGTCGCGAAGATGAAACCCGCTGGAAGTGTGTACAACACCGGGAGTGCGAGGGAGAGGAGAAGCGCCCAGACTGGCAACCCCGTCTGCCACACCTAAAACACTTCGGGTCAAACGATGTCGGATGTATCGAACGAAAATGCCACAGACCTCCTGCGCAACAATCATGAGAGCCAGGAAGACCGCAAATACCCCAAGGTACCACCAATCGGGCACCTCCGGGTAGGAGCGCATGAGCTTCGCATGGATATCATCCTTCTCAATCTTGATACGCTTGAAGCCGTTCATGAGGTTCTTGCCGTAGTAGAGGATCGTGTGTACAATAACACAGGACGAGAGGATGAAGGCAATCAGATAGGTGACGGCATACCCGCCGGGTAGATACAGCGGCGAGTAGTCGTTGAATCCTTGAACGTTGAGTGTCTGATCTGAGTTTAGCACGCGTGAGACGTTGTATGGCTGCGCATAGCGATCGTATGGCGTGTTAGCTAACATCGGAAGGTGCGCAAGGTGCCATGTCTAGAGGCGAGGAGATCGTCAGGACTTCGCACCGCAATAAGTTCATATGAATGAACTAACGTTTGTGTAGTAGAGCGTGGGCAGGATGATCCAATAGAAGAACACGAAGCCAGCGAAGGTCTGGATCGATGCCCACCACGGCACCATCAGCGGGTTACCGGCCCATGTAATTTGAGTCCAGTCAAAGGTCACAATACCCATACCCAGACCATTCGCAACGCCGAAAAGCTGGTTTACTGGGATGTTGTTAGGACGGATCCAGCATATCCATGAAAATATCGACAGCGCAGTGAAGAGATACCCTGAGGATAAGGCATAAGATAACTAGGCCCAGCGAGCGGAGACATAACGTACCTGGCAAGAAAAAGAAAAAGAACGCGCCCAATACCACGTACATAAAGTAGCGGTACCGCGAGATGCCTCCTCGGCCCTCGTCCTCTTCGGCGTGTAGGGTGTTCAGAACCGTGCAAGTCACGAGGTTCTGAGGCCAGATCATACTGGCAGGCCAAACAAGCACCCTCCTGCAGAGCCCTGCTACACCGAACCCGGTCATCTGGGTAGCCATGACTAAGAGCACGCTGAATCCGTACGACAGCCTTCTCCCGTAGTCGATCTCTGCGACAACAACGGCGTTAATTGCATATGGTGCACCAGACGCGACGTTCGCCATCATGAAAACACAAGCGTGCTCCTTAATGTTCCACGGTCCAGGATTCAGAGAAAACTCGAGGCCGCCGAGCCAGCGGGGAAAGCGATAGGTTGTGATGGGAAGGAAGAAGGCAAAAAGTTTCCCTAGGGGATGTGCGCAAAGCAGTATGACATTCGTGGATATTGCTGGTGCAGGTTGTCGGAAGTTGAAGAAGACGTTCGCTGATCTGTACAAGCAGCAGAGCGCCAACAAAAATAGTCACGCACAAATATTTAAACCTGAGACATCTTACAGACGGAACAAGCCACTCACCCTGTAACCAATATCAACAGCATCCCAATGAACCACATCCGCATTGTCAAGCACGGCATCTCCGGATCATCTATATTCGAGACCGAGGCGCGGACTTCTGGATATGGGCTGTCTTCCTCTTCTATACCGTCAAAGTCGAACTCCATCCTGTTATGGGGATTAATTTTCGAATAAAGGATGTCACAGTGGGTCTCTCACTTGATGGATTCCGCTCCCGAGTCTAAGCTTGGAAAACTTGTCACTGAGGATGGTGGTCGACTTTTCTGCGGGTCATCCGGCTGCTCTTCCTCAATGCGATCTTTTGTTCGGGGAAGAGAGATGTGTACCTCTCTAGAACTGACAGCGGAGCTCACCGCGGAGCGTCTTCCTGCATGTGCTGTCCCCGTATGTGTAGTTGATGTCGATGTTGAATTAGTCTGTGCTACGCGTCGCATGCGATAAGGATCGTCGCCCGTCTGAGAGTCTGTCGAGGGCGGAGTCTCCACCTGAGGGCTCATGGGGTATGGGTGGCGTGTGTGTAATGAGGAAGGACCAGTCATAACGAAGTTAGGATAGGTTGCATGAGGATCAAAGGCGGGTGGCGGGAAGGACACGGGTGGGTGGACAAGCGAAGGGGGGACGGTAGTGGAGACGGCGTGTGGCTCCGCTTCTGCAGTGCCCGGTGGCCCAAAAGCAAAGACATCCTCTGCCTCTGATTCCTCGTCCTCGTCTTCGACGGAATAATCCTGCGAGTAAGCCGTATACTGCTGGTCGCGGTCGAAGTAGTCCGGATGGTCAGCTCGGGACGTGGTAGGACGTGCCGAGGCGGGATGCCCTGAGGACGTGTAAGGTCTCGACGAAGATGACGGCCGCGTCATGGTCGGCGAAGACGACGCTCGCGCTGTGGCGAGGAGGGGGGAACGACGGCGAGCAGAGTGAAGGAAGTCGGTGAGAAGAGAGGGCAGAGTCTCAGGCACCCATCACCCAAAGGCACAACTTCCCTTTCTGGCGACTGCTCAACGGCGAAGCGCCCAATCTATCGCTCTGGGCACTTTCGGGCGACACACATGCGCAGCGGCCAGACCACGAAATTTGTCGGGAAGTCTATGTACGAACCTGAACGCGTTCCCATAATATTCTTGCCATTTACTGCAGCTTTTCCAGGTGCTCAAATGCCCCGTCTGCGAGCCATGCTGGCAAGCTGCAAGTGGGACGCCGAGGTACGACGTTTTGGGCCCTCGGCTTCCCACTCCTCGCCCGCCCGCGACGCAGGGCTGCTCCCAGCAGCAGATGTATACTCTATGAGTCCGTCAGCCACCCACTCGCAGCCCGGTATCGTCCCGAAACAGCCAGATCGCGTTCTCGCAGCGGAGGCAAATCTCATTGCAACCGTCAATATTAAACAGGTTAAAGCACACCGTCTGGTGCCCCTCAAAGCGCACACCAGGGACGCTCGCTGCCGCCACTGACAGCATGTAGGCCGCTCTATCCCATCCGTACCTGGTTAACCCAGCACTCGTGGTCCCTGCGTGGCCCGCACACCGCCTTGCGGAACACCCCCTTGGATTCGTCGATCGCGCGGAATGGACGACCACTCCACTCGCCCGTGACCGTGCCAGCAGGGAAGACATGCGGCATCGGCGGAAGTGTCTCCACGCTCGACATTGCCTCTCGATCTAGGAACGTACCCAGGTCGCGTTCACGACCTCCCCTTTCTCCTTAATTTCGGGATCGCGCAAGGACATCCACGAGTTCATTATACGCTCGTTTGACCACGTAGCTTCTAGCCTGCAGAAGCACCGCGAGCGCACTGCGCACGTGAGAGGGTGAGGTCTTTGCCGAAGATAAACCTGCCGGTGGGACTGCGGCATCCAAGCGGATGACTGGCGCCGCCCGCCACGGTGAGGGGTTCACGCATTTCGCCATGCGAGCTGAACATTCTCCTTATTAGTCACGCCGAACAGTTGCGAGACAGTAGGTTCGATCGGTGGTGTCAAAACAGTACTCCGTTCGACTACGTCAGGACTCAGAAGCACCCTGCTATGCGACCTTTTCCAGGTTCACCTAAAGGAACTTCGACTGACACACATTCACTTTTCAGACCGTTCATTCCCGTGAAGACAGGCTGGCTCACATGCCATCAGATGGGCGCAGTCAGCGACTGATTTCCCTCCGAGAAGAAAGCTTGTGTGCAGAATTTCGTCCAGTCCAGTGGTAAGCCCAGCCAGTATCGTCATGCAAATGCCAGCTGATGAAAGACTACAATTCGCTAGGGCTGAATCATCACTTTGAGACCCGCGCGAGAGCGATCACCCCGTTAAGCTGTTCGTCCGAATCCATGATCTTCGGACACGTAGAGACACTCCGTCCCTCCTTCTCCGAAGTGAACTGTACAGATGGATCTGCGGGCTTACTATCTGCGGAATTCTTGTGGGCTCGGCTTACAGAGTATACTTCTGTGGCTGATGGAAGAGAGCTGCAGGTGGCCCGTCCCTCGTGCACAACACCCGCAGCGCTCTTTCTTCTCCCGCGGGTACAAGACCAATCATGGCTATCTAACAGCACCCAACCGAACCCACACGTATGCAAATGGCCCATTATGCTCATGTATCCCGGGTTGGCTCCACCAATTATCAAAGCGAGCCGCACACTGCCTCGGGACGTTCGCGCGCGAATCCACGGCGGCAGGAAGCGCAGCATCCTCGCTGGGAAGCCCTATCCGCCTTCGCACTTTGACGGCCGGAGATGAAGCAGCGCTAGCGGCACGCCCGCGGACAACACAGAGACAAATGTGCCCTTCGCCTTGTATCAGCCAAACCAATGGCAGATCCGTCTTTACAAATTCGCACACACGCGGCACGTCTTCGAGGCTTCGCACCACTAGAAGCCTGCCCAGCTGTGCGGGTCTATAGCGAGGATTGATCCAGGCGAGATTGACTTTCGTGAGTATCTCGACGGAGCACACGGATGCCCATCGAACGGAAGCTGTCCTGGAGCTGCTCAGCCGTCCTGCGGTCGCACTCTCTCATCGGACTGTAAGGCGGCAACGCGTCTGTTAAGTACTGTAACCTCTTGGCATGCGAACGTGAGTACTACCTACTAGGAGAAAAAATGTGTGGCTACTACTACTGGTACTACTACTACTACTACTACTGGAAAATGTGCTAGCTACTTGGAAGGAGTGACTACCTACTATGTGCTACTGAGACGAATAATGAGACAGAAGAATGTGATGCTGCTGCTACTGCTACTACTGGAGGATCCAAAAAAAATGCGGAGGAAACAGGTGATGGTACAAGAGGCTTGATCAAAGCAGAGTCGTCGACGCGACGTACATGCAGAGAGGTGTGCGCGCACCCGCGACCACAGCAGATAGCAATCACAGAACACGAAGCACGAGGAACGTATTGACATTGCATTAGAGAGACCATCTATACACCGTACCGCATCCGGAGCTTTTCTTGTATGACGGGCGGGAATGTAGACACCTGCGCAGCCCAGCCTTGCGCGTCATGCTGCTTGAACCCGCTCAGGAGCTGCTGGAACATCGTGTTCAACTCCTGTGACGGGTTGTTCCACTTGACGATCGCGTTGCAGAACCACAGGAGACTCTGTAAGATTCGAGTCAGTCGATGAACGGAGCTGCTATCGCCTGGACACAGCACTTACTTTCGCAATGCCGGCAGGGTTCGTCTGCACGAGTGTGCACAGACCGCGGAACGCTGAGTCTTTCTCTTCGTTATCCCGGATTTCGTAAAGTGCTTGGCACCAGGCCTGTGCAAACTCAGGGAGAAGAGGCGCGACCATCTGCGGATGCATGAGACCTATTCGCCCTATTGAGACAGCGGCGTTCTCGTGAAGGCTGCGCGGCGCTTTCGGGTGAAGTAGAATTGGAATGAGACGCGAGATCAGCGGGTGCACCCATTGCTGAAACTCGGGATCATCTATTCGCAGCATCAGCACAACCGCCGACATCGAAAGGTAAAGATAACGTACCCCTGCCATACCGGAGCGCGACCTCGCCCACAGACCATGCCGCGTTGTTGCACGCGCTGACGAACTCAACTTTCGGTTCGGGGTCGAGCTGGACAATCAATTCTTGCATGATCGCGGGCATATGTGGTCGCAGAATTGGGAAGCAGTTCATTGCCAAATCACCGACAAGTGCATACGCTGACTGGCGAACGGGTGCTTGTGGGTGCTTAAGGCAGACCGTCAGGAGCGTGAGCAAATTCGGCTGGCTGCGCGAGATGGACGGCTCGAGGGCCATGCCCAAGCCCTGTGTCAATCCGGACAGGAGGTCAAGTGCCACAACCAAGAAGGAACGATCGGGCTCGTCCATGTCGGGATTCTGCTGGTAAGCCTGATATTGGAGTAGTGACGAGTGAACGATGCTTTGGCACCGTTCAAAGATTGGGCCAACATATGGCGAGAATGCAGGCCCAATCGCGATGGTTACCGACGCCAGGCACTTCGTAATAAATGTTAGTTAGCATGTGGTGTATGATTACCTCAGTACAGATGAACGCACCTCGAGCAAAGGCACCAAGTCTTCGTCGTCATCCTTCAACTTCGACCATCTCTTGAGTAATGGCGGCATGAGAATCTCGACCAACGTCGGACTTTGCAGAGCGCTACCGACAGCATCTGCCAAAGTACCAACAGCATCATAGAGAATGAGCATGTTCTTGTGCTGGTACTTGTCGAAAGCGAACACAAGGTTCCGCAGGACTGGCTCAAGGTAGGGCGCGAGTTCCGGTCCAGCATCCTCCTCAAATGTGGCGAAGGCGCTGCATCCGGCTTCCTGGACGCGCTTGTTATTATCCAACACCATGCGCAGAAGCTGCGGACAGGTGATAAGCAAACACTTTTTTCCTTCAAGAAGACATACACTTACACCTTCGAGCGTAGGCACGAAGAACTGGTTCTTGTGTTCGTCTGATACTGGTTGGGTACACCAGCTCGCGTATCGACCCAGGGTCCAGCATGTGATAGATCGAACAAGAGGCTACATAACACAGTGAGTCATCTACCATGACAAGCCAAAACTTGACAGCTTACCTTGGGATCGTTCAGAGTATTGATGAGATAGGGAATCAGGGTAGGTAGATGTGGCTCAATAGCATCGATGCAACCTATGAGGGCTCATCACCTTCGAGGTCAGCTGGGGAAGAAGGAATAATTACGCACCTTCTGCCATGGCACCTAAAGCCAGTATACCACTCTCCCTTTGCAACCAATCCTCGCTCCACAACTTGTTCTTCAACGGTTCCAACAGGTGATTGAGCATATCCGCGCCAAAGCGGACTGCCAGCACGTCAAGTGCCGCCGCTGCACACTTGCGCAGATTCCACTCCGTCGACATCTCGTCCGCAAAGTCGTCATCATCTTCATCGAAGCCCTCGTCCTCATCGTCTTCTTCATCCTCAAGCTCTTCTCCGTACGCTCCGACCTTGCGCTGAGGTTGGGGTAGGGCATCGCCGTTGCCGTCGTGCTCGAATCCATGCGCCTTGCCGCTATAGTGTCTCGGCTTGATGTCGGTGTCTTTGTCAGGGATGGCGGCATCCTCGACGTCAGCATCGAGCCAGAGAAGATCGTCTTCACCATAAATCATGCAATCAAGCAGTACCGGAGCGACGCGTGGGAGAAGCGGATGGAGCCATGGAGCCAAGTCAGGGTCTTCGGCGAAGGTAAGCCAGAATTCGCAAGCCTCCAAGGCAACGTTCTCGTTCTTGTCTTTGGTGGAGTAGAGCATATATTCCGCGACGTTCGCCATCTCCGGCATGAGCTTCTCCGGGCGCGACGCGAGAAGCAGGACCAATGCTTGACAGACATGCCGCCGCACTTGGGGATCGTCATCGGACGCTCGCTTGAACAGAGCAGCAATGAAGGCGTCGATATGCGCGAACAACGCTTGGCAGTTAATGGGTACGAAGTACGAAAGACACGCAACCGCGTGCGCGCGCATTTTTGAGTTCGGATGTTCGGTGAGCATAAGGAATTTGGGAATCATGTAATCCAGGGGCATGGTGCCGTTGATCTCGACATCGAGCTTGCGTGGGTAGTCCTCGCAGGCTTTTTCCAGGACGTTGAATGCGGCCTATAAACATATAAGTGTTAGAGGGCTGAGCATGACAGAGAGCATCTTCGCAATCATCTGACGCATAAGGAGAGTGCGACACTTTGATCGTGTACATCGAAATCCCGGTCTCTACGGCACACGGCGACATACGTTCAATGCGCCATACATCGAGCGGTGCATAGGCTACTAGTACCCAGACTTTACGGCCGTGACGAATGCTCAGCGAATGCGCCGGGCCATGGAGGACATAGAAAGCCCAGGGCGGTATTGACGCGGTGGCGCTCGCTTAAGCAACATGAGGGGTGCCTTGCAGGGACCCGACGAAGGATAACAGAGGTCCTTGGTTAACGTGTACGCTTGGTCTTCGAGGACGCCGCATGTGCCAGAGCCGTAGATCCACTGCGTAGCGACACTGGTAGTTGCACACTCACCTCCTGCTGCTCCAAACTCGACGAATCCAATGTGTGCACGAGTTGCTGCAAGCACTCCGGCCAATTTCGCGGCTCCAGAATGCCTAAAAAAGCCACTATATCTTGACCGGCAGCGTTCCGCACCATGACAGATGGGTCGACGAACGCCTGGAGAACGGATGCCTTGACAAATGCCACAACATCCGATGTTGAACGCAGTATAAGACGAGCGTTGTTCTTGAGTAGATAGCCGGCTATGGTGCGAATGCGATCTTCCTCCTGGGGCATATGGGCGAGGACGTATGCCAAATAAGCAATATAATCTGGAACTCGCGTGAAGCTGTTTAATTTCTGATACGGCGGAGTTGGTTATGGGCGGAGGATAAATGAACGGGAATTAGCCTGGGCAGGTTGGAGGGTAATTAGCGACGTACATGGGTGACTGTAGTCTGCACTCCAGAGGTATTGGTGTCGGTCGATTTATGAATAGTCTGCAGGATCTCCTGGAGGCCTGCTTGCTGAGGCTGCCATGTCGCCATCGTCCTTGAAGAATACGCGTTCGATGTCGTGGACAGCAGCGGACGCGTAGGGTAGATGAGTGTAGGGAGAGTTTATTACCAGCCCGAAAGTTAACTGGCCTTGTTGAAGCTAATGATTACGTAAACCCCCTATAAGGCAACTCCTCAATCACTGGTCTAATGCCAGTGGGTTCTTTGGCAAGTCTCCTGCCTGTGCTCGTTCCTGTCGAGCTTAGGCCACCGCCCAGACCATTATTTTGTTTTTATAGAGACATGTTGGACTGCACTCTGCAAAGATCGCCATGCGTCATCATCCCTGAGCCGCGTCAAACCCGCACCCGACCACGCTTTCCTGTCATTGGACTGATACCAGACCGGTCAGAAACCTCGTTGCCTGCCGCGAGATGTATGGTTTCACAGGGTTTCACAGCCTCAAGTCTGTCTTCTTTCAGCCGGAGATGAGTAGATTATCGATATGAATATCATATTTTAGCATCAAGCAGAAGTTAAGTTTCAAAGCACGAGGCACGGTTGTGCCAAGTTGTCTTCTAAGCTGGGCTGTCTACGATGATCTTCGATGCGGGGTGAAAATAAGAGTTCACGCTTCAAGAAGGTACTACCAGACTTGGTCCCCGCCGTGCCGTCTACTGTGGGGAATCAGCTGCTCCTTCCTGCTCCTTCCCCGACTACATCGATCCGATGTTGCCTCCGAAGCTAGCCTAGTACGACGGCTCCGCTGGAGTAGCCGCTCCAGAAGCGGGCTGCGAAATCGCTGCACCGCCAGGGGACGGTATATGTATGCCAGGATCGTTCATGTAGTCACGGAGGAAGTTGCGCCAATTCGCCTTTGACGGCACGAAGTGTCCTGAGAAGCAACGCAAAATAGAGATTTGCAACGGAATTTCAATATTCAAGGGACATACCACCATCATGCCATTCGACGCGCTTGTTAGCGGAGACATCCAGTAGAGTCTTCGACCGCTCTTCGACCACAATGACGTCGTTCCGTCCCAAGATGTGCAGAGTTTGAGTGGAATACGACGGTAGGAAAATGGCGTCACCGAGCTCCCCACGGGGCCTAAATCCTGCGGCTACGATACAGAATTCCCTACAGACACACAGTCAGGCATATTACTTACGTCCTATCAGAGAGGCTTGCTCACAAAGGCTCATGTGGTGCTTTTCCGTCGACTAGGAAATAGGGAACCACGTGTGGCTTCTCCAGCTAAGAGACTATGAGCACAAGCGGCAATAAACACGCGAGACTTCCATACCAGCGCGGCCAACATGGCAGCTAGGGCAGCTCCCTGGCTGTTCCGATAGTCAACACAGACGCGATTGCTCTGTCTCATGAGGCGTACCTAAAACCAAACACGCCCTAGTGGAGAGATTAGAATCATCAAGATTGTGTCTCAAATGGAAACGTACATCATAGTGATCTTTTCGCAATGTGTCGCGCAACAAGACAAGGGAATCTTCGATGCCGACCAAATTTGTCCTGCTCCTCCACCACCCGCGAGGCTGCAACGCAGGATCGCTCTCCGCGGTCTCGGATGTCCCGAGCTCCTCGGGCGCATTGAAGCTCTCTGCAAGATCTACAGGTGACAGAACATGCGGTGCGTCCAAAAAGACTAACGAAAGGACGCATCAGAGATCTCAAGACTGCCTCGCCTTTGTGGGTACAGATGGATGCTCACCGAGGTCTACGCCCTTGCACGTTTTCCGCAGAGCGCCCAGCTGTGCATTTCCGGGTGAGTACGAGGCTGAAAGGATCAAAGAAGGCGGTCTACGAACCCTCTTGCTGAAGATTGCGGCACTTTGTGCATACCTAATCATGCGCACCAAGAAGCATCAGAGTACAGGCCCGTTATTTTCCTGCTCGATGCACCTACCCATGCAATACCAGCACTTTCCTAGTTGTCATCGTTGTGTGACCCAAGCTGACGTCGCGTGTTTTTGGAGCTGGGTCGCGGAGCAGAGGAAGTTGCAAGTGTCTGCTTTTGCAAGCCCATGCCTTAGGCCTTATGGCCGACACGTCGCCGACCCGACGGATCCGAACACGGCATGTGCCCACCGCATGAAGAGCATAACGCGAATATTTCCGCATATTCTGCCAGGTTATGATAATGTCATAGCTAAAGGTAGGACACTATGATTCTGCCAAAGCTTAAGTAGATATCCTTATAGTCATAGGCTACTACTGGACATAGATTATCGGAGCACGTGCAGCAACAGAGACCGAATCCGGATACCGTCCCCGATTGTGCGTAACTTGCTGCCAATTGAATGCCAGCACTGGAGCATGCTAGGCAGTATAGACAATATCGACGTCTCGTCAACGTCTCATGCACTCCAAGAAGTATAGAGGGACGGCTGCGAATAGAATGGTGTATCGAGGCGCCACCACGTTACTATCACGTGATTTGTGACTGATGTGACTCCACTAAATGCACCTTAACGATGCCCCGTGCTCACGGTGCTGGGAGCCTCGGTCTCAGCCGTAGGATAAACCTGCTGATATTGGCTTAACTTGAGGCTACTAGGACACTATTAGAGAATGAAAATCATTTATAATCGCAATATGAGAGTCCTCTGCTGTCGATGTCACGCTGATCACGTGATGGTGCATGAGCCATATCTTAAGACTACCTGCATAAGTCTAAATCCTTGTCGCATTCTACTGAACGCCGCACAGCGCGTCGCTTAAGGCTCGAGACACAGCTTAAGACTTGGGGCATGTAGTTATGACACAGAGAGTCAGCAGTACTGGCACGCAGACAGAAGTCACAGACAAATCATGACAGTACCAGAGCATTCGTACAAAAGGGTGAATGTGGACGTACAACGAGGCCCATGATGAAAAATTGAAGCTTGAAGAAACAGCCAGTATAAGCGGGGTGTGTATGCAATAAGATCATGAAAGTTCGAGGTCTCGCCAGAGGATTCGGGAACGCAAGAATATGACAGAATAAAAAGTCGTCAAGGTTCGTCACAGCAGACTCAACCTAACTTATGGGTGAGCAAAAAATCGAAAAAAGTGGGAGCCGCCCACACACACTTACAAATAATGCTACACGATGCTCAACCAGCTTCATCCGTAAAAACCGTCCCCGTACCATCCGTGCCTCCGCCTGATACCGCAACACCTGCATGCTATTGCGCTCAGCGCGATCACTGCCACCCACGACAGCGCGGCCGCGGCGACGATCATCCAGACGGCATTGCCAAAGGACACCGCAAGCTGATTTCCCAGCTCGTCGTGAATCTTGTCGCTGGCAACAATAGTCAACGCAAGGTCGGCGGCTAGAGATACGCTCCCAACGATGGCCATGATGATAGTGACAAGGAGAGTAAGAACCGTCATCGTCTGTGAGCGTACGAATATGGCGAGCACCAAGGCCAAGAAGGCGAGGCCTGCTGAAATAGGGTGCAGGACTAGGAGAATTTTGAGACCTTCAAGGAGGTCCTCCGAAACCTGGGGTGGGAACCCAGCCAGGCTGAGCACGTCCACTGGAATATCGTATCCAAGCCGCGGCGCTGTGCACTCGCCGTCGTTCTTGAAAATAGTGGGGAGGTCGAGCACGGTTGACGCACAGAATCCCCAAACACCAAAACGCAGGTTCGTCGCGGAGTTAGTCGCGGGTTGGTTCGGGGGCGGGGAATAATTGATCTGGAGGAGGTACACGGCCCTTATGATCGGCAGCGAGAGCGCGGGGAGGAGGTACAGCACAAATGCGAAGAAGAGCACGATGAAGGTAAGCCAGGCTGCAAAATGGAAGCGCGCGGTAGAGTGGAAGCGTGGCTTGCGATGAGCACAGCAGGGGAAGCAGGCATGCCAACGACTATAGCGTCGATGATGTCGACGGTGACTGCCATAATTATGGTGATGCTGATGACCTCTGTACCCATCGTCTTCCTCCTCAACAATGATTGTGGGCATCGTCGGTCATAAATGAGCGTGTAGATTCAAGATCGCAGCTCGCGTTGCGCGAACAGACTCCGCGATATAATACAACGATCTCCAGGTCGCAAGGTATTTATGAGCCAGTGAGCAACGGCCTCCTCGAGAACGGTCTGTGCACTCACTAGGGTATTGCGTGAGACCCCCAGAGAAGATGAGAGTAGGAGACCAAAAAAGTCTGGTAAACTCCTACGAACTTGGCAATTCAACATCGCTGATCTGAACTCTATATGAGAGATCCGGCCATTAATATTCTCGTCGGTGCTGCAAACCGTACGTCATTTGCCATGTGGTAAAACGGCTGCCTGTTGAAAAGTAGCCAGTCTTTAGAATGGTAAGCTGCACTTGAAGATAAGTGGAAATCACTACAGCTTCAAGATGTCTATGCATTCGGAGCAATCTCTGCCTCGTGATCCCAGCTCGGCATGAGCGCACCGCACCGCACCTGTTAGTTATTCGATGCTCAGCGCGAAGGTTATTGCTGAATTCAATCCAAATTCAATCTCGCAGCTTGACTGCATAGGACTATGTTTGCTTCATGAAATCTCTATGCATAGCCCTGGCCCTGGCAAAAGCACGCGCACTGCAACAGAACGTCAGCCCTACGCGCCATCATGCATCATGTTGCATATACAATCGCAATCGCAAGCGACGATTCAGCGAGCTGGACGTCACTCACGCTGTCTCGGAATGTCTCTTGTTTACACAAACCGAGCAGTTACATTTGCCTCTGGGGCACGCATAGGCATACCCTCGGGCCCACAATCGCTGCAAAGGGGAGTACCGCGTCAGTCAGCGCAGCCACTGGCAGTCGTCCTCGTGGCTTCTTCGCTACCCGAGATCTCTGTCCCACCACTCACCTGCATTCGCACTGGCAGTCGCTTGGTATAATCGTGTCTGTTCTCGTCATGTTGGTTGTTCAAATGGTTATCGCGAGGCCCGAGCTCGAGTTTCAAGTCGCCCTCGGCTGACGCGAGGGGCCCTATGACGTTCAGATCTGCAGAGTGGGTAGTGACGCAGTGCTGCATATTCATATTGCACCCATCAGTCCAAGTACTCTGAACTTAATTCAGATGGCACTCTTGAGAGGTCCCAACATATCTTTCTACTCGATAGGTACTGCACTTTGAAACTTGTGTACCACTCCGAAGCCGAGGCAATGCGAAGTTCGCCTCCATTTCCGGCCTCCTCGGATCTGCATAGACCAAGCAGCGACTCTCATTTCTCTGTTCAAACGAAGCCACCAAAATTACTCGAATGCATACGATACTCTACGGAACAGCCCAAACTTAGTCCAGACTTGGAGCAGCCCAGCGCGTCATCTAACTTGAATGCTTCGAGGCTTCTGGTGCCGACGGACTGCTTATCTTGGCATGCTTTTTGTGGTCCGACACAAGCTGCGCAAACCGCGAGCGTATTCTCTCCTCTTTCGACTTCCTGCTATCACTCAGGGAGTGGTCGGTGTCGTGGAACTTGCCCCTCTTCTTCTCCGGCGACGTCGTCAAGAAGTTGACCATCAGCTGCCACAGGTTGTTCCCGCTAACGATGACATCCTCATCGGCGAGCACGGCCTGGTCCGCAATTCTCGCGAGCTCAACCGCCTCGTCCGTGTCGCGCCGTGCGACGATGCTGCTTGGCGGCGGCCGCTCGTCCGCGTCGAGCGCCCACGCCCAGCTCCAGCTCCCGCTCGTCTTGAGCGCCTCCTTGATACCCTTGAATGTTGCGCGCTCGCCGCCGCCATGTACGTCCTTGTCGACGTAGAGCTGCAGCTGGCTCATGTTCCGCACCGCGTTCTTGTGCGCGATGTCCAGGTTCCGCCGCCGGTGCTTTTCGATCGTCTTCACCGTGCTCGAGAACTTCTTATCGAACTTGGCCTTTGCGTCCTGGTATCGCCGCATCGCGAGCTCGGACACAACGCCGATCAGTTCTGGGGGAAGTGAGAAGGCAGAAAGCTCGCTCTCAGGCTCGAGCGGACGGATGATGCCGTGGGTGGAGACCCGTTCGCGGATCATAGTTTCCTGGGAGTGGTTATCAGATCCTGACAGCCATTTTCAATGAGAAGCAATGACTGACAAGTCCGTTCTGATATACCACCGCCTCACCCGCTCTTCTCTCACCGTCTTCACACTCCTTCATACCAGAGCCATAGAACCTCGGCCCAGCAACATCTCCAGGCTCCCCACTACCATTGGTAGCCCTGTCGCCTGACGGCGCAGGCGACGTCGACTGGCGGGATCGTGTTGGGGAGGAGAGTGATACATCCAATGCCGATGCCGGTTGAGCCGGATGTGCAGAGCTGCTCTTGAACATGACACCTGCACGAGAGACGTGCGTGCTGAATGCCCGACGTAGCGACATCTTGCGCGACGTTCCGGCAGAGTCGTCGACCGACCTCTTGGTGAGCACGAAGAGTGACGCGCCCCGCGCACGGGGACTCGGGGTCCGCGACGCCGGTAACGAGCGTACGTCAAGGTTGGGCGAAGCGCGTGGTAGCCGCACTTCGTCTGGAATGGAGAGCTGATCTTCGGGAGTTGCTGGCACGCCAGGGCTCGTCGGTGGGGAAAGTGTGACGGGAATGTCGCCTATTGAATCGGATATACTGGTAGGGAGCATGCCCGTCACATGGCGAATAAATGTGGCTATAGCCCTGAAGCAGTATTTCGCGGGTGTTGTGAAAGAAAAGAGAATAGGGAGGATGTGAGCAGCATCTGCGACAGTGTGAGATGAGGATATTAATTCCAATATAGCCACAGATATACCATCGTAGACTTGGAGATGTACTAGCGTAGGCCCGTACTTCCCCTCGATATCATTTAACGCCGGGTACAAATCCCTTGCTTCCTGTTTGACATGGTATTTGTCGGGATAAGTGGCCTTATGTGCCCTTTGTGCAATTATTAGCTCTTCGTAACAGCAGGTTCATGCACTTCAACTTACACATAGATGATTTCGTCTCTCAGGACTTCCGCATCCCCAGCAATAACGAGCAGTGGGCACAATCCACCAAGATACGACACCGCTGGACTGACCAAAGGATGAGTCAGTAAGTAGTTCGGGGCATACAAGTGAATCTGATGGTCAATCGTCAAGGTTTCGCCGTCCTTTGTAACACAAGTGACGGCCTGATCCTTGTATCCCGACTGGATCGTTGGTAGGGATGCAGTGGAACCAAGGTGCAGCATCCGTCCCGTGTCTGGAAGATGAAGGTCGTGGCTGCCCTCAAGAGGCGCGGTGACTGGTTTGCTTCGGGTGGAACTGGGGTGGGCTTCTTTATCTTTAGGTCGGAGAGAGACTGCTTGGCGGATGCGCGTCCGCAGGCGCTCGCGAACTGCTGTGTTCAGCTCGTCTGGTGGCGGTGGCCATAGCGTGCTCGGTTTGTAGAAGGAAAGCCCATACGGCGGAAGAACGTCCTTTAATATTAATATTTAGTAACCACAATTCTCTTGGAGGGATGATAGTTCGGAAGACGGACCGTTGCTGTGTTCGTATGGATACTGGGGAACGAGTGCGTCAGATCGCTCCACGGCGAAACAAGCACTCCGCCGGCCGGCATAGGCAGCCCACAGTCGCGGATGACCTGTAGCAACGCGAGGGTAAGGCCTCCTCCAGCAGAGTCCCCTGCGACCACCAAATGAGCCGGATTAACTGGCTGATGCGAAGCATCCTCGGGAGGATGGATCAAGAACAGATCTGCGAACATTTAGGATCATCTCTGTATGATACGCAGGTGACATACATGCCGCGATGAGGTCTTGCAGAGCGCATGGGAAAGGGTACTGTGGTGCTAGCCTATAATTCATAGCTTTTGGCGTGTCATTATAGGAGGTATCTATACTGGAAAGTATTACACTTACCGAATACGCGACCGCTGATCTTCCTCGCATATCGCTGGATGGAATACCTTTCTTGGTCAACACTGCCAAAATAGTAGCCGCCTCACACGAAGATATGTTCAGATGTTCCAGGCTGCTTCCGTGTAGACTTACCTCCATGCGCATACAATATACAACGCATCTCATCCATCTCGGGCTGATAGTACGGACCAGCATCTGAGGGCACGCCGTTCTGCTGCTGCTGCTGCTGCGAAGAGGAGTCGGGTGCAATGGACGGAGTGCGACTGGGTTCGTCTGAGCTCTGCCGCTCCTTCTCTTGAGCCATCTTGTATCGCCGTTTTGCCTCTTTCCAGTCTTTTTTCGCAACAATCCACTCTGCGTCCACCCTGAGTATTTGTTAGATTGTTCGATGAAGTCGAGGGTTCTCATGGCGTACGTACCCCTTGACGCCGCGCACTTGCCACCACTTGGTGCCGCCAACGACCTTCTTAGTCATCTCCTCGCCACCGAAGGCCTGGATGAGGACCTTTGCGGCTTCATCACAGCAGGACATAGGCACGAGTAGCCGGACGACATGCACTGAGGGAGGCGATGGCGTACGCGTGTTCGAGAACTTCTGGAGCTCTTCAACCGTGTGCCTAGATATCTGCCGAGTGAGAACACCTCATAACGCAATACAACTTCGCTCACTTGGTGGAGGCCTCGAGGAATGTCTGATGATGAATACGTTAAGACGCAGCAACGGGGAAATTACAGGTCTACACACCTTAACCACATTAAATGCCTCGTCGTACAGCAGCTCCTCTTGCCTTAGCTTCGTCATAACCCGCCCTTGTGACTCATCCTCCCTCACTAGACGGTCGAAGTAGTGCTTAATGAGGGTTTCCAGTAACAGTGGTCCAAGCTGTATTCCGGCCTGGCGCGTGAGGGAGTTCACCATGGAGTCGAAGATTCGGGTGCTGCGCCAGAACGGAGGTACTTAGAGGTGCAGTTTGAAGGATATTTAGCGTCTTCGGAGTGCCCGACGCGGATTCATAGATCAGGATACAGGTTTATGGTGATGGTACTGAGTTGCACGCCGACGCCGACTTAAGCTCTTGGCATGTAAGAGGGTTTTAGTAAAGTACTAGTATTGTTCGCCGACTCCTGTAAGTTTCGGGGACTTCTGGCGAGAGGACGTGAGCTTAACACAAATTTCCCTCGCTGTACCGCAACCGCTCTTGCGGTGGATGGATATCGTGGTCGTGGGTTAAGGTGGACTTGGTGCTCGTTCATGTCGGGCGGCGTGGGCAACAGAGCGACGCCAAGCGTCATAGCCATTGCCACGTGGCGTAGCCGATGGACCGAATGTCCGCACGCGATCCCGAAGACGGAACCGACGACGTCCACAGCGAACGACGCTGTGAGTACAACCACGTACAGCTTGCATCGCTTGAGGTTCTGCTTGGCTATCAATGAGGCGAGCACCAATGGCAATCAGTTCAAGATGCTGATGGCGCCCCACAAGTGCGCAGTGATTCCATCGAGAATCCAAAATGATAACTTAGAGTATAATCCACAGAGGTACTGAGCGGCAGAGTCGTAACACCCTCTGCAACCCAGTAAAGAGGAATCTAATAGCCAGCAGCACCCGGCGCCGCATCCCCCTCCCTCCTCAAGCGCAAGAGCACCTCTCTGAAGCGCGACAGGTCGGTTGTATTGGGGCCGGTGCGCGCAATTGTCTTGCTCTGCGAATTTTCAAGCTCGACGAGATTGCAAATGCGCTCCCAGGTCGTGCCTGCAGAAAGCGAATCCTGCATCTGCTGAAGGAACTCTTCTTCAAGTTCCCTAAACGCGGTCTCAGAGTGCCATCCCGCGATGCGTACAAGTGAACCACCTACTTGTTCTCACGGATATTCCTCTCCTTTTTCGCGGAGTACTCCTCATAGAATTGGTCGATGGCACCCTCGGCCTTGCCCACTGTCTCGTCACGCTTAGCTTTCGAGCGTTCGTCGCGGGCTTTGATATCAGTCTGCTGCTTCTCGCGCCATTCCCTATAGAGGCGCGTCAGCGACTTGTCCCAAAAGCTCGCGATAGCAAAAATCACTTGATTGCCTCGGGCTCCTCCTCTTCAATCTGCTGGCTCAGAAGGGGCGTCGACGAGAGCGCCGACGGTTGTGGGCGGGGAGCGAAAGTGGGAGTTGTGTTGAAGGCTGGCTGCGAGGACGGCGTCGAGGTAAAAGCAGGTGCCTACAGATAGCCAACATCTTAGTAATATAGCCACAGACCCACTCCTTTTATACTCACAGAGGGCATTTCAATCTCAGGGAATTCACTCTCGAACTTGTCAATTTCGTCATCCCCGGTGACTTTCACCTCCGTCGTTCGCTCGCGCGGAGGCTCAAAGTCATCAAACGAGAAGCCTGAGTGGGATACATCCGCAGGCGGCGCTGCGGGCTCCGGGATGTCCCCGTCCAGTGAGATGTCGGGGAAGGCGGACGCTGCGCGGTCAAAGTCGATGTCCTCGCCGGTCGCAGTGGCAAAGGAGCTGCCTGTGGTTGTAGAGGCGGAGAACTCGCCTCCGAGGAGCTCGTTTTCGCGTGCAAGGAAGTCGTCGCTCATCGTCGTCAGGTATGTCTGGGAGCCCCGCAGTGCTGCCCCCGTCACGTCGCCGCGTACATGGGCGGCTACATACAGACGCCGAATTAAATAGACATAACCCTAACCCTACAAGCATCGGCGCTTTTCAGGACAAATACGGCCAAATACGGGCCGCGCCTTATGATCGACCATTGTTCTGGCCCCACGACCAGCGACAATACCGCCCCGACAACCAAGTGCAGCCTGTGCCTTCATCTAGAAACATTGTTATCAACATGAGCACGCATTCAAGGACTCCGCAGCATACTCTCGACGTTCTTGAACACCACCCACCACCTTCCGCTCGTTAATCACACTCGCTCGTAGGGCTTATGTCCTTGCCACACTCGAGACCTCAACTGTCGAGAGACCATAGCTCCAGATTTAAAGAACATCTCTCTGTATACATCCCGCAACCAGACGTTCAAGCGGAATCTTCACGCTTTTCCCCCGACTCTTCGCTGGCGGGACCATCGCACACTCTTTCTGAGTCCTGGCCCAACGCAAGTACAGTGCGCTCGCTCACCCCGACTCATTCTGTACCAGTTCGTGAATGTATTCGAGACTCGGAGGCGCACTCTGTGCCACCGAGTATTGCTCCATCGTCGCGCAAGTCTCGCATCGGGAAGCTCCTCTTCGACATCCGCACACTCGCGCGCGACAAGGAGCCCGAGGTTGTACAAGAATCACGGTTGCAGCCCTGGCCGCCGCTACACATCGAGAAGCGGGGCTGCTGCCACGACTGTCCGTGTCACGCAGTACCGAAGAAGAAGAAGCGGCGCCGGGCAATCCTTATCGCGATTCTCATCCTGATCATCCTCTATCTGCTGGGCAATGTCGCCGTGCTGAACACGCGTGTGTTCGCGCCTCAGAGCGTGGTCTTGGTGTCAAATGGCACCGCAGCCTCACCTGAGTTGTCGGCAGAGGCACAGCAGTGCCTCACGCAGTACACCGTGAACGCCCCGTCGAACCCCGCGGGCTATCCTTGCTCGACATGTCTGCCCACGCTTCAGGCTGTTCCAACGAACTTCTCGGATGGAAACCCCCAAGACAGCCAGCAGCTGCTAAATGCGGTTCAATTCTGTGGCTTACGGGCCATCTTTGAGACAAGTGACAACGACGGGCAGACCGCCTTGAAGAACGGCGACTGGGTCCAGGACGTGAAGTTCTGCTCATGGAACGGTGTCTCTTGTGATAACGCAGGACAGGTTTCTTCATTGTGAGTCGGTATTGGGCGCTAGCACTGTTTAGGTACTAAGGACTATTTGACAGATCACTGACCTTCCCCGGAGTACCAGCCTCCCTGCCGAACGAACTTGGCGCACTTAGTGGTCTCCAAAGTCTGACTGTAGTCGGAAACTCCGCTATTCCCGGTACGTTCTCGCTTTCAGAGGTTACTATTCGCGCCCATCGCTAACGTGAAACTGACAGCTGGCACGTTGCCGAGCAACTTTACTACATGGACTTCGCTGAATACTCTCTATCTGGAATCGACCGCCATCACTTCCGTTCCGGATAATATCTTCTCAGTGGCGAAGACGCTCTCGACGCTGACCTTGGTCAAGAATAGCCAGATGGGCAACGGCCTGCCTTCAAGCATCACGAGCTCATCACTTCAGAACCTGTACGCCCTCACGATGACTCGCTTATACTGGCTTCTCAGCTCATTTGCGCCTAGCATCGTCAATGATCAAAGTTTAGCCAACCCGCTGTCACAGCTGTCGTCGTCTAGCTCGCTCCAGACATCATTGAAGCTTCTGTGCGCGTTCCCCAGCCTGCGTTATGAAAAGCGTTCTGATATCAGATTCTAGTGACCTCTCTTCAACGTCAATATCTGGTGTCATCCCTTCATCTATCTCTTCCTTCTCCTCGCTGGTCGAGCTCCATCTAGACTCCAACAGCCTCACGGTACCTCTGCCGTCGTCCTTCCCTGCACCCTTGCAGGTGCTCTCCCTCTCGAACAACACGGGCCTCACTGGCTCTGTGTTGGGTTCGTTCTGTTCTCTCAGTAATCTCCAGACATGCAACATGCAAAACACAGGTTTAGTCGCCCCAAGCGGATGCGGGATCTGTCAATTCTCTTCTACTTCATCTTCTACTTCATCTCCCACGGCTACCACAGCTGCATAGGTCGGATTTTTTTTAGCTCTCTTCTCAGTCCACCTCACACGTTCTTATCGCATATGGACAACTGCATTACACCCCAAGCACGTTCACAGTCTCTGACGATTGTCTTAAGAAACTCGTGCGGATCACTCCTTGCCTGATGTACATAGTTTGACATTCGTTTGTAGCTATGCACTCCTTCTGAGCTTACCAAACAATGTATCTCATGACCAGTATCCTCCATGGCTTCCTCAGCTTTGCGTCTTTTTGTGCGCTGTCTGTACTTTCCGGATACTTCTGGGCATCCGAGTGATTACTGAGGCAGGCGGTGTTCGATCTTTCAGACATGCAAGGGACCAGGGTGCAAAATGATCATTGCAATAGGTAGTACATCCGACACGTCGCCCATGTAGCCCATGCACATGCATTCCCCCAACACCCAAGTCCCGCTGCAACCGACCCTTTACCGTAGTTTCTGCTTGATGTAGCTGTTCTATGCTGTTAGCTATACATGTACAAGCATCAAATATGTGAGTCCTCTCACCAAAAAACCCCGTGTAATCCAAACTTATCCTCGCGTTCCTTCACCGAAGTGAAAACTATGCCTGCTCGATTCAACGCTTGCCGAAACACAGCAATGTCGCTGAGTATTGGGATTGGTCGCCCTTCCGGGGAGGTCGGTTGGTCACGGCGTGTGTAATACACTACGTACTTCTCGACTTCCTGGGGGAAAGGCATGTGATGGTGCATGTAGACCTCCCAGATTTCGGTTCCGCTGAGGTGGTTTATTCTGCCATCACGAGAGGCATCGTCAGTCGCAAGGACCGTCACTCGGGCACGGTGCACCGCGCGCTCTTCGCCGAAACGTGTGCCAAAAGACGGTACGTCTTCCACACCTTCGCGTGCAACGCTGAACGGCACCAGTCGGGCTTTGTCTTCGCCATACAGTAACACGATGGCATGAACTTCACGGGGAGTTGACATGGTGGACAAAGTCAACATATACATTAACGGGAGCAACCGTTATCTACTTATTCCACGTGGTCGCGACTGGCTCGCTGCGCACTTACGATTCATAGCCATCAGACCGCTGCCTCAAGTTCACGTAATATGTTCTAGTCTTACCGCCAGGACATTGCGCGCGACTGGGATAGACGCAGATCCTTACATAAGCACGGACTTACCCGGATGTCTGCGTCTCGCATGCGCTTCTGCGTTTCTGAGTTTCTGCCGGAGGGAACGCGTCTCTGCGGCACACAAGGCTTGTCATTGGTTTGTCCCGCCCGCATCCTTATCTCCAAGTCACTTACCAAGCATGTCTTTTCTTACAGATGACTCGACCTCGCGCCAAAACTACAATCACTGGGGCGTAAGATTCGAGCTTGACGGAACCGATTCATACTCACAGCAATGGAAAGTGGCCATTAGCGAGTATAAGAGGACACGCGAACGGCCTGCATGTGCTTCAAGAGTTCAGCTCTGGTCTTCAGATAGTCCGCGCCTTCCCCTCGCCCGTCCTTCTGCTACTGGCTGTAAGAACTCTTTTCCATGGCGAACTCTCAAACATCCGCGCCAAAGATGGAATACGGTATGCCTTATTGTCTCTGTTGTGAATCTCGCATTGAATGCGAACTTTGCATAGTACGCCTCGGTAACTCCGGACTGAAGGTCTCTCGTATCATCATGGGCTGCATGTCGTATGGCCACAAGGGCTGGTATCCCTGGGTCATCGACGATGAGGACGAAGCCTGCAGACATATCAAGTTCGCGTAAGCACCTTTGAATGTCGTCGCGTGAACTCTATTTTTGAATCACACCGCCACTGCAGGTATGATGCCGGAATCAATACGTTCGATACCGCGAATGTACGGTGTGGACCAGGCGTGTGTTCGTAGTAGACACTTACAAACTTGAGGCACGCAGATGTATTCCCACGGCCTATCCGAGGAAATACTTGGGAGGGCTATCAAAAAGCTCGACCTTCCCCGCGAAGAACTCGTTATCATGACGAAGGTGCCTTCAATAGGCTTAGTTCCGCCGACTCTACATCTGCTTACCCAGTCGCGTTCTATTCCACAGGTGTACGGTGTCGTGGGACCCACGTACGACTGCAACTTTGTCGTTGGGCCTAAGACGCCTGAGGACTACGGAATAATCAACCAACATGGGCTTACTCGAAAAGTGCTGATAAATCTTATATTTACCTGACATGTAGATCCTCACCTATGCGTTAGCACATCTTCGATTCTGTGAAAGCGAGCCTAAGGCGGCTGCAGCTCGATTACATCGACGTACTCCAATGTAAGCTGCTACTTGAGGAACTTATATCTGCATGTCAGAATGACATATACACTTCAGGCCATCACTTCGACTATAAAACGCCTGTAGAGGAGACTATGCAAGCCCTGCACGATGTCGTGAAGGCTGGCTATGTCAGACATATAGGCATAAGCGCGTGCTGGGCATATCAATGTAGGTCATCCTCTGCTGTCCTCTAGTCGTAGCATGAGAACTTATGGCGTATGTAGTCCATCAAATGCAAAGTACGCTGAAAGTTCCATCTCTTATGGCGTGGTGCTCAAGCATTGATTACAGACTACGCTATTGCAAACAAGCTCACGCCTTTCATTTCACTACAGAACCACTACAATTTGCTCTATCGTGAAGACGAGCGAGAGATATACCCTACGATCAAGGTGGGAGATTCTTCTCCTAACGATGCTCTAAAACTGAGGCTTCTCATTAGATGTTCGGCGTGGGGTCGATTCCTTTCTGCCCTCTGGCCCGCGGCCTCTGCTCCCGGCCCTTCGGCGCTCAGTCCAATCGCGGCCAGCTTGACCAGTACCACGCAGAGTACATGGGTTTTGGCTCTGAGCTGATTATAAAGAGGTGATACCCGACCCTGTGTTCGTCTTTGAGCGATATTTGACATCTATGCGTAGAATCGAAGAGCTGGCGAGCAAGAAAGGCGTCAGTATGGCGCAGATCTCCATCGCCTGGTTGCTCCACAAGGGCGTAACCGCTCCGATTGTTGGCACTACGAATATGTCTAACTTGCTAGACATTATTGGTATGTGAAAGCTGACTGCATGCTCCTCTGCTAAATTTTTCATAATATTCGCAGGTGCCATTCACGTCTTCTTGACTGACAGAGAGATAAAGTTCCTCGAGGAGCCGTACATCCCTAGGCCCATCAATAGCCATGCGTAATGAAAAAACTTCATGTCCTCGATAGATGTGGAATAAGGAAATATACAGCTTTGACGTTAATCCTTGCGCCCAGCAACTGGAGCGTGTGGGTATGCGCGGATCATCGCGGTTGCCGCCGCATGATGCGCAATCGAACGCCACAAAGCCTCATTAAACGCCTATCGTGCTCGGAGAATCGGAACCCAGGGCTCCGGCAAAGCCCATGGAACCGATACGATAGGAATGCGCCTAACAGCTTTGGTCAATCGGCGAGAATACTATGCCACGAACATATTTGTGTTCCAGAAAATGACCTCTCTGATTTTCCAGGTGGCTTACGTACATCATGATCCATAGCACCGAATCGAAGAAGCGAATCGCCGACGGTCGTAGGAGAGCGTTACGAGTGCCATCAGGTGCCGTCAATTGCTGCTGCAACACCGGAACATATAATCAAAGCCCGGCGTAGCGAGGTAGCTATCGTCATTGAGCTACGTCGGCGTTGGCTGAGTAGACGTTTATCCTTGGCACCAGCTTGCAGGTAGTGCAGAGGATGCCTAATGAATGTAAAACATCCTGTGCACACATTTGGACATCGGACGAATGAGATTCACAAATAGGTCTATAATGTCGCTCGCGCTCGCCACGACGCAGGAAGGACAATTCGTGGCCGCGAGGCTGAGCTCAGCTGTGTGCTAGCCAACACTTACAATACTCGTCGTATGCCAAGCTTCTGGCTTAGAACATTCCTAGTTGCGGTGCTCGTATGATACGACGCGAATAGTGGCCCTTCGACACGTATAGAATTTAAAGACAGGCATATAGGGCGCAGTGAATCTATCCCGGGCGCAAAGCGTTCACGACCTGATGGGGTCAGACTACGCTGTTAAAACGGACACGGCGAATGCCAACAATACGCCGAGGGCAAAGTTAGGTCACTGAAAGCGCCTCGTGCACACTCGGTGCATTATTGCTTCCGACGGCACGCAGATCATCTGCCTGGAATAAATATGCGTTGAACGCGCGCTAGCTTAACTTGTCGTTGCGTAGCCAGAATGGCGCACATCCCATCAAGTACAACAGCGCCAGCGGAGTACGCCTTGTTCTTTGTATGGTCTATGAGACGGCAACGTTCCTCTCGGTAGACGTAGACATGATTAGAATTCGTGTTTCATCATAGTCGTCGTATGAGCGCAACAGAAGTTTGCTTCCATCAAGGCGCTAGAAAACAATGTTCTAAACCTTATACCACGAACTGCGCTGGTTAGCGAGGGGAACGCAGACTGCTGGGGCAATGCACTCACAAAGGCACCGAATTCCTAGTAGACACCTGGCAGCAGACGGCAAGGCGTGCGGCTCGCCCATGCTAGCCATTTGTCCTTGAACTCCTCTCTGAGCGCTGCATCCTCCTTCTGCACCCGGAGATGAATGGTCAGGCCGATATACGCGATGAATACGAGCTGGCACACGCCCGCGACAAAGCCGAGTGGATTCTTCCAAAGGTCAAGCTCGGTGTAGAGCGAGCTGGGACCAAGCTGGCTGACGGCGACGCCGATCATGTAGATCCAAGCACCCGTATAGCTGGGGTGCCGGACGATAGAGTACGGTCCGGTAGTCACGAGTTGATGGTCCTTCCGGATGGCAAGGTGGAAGGTGAAGTAGCGGCCCAGGTATTTGTAGGAGACGACGCGAATGAGGGTGCCTAACGCCATGAGAAGGGTACCAACGACGAACGCCGGAGAAATGGAGACGGGGTCAACGTTCATGTGTAGCCAGTCATGCTTCCTGTGAGTGATGGGCACTCCCGCAGCAGATAGGATGGCAAGCAAATCAATGACGTTGACGATGTGGGCGATGTTCTGCGGAGCGGTGGTGCATGTAGTGTAAGTGACCAATGGCGACTGCGACGAGCTGCAGAACTAACCTTTAGTGACGATGCTGCGTGCAAGACAGTGAAACCTTTCTCTCCAACGTATGACGCTGTTTGTGCTTCATACTTCGCTCGCTCCTCCGCCTCAGGGGTAGCAGTGGGGGATGTGAGGGACTTGTGGCTTGAGATGGAGCTAACGGCGAGTAGGACGGCCCTCAAGCAGACTGCGGTGTCCATGGTAGCGATTCGTGATCTGCTTCTAGGAGAGCCACCCACTGCCGTCTTATGTAGTGACCATGGCGGCCCCTGCGCTCATGACCTCTGACTTATTCCGGCGACCGTATCCTAGGATGGCTGTTGAATTGAACCGCGCACCTCGGAGCGATCGATCGACGAAGAGCGTCCACAGGAGCGGGAGAAGCCTTGTTTTACGAAATATCTTGGTGTGCGATACAGCGCGCTACCTGCTTGAAACATCAAGGGAATATGGTCAATGCACCTAAAACGATGGAGGGGGCGGTATCGGGCGGGAAGAAGGGCCACGGTCAGGGACTGGGCCACTGCGGGCGGCGAGGACCCTTTCTAAAGGGCTACCGGGACAAGAAAGATAAGAAGGAGAGAGAAACGGAGAGCGGAAACTTACATGACATTCCTGCTCACCCTCCAGAGCTTCTCGCTCGCGAGGGGCTGGCCGGCTGGCTCTACAGAGCGAGATGCACCGGACCGTCGCCCCGCCTGGCCCTGGGCAACGATTGGAAAGGGTTCTCACCGCCTGCGGTGGCTCGGTCCCTGGCCATGACCCTCCTGCCCTCGACCCTTTCCGATGACCCGATTGGGCGCCCATACCGGATGGCCAGTCCATCGGGCGGCTATGGCGTGCGCTCACCAGATGCGTGGGCGCGTCGAGAGGTGCAGCTGTCGCGGCTTGGTGGCCGCAGGTGAGGTTTAACATATTGCATGATGTATAATATAGTGTCACTAGATTGTACAGAGCAGTCCGCAACTGGATACCCAAAGCAATACCACAATCCAGTACAAGAAACGCTACAGTAGTGTATCTGCAGGCCTTCAGTAATTCCTGAACGCCCCACGGCCTGCCATGTTGGCTTCTTCTGATGGCGCGTTGCCGGATGCTTGCCGACCCGAGGGATATGGCCGGTGGAGTGAGGCCTCCCGGTAATCTTGACCCAGAGGCATTGCAGGAACCGAAGAGACCTGGGGGACGTGAGGAAGGAATTCCGACGAGCTCCCGAGTGGAGGGGTGTTGTACCGAGAATAAGTCGTTGACAAGCTGACATTGCTCCTGCTGGCCGTCGGATCGAACTGGCCCAGGGCTTGTGGTGCGGTGAGTAGAGGCACCCGATCAACATTGAGTCGGCTCATCTCGATCTCCGGCTGGGATCCCTGCGCCAGATAACGATCATAGCCAATGACCTTGGATGGTGCGGGTGACGCTCGACCCGCAACGGAATAGTCGGATTTGCCGCCGACCAGAGTGGTTGCGGAAGAAATGGAGCGAGTGTCCCATTCGTCACCCCGATCACGCTGGTACATGACGGGATCATACTCCAAATCGTGCTTCGGGGTCGTTAGCAATGAACCTGAACCGAAACATGACCGCCCGAACACTCACCTGTTCGATGCCGGCAATCCTGACACCGCCCGCCACAACTTGAGCGTCGACTCTTGTTCCACCGTATTCTTGGAGCTTGGTCTCTTCGTTGCTGATCTTGCCCTTATAGACGTCGGCAAGCAGAGCTGTCATGTTCGCGTGCACCATGGGTGTGAACAGTTCTTGATGAAGCGCGGGATGCCCGAAGCGCTTCCCAAGGCGGTTGCTAGCATTATCGGCGCGTTGAGAATGCACGTGGGCTGTGCGGAGCTCTTCCTCGGTAGGAATATAGAAGCTGAACTCAGGGTTGAAAACACGAGTGCAGTAAATTTTGAAAGCCAAGATCAAGAAGATAGGCGGGAGGGACGCTATCCAAAACAAGGACCGAAGGCCAAAACGGAGACCCATAGCTGGAAAAGCGTTAGAGTTGGAGTTTCGGTCGATATGAAGCCTACCCACTCAATGTAATGAGCAGTTGCATGAGCATAACCGCCACTAGAAGACGGTTGATGACGACGTTCCACAGGCGCTGTAGAGTAGCATGCCTCGTCAATGAGCGCACATGTAGTCGCGAGTAGTAGAACTTACCCCGCCAGTCTCCACACGAGTTACGAATACAAACATGAGCTGGTACTTATATACCCAGGAGCTAACCCAGAAGACAATGGCAGCGGCAACAGCCACAAGCGGCGCCAATGGAGCGAATACAAATCCTACGGTCGCCATAAATAGCAAGTTAGAGCTGCGGTAGCACGTCGACTCAGCACAAAAACACGAGTAAATGATGTTAGATTTACTTACAAATATATAGCATACGGGAAGTCAGCAGGTTGTGTCCAATCGCGGATTTCCCGCGGCGTACGACCTAAGAAACTGCGAATAACGCTTTGTTAGAGAGCTCTAACACAAGAGTAGCACTAAAAACATACTATTTCTTGAAGGAGATCAAAACGAGATTGAGTATCTGTGCAAGGTCGAAGAGAACCAAAAAGCCTCGCAGACTAGAACAACATCAGTCAATGCGCACCACTCAAACGGAAGGCAAAAATGACGTACGGGAAGTAGGTCAGCCAGTACGACGCCTGGTCGATGTAGGTCTTTTGAATATTCCCAGGGAGCTCTGATGGGTCGAACATGAGAAGTGTCTTCGCACTTCGTTCAAGGGATCACCTACTGTCTAGATTCTGCAAGATTTCATTAAAGCTCTGGTGCTGTCCGACTTGAAGGACAATTTCCTTGACACAGTCTGTGAAGGATACATGAGTGAGCGCTGAGATGAAACTAACTACCCTTCTACACTTACTGAACAGGACACCGATCAAGGTGAAAACCACGAGCTGGGAGATAAGCAGGAACGAGAAATATCGAGCGATTACGGCACGATCAAGTCTTGACTGCGTCAGAGCGCCTTGGTACTGTGACAACCACCGCACGACGATGGGAAAGAAGAAGCCAAATAAAGCGGAGACGGCCGGAGGCAGTACACCAGAAATGAATGTAAACGACCATGGAGACGCAGTGGACCAGTCTTGCAGGAAGTGGACGAAAGACGTCAACTAGACAAGGGTGTTGGTGAAGAATTCATGAGATTCCTTGGAACCACTTACCGAGGCCAAGTTCGCAAGAATAGAGATAACGAACAGCGGAATAGTGTTGAAGAAGCAAACGACACCGAGGAAGATCCAGCCCGTCGTCTTCTTGGCCCTGATCTCACTTGGAGTCTTGTTCAGGTTCTCCCAAATCTATCGTACGAGAGTCAATGGACAAGGATTAATGCGAAAATCAATTAAACGCACAATGTCCTTGGGATTAGGTGCTAAAGTGATTGACGTGCCCTTGACATGCTTCCTCCTGAGCATATTGGCGACTATATGCGCGTAGGAAACAGCACCCATAGACGCGAAACCATAATTTTCAGCCTTGCGGGTGTCAATCCGATTTCGATATTCCTCGACAGCGCTTTCGGTCCTCTTAAGCTTGGCACTGCATGCAAAAGCATTAAGATCGTGGGTATGAGTGAACTATTCGGGAGTGAGACGTACGTGAAGAAGTCGATAGCATCAACCTTCTGTCCACCGCACCACATGAAGCCGCCGAGGCGTCGCGTAGGCCGCTCTTTAGCAATCTTGCCATCCTTCAAATACCGGACGAGGACAGCTTCGAGCTCACGCACGGCCTGGTTGTGATACTCGATGAGCTCTGGCAGCTTGCCAACATGCCGACCAATGTGCACAGAGGTGGTTGGGTACGGCGCGCCCGTACTTTCGAAGATTGCGCGCAGACCTTCGTCAGACTGGTACTTCTTGGAGACCTGGGTGATCATCAGGGTCCGCGCGTAGAAAGACTGAATGTATTCCGGAGAGCGGAACCACTGCTTGCGGAGGAGGAGGACAGTCTTCCAGTTCTTCCAGATGGAGACCATAACAATGAAGCAGATAATGTAGGTGGCAGCAACATGGACGAAAAGCACTTTGCTGTCGAGGTCGCGAATCGTCAGCATGGAAAGGGCGTCTCGGTCGTCGGAATTGACGTTCTGTAGGTTGTAGACGACGTTGACCGGAATAAGCGCGGCGCATGTAAGCAGAGCAACACCAGTGAAGAGCCAGCGCATCATGCGGAGAAAGCGAAGGAAGATGGCCGCGTCCAATCCTATCTTCTCCACGAGAACCGGCTCTTTGGTGTGTAAGAGCGGAGACACCCAGCCGAGGAGAGAGTCGGAGATGGGAGGAGGTTTCTTGTCGCCGCCATGATATTTGACCTTTGGCTCGTATACAATCTGCAACGTACCAGTGAGTGTGACGTCCTTGGCAGCCGTAACATTTTCGCAGGGGTGTGAGCAGACCTCAGAAGCCTCTACCTACTTTATTCCTAGGCCGAAGAACGTTGAAAACAATGATAGTACAAGTCTTCGTAGACAAACGATTAGAACACCAGCACGAAAGTCGCAAACGGCTCATAACTCACTGAAATGACCGTCATTAGTGCAACTTGGGAGCCAACCGCTGCGGGCGCCAGCGTCCGCAGATTGGCACTTTGGTTTATTAGGTCACCAAACTTGCCCGACATAGTGGAAAACTACGAAGGAAACGATGGTGGTGGTTTGAAGTTGAAGGAGTGGAGTACCGTCGAGGGAGAGCTGAGAACGGATGAGCGCTTGAGAGCGGAAAACAATGCCCTGTGCGTTAGAAACCGTCACAAAGGAAGTTAAGTTAAGTTTGACCGATCTGTTGTTACCTTGTTACACACTAATTCTTACTTCGCTTCGAGGAATTGTTCTCGGCACTGCCTCGGCCCAGCAAGGCCGTAACGCGTAAGGTCCTGACGCATTATTCCGGCGGTGCAAAACCTGTCAGAGACAGACAGGCGTGAACAGACCGCGCACGAGCGACCATGGCGATGCTGGACTTGTTTGTGCGAACGTCCAAGCCTCCACCGGCACCTCTGGCAACTTCTCAGGAGATCAGGGATCGTGGTTCCACTTTCATAGCCAACGCATTTAGGGCTAGCAATGACGAGGAGGCGCGTAAGGCCGTCAACTATCTCAAAAATGTGATGCATGGGCAGAAACGTGCGACACACGAGATGTATGCATGGAGGTGCATGGTACTGAAGCAGGGCAAGACTGGGCTGGGTGGTGAGGAAGAATTCGAGGTGAAGCAAGGGAATGAGGATGACGGCGAGAAATTCGGGAGTGCGAGGGTCATGAAGATCATGCAAGCGGAGGGGGTGATCGATGCAGTCGTCGTCGTTAGCCGATGGTGCGTATCACGCCAAACATATCACCGGTCCCGTACCCTCATTCTGTAACCTAGGTACGGGGGGGAGATGCTCGGTCCGGCTAGGTTTAATCACATCGAAATATGTGCCCGTGAGGCTTGTCGAGCCTTCAGGCTGCGGGATGAGATCGAAGAGGAAGTCGCCACACTCCGCTCACTAGATGACATCCTTGCAACACTTCGCTCTGAGCTGGCAGCTGTGAAGTCCCAGCCTGAAGAGGCGAAGACAAACGCCAAAAAGCCTGACTACGATGCTCTGCTCGCCACCTCGGACGTAAACAAAGTCAGACGTCTTGTTGCTGCACGAGAAAAGGCTATACAAAGTGTCAAGATGTCTATTCAGAAGTCAAAGGCTCAACCGAACAAGAAATGAATCTGACGGCAACAGTGAAAATGTTGGCTGAAGGTGAGTAAATTGGCTTCATGTATCAAAGTACTTGTTGTACACGGATCGTGAGCGACGCGCTGCATCCTTGCTTTCCAGGTACGATAGCAATAATGCAATGTTCAAGGATTTTGCGTATTCGGAGCGCTGCTCGAAGAGCAAAGTGTGGTCGTAGCCTCGGATGTTGCGCACGTGTCAATGCACAACGACTTATGTTTTCGCAACACCACTTCAATACAACCATAGAAGTGCAGATCGCAGATGCAGTGTTACAGAGGACTAGAGGTAGGACCTAGTCGTTCGCTGACGTCTTCATCTGCGTACAGACGGGTGTACCGTGCTGATCGCTGTCCTTGAAATTCACCAGCATACAGGAATTTGCGATCGGCCAATTGGGAATCAGCCGCGCTTTGGCGTCGGTCTGTCAGCATTGTAGATAGCTGATCCTCTTCGTAGGTCTTTTGTGCAGTTTGACATGGTCGGAGCTCTGTACATGCACCGGAGTCCTTGTCATAGATCTTATGGAAGGCCGTCATCCTTATCGGCGTGTGAGATAACGGAAGTCCCCTGGCACCCCCATCCGTTCTCTTAAGTCTTCTCTATTGTTAGCTTTGTGGCTGAGCGCTGGCTGAGGCCTGAGGGACTGAGCGCTGAGCAGACGCGTTGTACCTGCTGGTTTGACCTTGTTGCAGGGCTTGGGGCATGTCTGGTTCTCCTCGCCGAAGCAGCACGTTCCTGGCGGTTTCAGCTGCGCAGCCTTTCGCATCATGGAAATCGGTTTTGCAAGGCTGTTTCGAGCTCGTTATGGCTCTTGTCGCGTCTAGACCGACCAACGTTGCGTTCGGCTCTGCCCTAAGAGGTCAAGAAAAGCAAGAAAACGTTCGCTTTGCATGTGTTCGTGAAGAATGTTGAGGCCTGCGTGTGAGGATTGGCCCGTGAAAGCGCACTCCGGTAGTGCGACCCCAGGCACTGGCCACGTGGATATCTGGCGGGTCCAGACAATTTGCTTGCTCCGTTAAGCCGACCCCTTGCAGAGGGCCACTAATATTCGGTCCCCGGCTTTTATGAAACTTGCGCTCAATGTTTGAAGACACTTCTTGACCTCAACGACGCCCATGCCGTCTACGAAGAACTCGTTGTCGATACGTTTGACCGAATCTGTGGTCTTTCTGCGTACGGGCGATGGCACAGGCCGTACGAGGCATGGCTCTCAGTCGGCTGCACCTCCTGCGATGGTCAGAGGGCTTCTCACACTGAATCTAGTCAAGCCCATGAAGATATCTAGCGTCGAGGTTGAACTAGTAGGGAAAACGAGCACAGCTTGGCCAGAAGGTACGCTTTATTTGCCATTCTTGTTTGCTGTCCCAGTGGCAAGCATTGTTTGTGCTAATATTTTTCGTTCCAGGTATCGGTGCACGACGTGTTGAGATCAGCGAAGACCATAAGATTTATTCCCAATCTTGTGTCTACTTCAAGGCTGGCTCCACCCCGTCCTCCTCACACCGCCGAACATTGTCTGTTGGCCCTGGGCTTCATCTTGACCATGAGCTGGACGCCGAGCGCGAACACAATAATAGCGATGATGCAGAGCACTTCAGCGAGCTTGGGGACCACGAAGAGCGACGAGGAAGACATTCTGTCAGAGGAGAGCGAGGACGTCCACCTGTACGGCACCTGAGTGCGGACCAGACCCATTACCACACCGGCATCGTCTCTCAACACAACGAACAACTTCCGACTCCACCCTACTCACCAATTCACTCGCCTGCGATGACACCATTACACAGGAGTCCTGTGCCTTCGCGAGCCCCGTCCATCATCACGCCCATCCGCCATGACTACTCGCCACAGCAGAGCCAGGAGGATTACTGGCGCACATACCCAGAGCGCGATGAGTCTAGTGAGCGCTTGAGCTGTGCCGTTCACTCACGAGAATGCTGATATACGGGAAATTTCAGGCTCGCGTGATCCTTCTACACCGGGACACGAGTCATTTACGTTCTTCCCCCCGCGCGATGGGTCGCTCTCGCGAAGAGTGAGTTACGACGAATCGCGTCCAGATTTTATACCTGGAAGCAGTAGCGGGCGCATATCGTCGCAGACCTCAGGTGCACGCCTACCATACAGCCCGACGCGGATCGGCAGCCACGATGCGCATTCCCCGCAGCTACACGACGACGGCCGTGGACGCAGCAAAGGGAAGCGGCTGAGTAGCATTGGCATGTTCTTTGATGCCGTTAGGGAGCGTGTCCGCTCTGTATCGCGCGCCGAACGGGACGCAACGCCGTCGCACAGCCTCACTCGCTCCAGAGATGCTCGCGATTACAGTCCTGATATGCACGAATCGAGTATGCGGAGAGGGCGAACGCGAGAGCCCAAAGAACGGTCAGCGTTAGAGCGCGTGACTGAGGTCTTAGGGCTCGAAAGTGACGAGGACGAGTCGGGAGATAACTGGAAGGAGTTTCGAAAGGGTAAGTCGGCTGGCTATTGAACCCGATAATTCACTCATATACTGTCAGGCGTATATACCTATCCAATATCTTTTACGATACCCTCCAGTTCACCGCCTACCTTACACTGCGATTTTGGCTCGGTCACCTGGCGACTGAAAGCGACAGCGCATCGACCAGGAAAATTCACGACGAAGCTCACCGCGACGCAAGAGGTGACTGTTGTTTCCTGTCCTGGCGAAGATGATACAGAAGATACGGAGAGCATTATCGTTGAACGACAGTGGGACACGCAGATGCAATACCTCATCATGGTATCTGGCCGGAGTTTCCCGATTGGCGGCGTCATCCCCTTCAGCATTACCTTCGTACCGTGGACGAAGATGAAGATCTTCAGGCTCTCAATGATCATCGAAGGTATGTCTTTCGCCAATCGATCTGAGGCGTTCTTTTGACTTCATTTGCAGAGCGAACCGAGTATTACACGGATTTTAAACGCTTGGTTCGCGCGGATCCGGTTAATCGTGTTGCGCTGCTGTCTTTGAAGAGCCCGCACAAGGATCATCCGCTTTTACCACTGCACTCGGAGGACATCGAGGCATTCAAGGGCTCCACCCTGTACGGCGATGCTAACTCCGAGGAAGACCTCTCCGAAGCCATGTCGCAGCTTATGGGCTCCGGGCCGTGGTCAATAATGCAAAATATACCTCTGGCAAAGTCATGTAACGAGCTACACTTCACGAACAAGAACAAGAAGAGCAACATCACGGTCTCGCATACCCTCAAGATCATCTTCAGGGTTCAGCGCGGAGACGACCGGGAGATCGACCCGCAGACTGGCAAACGGAAGATGTTCGACATTGTCGTGCAAACGCCTATCCATATCCTCTCTGTAAGCGTTAGCCTCTCCTTCCAGATGATTGCTGACGCAAACCACAGTGCTTGTGCCGGCCAGACTTCACTGCGTTACCACCATACTCGGAATCGACATCGACCGCTGCCTCGCTCTTGTCCAATCCGCCGCTCTGCGCATGCAGTGCAGGACATACACAACGCCGCACCTCGGGCGACACGACACCGGTAGATAGCTGGATGCATGATATCCCGTTCCCAACCCGGGGCAGCTTCCACTGGCACGCCTCTGGCTCTGGCTCTGGCTCTGGCTCGCACACGCCGACGTCGCTCGAGATGACGCACCACGCGCCGAGCACGAGTCGTCCGCCCATGCACCGGCTCGAGAGTCTGCTCGAGCGCAACACGCGTTTCGAGCGGCTCATGACTGGGCAGGAGAGCGAGGCTGGCGAAGCACCGCCGACGTACGACGAGACCGTTGGGCACCACCAGACCCACTAAACGTCCAGAATACACCCTTGTGTTGTCTTCACATCTCGATCGAACTGTCGTCGTCTTTGTCTATCTTGTAGTAGATGAAAATTTGCATTAGAGAGGCAGTGCAACAGGATCATGCAGTTACATGTGCGTAACGACCCTATAGTACACGAAGAATGCCAGAGAGAAGGCTTTCGTAACGGACCAGGGTGAAGTGGAGACTGGGGCTGTGAAGACGTGTGAACTTCGAGTATGTGGTCCGCAGTAAGTGGCAGTCAGTGGTTAACCCTTCGTGCAAGCTACGCAATCCTGTTCTATGTGCAGTCTGGTCCACGCTTGCTAGCTTCGTGGATTGAGCCTCTGACGGCGCCCGAAGAGGACGCCTGCCGGCCATGTCTATCTTGACACATCTAAACCACACGCGCACCAGCATCTGGTTAGATTTGACGGCCGCCGGATATTATTTTGCTTTCATGGCATCGTCTAATGCATCGTGGCACGCAGGGTCGCAAGGGGCTAGGGAGCCGTCTGTAACATTTAGCATGTCTGTCTAATAAACGACGTTGAGATTGCACCGCCAAGGATACGGAGATGAACTCCTGTGAACTAGGGTGCAGCGGTAAAGACGATGAGGCGTACGCGTTGCATAGGCCAAGGGCGGTTCAGTTTAGACATAGACACCGGCCGGCGGTGGCCTCAACGGTCGCAATTCATTTCGGTTTGAACCTCCTGAAGAGGGGATAGTGCTGAAGTATGAAAACCACACGAAGAGAGGCCGACCTCTAGACATCATCTTAAGACTGCGATAACCAGTCGAAGTCGAACGTCGGTGTAATAAAAATACATACACGACACAACGGCACCGGGTCGCCCTACACCTGTGTGTGGCAATCGGGTAGCATGATATGAGCCCGAACTTACGATGGGCTTTCAAGGGGTTCACTGGGAGCAACTGTTCAGGCTCCCACTCCCCTTGCTTAGCTATTGAGAATGTGAATACGTCATACCTTGGAGGTGCAGGTCTAAGAATACGTGTCCAAGGTGAGCGTGGGCTGCTCATATGTTCATGAACTAGAGACTAGAGCCCTCACCAGTGTTTCTGCCGACCTGCGAGTCTCTCACGCAGATATCTTTCGATATGAAGTGATGTAGTGTATTTGCAACAAAGTCATCTTGTAGAGAAACTTGAAGGCGGTGACATGCAGGGGAACTTTCTGGGAGATGGGCCGTCTCGCATTACGACTTGGTTTAGAAGCGAGCCTTGCAACTCCGTCGGCTGTCTCTCTGGCTAGCTTTCGTACTCCAGGTGTTAAAATCGCTGACGAGCACCGCACGGCAGCGGCCGCCATCGAAAGCTTCAGTCCGAGCCGCTTTAGGAAAAGCTGATCGGGCCAACGCAGATCTGAGATTGAGAGGAGTGCACACTCCGCCTCAGAGACCTGTAAGCTTTCGCCGCGCTTCGCACTCTCCAGCCCCCGGGATTTTGACTGCTGCTCGATGAAAGACAAACTATCTCCTCGACCACGACGCATCTCGATCACCATTATCTAGCATTATTCCCTCATCCACCTCCCGCACGACTGAAACCACGCGCATGTCCCCGCTCTCTCAACAGCGAAAAGACCTCTGGGAACACCGTTTCTCGAGCCTAGGGCATTACATCAGGACACACCTTAACTTTTACCGCGTTCACATCTTGTTCTTGTGAGTGCCAGTCTTGTGTGCACCTTCTGCGACGATCCGCCGGCTGACCCTACCCGTTCGAAGCACATTCGCCCCCCTTATCGCCTCCGGCATATTCTATGCCAGCAACGGAGAACATCACATCAGCTACATAGATGCGCTCTACAACTGTGTCAGCGCCGTCACTGTTTGCGGCTTGGCCACTATCGATCTCAGCAGTCTCACACCATGGCAGCAAGTCATCTTGTTCATTCTGATGTGCATGGGCAGCCCAGTACGTCCCATCGCTCTCTCACTGTAGCCAATACTCAGTGCGTTCTAGGTGGTTGTCTCCTGGGTAATGGTCTACGTTCGTCGTGAATTCTTCGCCAGCAAGTTCCGTCATGTCGTCGAGACCGAGCTTGCGCGACGGGTAGCAAACAAGGTTGATGCGCCGGTGGAGATTCACCTCGTGCCATGGTGGAAGAGGGCAACTCGAGTCTTGACTGGCAGGAATCTGTCGACGATCCCAGAAGCGACTAGCAGTACCGGTAGCACTACGCGGGAGCGCGAGCTGGACAAAGACAAGGAACGGAACCATGCGGCTGTGAATCGCTTACGGCCAGAGATGATTCGGCGCATGAACGACGCTCCAAAACTCATCAATCCCAGCGGATATATCAGTGAGGGACATACTCCTGAAATACCATCTGCGGGACTCCCGGACCCTCCACATCCACTGTCGCTTGGGACCTCGGAGTTCGAAGTACTGGCAGAAGATACGTTGCAGGAGACGAAGGAAGAAGCTCGGAGACAGTTGAACCATTCCAGTATATCTTGTTCAGAGGATAGCATTGACCGAGAAAAGTGAGTCTATTCGTAGATCTGGTCCCATGATTGTCCTGACATCTTCAAGGGGGAAGCATGAGTTGCAAGGATCGCCCTCCAAGAACAACGCCCCGACTTCCGGTGCGCACTGGCAGCATATATACGCTCTCATAACCGGCTGATGCGTGTGCACAGGGCAAACGTTCATGCCAAGAATCCGGCAGAACACGGGTGAGGACGGTTTACCTCACACTCAGACCATCGAGTTCGCTTTGGGCCCGCGACCAGACCGGGACCAGAACGAACAGGGAACGGATCCTCTCGCACCGACCGAGTTTCGTTTTCCCAACCCTTCCTCGCCACGCATGCGCAGAACCTCGTTGCCCCGCATTGGTACGTTGCCGCACACGGCGACCATGCCCCGCACGGGGACCCTACCGCGGACCGCAACGACACATACATACCGTTCGATGCGAACGAAGCACCGCGGCTTCGGTGGGTTCCCGATGCCGGACCAGATTGTGTCGCGCGTCATGAACTACTTCTTTCCGGGTCTTCGACGACAGCTGACGAGGACACTCACGGTGCCACGCACACAAACAATCGTCTCACAGCGCGCAGGGAGCGTGGTTGGGCCCGACGTGCGCGCTGTGCCATATATATCCTTCGAGGCGGTGGTTGGCCGTAACTCGGCATTTCAGCAGCTTACGAGAGACCAGATCGAGGAACTGGGCGGTGTAGAGTATCGCGCACTGACTGCACTGCTTTGGATAGTTGGCGGAGTGAGTTCATCATCCGTCGTTCTCAAATCGTGGAGTCGCTTATAAGCGATTGACTTCTTTCAGTATCACATACTATCCCAACTTCTCGCTTTCACGGTTATTGCGCCGTACATGTCGCTATCTAGGTGGCACTCTGACTTTGTGCCCCCGGCAGAGCACCGACCCGTCTCTTCTACATGGTAAGATTCGTTCTCCCCACCCGAACTCCTTTGGATTCACCGCCTACCGAACAGGTTCTCGTTGTTTCAAGTCGTCTCCTCGTATACCAACACCGGCATGTCGCTAGTTGATCAATCAATGGTCCCATTCCAAACAGCATATCCTATGATTTTATTCATGGTCTTCCTGATTTTTGCCGGAAACACAACATTTGTGAGTTGTTGCGTTATATTTAGCTCACCGTGAGTGCTTACATTTCGTCATAGCCTATATTGTAAGTCTCTGGTGCGCATATATTGGCATTCGGCTGATTCCTTCGCTGTACAAATCAGTCTACGTTTCACGATGTAAGTATCTCCCTTTCGAATGCCTCTTAGCGTGCTTGACTCCGTTTCAGTTGGATAATATCAAAACTAGTTCCGCACAATTCGCGCTTAAGCGAAACTATACACTTTCTCCTCGATCACCCTCGCCGTTGCTTCATATATCTTTTCCCGTCGCACCAGACATGGTTTCTCCTTAGTGTGGTTCTAGCTCTCAAGTACGTATTTTGATGTTTATCCATCACTAAACCGTGCTCACTATCGAATAAACAGCCTAACAGACTGGTTCTTCTTCTTGGTGCTAGACTTGGGTAACCCCGCCGTGACGGTAGTTCCGACCGGCGTCCGGGTCATCATAGGCCTACTTCAGGCCGCTGCTGTCCGCTGCGCCGGTTTCGCAGCAGTATCTCTCTCCGCTCTGGCCCCTGCAGTCAAGGTGCTATATGTCCTCATGATGTATGTTTCCGTCTGTAGGTGTCCCTCTCTTTTACGATTGGCTATGTTTGTTCATTTTCCCTTAGACCCCATCGCGATGAGTGTCCGGTCGACAAATGTCTATGAGGAGAAGTCGCTCGGTGTCTTCGAAGATGACGATGCCTCCATTGGCGAAGAGGGCTTCACGCCGACTGGACACCGCGCTACGATATGGAGTCGCTACCTCGCGATGCATATGCGCAAGCAGCTCTCCTTTGACATGTGGTGGCTTGGCCTTGCTCTGTTCCTTGTGTGCATTGTCGAGGTAAATATTCGTATCCATGCTTCTGACATGGGCTGACTTGCATGTCTTAGAAGGACAATCTGGAAAATCCGGATAATCTGAGTTGGTTCACCATTTTCACCATTGGTCAGTTTCAGTTTACATAGATGTAGATCCATGTTGACGAGTCGCAGTGTTCGAGTTGGTATCCGCCTACGGTTCTGTAGGCCTCTCACTTGGCCTGCCATACGTATGTCTTGTCTTTCCACTTCAAGAACGCGTATCTGATCCTCTCCCTGTAGGCCAACTACTCCTTCTCTGGCGCCCTCAGGCCCCTCTCCAAGCTCATCGTCTGCGCCGTTATGCTCCGAGGCCGGCACCGCGGGCTGCCTGTTGCCATTGACCGTGCAGTGATGCTGCCCTTCGAGTTCCGCGCCTCAGACATGCACGACGAGGAACCACAGGATGTGGCATCGCCGCGCCGGAATTCGCAAGACTCGCCGTACGCGAACGGGACGCACAACGACACGGGAAACCCGCCATTCGAGAAGCTCCAGCGCCGCTCGTGGCACACTGCGAGCCCCGACAGCGCGCAGCTCCGCCGGCCGACCAGCAAGGACACCCAGCTGGATGCACACTGAGTACCTTGGTCCCTGTATTATGTTTCTATCCCTATCGCTATTAGCTACGGACTCTCACGATTTTATATCCCATCAAGTAACTGTACCAACACTATCATCCTCCATCATCGTACTGTTTTATCACTAACATGACGCAAAGATAGATGCCGTTTCTATCTGCTTGTGACTGGATTGGTACCTGATTGGCTTAGGGTTAATCGTTAGACGTTAGACATTTAGTATCGCCCGTTTTGCAAGTATTGTGGCAACCAGCTACTCCGTGGATCAGCTAATTAGCCTCCCTCATATGAACTCTACGTGCTAATAATTATTCGTCGCTCGCGCCCGTCTGTCGTCGACACACTATGGCGAGTTGTTACGTCTTGGAGTCGTCTATTCACAATATCCACCGCAGTACATACATTCCGACGTCCTAGGATCCACGGTCACGCACACCGATGACGATAGATCCGTCTTCTCCATCAAACGCTAAGCCAGTTACGACCCTAACCTCGTATAAAAATACGACAAGCCTAGCGTCGAGGCAGTGCAGAGCCCTCCCCTGCAGCAAGCTATCATGGCGATGCCTAGTAAGTACCATGCAGCGTTGAGCTGCTCGAGCGTCGTTTTACGCGTTCAGTCTTCACAGCAGGACTACCTGGAGACCCGGACACCAGCGGAACCTTTCCCCAGACTTCGCCAAGTCCCATACGATACATGGACTACGCTCAGCAGAGTGTTTATGTCGATACCCCCGAGACTCTCTCGCGCAGAGAGACAGACGAGAAGTACCCTCCACCGAGCGCGTCGAGTGGGCAGTGGCACGATACAGCGCCGTCGTCTAACGTTCCCGCTGCCTCAAGGAGATGTGTGTATCCGCACACCAGCTGCATGTACAGCGATCACTAAGCGAGTCACATCTACAGGGACACAAGAGGACCAAGACAAACAGGACGAAGAGGCCAAGAACAAGGCCATAAAGGAACTGGTCAGCTCCTGGATGGACCGTCTCCAGCTGATCTCCGTCATTGTAAGCCCACCGTTGCGTAAACGGGACAGTGTTCACGTCATGGCTCGCAGACGACCTTCTTCGCCGCAATAGAAGCGCAGCTGCTAGGTACCGTGACGCCTAGTAGCGATCCCAATGGGGTTACAGGTATTAACCAAGCCTCTGCCGCGACACTTTCGAGTGCACTGGTGGTGCACAGCTTCGCAGGTAAGCTGCATCTCATTTACGCAGCCCCATGCGTGCTGTTCCCCATGACGAAAGCTCGACGAAAAGCGGCGGTGCTGACTGTCATCGATCTCGCGCAGCCATGCTCTCCTTCGTCGCCGCCTTCTTTCTTGTGCGCTTCCGCGTGCATGAGGCGAGCAAGCAAGAAGTCCAAGTGGAGAAACAGCTCGAGGCCGGACCTGCGCCAAGATCATCGGGAGACCAGAAGCCCAGGCAGGCGTCGCAGGCCCCCGCCCCTCCCCAGGTATGGTCGTCGAACCCGCGGCTCGAGCAGGTCGGCCCCCTGCGCAGAGGGAATCCGCCGACGCATCTGCTCGAGAGCTTCCACACACTCTGCATGGCGCTCTCCGTGATCGGCTTCGTACTCGCGATGGTCGGGATCATGTGCTACGTCTGGGCGTTGATGCCCACGAGCTCTATCGTACTGTCGACCGGCGTCATCGGTCTGTCTATCATCGCCTCCGTTGTAGTATTATTCTTGCCACATAACTTCTCGCTGCTCTCGCCCAGTCACGTTATCGAACCTTCCTAACTACCCACTTGCACTCATATAACGCTTATACCACATCTTCCTAGTATCCATGTAATTTGATACCCTCTAACGTTCTCGTGGACCACACGTATGTATCATGATAAGAATATGATCCCTACAAGTAAGCTACACCTTACATATTGACATCCTGTAATCATCGTTGCAGCCCCGCGAATAGTCAGGACGCAAGAAACATGGGATCGATATAGCGTACTAGTGTAATAATTACAAAAATGCCGATGAATAAGTGAGACGATGGACGCAATACATAAAGCCGTGAGAAATGCAAGTATGAACGAAAAAGACGAATAAGTCTAAGACGCAGGCGCCAGCATGCCCAGCAGTTTCTCACTGTCCATGGACTTGCCCAGCAGCCGTGTACACCGCTCCTCGTCCTTGTCAAGGCCTGCACCTTTCATCATCGCGACGAAGTACTGCGGAGCCTTCGGCGCGTCGACGGCGATGTCGTCAAGGAACTCGGCGGTACCCTCGAAGCCCTGCTCGAATGTCGCTGGCGAGGCAAGGTTCTTGGCGACCGCGCGAGCGAAGAGGTCGGAGACAAGCGTGACGTCCGACTCTTTGGACTCGAGCGCGAAGCTGACAAGCTTGTCGACCAGCTTATGGCGGTGCTCGACAGGCAGCTTCGTGAAGTACACCTCAGCCTCCTCTAGATCGCGGATGCTGAAGAACTCCTTGGTGTCTTCTGCAATACGTGCCTTGACCTCCTCGTCTGACATTTGTGACGGAGCGGCGTCGCCACCTTCGTCCTCGGAAGGAACCGTAGACCCTGCTGGAGTGTCGTCGGGCTTAGATACTGTACGAGGAAGGAGGTTAAGCTTGCGACGCTGTGGAGCAACCTCAGGAGCACCACCGGAACCAAGATCAATGGAAGGCTTGCGGCTCGGCGGACGACTGCCCTTGGACGCCGGGGGACCCTCAACTGAGATCTCGGAGTTGCCGAGCATCGAGAACATGTTGGCAGAGCCCTGCCTTGGGATTGGTGTTGAGTCGCGTTTGCCTTCCTTCTTTCCAGCGAAGACACTGCTGGGGCCGAAGGTCATTGTCGCAGGCTTGCTGATCTTGCCAAAGTTCGACAGGTCGCCGGCCTTGGGAGGGACACTACGAGTAGAGCCACCGGCAACAGCCCAGCCATCGGGACCGACTTGAGGCTCGCCACGTTCGCCACCCCGTCTTGACCCGCCACGGGACATACTGAGAGTGCGTTGGTATTGCTCTTTCTCAACATTGGCCTTCTCCTTCGCAGCCTGTATCACAGTGTATGAGGAGCAGCAAAACACTAGAATAGGGATGAAGACGCACTAGTTCGTGGACGGCAGCAAGTGTCGTAGGTGCAGCGGCCTGGTTACGTGGTATCCATTTCCGCTCACGAAGCTCAAGAATATCCTGAAGGAAGTTTTAGTATGATGGACAGCTTTGTATAGCCTGAATGTACGAACCTGAAGCATGAACTGCATACGAGACGTGACATTCTGGCTCTTGGTCAGCTCCTTCATGCGCGAGAAGTAAACGTCCATGTGTGCGCGAGCCTTAGGAGTATCCAAGAGGGCGCCAACAGTGGTGAGCAGCCTGCAGAGCGATTCGATCTCTTCCTCTTCAGGGTTCTCGACGTTGCCCAGGAGCTTCTTGACACACTCGTGCATAATACGCTCCGTGAGCATCTGCAGCTTGAACAGCTCACCAATGAACTTGATGAGACCGAGACCCTGACGCTTGGCCTTCTGCGCGGCGTAGTACTCTTCGGAGTAGAGCGCGACCTCGCCATCACCGCTGTTCTCAGCAGCGGCCTTGGCGGCCTCGTCCTCGCCGGCCTTCGACGCGGCAGCAGCGGCAGTGGATTCCTTAGAGGCCCATCCGCGCTCGAAGTCCTCCTGACAACGATTGAGGAGGTACTTGCGGAAGAGGTGACCACCAGTGATATGCTTGCCCTCGGCATTACGGATGCCGTCGTCTTGGACCTTTGGCGAGATCTGCTCCATCATCTTGCGGCAAAGGCGAGCGTACATCTCGGACCAGGTAGCCTCATCAGTCGCCTTCTCGAAGACAAGCTTGATGACCTGAATGAGTGTGCGGCCATCCTTCTCCTTCTCGGACCTGTTGGCCCATGCGATGATCTGGTCAGAGATAGAGTCGAACTTCTCCATAGTGAGCTTGTTGAGGAGGCCCTTGACCTTACGTTCGACAACCTCGGGGGACTCATCGTCGCCTGCGCCCTTGCGGCCCATACTTTGCGGGGTCCAGCGATTGGCGGAGAACTCAAGGGGAGCAACGGGCTCAAAGTTAGCCAGCTGGGCGGCCGCAGAGTTACCAAACGCGGATGGTTGCGATGGTGCAGCATTTGCATTGCGGTTCTCGCCACGCTTGCTGCGAGTCCGTTTGTTGCCCATGGGCACGGCACCGGGACCGCCTTGGCTGGAAGAGCGGACCATTGGCGATGGACGACCAAAGGGCATACCTGCGGGGCCACTAGACATGCTCGTAGAGCGATTTGCCATGGCGAACCGTTCCTCGCTGGACATCTTGCCGCCCGGTGTGGCGAACTGGCCCATGGTGAAGCCAGACTGCTTGAAACCAGAGATACCGAGGCCAACGCCACCACCCGGACGAGCGGTGGACGACGGTGGTGGCATGCCAGAGATGGACGGTTGACGACGGCCGGAGCCACCGCGAGACATAGTGAAGTGTTGATCGGAAGGTTCTAGACCTATGGCGTCGAGGGGAGGGAGAGAATCAGGCTTCTCCTTGCAGACAGCCATGAACTGAAGGAGGAAGTCGCGATCGTAGCTGAGAAAGAGTTTATAGTCAGCCGCGGCAAAGACACGTTTGAGAACAAGACCCACCGGAACTTGCCCTGCTTTGCGTTCATGTTAAGCTCAACCTTCGGGCTCATAATGCCCTCTGGGTAGCTGATCTCAGAAATATCCTCAATGATGCGAGCAGTGGCCAGAGCGGACGGTAGCGCTGATTGAATAGGGCCTTTTGTCCCTGAGAGATCAAGTGGCCCGGGCCGCTTCTTGTCGAGCGTGGTGTCAAGGCGCAGAGGAGGCTTCTCTGGGACCTTGTCGCGGGCCTCGGCATCGTCTTTCTGATCCTGTTCCTCGAGCTCGCCCTCCTCAACCTCCTGCGATTTGGGCTCAGCAGGTTCTGGCTCGGGAGCAGCCTCGGCCTTCTTAGCGGCCTGCGCCTCAGCGGCAGCCTTCTCCTCGGCCTCGATGCGCGCACGCTCTTGCTCTTCGGCCTCGCGTTTCGCGCGCTCCTCTTCCTCCTTCTGCCTTCGCTCGGCTTCTTCCCGCTCCTTGCGCACTTTCTCTTCGGCCTCCTTGCGTACCTTCTCTTCGGCCTCCTTGCGTACCTTCTCTTCGGCTTCCTTGCGTACTTTTTCTTCGGCCTCCTTGCGTAGCCTCTCCTTCTCCTCCTCTTCCTTTTGAATACGCTCCCTCTCTTGCTCCTCCTTGCGCAGCCGCTCCTTCTCCACTTCCTCCTTTTTCCGACGTTCCTCCTCTTCCTTCTCCCTCTGGATACGCTCGGCCTCCTCCTTCTCCCTCTGTATGCGTTCCTCTTCCTCACGCTTGGCTTTCTCCTCGGCCTCGCGCTTGCGGCGTTCCTGGTCTTCCTTCTCCTTCTTGGCCTTCTCCTCATCAGCGAGCCGCTTTAGCTTCGCTTCCTCGGTCTCTATCCGCACTGCTTTCCGCGCTGGCGAGCCCGGGACGGCGGACACAGGCGACTGGACCCCGCTCACGCTGCCCGAAGGCGCGTGTCCCTTCTTGATGCTCTCGATATCAACCTCAACACCGGATGAGTTCTTGATGGTGATCCTGCGAGCAGAGGGGACAAACGGCTTCGCGTTCTGGTTCATGTGAGCGCTGGCAGCGCCAGGGCCGGAGGCGGAGGATGGAGTGGACGGTGGGGAAGTGACAGAGCTGAGGTTGACGGACTGGATGTGAGGGGAAGCGGCGGGCACGGGGACAGCAGGGGTCACTGTGGGCGTACCAGGCGGGTGTAATGATGACGGGGGGTGGCGAGGGGACATTGGCATACCAGACTGCTGGTGCTGGTGCGGAGGTTGGTGAGGGGGTTGGCCACCGGGTGTGTGCGGCGCTTGGTGTGGAGGGGGAACGACGTGAGGGTGCATTTGCCATTGGGGTGCGTACATGTATTCAGGAGGCATGCCTGGGTAACCATACTATACGTGCACAAGAATTAGTTAGCTACAGCTTGAGGAGAGCAGAATACATACGTAATAAGGATTCCAAGCAACAGGCTGTCCAGGCGGCATTGCTGGCGGCTGTCCCGGATGTGGAGGGCCCATCCGCGGTGATGGCATGCCCGCAGACATGGGCGTCGAAGGTGCAGGGGAAGTGCCGGGCGCGCCCTGAGGGCGGCCATTTACATTTGCAGGAGGCGCAGCGCCATTAGGTTGTTGGCGGGGATATACAGGTGACCGTGGTGGTCCGCTTGCGTTGGTGCCGTTCGGCGTGGGCCGCAGGCCGCTACCAGGCACGAACGTTTGGAAGGAGTGACTGCCGAACTGTGACGACTGCGGCGTATGTGAGGTGGAGGGTTGAGGCGGTGACGATGAATGCTGAGGGAGAGGGGCCGGCCGTGTCGAAGGAGACGGGACAGGATCTGACGATGGTTGCAAAGATGGTCCGCCGCCTTGGAACAATTTTTTCACGTCGAGTTTTGCGGTGGATGTCGATGGCTTGGCGGATGCTGACACCGAGGTCGACGCAGATTGTGAGGGTGATGGCTTGCCGTTCACGGCCGGTAGTATGGTGGATTGCGCAGTAACGGAGCCGAACGTCTTGGGAACCTCCGGTTTAATTGGAGGGACGGACGCAGGAGATGAGGATAAAGGTGCGGAGGCATCGTCTATTGAACCGAAGGTCACTGAAGCTGTGAAAATCGATAAGGTCAGTAAAGCGAAGTTTCAATCAGATATGCCGGCGGACGGAGGGGAGCGTTACGGTCAGGCAATGCGACCGGTGACACCGCCATGCATGGCGGTCGCGTTTCCATCAGCTCGCATCGTGCGAATGCGCATGTAGGTCGGTAAAGAACGGCGCAAGGCCGACTAAACTCGGTCGCCACACCCGGACATGTCCCCAGCCCCCGAACGAGGCCACCGGGGATAAAACAAAAGCATTTTCTCCCATGCCATAAGTCAAGGGCGGAGGGCGTACCTGATTTTGGGGCGCCTACTGGGCTGCGAGCTCCGACGCCATCCTTGAATATCACTCCTTGCTGAAGTGTACTTGGTCGTCTAGAGTGGGAGGGTGCGGTAGCTGACGTTGGTGTGATTGGCGGCGCAGGAGACTGTGTTCTCGGTGTGGGTGCCGAAGAGGTATTCTGCGGGGGGCCTTTTAACCAAGCTGACCGTGAGGGAAGCGGCGACGAAAGCTTTGGTGCAGAGGCTGTGGAAGATTTGCTCATTCTTGATGTCGATTGCGGAGTGGAGAAGATAGACAAGTATGAGCACGATTAGGATGATTCGTGAAATTGTCGAGGACGCACGAATTGCAGCGTATGTCTCGTGAAAGCGGGAAGCGATAACTGGGACTGGGAGGTCGCGTGAAGGTCGGTCGTGAAAGATGACCTGCCTGCAGGCGAACGAATGGTCGCGAGTTGGAGGTAAGAAAGGTGCAGTAAAGTCGGATGCTGGGTGTAACAGCGATCCGTGAGTCTTGTCCTAGTCGTGGACAGTGGCAGACAGCGGAACCTTACGAATGAGCCGCACAAAAAATCATGGGCCGGTGCGTCGGAGACCCGGAAAACCCTTACGCAAGTCGGCCGCTCTCCGGGGTCCCCTCCGGGACCGTACTTGACATCATATCTGTGACTCGGGCTCTGGGTATGGACTACACCTCGACAGTTCCATAGCATAATCTCTGTCTGCCCCTTTCAATCCGCGGGACCTAAGCTAAGTTCATTCCAGACATATATTAGTCTCACAGGTCCCGGGAAGCGTGTACACCTCGAGGTAAAGCAGCATAGTCCAAATTGAACAGATCCAATCGGTACACGGGATACAGATACAACGTGCACAGCATACATCATCAAGCCAGCCTACATCCGTGCCTTAGATTCTTTCGCAGCCTTGAGCTCCTTGAGCTGCGCACCCGCAATGCCCTCGTCTGCGTACATTCAATCAGCACGTTGCCGCCGGCATTACAGAGACATTACACTCACAGTTCTGGTGGAACAGCCGGTCGTCAGGAACAGCAACGATGTGCTGGTGTACACTCGACGCGTCGACCATGTCTCGGACGACGTCCTTCATTGTCGGAGCGCCAAGGAGGCGCATATTCATCTCAAACTCGTCCTAGTAAAGGGCTCAGCGCCCACACATTTATACTCCGAACATAAACTTACGTGAAGGATTTGCAGTCCTTTCTCGACACCCTCCTGGCCGTAAGAAGAGAATGCGTACAGGAAAGGCCGCCCGATGCCGACAGCTGTCGCGCCGAGCGCGACCGCCTTAATGACGTCCGTCGCGCGGCGAACACCGCCGTCGACAAATAGCTGGAATTTGTCATTCGGGAATGCAAGCCCGCGCTTCTCCTTGAGCTTGTCGACGACCTCAACGAGAACCTCGACTCCAGAGCGCGCAAAGTCGAGCTGGCGACCACCATGGTTGGAGAGAACGACGCCGGCGAGGCCCTCATCGTACGCCCGCAGAGCGTCTTCCCAGCATTGCACGCCCTTCAGGATGAGCGGCATCTTGGTAATCTTCTTGAACCATGGAATATCTTCCCAACAGAGGCCTGGGTCGATGAAGGACTAGAGATAACATGAGAATAAGCCGGCAAAGACGGGTCAAATTGCGTACACTGATCGCACGGGCCGCTCCCTGAGAACGGTCCACCTTCTCACTGTTCCGCTCCATTTCATCTGGCTCTTCTGCGTCGAATTTTTGACGCATGTCCTGCCCAAAGAAATAGGTCAGCTGGGTTAATTAAGTGGAGAAATCATCGGCTGAACCTTCTCGCGACGGCCAAGCTGCGGGGCATCGACAGTGATAAACAGGCCTTTGATACCGCGCCGTTCGGCGTGCTGCACGAATTTTCGCGTGATATCGCGGTCCTTGTTGACGTAGCTGGGAAGATCGTTAGAAGCCTGAGTAACGTCATACAGTCGTCGCAAACTAACAGCTGAAGGAATTGTGATTGGCCAGGAGTAGCGGCATCAAGAATCTCATCGAAAGAGCACGAAGCCAGGGTTGGAATCTGCGCACAAATCAGGGATATTGTCAGCTATCGGCCCCAATCCCTGTATGTGAGCGGAGGCTTGCCATCTGAATAACACCGTACTTTGCCGCGGCTCGTGTCAGGTTCAGTTCGCCGTCAGGGTGGCCAAGCTTTCCGAGGGCCGTCGCAGTCTACCGAAAAGGCAACATCGTCAGTAAGCCGCATCGTGCTACCTTCGTATGCAGTGCTTACAATGTAGATAGGCATGCTCGAGGGGATTCCCAAAATTTTGGTCGACCAGTCAACATGTGTGACGTTCCGCAGAATTCGTGGACGGAACCATATGCTATGTGCCAGAACACGATCCACAGTAAGCCAGGAGCCCCCTACAACGGAACCACGGTACCTACCGGTGGTAGGCGGCATGATTTTCACGGATGGTGATTTCATCATCTGCAGCTGAGCTATAATACGCCCATCCCTTCTCGTTCATGACCTGTCGCGCTATGGCCTGTAAAGGCCTCCGTTAGTCCCACTCTCTTTGGGGATAACGCTCGGAAACGTACCTCAAAGTCGTGCAAGCTCAAGATCTCCGACAGCGATGGCCGCTGCGCGAAGCGTTCCTGACGGATCTTGTCCTCCTCGCGAACAACGATTTCGACCTTTTCTACAGTAGACAGGTCCACAGAGCCAAGCCTAGAGCTCGCGGATAAGTAAACGACTGAGTGCAGGAAGCATGTACATACTGCTTCTCGGGTGGAAGGTTCTTGGTAATGGCGTCCGGTGGGTGAATGGGGTCATACTCCGCACTATAGAGAGATATTGGTGTGATATTCTTCTGTTGATTATGATAGGTACGCACGTAGCATCCTTGCCGGCGTACTTGAGAATGATCTTGGCTCCTCCTGTGCCGCCGCACTGTTAGGAGACTGCTAGAATTTACATAAACAACAGCGTACCAGGGTGATCTAGCTACTATGTCAACTCTAGTTGCACTATGAACAAGCTCGCGACGCACCTGGCAAGAACTCTGTAACGTCGTACACCTTGCCTGGAATACACGTATAAGCACTCTCCATCGTTGAACTCCTCGACGCGCGGCTGCCCCCATCTCCTGGATCCAGCCGTTCCAACCTATACTCATTACAACTCACCATGAACGATAATCCAGCAGCTGTCGCGCGTATTGTGCTGGGCGACCTCTTCGCCAGTGTACACTTTGCTTGTCATATCGCGTCGCAAATGCTCAGAGCGGTCAAGAACAAAACCAAGAAGAGAGACAACGAGCCAAGACAGAGACTCTGGCGAACGCAAAGGATGTGCGCGGAGAAGAACTTGTATTCTGGGGCCCGCTGCCGCAGGTTTTCCGTCCCGCGGATGGTCGGCCTGCGATAGGAGGCTCGATCGCCCGTCCGCAGGGACGGCCGGATCCCCGTGACCTCCATCGGCGTTCGCCGGCCGTCTGATTGGCTCCTGCGCGGCGCAACATGATGCAGGCGCCGCGTCCTGTGAATCATCAAGTGTCTCATCTCATCCTCAGGACCCCCACCGGCGAGCAAGAGGGGTTCAGGAACCACAAGGAGCGAACTTGAAGCGAATTTGATTACTTCAGACAATGCAGGAGTACAAAACAGCGTGGATACCGCTACACATACGGTCTAATAAAGTATGTGGTGTGAATACAGAATGCAAAAATGGGCCCATCTAAATAGTGCGTCGATATCCCGTGTAGAGTGAGAAGCATGTAGCAGGTGAATAATGCAGAACGTGATGGCCCTGCTGGTATTTTAGATCTCCTCGAAGGCTTTTCCGCCTGCACGCGCGTCCAGGCTGACGACCTCGTTGAGACCTGCAAAATTGTGAGGATCAGGGACCGGAGCGCAGGATAGGTGAAGTGCGACATACCCATGACTTCGAAGAACGCCTTCGGGTCCATGCCCTGCGCAGATGAGAAGTCCGTGCCGGTCTTCTTCAGTGAGCGCATCGCGGCCCGGATACCGTGCACGGCAGCGACGCAGGAGACGAGAGAAAAGACTAATGGTCGCATCATGTTAGTGTCATCGCTCACGTACGGAAGCTGCCGCAGACGTACTGATGATCTTGGCACCCAGATCCTCTGCCTCCTGGCAGGTAAACGAGGGCGTGAGGCCGCCAGAGATGACGTTGACGAGCACAGGCTTCGGCGCGAGCGCAGCGATGGTCTTCGTGAGCAGCTCTGCGGTCTTGACGCCCTCAATGAAGCACACGTCCGCGCCGGCGTCGGCGGCGAGCTTCAGGCGGAAGACGGCCTCGTCCATGCCGAGCACCTGCGCCGAGTCCGTGCGGCCGATGATCACAAAGTCCGAGCCGCCGGGGACAGAGTCGCGCGCGATGACCGCGGCGCGGATGCGCGTGACGAACTCCTCGCGTGAGACGACCTGCTTGCCCATCAGGTGTCCACAGCGCTTCGTCTGCACCTGGTCCTCGATGTGGCACGCCGCGAGGCCGACGCGGATGTACTTGGTGACCGTGCGTGCGACCATGGACGGGCCTCCGAAACTGTCGGAGGTTCGTTAGTGTGCTGAGATGACCGGTCAAGTGGGAGAACCGTACCCAGTGTCCGCGTCTGCGATGACAGGCACTGTCGGGTCGAGCGAAGCGTGCATGGCACCCGCCTCGACAAAGTCGTTCAAAGTCGCAATAGCCAGATCGGGCATGCCAAGGCGGGACGCGGTTGTCGCGGCACCACTACAGGAAATCAAACGTTAATCGCCGTCTTCTGCGAAGCGTATGCCAAGCAAGCGTACCTCTGGTAGAGGCACTCGAAGCCAGCTTCAAGCGCGCAGCGTGCACTGATACCGTCACAGATACCCGGAGCAACCTAAGCGAAATTCATTAAGACATGTATGGACGTGCGAGTTGCGTAACAAGTACGCACCACGATGCCTGGTCTTGCGAGCATCTGGCGGAGACGTGTCGCGGCATTCAGAGACAGGGGGCCCTCGAGGTAGTTCTTTGGGTCGAGGCGGGGGTTGTAGTAGACCGTGCGTTCCCTAATTGGCGCGTCCACCACCGACTCCTCAATGGGAGTAACCGGCTCGGAGATCTCAGCCACGGGGCTGGGGGCGGCAGGCTCAGAGGATCCGTACAACTCGAGGCCTGGCATATCTGCTTGTTTTGTGTAGAGGATGCGAAAGTGCGAGTGCAGGAGGGTGGCTGGTGAGGAAGCTTGTTGATGAGCGGGATGAGGCTGGTAGGCCTTCAGGTGCATGTATTTATCTACTTCGTGTCCTCCGTCGTCTCGGAGGTTCTCACGAGGATCAATGGCTTAGCAGCCAGCATGGCACCACTGTCATAGATCACGCAAAATTTCCATGTCGTGGGCCATCAGAGCGTGCGGTGCTACGCTACTGGCGCAGCGGTAAAAGAAGACGCACCGGAGAAGGCACCTCACCGGGTGAGAATGCGCGAGAACCGAGGAGATGAAGCGGCGTTAAACGATTGAGCAGCATCTAGACATTGTAAGCAGCCTTCGGACTGTCGCGAGAGTCGCCTGCTGTCATGCTAAGAACTCGCGAGCGGGCACACGACCATGGCAAGCACCACCTACGCGATCAGATCTCGGTGCCAAGCATCTCACGCTCCGCAGAGGCCGCAGTTGAGGTTGAGAACGGTATCCAGCCCGCTGGACGCCACAAAGCTGCGCTTGGCAATAGGCTGTAATCCGTGAGGATTGGGTGAGAGCCCGGAATCACTTCAGCGGCGATAGAGCGGGAAATTGAAATTTGACAGCGATCGGGCTGTGCAAAGCAGCGCCTCAATGCAACGAATTCTAATGGGGCCAGAACTCGGTGCCAAGACGAGGATAAATGTGGGTGTGAACAGACTCCGGAAGCTTCCCAGCGGCCCTGCGCCGGCGGTCGAGTGCAACAGGAAGACTATAATGGTGAACTGTAAAGAAGCCAGCGGAACATAACTCGTTCCACGTGCTGAAAATTAATGAGTTAGCATAGTGTAATGGTAAAACTGGACGTTAACTTACGAGCATAAACGATGCGGGGCAGGTTTCTCAAGTGTATTGCCGTACATTAAATGCACCACGAAGCGGTGGGGTAGACTATGAATTGCTTGGCGTGGAAGAGTGAAGCGAACGTTTTTACATACTTTTGATATGCGTTCGCGTCTCCATGTTTCAAGCTCCAAGAGCTGCTCTTGTTCGTCGTGCGACGTTTGCTTGGCGTTTGCCGATCCCCGAAGCGACGTCGGCTCTCGGACAACGTTTGAAGGTCGTAAGCGGCATTGTGCACAAGCCTCCGTTGCGACATCAGCATGCCCCATAGCTCATACAAGGAATGGTAGATACAAATTGCGGGATTATTGCGAACCTACGCACAGGTCGCCGTGGTCGGAGAAAGTGAAGAGCGATGATTGGGGCGCACATCACTGCGCTCTTTGTTGACGCTTATTTGTGCGGGCGCCCGATCTCGGTGCAAAAGCAAGTTCAAAGCTTAAAATTTTTAGGCAGGACAAGCCGATCGGTATGTATGACTTATTGACGTAGCTGGAGTAAACGATCCCAGCTAATCGTGATAGCATGGGACCCACCTTAATACTACTGACAGTTCTCTGCCAGTCGCTCATTTTCGATCTCGTATCGAAGAAGTTGATGTGAAAAAATCGTCCTTGTCCACAATGTGAGCACTCTGGTCCTGGATTTGCGACTCTCGAGTTGCGTTGCAGATACATGATGGCACTGAGGTTCAGCTGCCATCTTCACGTTAGACGCGAAAGTCCGCCTCTGCGCTGCGGAGATAGAGGGGAGGCTCGGACGCCCCATGCAATTCGTCCATACTGTCCCCTGGAGTCTAGATGGTACGTGTCTCTTCAAAGTGGTTCCTCCGCTCGCGGTAGCTTAGTAGTCAGTCGTTCCTTAGATCCCCTGGCGATGCATCTGGACCGTCGCGGCTCTCCGGACTAGACACAGAAGACTGCACCGACCACAGGGGGCGGAGGCTTCTCGACATCGGCTTGCCCGTGTTCCTGCAGGATTTGCCGACCGAAGCCTACGCTTCTCCCCCACCCCGGTCTAACACCGGGGTCTATTATTCTTGCGCTCCGTGGTCCCTATCGCGTAGGCGTAAAGTTCCTCCCGCCGCGCCGCACGCTTGAGTGGTACGCACTGGCTCCTCGGTATCCCTCAGCCTTCCGCCGCCAACGGACTCCGTCTCTTCCGCCGCAGGGTAAATAAAATTAGAGCGTGATGCGGCCTGCTCTGCAGTGTTTTTTGATTCCCCCGCCACTCACAAAACACGCCAAAAATGTCCGACATCAACGTCCTCACAGGCCCCGAGGTTGCAAAGCACAACAGCAGAGAGAGCTGCTGGATTATTGTCCACGGCAAGGTGTATGATGTCACCGATTTCCTCGACGGTACGAACCATAAACGGCCTTGTTGTCTCTTAGCTGAAGCTTGGCTGCAGAACACCCCGGTGGTAGTCGGATTATATTGAAGTACGCCGGTCAAGACGCGACGTGAGTGCATTCTACGCCATTTGGGGTCACTCCTACGCCCATCTAACCGCTATTCAGCGAGGCATACGAGCCTATTCACCCGCCAGATGCTATTACGACCAACCTGCCGGTCAGCAAACAGTACGTGGCAGTGCATTGCAGTTTCATGTAGCTCACACATGACACCAGCTTGGGCGTAATCGATGCCAGCACAGTGGTAAAAGCGGTCAAGGAGGTTACCGAGGAAGAAAAGGCGCGGCAGGCCGCACTCGCCGCTCGTCCGCCGCTGGACAACATCCTGAACATGCACGACTTTGAGGTTATTGCTAGGGCCGTGATTCCGGAGAAGGCATGGGTACGTACACGTCGGCGATATTCTATGGCTGCGGGGTTTGACGTGTTATCAATGCACAGGCTTACTACTCGTCGGGCTCAGATGACGAGATTACCATTCGCGAGAACCGAACAGCGTTCCAACGGTCAGCTGCTGAGGCCAGCAGGATTGTAGCGTCAAGCTTACCTAAAATTGCAGGATATGGTTCCGCCCACGTATTCTCCGGGACGTTTCTGTCGTCGACTGGTCATCAACCATCCTGGGTCACAAGTCTTCTCTCCCTCTGTACATCGTAAGTTCGCTTCCCCCCGGGCATGGTCCCCTTACTAACGGTGCCCGAAGTCTGCAACGGCCCTCGGAAAGCTCGGTCACCCAGATGGCGAGCTCTGCGTCACACGCGCCGCCGCAAAGCACGGCGTCATCCAAATGGTGATTCCGGCGCTCTCTTCGCTCAACCTTCTCGTGCTGATCACGCATGTAGATCGCGACCCTCGCCTCATGCTCCTTCGACGACATCATCAACGCCGAGGCGAACGGACAGACGTTCTTCCTCCAGCTCTACGTCAACCGCGACCGTGAGATCACTCGGAAGTACGTCCAGCACGCCGAGGCGCGTGGCGTCAAAGGCCTCTTCATCACGGTCGATGCCCCGCAGCTCGGCCGGCGCGAGAAGGACATGCGCATGAAGCAGGTCGACGACGGCGCGGGTGCAGAAGTGCAGAAGGGGCAAGACGTCAAGAAGGACCAGGGTGTCGCGAGAGCCATTAGCGTGAGCAATTCTTCTGGCGCTCCCGGTCCGCCGACGCTGACCGAGCCGCCACACAGTCGTTCATCGACCCAAGCCTCTCATGGAAGGACATCCCCTGGTTCAAGAGCATCACCAAAAGTACGCGTCCCTCTCCTCCCCTCCCTCCCCTCCTCTCCTAACTCGCCCCCCACGCAGTGCCCATCATCCTCAAAGGCATCTCGACCGCCGAGGACGCGATCCTCGCATACGAGGCCGGCGTGCAGGGCATCGTGCTCTCCAACCACGGCGGCCGGCAGCTCGACACCGCGCGCTCGGGCGTCGAAGTCCTCGTCGAGGTCGTCGCCGCGCTCCGCGCGCGAGGCCACCACCCGGACCCGAACTTCGAGATCTACGTCGACGGCGGCGTGCGCCGCGCGAGCGACGTCCTCAAGGCGCTCGCCCTCGGTGCGAAGGCCGTTGGCGTCGGGCGCGCGTTCCTCTATGCGTTCTGCGCGTACGGCGAGGCGGGCGTCGAGCGGGCCATACAGATCTTCCGGGTATGTGGTCTCTGTGTGTGGATTACGAGGAGCGATAGGGCTTATGGGGGTATGACAGGACGAATTCGAGATGAACATGCGTCTTCTTGGTGTGCGCACCATCGATGAGCTCCGGCCGGAGATGGTGGACGCCGCCGCGCTCAACCAGCACATCGTGTCCGTGCCACAAGATAACCTCTTCCAGCAGACTTGTGAGTAGAGACGCTTTAAACATGTGACAGATGCTGACTTCTCCCTTAGATCAGCCATTACAAATTACCAAACTCAAGCTGTGAGCATTATTGTTAGAGGGATTTCCATTGTCTCCGAGTTGTCTGTGCTTTGTCCACTGTCTGTCTCATTTCAACCGTGTATACCTTGCATGTATTTCCATTTTACGAACCAATTTCTCGCTATGATCCATAGAAGAGAGCAGCATCGAATAGAATATATCAGATGATAAAAATTCTATATTGGATATCCGAAGGTTATTATCAAGAACCACAACGCCTCTATCATCCACTCCCTTCTCCCCAGCAAGCAACAAAGCATTCTAATCTGGTAGTAAAAATTCCTGAGGTCTCTGTCAATGGTCTCTATGTCAGTATCGGTCAAAATGCCGGCTGCGAAAGTACTTACCGGGTTGTTCGAGGGTTTGAGCTTCATTTACACGTATAGGCCTCGGCGGCCTTATTAGCGAGCGTGCTCCAGGTAGAGGCTGTCAAGGGTACGTTTAGTGCCGACGCTGGGAGTCAAAGAGCAGCTTACCGAGCAACTCGAGCCTTGCCGCAGGGTCCAGTGCCACCGACAGGCCTGTACGGGAACCCCGCCGACGACTGCGACCAGGATCAACTCAGCGGTGCCAAGGTTCCCGGAAGCCTTCTATCATCGGAGGGGCTAGCGGTTCCTGCCAGCCGCGTACAGCTCCTGCTGTCGATGCCCGGTGCAAGTAGAGACACTGAAGAGTGGTATGCGCTGCTTGCTCGCCTTGGGCAAAGCTCTGTCTTCGACGCGAGCCGCGATCGTTGCTGTGAGTAGGGTACCCGGTTAACGCGATATTCATCCAAGGCGACAACAACAGATACTTACCAAGAACATCGCCCTTGACGCTGGTCCGGTACCACCGACAGGCCTGTACGGGAACCCCGTCAACGACTGCAACCGGGATCGACTCGACGATGTCGAGGTTCACCAGAAGCTTTCTGTCGTCGACGAGGCTAGCGGTATCTGCCAGCCGCGTACAGCTCCTGCTGTCGTTGCCCGGCCCTGGTAGTGGGTAGGAAGGGTTGATGACCACCTTGCCCCATGTCGAGGGCAGAGAATGCAGCCAAGGGGAGATTAGATGGTGGTGGTTGAGGTGAGAGGTGTTTGGAGCTGGAAAGGTGAGGGAAAGGGGATATTTATACCTTTCCGGAGGGGAGGCTGGCATCGCGGTCACGTTACTTGTTTGTTGACAAGAATCCGGACGGCATGTGGCGAGAGCCATCGGATTCTAAGCTTTTCGGAGCCCCTCCGTACGCCGTGCTGCATGTATCCTCACGCAACAGTACTGACAAATTTTCTGCGCAAGACCTCCTGCCTCTGAGTCTCCGGAGCTGAAGTTTCTAGCAGTCAATACGAGATTAGCGAAGTACCAAAGAAACATAAAAACTGGCACACGGCTCCTGTAAATTGAATGGACACTCCTGTGCCCTCCGAGATGTGGCCGCATCGGCGCTGGTGTGCATCGAAGAGCTCGCAAAGCGGCCGCCTCCTGTCCCAAACTAGAATGCCTTCCTTATTTGGATACGTTGGAATATAGACGCTCTAAGGCTGACCACGAACCGGCTACAGCCTGCAAAGTCTTAGCAGAGCTGCAGAACGTTTTCCTCATAGAATTAGGAGGTATTTATGGATTCGTGTGTAGAATTGTCCCGGAACAAGCCGAAGATGGTAGCATTAACTGAGGTCGTTATCCCTCAATAAGACAGGTTCACTTGCTTATTGCGACTAGCGCAATTTAAAGTCCGCTGCATTACCAAATAATAATAGATTATTAATGAGTTTGTAATGGCCCTGTTATTCAACCTCGCTTCTTTCACGCGGCGTCCATGAAGGCGGCTCCCTCTTGAACTGCACCGCGACATTCATGTCTTCGTGACGGGCTACGACAAGACAGCTGTAGTACCAAGATTCTCTCTAGCTTCGCATGCCTGGTCCCTACAGGTACGCCAGAGAGCGAGGAGAACTTGTCACATGTTCTACGACATATCGCGATTCCTCCTATCAGCCTGGCTTGCGAATCACGTCACCAAGATGTACTCCAAAACACTTGGATTTTCGGAGCGATACGGGCTGGAAAGGTCGACTATCTTGCACCGCGCTCAGCAAAGTCTTTATGCGGGACCTGACAGATGTACGAAGAAGACACGAAGGTGTCGCAATACACTAGATGTCTACGGAAGTCCGCTACGTCGCCATGAGAATATCACTCAAGTGTGCGAGCAATTTTCCGTCAGATGAGACCCCAAGCTCTAGCCCGTCCGGTACATCTCATATTTCACTTTCAAGTTTTTGGGTTATGCATGCCAGGTTGTGTAATGCGCACTGCATGTTCCCTCGTCTTCAGCAGGAGAAATGTAGAGCTGATACCGCGATGCTTATGCGACATCCTCTTGACCAGGGCCTTCGCAAGCGTGGTGCCATACAGACCGACGGCTCAGACACGCGAGGGACTGTGGAGGACGTCTGTGAGTTAGACGTCTCGGACGTTTCACATTCTGTACACAAGGGACGGCTTTCTGAGGTCTGCAGCGGGACCCGCATGGTTAACGCGAAGCTGCAGACATCCCAATCAGTCTCAGTCATCATTGCGACTTTGTTATCTAGTTTCTGCCAGCATGCATGCATACAATTAGAAGAGGGTGCAGTACTATAGGGTCATTACAGGAATGCAAGTATGGCGTCTTAAAGACGGCCGAAGTGTGATCAAGAGTCGACGACATGGCTCGGCGATAATATGCTGACATTTTGAGGCAAGAGCACCGCGACAACCGAGGATACGACGGACAAGCCGATAGTCACGGTCGACAGCACTCTGGAGCTCCAGGGCAGCATCGCCCAGACGTAGGACATGATGCCTACCATGGCAAGGACGAAGCCAACAACGGACAGGATCATGCATAGGGTATGACAGTTCTCGAGGAGGTGAGTTGGCGGCTTTCCCCTGCGGAGCGGACCAACTTGCTCGAGCGTCGGGTTCGCAGACCATACGGGCACGCCTGACAGCGGCGGGATCGTCTGACCAGGCTCTAGCTTGTGATTCTCTGGTCCTGGGGCGGACCCGTTCTCTAGCTTTTGCTCTACTTTGATTTCCTGCTGATTCGCTTCGTGGACGCGGAAGCGCACGAGGAAGAATGCGGCAACAAAGGAGAGGATGGCTGTGAGGGATCCCCGATCAGTGTTACTACCAGCTTTAAGGGGAGGGCAGCAGAGTCATGCCTGTAACTTACCTGCGAAGCTGTGCACTACCAGTGCACTGGACAAGGTAGCGGCGGAGGCACTGCGTGCACCTGAAATCGAGTCATTATCGCCGGGTGTGACGATACCTAGCAATTGCGATTCTATAGCGGCGAAGAATGTTGTCTGTGGAGTGAGCTGAGTATAATACCACCGGCGCAACTGTCGACGAGAACTTACGATGACAGATATGAGCTGCAAACGCTCCGTCCACGATATCACTAGCTCCTTCAGGGCTTTAAGCCGGGCATCCTCGTCCTTTTTGTTTTGATCTTCTTGAGTCCCTGCAGATAATCTAGATCAGCATCACCCATCCTCTGGACGTTAAGGCACGTACATTTCCTCGGTGTATTTGCCAAACTCGTGTCTTGCAGGCCACTCAATGCGCTAAGTGGAACAGCACTGTGTAGCGCACCATTCTCGTTCGTTGTCATCCGCGAGAGGGCTCCCGGCGTCTCTACGAATAAGCCCCGCCGGGCGAAGTCAGTCCATTGAATGGGGCTTGGCGAGGGAGGGCCGTTAGTAACCATTGAGTCACCCCTCCGCCTGGTTCTCCCAGGGATTATCGATCTGACTATCAACGGCAAGCAGTGAGAAGCAGTCCGACATTGGAGAGGCACTACGTACGGCTGGTCATATTAATGACTTTTTGCAGGGGACATTTGCTGCGTCACTGGGGGCTGTCGCCTTTATAATGGGCTCTCACTTGAATTTGATGCCATCGTCACCTGTGCGTGGCGGTGGGTCCTGAGGCCTGAGGCATCGGACTGAGCGTCCAACATTCATCCAGAGAAGTCCATCTGAGGGCAAGTGCTAGCCAGAGTTAGCCGAGTATGATAGACGACGGGTCACTCGTCCGACAACGCCGCATACGCACCTCCCGTCTCCACCTTGAGCGGTTTGCAGTGCCCGAGTTAGTCTCGGAACGAAAGAACAGTCCAACTAGCTCCGTGTTATATCGCCGGATCGGAGACGAAATTTGGCTGGAGTCCCCCAAACCTCCATGACCCTCTCTTCGCGGAAGAAAGAATCTGATTGCCGCTTGCAGCGAAGAACGCTTTTTGGAGCCGCGTTCAATGGAAGTAAGTGGCCTACGTCGCCCTCGAGAGTACTCAATTGGCCAACATACGGACGCTGCAACAAATTTGCGCCGATGTGCGTCTAATTTAGTCTATTAGCTAGATGCCGGTATCCTCCAGCATAGCCCTACGACTAGGCATGTGAATCGAGCAACAGTATGAAATACAGAATGCACATACCTGGTAGCTGCGGCTCACACGCGATAGCATGGAGATTACGAGGAAAAGGTAGGTATTCAAACTATGAGATACGATACAAGCAAGGGTATCAGGATAACAAGTACAAAGACGATGATTGAATACGAAGACGACGTTGACTCGCAACGAGCTAATACCCGAACAGAAGACGTAAGATACAGCGCAACCAGAAACCCAGTAATAGTACACTATGATTTATTTCCAGGAAGCCATGCTCGCAATGGCCCCTGCTTCATATCTGAACGCCGCGACGGCCTCGCCGTCGCCCTCACGGTCCACTCTCCATGGCCTCGACTCGAGGTAGCTCGCAAGGCTGCAGAAGGCGATCGCGCACTCGAGGTGTCCCTGGGGGAACGCGCTGAACACCTCGCGGTGAATGAAGATGACCTCCAGATACTCGCCGCCGGTGGTAGGGAAGTGGCCCGAGGTCAACTGTTCGTGCATGGCTTGCAGAAGTCCGCAGCCGCACGGCGTGGACGCCTCGCTGCTTGCGCCGGGCTGCTGCCTTGGACTTGTGTTTGGGTGACTTGGCGCCTTCAACGTTGAAGTGAAGATCAAGGTCGTCAAAGGTAAGCAGAGGCGCGGATAAGAACAAGGGGGACGGGCAACGTGCTGGATATGCTGAGTCCTCTGAGTCGGAGCCGTCGGACATGAAGGAGTCCTGCGCCGTGGGCGGCGTGCGAGGCACGCTGGTGTCGCGTTTTACCTTTCTCGGGCCATCGTCAGAGGTTTAATGATGTTATCGGACGGATCGGGAGGACTCACAATGCCGGGGACGACACTCCAGGCATTCTGAAGGGTCATACTGCCCAAGAGCTCGGATAGTTGTTGGTCGAAGTCCATCATCTGAGGGTTCGGGACGTCAGACAACGTCAGAGATCGGGGCATATATACTGCTCACATCGGTAGTGACGAAACTGGTCGATGCGTTCATCGAGTACGTAGTGGCAGGAGCGTGAGGCAGGTTTGGTGGGGATCGACCTGCAGCTGCCTGGAAGTGGTTATGTAGCGGTTGGTGCAGCATGCACTTTCGTGCAGGCTACCGTGTCAAAACCTCATTGCAGACTAGTTATACTCGCTGTCGCGTGGACCCCTCGAGGCCCGCACTGCCGCGGGCTAGAAGCGCAGCATACCCATCTAATCTCGGCGACTAACATCTGATCAGCCCAGCAAGCCGGCAAGGGTCGGCAGTCGTCATCCAGCAATCTACGTCTTGACCGGAAGCTCTCCTTTGACATCCTAGGATAGAGGGTCGGAAAGCATATGCTGGGCACTGAAGGCAGATATCCAGCAACATGCAGTACGGCCCATCTATCTGCACCATGTGTCCCGTCGGCAAGAGTCGGCAGCTATAAGGATATACAACTAAATCAGGGTGAGAAGACAATCGAAACACCATCTGAAAGGAAAAAACGAAACATTAGAAACCTCAGAGAGAAGATGATGTCGCCGACAAATCGACGGCATGGTCATCCGAGGGCGCAAGGCAGGGCCTGCCCCTCGTCAAGTTAGAATAGTTGATACTTCTGTCTTCATCGTGGGCAGAGGGTTGCCGGCCATCATGGCCAGTCCGAAAGGCTAAATGGAGACTGTATTCGAGACACACCTCTGCTACGCTATCCGCTAGCCAGCTGGCCACCCGGAGCTTTCCCAGAAGAAACGTGGGGCCGTGGGTCGGATACAAGGATTTCATTGGTCGCCGGAATTAGGCCGAAGGCTGAGAACTCGCATGGTGAACAACCCTAGGAGAGACTGAGAAAGTTGTGTCCAAGCGCGTTCAGCATGCCGAGCAACGGGAGTGGGTACGACGTCAAATGGAGTCGAGTGACAGTTTTCGAGAGCGGATACCAGCGCATCCGGGGAAAAAAGGACGCATCGGCCACATGCGTCGTAAATGCGGCTGCAACTGCACAGTCTGCAGAGCAAAGGAAAAGATTGGGAAGAGAGCACAAAGACCCGCCTTAGCGCCAGCGAGAAAGCATACTCAACAGGCGCCCAATTCTCGCTTGCTTTGTTCAGACATCCCTCGTGTTAGCCATGGATCACCCAATATACTATCCGAAGTCAGAGTATATCGAGACAGTCGGTATTTTGAGCATCCGTTTGCGATATACTTAGCCTTATCAACGCACCCTGCAGGACACGGGTAACAAGGTCTCCCGTCGCGCGACCATTGCGGGCCCTCAGAACATCATCCTGGGTGGCAAGACCATCATCGCAAACGGCGCAATAATCCGCGGTGATCTACGTCGGACAGGCCCCGGACATGCCGTTGTCATATCGCTGGGGAGATACTGCCTGGTCGGGGAGGGCTGCATCATGAGGTGCGTCGCTCATCCTTCCGCACGCGTTCATGTCGGTGCTTACAAGCATGCAGGCCGCCGTACAAGACGTACCGCGGAAACTTCAACTACTACCCTATGAAGGTCGGCGACCACGTGCACATCGGCGCGAACACTGTCGTCGAGGCCGCGCAGATCGGGAGCCATGTCGAGATTGGGAAGAATTGTGTCATCGTCAGTGGGCGCGTACAGGAGTTGGAACGAGGGATACTGATCAAGTGTACGCAGGGAAAGTTCACCATTATAAAAGACTGCGCGAAGATCGCAGACAACACCGTCATTCCTCCGAATACAGTCATCCCTGCATTGTCGTCGTTTGCGGGCTCTCCAGGTACGCCCCCAGCTCCTTGCGCCAACTCAGGGATAAACGTGGCTCCGTAGGGCGTTTTGTTGAAGATATGCCAGAGTCTACGCAGGAGATGGTGGAGGCAATGACCAAGTCTTACTATTCGCGATTCCAACCAGACCCAGGTTCTGCGGCAACGCAGCAACGATGAACGTTGCTAGTCTTGAACATCCTGCTGTCGTACTCGGCCATATACCCTGCATTGATGATACCTCTTGCCCCTGGTTACTACAATGTGATAAACTTGTCTCTCATTGCGACTCGCGATCCAGCGGTGTCTGCATTGCTGGGTGTCAGGAATCTTTAGGAAACCAGGATTACATTTGTACGCTTGTGATATTCCTACATGAATTGGCTCGTATCGACAACATTGAAGAGTAGAAGCTTGTGGCAAAAGTGAAGCCTTCCTGCAGAAGGTAGCACGCGGCGAATTAGTACATCTCGAGACTCATGCCGTCGTGAATTTCATAGTCGGCAAGTGTGATGTGATCCTTGTAGATCGTGTACCTATGCACCAGTGAGCAGCCGACGCCACAGGTGCGTGATGAAGGCAAAGGCGAGCGCACCATTTCTTAAGCTGGATCTTGGATGGATCCGTACCCGTCTGCGCACCGATGAGCTTCTTCAGATCACCAACGGTGTCATCTGGACTGCATTTCACGCGAACTGCATGAGCCAGGCATGAGAGAAACGGTGGCGGTTAGCTGGCTATTCTGATATTAGAAGGCAAGCTGAGCATGCACACCTTTGCGTCCCAGACGATCGTTCGCAATAACCTATTCCCGCGAGCAAGAGATGAGAAACCCCACGGGTGACGGTGCATAGCGAGACGCAAGCATTGCAGCGCGATGGAGTATGTCACATGTACGAAGGAGAACGATGGTCAGCTACGCTTAGTGCGACAAATTATCAATATACCTCAATCAGTGCCATTCGAGCAGATCAAATGTGTGCAGCGAAGGATACAAGAACCAGATGTAGAAGGGGAGAGCACGTCTCCCAAGTCTTTAACCAGTGGACGGGATTGCTTAATCCTGCTTACATTATCACTGCAAACATATCCAAACACCGAGCGTCGCGCATATTATCCAACGTAGTTTTTATTCATAATTATAATACCATCACGATTCATTTGGGATATAGATCTAGGAAGGGCTAAGTCGCTGCAGACGGCGAGAGATAACCCTTCTGCTGAGGCGTTAGTAAAGATCCTAACCTCGCGATCGATCTCCACTAGCACTACTGGGCCCTTTGTACATGTTGCTACTCGCTCTCCTTCTCGGTACCCTGTCCTTGCGTGGCGACTAAAGGCGACCTTGAGCTCACGACCGTTCCACCCAATCTCTCGCGCGAAAAGCCTCTTCCTCGTGCAGGCATCGTTTTTGAAAGCCATGCTTTTGATAGACCCGAGCCTGTAACCGGCGTGAAGCTGCACCCGCCTGCGAGCGGGGAAATTCATTCAGGATGCTCGCGCAGCTTCCGTAACAACTGAGGTATTGCGAGGGCGGAGCCTTGTACTACATCGGCGAGGTATGCTCAACCACCACTTGCCTGCCGGTACGACGGGCTGAGGCTGAAGAGGAATAGCGAAGCTTGGTCCAGTGTATGGTGAGTGTATGCGCGTGCCAACGTCCCCAACTTGCATCGTAATACGTGGCTTGTAGTTCTTTCCCGAATGGCAGGCGGCATGTACCCGCAGTGCCTCCCCTTGCATGGCCGTGAAGCCTGCGAACGTCATCGCGAAGGTTGCTGCCGCGTCCAACGGAGCATCTGAGACGGAGCATTCCTCTGCACTTGCCCTGCTGAATGATGAGGACAAGGGCGAGGACACGAGATGTGCAAGATCTTCCAAGAATCGACAAAGGTCCTCCAGCCCATAGTGTCTGCAGATGAGAACTAGTGGCGGTTATGCCGACTTGGGCGAGAACATGACGATATTCCAGTGCTCGCGCTGCACTGTAGCGACCCACTGCTCGGTAAGCTGTCTGATGTGCGCCGTACCAAAATACAGTCGGGGAACGGAGACCTGACGCATACTCCTTAACTCCTTCCCTGTTTCCAGTAGTCACGTGTCGTGCCGCTACGCGGATTTTACCTTTTTGTTTGCGCTTCCTTGGATTTCTTCTTCATCCTCTCTGAGTCTCCGCCTCGAGCCTTGATCAGGGCTGTGAGACGCAATAGGGTGGTGAAATGTAGAGGACTCGTGGGGTGCATGAATACGATGGGATGCAGAGGACTCGCGGGGTGCGGAAAAGAAGGTGAATGATGGCTGCTTGTCGGAAACTAAGGTCAGGGTGGGCAAGTGCTCAAATTGGTCAGGCGTCTTGTCAATGCTGCTCCAGGGTTCAGGGTCGTCTCCAGCGACAGTCAGAATATCCTCTATACGCGAATGGGTGGCAAGGGGGTCAGAGGGAGGTTTCGATGTGATTTCGCTTCCATTGGCGGAAAACCTGGTTGCATATTGTTCGATTAGAGTCGTGTTCCTTTTCGACTTAGGCGCCTCAGCCTGATCATCTTTCAGCGGGGCTGGTCTGTAGCGCTCCAGTTCGTCGAAATCCACAAAGTGATAGTGTAGATAGCAGAGCGAATGGAGCGCTTTGAGTACGACCTCGAACATCGTCCGATCCCCTGCGTCTGTTGAATCCGTAAGAGCGAATGGTAGATCGGCCATACTGTAGGCAGACATCTTCGCTCTTCCGCCCGTCCGATGCGTCCCTCTAACCGACTGGTATCTACTTTCATCCAAGAAGAAAGTCGAGACGAACATCGCCAGTTGCTCGCTGTATTGAACTGTCTTCGTATCAGCAGCCCGGTGTAACTGGCCAGTCATATTGTGGTGGTGAAAGCGAAGGGTGTTGAAGTAGATGACGTTGACAAAAGACTCCAAGTCATCGGAGACTTCTTGCGGCTTCAAAGGATAGTGGAGCGAGAGTCCAGACATGAAAGCCCATGTGCCCTAGTCGTGAACGAGATTGTTAGTAAGGATCGCGTACAGGTCGCAAACCGGCAGTAGCGTACTGATCGTCCAATTTGTGTTGCCTTCTGGGGTCCATCCTTCAGCTTGCTCAGATCCCAGTCGCCCAGGAGTCCATTCGGCTTTTCGTCATCTGCTGAGTCTAGTTCGATCAAGATATTACCACTACTGATGTCGCGATGAAGAATGCCAGCCCCATCCCAAGCTTGCCGGTGAGCTAGAGGGCGTTGGTGATGAGCATAGAAGAATGAACTTGATCTATATGTGCGCACCTATAACGGCGTGGGAAACCACGCGGACCATGACGAAGGAGTTACGATATTCAGCCAATGGGAGACCAAGAATTTCGATCACCAAACGGTAGGCAAAGCTCCTCAAAGGCGTCGGACTCTGTAGGAATTCTTGAGTTCGCGTGGACAAACGTCGGCCAAGTCCCCGATGAGAGACGTGACAAATATCCTCGCCGCTGAGAAGTTGAGGTATATGCTCGACTTTCTTCTCGTATAGCCTCTCGTAAGTCTCGTGCTCAGGGGGAATATCGCTGCACCCGGGTCTCCAGGAGAGCTTGAGGAACACCAGTCGCCTCTTGCCTACCACATATGCAAAATAGCCCTTGGTTCCACGCCCCGTGGATGAGTAGTTACAGGCATGATACTTGCCAACAAGGAGAGTCAAGGTTCCTTTGTGGACTTCGTGGGCAAACGAGTGCTCAGGTCCGTCAACTGTAGCTGTGCAGTTTAACTGATAATATAAATCCCAGGTAAGATTAGAAACACGAGATTGTTATGTGTGCTTACCCGATAGATCGGGTACAGGTTTTGGTTCTCGGTCATCGCCTCGACGAACTTCAGGCGGCGCGCATCCCTTTGTTCCCGTAGGTGATCCTTGTACTGGAGTAGCTCGGTCTTCTCCGCCTCCGTCGCCCACGAGAAAGAAGTGTCGAAGCCTTGCATTGCGCGAGAAGACGTAGCAATTTTGTAGAAAAAGTTCACCAGAGGAGCTACGTTGGTGGTCCAGTCGAAAGCGTTCGTAATAACTACGCCGCAGCGATCCCAACGTGTAAGACGAGCTTGTTTACCGGCGATGAACACCATGCAGAAGGATTCGCGATGTTGTCGAAGGAATATTTCGGCGACGTACTTCAGTATCTGCACTCGGGAATCTCGACTCCCGCGCTGCCAGTCGAATCCCTCCTCGGGTCCAAATGGGTCCTCGGTCGATTTGACCTTGACTTCAACGAGCGCGACGCTCCAGGCCATCGCAACCCTAGCGATGTGACGAAAGCGATCACCGTTCTTCTTCTTCCCCCTCGCCGCCAACGCCTCCACGATCCAGGCGTCCTTTCCGGGGCCCCCATCGTAGTTGAGAGACAAATCTGGTTTGTGGTCGGCGAACACGTCTTCAATCCGGTCTGCTGTATCCTTTACAATGTATCCGGTCCCTTCAAGTGCGATATTCCACATATTGCACTATATCCGGCAGACAGATAGTCAGCTACAGCTCGGATAAGCAAGCACACGAACAGACACTCACCAACGGAGTGTACAAATCGCTTTCCACCATGCTAGCCGTGATGCGGAGACCAGACAAGTCCCTACGGATGAGTTCCAGAGCTGTGTCTGGGACCACACCAGTCCCCCGGAAGAATGTATCCAGGAACTTGTCTAAAGCAAGCGCAGCCACTAGGTCTTCCATCTCAAAGTCCCCCTTCTCATGAAACTGTGCCCTCTTGTGGTGTCCTTGGCCTGTGGAAGGCTTGCTGTCTACAGGGGTACTGGCGAGCTCTTCGAGATAACCGGTGGTGATGGCGTCGATTTCATCAACTACATCGACGGCCTCTTCGAGGTCTGATATCGGGAAAGCTAGCGAAGAGGATGGCTCTGTTAAGGCGATGAGGCGGCAGAATGCAGGTAGGGTGTGTGCCTGGAGAGTGATTGGTGAGACATCTCAAGAGGAGATCATTTGAAGGACGCAGAAGGACGGACGTACGGTTGAGTGACCCTGGTACCTACGAGATTATGCTACACCTTGCACCGACATCAGCTTGTCGAACGTCACAGAAGACTCAACGGAGAGAGAAAGCTTTGCAGCCTTCTAGTCAAGCTTCTCTCTTAGGTAACGACGTGTATGAAGCCGTCGGAGCTGAAACGTTGAATAGCCAACAATAGCATCGCGTGTGCTTCCCGCTTGTGAACACCTGAAGCACCATAAAAGTAGAACGTTCGAACTGAAAGCTGCCTATTAGCTTTTAGAATTTGAGTTGTATGTACTGTCTTTTCTACCTGTACCAAGAGTCGACTATAATCGGAGCTAAACTTCTGCCCCGAGCGGGCTTCGAAATTGAGCGTCTATAAATCGCATAAATGATTTTCAAGGCCCACGATACATCCTAAGCTGCAGTACAATTGCTATAGCTTCTTGAAGACGTTGAAACGTCCATGCAGTCAGATTGTGTGAGAATTGTCTTCTTCAAGCTGTTTATGCCCAGCAAGTTACTAAGGGATGCGCCACCGGTCCATCAGCAGCTTCTCCGGTGGAATTCATAATGCATGCGTACCGCGCGCAGCTTTCAAGACTTACCGACATACGCAGTGGATACACATGGATATCACAAGATAAAATTGCATAGAAATATTCTCGCTTTTTATAAGAAAAGGAAAGTATTGAGGAGAATAGAGCAATGCGGCGTTGGTATCCATGATTATAATACGCTATAGCTTAGCTTTGACTGAAATTCGTCGACTGCTCTGTACCTGCTTCTCCAGTGAGGTGGTAAAGACGCAAAGTTAATCAGTGCGTCGGGTTGCCTTCTCCCCGTGTAACCCGACGTGGGACTCGGAGGAGCCCACTTAGTACCTCGAAATTACGAAGACTGCCAAGACGAAAATACGCGAAAGTTGACATAGCGTATAGCGTGATCAGATCCCTGAACTGTGCATCTCCGCAGCAATGAGACTTATTGCGAAATAACCATGGGAGGTCCCTGCGAGGACAAGTGTTAGACGCAAGGCATTGCAGTCGTAGATTGTCGAGGTGTTGAGCGACGCACCACTCCCCATAAAATACATCTCGTCCCTCGTACGCGCACAGAGCTGGCGAATCCGAAGGGATGCCTTCTCAGGTTCATTGGTTCATCAGGCTCGCAATGGTCGACAGGACAACGACTCATACAAGGAAGCGCTGTGTTCTTCGAACCCTAGTACACCCTGTCGACATAACGCTCACCTACTATATGTTCCATCCATGATCACAGTATATAGGCCGCCCCAGGTTCTTTAGCTTGGTAAAGAGTCTACCACCTCGCGCCTGATCATGTCCTTGGGGCCCTCGCCAACACTGAGCACTTCCGAACTCCTACTAGAGCATGAACACAGCTGGCCGACCCCGTCGCCGAGCTGCAGCAAATGCAGCAAGCCGAGATCCAAGAGCGAAATGAAGCGGTGCCTCGCCCGCATTCTCGTCATCTACCACGTGAGTTGTGGCGCATCGCTAGCCCAGGTCTCGCTCACCATCGTGCGCCGCAGTCGCCGAAGTGACAGGGCACACACCGGAACCTGCACATGTCGGTGCGCAAACTGCAGCAGGACCCGTCATGCACTACGGCCTAGGCCCACGGTTCAGGGACAACCCGTTCGAGAGCTACCACGACCTCAACCTCGAGCCGTGCGTGTCGACGCCGCGGATGCGCGGCTGGCTCTGTCTTGCGACAGAGTTCATGAGACTGTCGATATACATCGTGCCGGTGAACGAGACAGCACATGTTGAGATGAGGGGTCTGTCGAGTGTCAGCCATTTTCTGATGATGGACGTAGATTGGGATTCACAATATTAATAGCCTATAGGTGAGCAGACAGGCCTTGAAGACACCGGGGAATGCTCACCGTCTGTGACAACTGGACAACAGACGTCAGGCATAAAGAGTTGAATGAGAGATCCAGGTATCCTGAATACCATGGCGTAGTACATGTACATGGCTAGATCAGCTAGTAGCGCTTACCCAGTAGTATTGCGCGTCTCACTACAACCAACGCTCACTAACGGAGAAGGTGTTCGAGACAGTACTGGTGTTCTTGAAGATGGTTGTGTAAAACGTGTCGGGTTTATCGGCGTCCGTCGGCTGAGCGTGCATGAGATGTTTCCTACACGGGAGGCGTTTCAGCTATTCTCAGCCACGTGTTGGGCAAAACAAGTGTGAATTATCGAACGAGAAGGCTGAAAACAGCCGGCATATGCACCGATGTGATTTTCTCTTATCCTCTGTGATTGCTGTTTTTGTGGATAGCGATGGACCGTCGTATGGGGTCTGTAGTATCCATTGTAGCATGTAGTCATACAGTTAATTATAAAGTTAGTTAAAAACCAGTAGGAAACATGGACGGGAGACGAGTATGATCCTGTATAAAAGGTGCTCATTCAGTCAGAATTGCATTTGTAAACTCACTAAGAGGAATCACGCACCGAACAGCCAGATGATCCGGTATATTTCGACGATAATATCCTCAGTAACTTTTTGGTGCGTGGACTCAGCGTGCTCCGGATCACGTCTTGCGCCTGGATGAAGGTCACGTTCGGCAGGTCTTTGCCCGCAACCGTTATATGCACTTCGATGCTGTAGTCTTCCGATGAGGACGAATGTGCCGCTACTTTCTTGGAGTTTGATGCGACCCATCCGAGGGCCTCGACGACTCTGTCTAGCTCATGCCATGGCAACTCCTCTAGCATAGCAGGGATGTCCTCAATAGGAGACAGACGCTCAATGACGAAATTTAGGCGGGCCTTGCGTATGGAAGCGGTGGACGAGCGATGCTCTGCGGGAGCGAGGGAAAGGAGGGCCGATATTGTGGCGGCAAAGGTATTCTCCGCAAAGTCCCAATTCTTATAGGCACAGAGTGCTTGAGTGAGGACGATAGAGGACAGCTGTTGCATCGAACCCAGTACAGGGAACAGCTGCTCAAAGTATCCAATGTCCTTCTTTATCTGTCGGCACAATGATCAGCCAGGTACATAAGTGACAATGCTTCATACAGCTTACCCCCCACCCCCAATGTACATATAATGTTTGGAGGTTGCGCGATGCAGGACAGGCCAAGAAAAGTCGTGCGCAAGCCAGAATCTTCGCGTCCCACCAGCCATCCACCAAAATACGAAGCTTCAACAAGCAAAGCGGAGCTGCAATCTCCGTGAGAGATGTCAAAACGTGAACGATATCGTCAGGCCTAGACATCCTGAGTTCGAAGTCCGAGATGCGGGTAGTGAGGCTTGCACCTTTGAGGGCAAACGCATGAGAATAAGACGAAGGATTCAGCTGCAGCCCATATCGGATGTCAAGCTTGTTGATGGCGGAAAACATCGGGAGTATGGAGGACACGTCAAAACCGGGTCTTCCGTCTGGCTGTGCGAGGGGATGAGCCGTGGTGTAGTCGAGGTTGAGTTGATCAAGTGTGAAGAGCGCCGGCTGAGGGAAGCGGAACGTCAGGTCAGGCGTGGATAGTTGTACTGCCCGCAGCTCTAATGTGCTCAGAGCAGGAAGGGCTGTGATAATGTCAGAGAGGGTGTCTATGGCCAGTCGAGAGACGAATATGGGTTCCATGCAATTCCCACTGTGACGCTGTGGCCAGGACCCATCCAGGATCAAGCTGCGCGTGAACGTGGAGGCACGAGAACAGCTCTTCACGAAGCCAGAGAAATCGCGGAATGTAGCATGCTTGGTGTGGTTGTAGGGGGTAGCTACGACAGCATGGAACTTCAGCGATCGGAAAAGATATCGTGATGCAAACTGGAACCAGCTGTGACGAGAGACGCGGGTACAGGCGGAGAGCGAGGGCAAATCGTCTTCTAGGAAGTGAAAGACGGCATCCAGCACCTCTGCTGGCACTGCACGCATGACGGCGGTTGGTATGAAAGGAAGACGCGTCGGCCGCCCGCGCTCTTGAACTCCCGCTGTGTGTGCTTGTGTACGCCGCTGATGCTTATTGCGGCCCTAAATGGAAAATCTCGCAACTCTTGTACAGCCGCAACTGTAAAGAATGACCATGAGCAAATGAATCGATAGAATAGATATGGTAGTAGGCTGTGTATTTCGTGATCCTTATCTTTACTCATGTATGTATAAAACCCCAGCCCTTCCATAAATCATGGGCTTCGGGATTATTCAGCCTTACACCCCAGGTAATAGCGTAATGCTGCAACACGAGTTCTAATTCTTCAATCTCATCAAGCATTTCTAAACGCGAGATTCTGCGCTGGCATGTCAAAGGTTAGAACAACAGAGTCAATAAAGTGGCTGACCTTTCCAGCTCGGACTTGCTTATACAAACCCTTCGAAGATCGCGCAGAGTGAAGGCATACGAGGTCGTAAAACCGTGTCTTGTGAAGCGTTCTGGTAACGACGCTAGGTCTGGATAAGGCTCGACGCCCGGTAGCAAGACATTTCTAGCCTGAATAATCTATGAGCAAACCGACTTCATATAAAGGCCCACCGAACGACTGCACCTTCAGATTGTTAAGCATAACCTTGCCAAAGGAGTCATGCAAGCCGAACATCTCGTACACAAGGCCACCAAGCACTCCGCTCGAGGACGTCGAGAAGTAGTCGACGAACCATTGTATGAGGCTTTCAGAGGCTTCGGGAGACATATATACAAGGACGCATTCGAAGATCAACAGGGTGGGGAGGTCAGAGGACAGCAATGGGTCGCTTCCTGGAAGTGACTTCGTCATGATCGGTGCCAGCGATTCATTTGGGCTCAGCCGCAAATCAGCAGCTAGTAGGTGGTACCGTGGTGAGTGCAGCGAGGTTCCACCACTTTCTGGGCGCCATGTCAGAGAAGGCAAGATAACGATAGATGGAATATACGTACCCAGCTTGACATCCTCAGCTTTCCCTAGCAGTGCGCTGAGGTCCTTGCTCTTCCGGATTGCCATTGCTTTCTTGGTGGTGTTCTCGGCAAAATCGACTTCAATGTATTTCGCGAGCGTTCCCGCACGCGGGCCGGCCTGTCTAAGGAATGTGGGCAAAAAGTCCGCCAGCCAACGGCTGCATGGGTCAAGGCCTACGCACGGCGATTCTCCAAAACCTTGTGTCGCTGCCTGCACCCAGGCTCACGATCTGACATTGTCGACCCTCCTTGGCGGAGAGCTCGAGCCATCCGTTCACAAGCTGATCTATCCCTTCGGAGCGCACGTACGTCCCGACGTTGATCAGCGGAGGCCGAGGGGGCTGCAGGTGTGCACCGCGGGGAAGGAGGTAGCGCACGAATGGGTCTGAGATGTAGCTCTTCTGGACGGCAGATAATCTGGCTAGCGCAGCATCGGAATCCGTCTGTCGTATCCCCTCGTCACCGTCGGGATGCACAGTGTGCATGCGACCAGAGGTAAGCGGAACATGAGACGGTAGGTGAGGCGGCTGCATGTCGCAGATGCGGAGAAAGATGCGCAAGCGCCTGTGTGCTGCCGGAGTGCGCTTTGGGCAGGTTCATCTCTTCTGCTTGCCCTCACTTCGTCCGGGTTGATACCCAACAAAATTTTGCTGCCTGCCTACTGTCGGGATTTGCAGCAGAAGACGTGACCAAGATGTCCAACCTGCCACTTGTCCCGCCAGTGTTCGCCAAGGGCAAAGAGCCTTTACCACCGGGGTGGACGGAGGAGGACCGCACAAACATGTTGGAGGCGAAGAAGTACCAGGATTGGATGCAAGCCGGTATGGAGTCATGTGTTGCGAAGACAGCGATAGCAGGAGGCGGAGGTGAGTGCTCTTTAACGGACCAAAGTTCGCAGTTGTGGGACGTCTTTTTAGAAGTCATTTGACAATAGGTTTTGCCATCGGTGCTTTCTTCTCGCTCATGTCGTCCTCATTTGCGTACGAGGACCCATTGGCGCGCGCACAGCTGACGACAACACAGAAGGCTTCGGAAATTTTCAAGGAGATGGGCCGTAATATGTGGAAGAGCGGTAGAGGATTCGCGAAAGTCGGTGCCTTGTTTGCTGGTATCGAATGTGTGATAGAATCGGTAAGTAGCCCGGTTTCTATCGCTATGTCTGTCTATGAAACGCCTTGTCGCGTCTAGTACCGTGCGAGGAACGATATGGTCAATCCAGTTGCAGCAGGTTTTGTTGCAGGTGGTGTGCTTGCGCGGAACGCTGGACCAAAAGCTGCCTTCGGAGGCGGTGTGGCTTTCGCGGCCTTCTCAGCAGTGATAGACCTCTTCCTACGGAGAGAAACGGCAGAGTACGCAAACAACTCATTTAAAACTTGCATTAAGCTTACACCGACCCTAGCGATGATTGAGTCTGTGTTTGCTGGATATATGTAGACTAATGTATACCAGGTTAATCTTTTCGCATCGCATAATATCATCGTTATCCACCGCTCTGGCTTATTAGCTCTGCAAGTACTCGCCGACATCCGTCGCGATTGCGAGACGACCATCCATTACAGCTTCTAGACCCAGCGCCCACGTCCCTGCCGCGCTGTGCACCGCGCGTTGTATTTTGTATCCTTGACATCGCACGTCTGGGTAATTTCGACTGCAGTGTCCTGCCAATAGCCTCGTTGTTCATGCACAGTTCGACACGTGCCCTGCCTTGTATGTCATCCGAACACTGTGCGTTGTGGCGCTGCATTGCCAAAAATTCGGGCTGCTTTGGCTTTCGCGGTCCGGGATGGCTATGATGGGAAGGTTTCCTCCGCGCTTGCACAAGTTCACTTTCCGCACTGGTGGATCAGTGACCGCGTTCCTCACTCACCTTTCATCTTACTCGACCCAACTCCCTACTAGGACAAAGAATGCACCGTCGTCGTCCAAATGCTCTTTGGCCGCAACCAATTCCAGACCTACAGAGAGTGTCACTCAGAGAGGAAGCTCGTAAGTCAATTCGCTCCATAAGTACGCACTCACTTATTGTTCGGCTGTTTTCCCTCAGGCAACCTCGCGTTTAACGCTCTGTGCTGCCTCACAATAGTGGTTTGGCTCCTCATCTATCTTTTTCAAGTGAGCGTGCCCGGAGCTTCAACCAGATGTCGCTCTAGCTCACCGCCATCTCAGTACCTTATCGCTCCATGGCATGACGTCTCCAAGAGACAAATCGCGCTGTACCTATTGCTCATCTGCAACTCTCTGAGCTCGAACTGGAACTTAGCCATGCTCACGTTCAAACTCTTCACGGACGTAAGCGGCCATGCTCTCATGCAACTTTTCGCTCGTGCTAATCGATGGCCCGTCCGAAGGCCGGTTATGTGCCACACCAAGCGTGCCCTATCTTCCCTGACGGCTCGAAGCCCCTCCACGACCTCGCGATTACTCTGCTTGCGGGCACGTACTTCGTCAAGAGGCGCGCGGCGGACTGGCCCTCCGCTGTAACCTCCGCGTACAGGCGTCTCCGTAGTCAGATGCCCGACACGACGGAGCTGAGCGAGGGACGTCGTATCCCGGTATGCTCTCTTCCCACCAGAGCATATGATCTTGAACGCTGAAACATTATCGTTGTAGCGGGCCAACTGAGCGGCTCCCTTTTAATGTTATCTTGAGTCGCTAGAACCTCCCACAACTTAAGACAGGATAGCCCCCTCGCTATTGAACATGCTATGATCTTGCTTTGTCCATTCTCTCTCATTTTACATCCCTCTCGTCCATTCATCTGAAATCGCCATCACGTACCTTGCAATAGAGGCACTTCTACTCGTATTTAAACTCAATGACATCTGAAATCACACCATGTAGGCGACACCCATCTGCAAACTTCAAACGAATATAGGGAACATTAGCTGAGATGGCATATTCGTATTGCTCAGTCATCTCCTAACTTGCACATATATGAGTGGTGCTACAGTTGTCCGTTGGCGAATCTGGTCGGAGGGGGTGGACACTAATCCAGGTCCTTCCAGCTGACGGCGGGCCCGAAAACCTCATCTATCCTTCGACGCAGCGCTCGTCCTTCAGTGCATGAGACCAGCCAGGTACGCCCGCGCTGCTACCTTTGACACCCGGAAGAACGGGCTGTTCACTAACGGGTTGTTGTAGCACTCGGCAGGCGCTGGGGTCCCTGAATTCATGGCTTCGGTGCAGGCCAAGTCAATGTAACGCTTCCACATGACGCTGTCCCTAGTAATGTAGAGGATGAGCAACCCGCCAGCGATGCAGCATGCGAAGAACGTACATGAGATCACGACGACTTGAAGCTGACGAGGGAACGTTCATAGCAATGGGTTCGTTGACCTGGGTAGGTGGACGAATGGTAATCCCAATACGCGGGCGAGCCAGGGGCGTAATACTGTTGATGGTGCTGGCAATTACATGAATAATATGCTCTGGGACAAGATAGAAGGTGTTGTACTCACGACATCGGCAAAGACATGGCAGGGAGCACGGCGGCAGCGAGAGCAAGCACGACAGCGAAGAGCGTGACGATTGGGAACTGCATGTTGACGTGATACACACAAACAAGTTCGAAGGATACAACGAGAGTGGGGGGTCGTAACAACAGCAAAAGCAAGTCGTGAAGATAAAACAACAAGTCGGGCTGTGAGGAGCATATTAGATCCTAGCTGGCAAGCTGCGGAGGATGAAGGGGACTTACTATCCGGTACCTCGACAAGAAGAACGAAAGCGAATAGACCAGCTGAAGAATCACTTCCCTCAGCTGGCCCTCTTATATATGTCATGCGGTGCTGCGCGTTGGTCGTGACGCGCGATCCACGATCCCCGTGCTGTAGTGTTGCATCCGACGCTGAAACGCATCGTTCTATCACAAATTCTGTGCGCTGCCGTTTCCCCACAGCGACAGCACCGGAATCCAGTCCGACCGGAACTGCGCCTCGTCCTCTGCATTTGAGTTTGAGGTTTTGTTGACGAGCAACATCACCGTCCGGCGCCGAGTCGAGTCGGCAACGGACACGGAGGAGAGCGTCGCGCTGAACCGCCTTCCTTCCCGAGCGTGATGGTGGTGAATTTCGCCGCGTATGGAAAGTCTTGAAGAACGCTTTGCTCCAGCACCCATCCTCCGATTGCCCATCCTGCCTGCGGTTTCTAGGGCTGTCTTTCGTCGTTCTCTCTTCTTAGTGAGAAGCATGTCTGCACAGAGCCAACCGGCGACTGCGGCAGCCGCAAGTGAGCAGGGGAGCGGGAGCGCTCCCATCACTCCGACGGGTGCACCTTTGACGATGCAGATCGTGGTCCGGAAAGATCTCCAGACGGTATGTGAGGCTTGAATGCTACAGAGAGGAATGGTTTTAGTGCACTTGGTATGTCACTAACCCTTGCTACACACACTAGGCAGAAGGATGGGGAGTGGGCCCTCTGATGGCCCAAGTAGCCCACGCGACGGCAGCAGTACGTAGATTTCGAGCCTATCGAAGGGAGTACTCGATGTCTCAGGCTCATTGGACTCGTAGGTGCTCCATGAAACGAAGGATATACCGGAGACCATTGCATATCTGGATGATCTCAAGAACATGCGAAAAGTAAGCTCGACCACTCAACAGTATTCAGGTACTGACATGATTCCTCTGCAGGCCGTATTGCAGGTATCATATCTATTATCACACGATGGAAAGGGATACCCTAACAAAATGTCATTTGTGCCTAGACAACGGACGAGGCGAGCCTAAGACGTCTCAGCGAGATCTTATCCAACGCTTCTCCTCCAGTCGCGCACCACATGTGGATTGAGCAGCCAGAGAACGTGCCCACATGCGTCGCGCTTGCGCCCAACCGCCGCGAAAGCAGGATCAAGAAGGCACTCGACAAGTCTGGCTGCAGACTGTGGACTCCATGAATCCGCCCGCAATGATCATACGCAATTCAAATATACACGCAGGTTGTACGAGTAATGCAGCCTCTACAACTTCGCTTTCGAGCCAATCTTTTCTCCGCCTTCCTCCAGAGTCAGCCTTGCCAGCTTGCCGACGATCGGAAACATCGCTGGGTAGAGTGACGCCCTCTCCGAGCTGGCTTGCCGTCGAGCGTAGCGCGCGGCGATGCCCTGCACGATGATAGCTAGCTATTGTAGTGATGAACGTTTCAGAGTATGCATAAGGCAGTGAGGAAGGTAGGCGTACCCGGAATAACATCCAGCTCCGTGCAAAAACCATCTCAGGGATCGGATATGGTTGCTTCGTCAACCTACAGTACTCCCGCTCGAGTTCTTCCAAGTTAGCTGGAGCATCGGAGCTGTTCTTGAATCCAGTAAGGACAGAGACGCCCTCGGTGCCCTTAGCTATGCTAGGATCGACATGCCACGGCTGTGTCAAGTTCGCAAGATCCGCGAGCTGTTGGTATCTCACCGTTAGCCCAGGACAAGTTCATATCTTGCCGTTGTGCTTACCGGACTCCCTAGTGTACACAGTTCCCAGTCCAGGATGCCAATTACCCTGTTCTCCGTCGGGTGAAAGACCATATTGTCGAGTTTGTAGTCCCCGTGTACGATCCTTAGTCCAGTCTTGCTCTCATCCGGGAGATGCGTCCTATACCACGCGACCATCTCCTCAAAGTCGGGTATCATCCCCGTTTTTCTGTTCGTCTCAATGTCTACCGCCTCGGCTTGCGCGAGCGACACGCGTGCGAGGGACTTGATCTGTCGCGGGAAGTACGGCGTGTTGGGCCCGAAGGACGAAAGGCCGAGCGTCGCCGGGTCGAGACTCGACAGTGCTGTGAGCGAGCGTATCGCGGAGAGCCAACTGCACACCATACGATGAGCATGCACACGCACACGAGACGTTTTCGCCACGCACCATTCCCGCCGCGTCTCCGGCTTCACCCCCGGCATGCGCGGGTCGGTAAAAATCCGCCCGTCAAGATACTCCATAATGTAGAACGGCGTGCCAACGACAGCTGAATCTTCACATAGCACTACGGGCTCAGGGACGGGCACGCGCTGCGCGGGCGTCGTGGCTGGATTCTGGTTGTGCTTGTGCAGGGCGCGGAGGATCGTGTACTCGCGCTCGACCTGGTGCGCCGTATTCGAGATGAGCTTGCCCGCGGGTTTCTTGCGCAGGACCCACTTCGTATTACTGTCAGGCATGCGTTTATAAGTGCTGCAAGATTAGAGTGGTCGGCGACGTACCTGGCGTCCGTAAGGAAGTACGTCGGGTTTGACTGCACAGGATGTCGTTCGTGTCACCGAAGTCAAAAGTCGCAAGAGTGAACGTACCTGGCCGAACTGCAGTGCCTGTCAGCTCGTGCATTGCTCCCGTACAAACATCGAACACGCACCTTGAACTGCTTCACTGTCACTGGTACCCGGATAGCAGGGACATCTCTCTCGATATACGCATTCAAGCTAGCGATGTCGATGCTCGCGCGCACCTCGCCGATCTCTCCTCCGATTTTCTTGGATACTGCAGACATAACATATAGTGTGCGGGGTAAGTTGGGGGCGAGTCAAGGCTGCTTGTCGAGAGCGTTCAAGACATGGCCGGTGGCCAAGCCGGGATGTTGGCGGAACCGGACATGGACGCTCTCCACGGGCGGCGGCGTGTGCGAACGAGTCGAAAATTCACATGGTACGCACACAGGAAAATCAACACACGAACGATCCATTCATGTTTTTGTACATTGTGACATGAGGATATAGCGACAAACAGCAAAGCAAAGCGGAACACCAGAGAGGAGAGAAATGCTGAGTGGGGTTGTGAATAACTAATAATGTGTGCATGAAGAGTATAGTAGTAGGTGGTCGTACAGTACGTCGTCAGAGCAATAGGTGCGTCGAAAAGTAATTTTTGAGGATCTATGCGTGTAGGGGGATATCCACGGAGTGTATGCAAGCGCGAGAGCACAAGGTTCACCAGAGATACGAGCAGCGGAGCGAGAGCTGGGGAGAGGCGAAGATCTGGGGAATTAATCCTTCTTCTCCTTCTCCTCCTTGTTCTCAGTCTCGGAGTTGTTCGCGTTGTTGCTCTCCGCAGCGCGCTTCTCGTACACCTTCTGGAAGAGGCCAAGGGACGCCTGCTGGGTTTCGGCAATCTTCTCGCGGATAAGGTCAGCGTTCACGGACTCGTCGCCAGCCTGGCCCTTGACGGCAAGCTCGCGGAGCTCGCCGACGAGCTTGGTGACCTTCTCCTTCTCGGTCGCGTCGAGCTGATCCTTGAACTCGCCCATCGCCTTCTCGGTATCCGCACAGACGGAATCTGCTTTGTTAGACTCCTCGATAACCGCCTTGCGCTCCTTGTCCGACTCGGCGTACTTCTCAGACTCCTCGACCATGCGCTCGATGTCCTTGTCGGATAAACCAGACGATGAGGTGATAGTCATAGACTGGTCCTTGTTGGTCGCCTTGTCCTTCGCGGTGACATGGACGATACCGTCAGCATCAATATCGAAGGTAATGTCGATCTGAGGTACACCCTTGGGCGCCGGGGGAATGCCGACAAGGTTGAAGTTGCCGAGCAGCTTGTTGTCTCGGACGAGCTCGCGCTCACCCTGATAGATCTTGACCTCGATAGCAGTCTGACCGTCCGCAGCGGTCGAGAAGGTTTGAGTCTTTTTGGTGGGGATGGTAGTGTTACGGGTGATAAGCTTAGTCATGATACCGCCGAGGGTCTCAATGCCGAGCGAAAGCGGAGTGACATCGAGGAGAAGGATGTCGGTGACGTGACCAGCGAGGACACCACCCTGAATAGATGCACCAATAGCGACAGCCTCGTCAGGGTTGACACCCTTGCTCGGCTCACGACCGAAGATCGACTTGACCGTCTCGGCGACACGAGGCATACGGGTCATACCGCCGACGAGAATGACCTCGTTGATCTCGCTGGCCTTGACGCCAGCGTCTGTGAGCGCTTTCTTGCACGGGTCGATGGTGCGTTGAATGAGGCTCGAGACGAGACCCTCGAACTGCGAGCGGAGGATCTTGAGGTTGATGTGTTTCGGCCCAGAAGCGTCCGCGGCGATGAAGGGAAGGTTAATCTCAGTCTGTTGGGTCGATGACAGCTCGATCTTGGCCTTCTCAGCAGCCTCGCGGACACGCTGGATGGCCATCGGCTCCTTGCTGAGATCTATGCCAGACTCCTTCCGGAACTCCTTCAAGATGTGCTCGATGAGCGCGATATCGAAGTCCTCGCCACCAAGGTGAGTATCACCATTGGTAGACTTAACCTCGAAAACGCCTTTCTGCATCTCGAGAATGGAGATATCAAAGGTACCACCACCAAGGTCGTAAACGGCGATGACGGAGTTGTCCGCACGATCCAGACCGTACGCAAGAGCGGCAGCAGTGGGCTCGTTAATGACACGGAGGACGTCGAGTCCGGCAATCTGACCGGCGTCCTTGGTGGCTTGACGCTGGGCGTCATTGAAGTATGCTGGGACGGTGACGACAGCATGACTGCGGGGCACAAATCAGTCAGAGAGAATCGTAAAAATCGGCCGAAGACCACTTACTTGATTTTCTTGTTGAGGTACTGCTCAGCAGTCTCCTTCATCTTGACCAGAACCATCGACGATAACTCCTCAGGAGACTAACGTGGCAAGTTAGGAAAGCATTAGCGACACGCTTCAAGCAGTACTCACGAAGGTCTGCTTCTTGCCACCGTTATCAACCTCAACGGCTGGCCGCCCATCTGATTTCGGGACGACCTTGAACGGCCAGTGTTTCGCGTCATCCTGAACCTCCTTATCCGAGAACTTGCGACCAATCAAACGCTTGAAGCCGAAGACGGTGTTCGAAGAATTCACGACGGCCTGACGCTTAGCGGGAAGACCGACAAGACGCTCGCCGTGCTTGGTGAAAGCGACAACCGAGGGTGTCGTGCGCGCACCCTCAGCGTTCTCTATCACACGCGATGTTTGACCCTCCATAATGGAGACACATGAGTTGGTTGTACCCAGGTCGATACCAACAACCGGGCCTAGACACGCAGCAAAAGCGTACACGTCAGCTCTGAAGTACTTCCAAAACCGTCCCGAGTTACCACGTACCATTGACCTTGGTGTTCATGTTCCTCGCAATCATCGAGCGAGGAAGACCGGCATAGTTGCCGCTACGGGAAGCAGCAATGCGAACAGAACGCGCAACACCGAACATGATGCCTGGGAGAATTTTGGTGTGAAGGGGAGATAGTGGTGGACGGAGGAAGGAAAGGCTGGAAGGCCGGCACGTTAATGTTCGCGTTTTCAAGCCCGCAAAAAGATTTAGGCGCCATTACGTAATACTCGGCTCATACCGGCTCTGAGACCGTGGGAAATAGCGCCGAACGCCGTCGAACGTTCACGAAAACGGTCTTGACGTCGCGCGCGACGTCGGCGACAGCGTCGGTGAGCGCGCTCGGAATCCGCCATAGTTTGCAACAACCTGTCTACAGTCCCTGCTCATGAGCACCCTTCGCGTCCCTCAACGCCCCTTGCTTTCGCTCACACAGCGGCGACTGTGTGCCCTGCCGTGCCGCACGGTCGTCCTCCTCAACAATGAGCCCAAGTGGTCCCGCCCAATGCTACGCCAGCTGCGGACTTCGGCCGTGAGGCGCAATGATCAGCAAGCGGAAGCTGCCTCCGTGCCGTCGCGCGCGAAGCCCGAGGAGCCTCCTGCAGAGCAGATCTATTATGGCCCGCTGGCACAGACGTTCCGTCGCCTCAAAATCTTCTCCGTTTCTTCACTCGCGCTGTCGACCGTGATGACACCATTCCTCTTTCTGATTGAGACAACATCCGCGGTGCCGCTAGTCGCGCGAATCGCACTGGCCGGGACTGTTCTCGCCACGAGTGGCGTGTCTACCACACTTGTCGTGTGGTGCGGTCGGCCATACGTAACCCAGCTGCACTGGTTCCGTCCAGACGATGTATCGGCTACGCCCAGCAAGGTTGTCGGCAAAGAACCTACTGGCGTAGAGCTTGTTACCACTACTCTGACTCTGCGCAAGCAAATCACCCGTGTCTACGACACGGCCTTCTTGGTGCCCACCAGTCGACCATTCGCTAAGTGGGAACTTGCGGAAGCATTTCAACTGCCTTCCACCGAGGCTACAGTGGAGAAGGCAAAGGGTAACCTTCCTCGGGAAGAGACCGTCGCGGAGACGCTCGATCAGTCACGTCAAGTCATTGGTCGGTGGATCGTACAGTGGGACGAGAATGGCTCGGGTACGTGCCGACAAATGGGTAAAATTCAGAGGTGTGTGTGTACCACCATCAGATGTTTGCGACTACTCAGCATTTCCCCCAAGCAGATACTTCAACGTCCATGAAGAGCTCCTTCCGAGACCATTACGATAGCCTATATCGTCAACCAAATTCCACTACTCAGTTGGTCCTGTATATATTGTGCGGGGTCGGCGTACACCATAAGTACACTGATACGCTTTGCTCCTTCCTATACGCAATTAATTTCAAGGGATCGCACGGCCTGCTCGGGTAGCTTTGGCGGCTTCGCTTTGAGCTTCGTCGCGGAGATATCGACCATATATCTCAGCATAGTGCTCTTTATCCTGGTCTCAAATTCAACTTTTGTCACTCCGATAGTGGGCAGCAAGAATACTTACACTACTGGTCTTGCTGACGCTGTCCCTCTTCTCCAGCCTCGCCGCGTACTCGATCCACTTACTTCCGACGTCGTCGCGCTTGAACCCTCTGTTCTCAGCGACGATGTAATCCCTGACGATCCACGGCACAATGGCGACATCGACGAGGCTAAATTCCTCGCCGAGGAAATACGGCCCCTTGATCTTCTCCGCGAACTGCGTTAGGGCCTTGTTCCATTCTGCGAGGGCCTCCTGCCGCTTCTCGGACGTCTGCGCCTGAATGAGGCGGAAAAAGGCAGGGACAATAGATTTGGAGATGTAGTCGAGCCAGATGCGTGCATAATTCCGCTCGAATGGATCAGACGGGAGGAGATTGGGCTTATACGTAGGGTACGCATCCTCGAGGAACTCACAGAGGACGAGCGACTCGTATAAAGCTTTACCCTTATACTCGACAGCGGGGACAAGGCCTTTGGGGTTAATATCTGTCGCAAGTCCTTCAGCATCAAGTCTACCGAGACTCGGTGGCTCCTCACCGAGGAAGTGCCTTTCCTTCTTATACGGGTTCACCTCTTTGTACTGGTATGGAATCCCGCGCTCTTCAAGGGCAATCCAAGCCCTCTGCACGAACGGGCAGAACTAACGCGTTTCCGTTGAGCCGCGCCGTTCGCTGGCGATGCTTGCATATAGCTCACCCAACCAGAGTAGAACACGAGGTCCTGCGGCTCCTGACGCTTCTCAACCGTCTTGGCTGCCGTGCCGGTCGCATGAGGAAAGATCCTTTCGTCGGGAATAGACATGGCGAATATCGTTTGGGTTCAAGCAACGTGGGTCGGCTTGGGAAAGGCATCGTCGGATTCCTGCGCCCTATATAATGTTCTGGAGATGTTGAGATGAGTAAGCTGGTGGTCCTAGAGCCGATATGACGTTCTCTGTCAGCGCTTCGATCGAGCCAAACCACTAAGCGCGCGGAACTTAGTGGTTTGTTGAATGCTCGGGCCGCACGCCAGGTCGACTCTTACAGCTGTTAGTGTCTGTGGCCATTCAGATCTCATGCGATCAAGTCATTGAAGAGTAGTACAAAGGTTATACGGAGTTCCTTTCAGGCTCATCTAGTTGTAGGTACCGTGCACATCGCCCGACGCTTAAGGAATCGGACGCCCTGAGCTTCGTCCCGCAGATACTTATCGTAAATGTCGGTGAAGTACTGCCTCTCCTACACCTGAGTCAGCACTAACACGCAACCAGAGATCGCAGAGACACGTACGCTGGAGGTCTTACGAATGCTGTCGCGCTATTCGACAGTGTCCGCGTACGTCTTCCACGCTCCGCTGACGACTGCCCTATCATACCCTCTGTTCTCCTTAAGAACCCAGTCGTGTACAATCCACGATGCGATCGCAACGTCGACAAGACTAAACTCTTCCCCGAGGAAGTACGGGCCCTTCACCTTCTCAGCGTATGTCCGAAACGCGCTAACGAGATCCTCGCGCGCCGCCGTCTGTTTATCGGCGGTCTGCGCCTGCATGAGGCGCATGAAATTCGGTACGACATTCCTGCTGATAAAGTCGATCCAGATCCGAGCGTACGTGCGCTCGACAGGATCCGCCGGGAGCAGATTAGGCTTGTAGTCCGGATATGCGTCCTCAAGGAACTCGCAGAGGGGCAGGACTCATACAGGACTTTACCCTTATACTTGATGGCAGGACGAGACCCTTCGGGTTTATCTCTGCACCGAAAGGTTTTCAGCAGATCGCCCATCTTACTAGTGCGAGGAACTCGCCGAGGTAACGCTTTCCCTTCTTGTATGGATTTACCTCGACATATTGATAAGGGATGCCTCTCCTCCAGAGCGACCCATGTCCTTTAGACAAACGGACAGAACTATCAAGTAACCCTCGTCCTCAGCAACCGCGCATGTGTGTAATATGCACAATACGTACCCAGCCAGAATAGAGGACGAGGTCCTGTGAGTTCTGGTGCTTTTCGACAGTCTTGGCAGCCTCGCCTGTGGCGTGCGGAAAGGCGGTCGCAGACATCTCAAACGTCAAGCAAAGATATGGAAGCAGCTAGGAGTACACGAATGCTGGGCCCGCACACTGGTCATGACCGCTTTTTATATCTTGTTCGAGACTGCGCGAACGCGAAAGGGTAGGTTGCACAGGCTGTAAACGATGGGGATTGGGGATAGCTGTTTGCCGTCGTCTCCGTTGCTGATCATAGACAATTTGGATCATGAGTCGATCCAAATCACGTTTGCCATAGCACGAAGTCCGATGTGCTTCTCAGTTCCCTTCCAGATTTTGTTATCGGGGTTTCGGATTGATATTTGCCCCGAGACTTCGAATCCGTTGCTACTGTGTCTAATGCAATGCAATTGGCTCTTGTCCTAGATCAAGCTCAAGCTCGACTATGAAATGAATGTAGCGTTACGCTCGTCCTTTTCCGATTATCGTCGGAAAAAATCTGGACGCTCATAATAAAGAGCACTCAACTGCCCTCCCAAGGCAAGCTGAATCTCTCAGTGTTAATTGCTGACTGTAAACGATTTGGATGATGAATTAATGCAAAACGAACCACTTTAAAACGGTCGTCAGGCCTCGTGGTACAGAGCTATCTGACGGGTCGACCGAAGCTCTTAGTCTGCGTTGCTGACACTGAACGGTTTGGGTAACGAGCTGGTCCAAGCTCCTAAGAACTCTCCAGGGTTGCTTGATCGCAAGAATGATTATGTATGGCGGCATAATGCAGCCCATTAAAGTATTGAGACCGTGCAATTAACTGGGACCCGCCAATTTTGAACCCCAAGTACAAAAAACTATGATGTGCCCGACTCTACCAGTAGGCCTGAATGATCGGCAAATGCGTGATAGCTCAAAGGCTTATCACGCTATAAACCCGCCCAGTCGCGGAGGTCCAGTTATTTGGAGCATTAATTAGAGCAAGAACTGAAGCTGTTTACTCAAGTCTAAGGCACAGTACAAAGGGAAATTAGAGAGAGATACGAAGAGCATGAACCGAGCGAAGCAGAGAGGTGATTATGTACGCGTACGGAAACAGGGTGTGATCTTAGAAACGGAAGCAGCGGAGCTACACCCTCTCGCGTTTCAAATTATAAACCAGGGCTAAGGAAAAAGAAAATGGAAAAGAGAAAATATCCAGTGTCCTCGGGGTTCCATTGAACAAGGAGTAAGAGGAACAAATAAACTGCAAGAAAATTTGAGAAAAACCGCATCTGTACCTAAACTAAAGATACATCCTTTAGCTTCTGTTTTATTTAAACGCAGCGAATGCAATGATGCCATGGAAAGCTGGCGAGGTAACGATCCTCGAAGTAGTGCGAGTTGTGAGGATGATAGGCGTTTGATGAGCGCCCGCACGAACGCAGGTGCACGGGGGCCCAAAGGCGGCGACGAGCTTAAGGGCTGCTGTGGAAGTGAGACAGGTCGGCACCACACTGGTCTCACACTGTGTAACTCCCAGCGGATAGTAATAATGCCGCAAGTAGGGTCCGTCCGGGCGCGAGGGCGCGTCCTGGCGCTGGGCCACTGCGGGGTCCGATTCGTAACTTAAGCACGAGTGATATTTGAGACGGCGAAATGTCAACTGTCGTTGCACATGGTGAGCCTTGTACGCCACGTACACCCCGGTATCTTATACAGAACGTACTTCCACGCTGAAGGTACTGCATATAACCAGGTGACAGCTAATTTTGCCCGCAGGGGCTTACGCAGCTACAGTGACGCCTAGGATGTCCAGGACGCCTACATCTTCAACCCCCGCCCAGAGACTTTTTTCCTGGTGTAAAGATCTCTCAGGAATTCCCGGAAACCTTAGTGTTTCCATCGGGCTTGAACGCTCAGACAACAAGCTCAGTCACCCATGCTCGAATAGTAGAAGTACAAAAATTACACAGAGCTTCTTCCAGATCTTCCGAGACGTCAATATTACTCATCTCACATTGCACGGTGCTCAAGGAATTGGACGTCCCTCGCGGATTGCCTTTGCGGCTTCGCTCTGAGCTTCATCCCGCAGATACCGACCATAAATGTCAGTGAAGTGCTGCTTCTCCTATACCTAAGTCAGCACTAGCACATACCGAAAGATCGTGGAACACGTACGCTTTCTGTCCTGCGAATGCTGTCGCGCTGTGCTACGGTGTCCGCGTACGTCTTCCATGCCTCACCGACGGCTGCCCTATCGTACCCTCTGTTCTCCTGAATGATCCACTCACGCACGATCCACGGCGCGATTGCAACGTCCACCAAACTGAATTCTTCCCCAAGGAAGTACGGACCTTTGACCTTCTCAGCGTACGTCCGAAGCGCTTTGGTGAAGTCCTCGCGGGCTGCCGCCTGCTTGTCAGCAGTCTGCGCCTGCACGAGGCGCATGAAGTTCGGTACGATATTCTTAGTGATAAAGTCGATCCAGATCCGAGCGTATGTGCGCTCGACAGGATCTGCTGGCAGCAGGTTGGGCTTGTGGTTCGGGTAGGCGTCCTCAAGGAACTCGCAGAGGAGCAGGGACTCGTACAAAGCCTGGCCCTTGTATTCGATGGCAGGGACGAGGCCCTTGGGGTTGATCTCTGCGTCGAAAGGTTATCAGTATGTTACCGAGTACCATGGCTCGGAGTAGTCTGGGAAACTTGCCAAGGAAGTGCTTTTCCTTTTTATATGGGTTCACCTCGGCGTACTGATAGGGAATGCCCCTTTCCTCAAGGGCGACCCATGTCCTTTGAACGTACGGGCAGAACTACGAAACATCCCTTGGCTTCAGCAAACCCACACGTGTATGACATGCACAATACGCACCCAGCCAGAGTAGAAGACAAGATCCTGTGGGTCCTGGTGCTTTTCGACGGTCTTAGCAGCCTCGCCTGTGGCATGCGGGAAAATCTTCACGTCGGGAACAGACATCTCAAAGGTCGGGCAAAGACGTATGAGGAGCCAGGAGTGCACGGATTGCTGAGTACCGTGAGTATTTTCATACTGCTTTCACCGCTATTTATGCTCTGCTCGAGACTGTGCGAACACAGATGAGTAAGCTACCAAAGCCGTAAGCAGTGAGAATAAGTTGCGGCCAAGCAGCTGGGAATGACGTTTCTGTGGTGGTGTGCTTCATCAAGAAGGTGCAGAATTAGGAAAGTATGGTAATTCGCACAAGCGAGTCAAATTAATATAAGGCCCCGAAATCCGAGAGCAAGGTCGGGTAAGAAACTTTGTTATCAAGGGTCTCAAATGATTTGTAACGAGCCTTCAGATGCATTATGATAGCCTCTGATGCAATACAATCCGTTCTAGTCCCGGATCAAGGCCAGCTATAGAATTAGCGTAGTGTAACTCTCATCCCCTTTGATGCCGCCTCAATACGAGAGGATGTAATCCCCAGATGACAAACCGGTCGCACACTCCTGTGATTACGGCTCTCTGTAACAAGAACGTGAGCTACTAAGGTAGCCGCAGGTGGTTGAAACCTTCTTAGCACTACCCGGTACGTGCGCAGGTAGCTTCTGCCTCTAGTCAGTGTCATGCCAAGTCGGACTCGGAATGTGCCTCGCCAAAAGCCTTGGTGGTTCCGCTGGGGTTGTGCGAAGAGTCAAATGATCAGCACCATAGAAACTATGATCCAGAGGCCCTGCGTACGCACGCACATCACCCGGACCCTTTGTGAGCCATTCAGGCCACTGTATCATGCAGTAACGCTGGCGGACGGTTTCCGCAGACCCACAGAACAGGATTGGACATCATTGAGGACTGGGCGAGGATTGAAAGTACCAGCTGAAGCCAACATGCGCCATATTGCTTTCCGAGTCACATAGGATACGACCGACGCGGGGCGAGCACCAGGGAAAGCGCCGAGGCCAGTTGCCAGGACCCCTAGTACCCGGTACCACCATGCTTTCGTATGCGCCCCGGCCCCCTTGGTACTTCCACTTGAGACTACTACTTCATGGTTCAAATCTCTGGCCTTCTCTGTATCACGTTTTCTTCGAATACTATGGCTGTGTCAATTCAGAGCTGTGACTCGGAGATGCACGTGTCAATATTGTGGCTGTGTAAGTGCTGCGTGGCAGCTGTGGAAGTAATGTCGCTTCCGAGTCGACAGCTCATCGTCAACCTTCATGGCACGGCGAGCGGTTCGACGGTTTGAGTACGTGGCGTATGGTGCGTAGCGTGAGATACTACTGAATTGAACGATCTATTGACCGTTCTGCTCACACTGCATTCACCCGTTATTGGGAACAGCTTCCTCCTGAGCTTCACCACCACGTTTGGCAATTTGTAACGGGCTATGACGATAAAGTCGTAGTCTCAAGGCTCTCTCTAATTTCGCAAGCCTGGTCCCGACAGCTACGACCTCATCTTTTCGGCAACCTTACGCTATATAGCGAGGAGGATTGTCGTATCCTCTTCGGTATAATACGTTCCCCGCTATCAGGCTGGCTTGCGGACCACCGTACGTCGCTATGTTGTACTTCGAAAACACTTGGTTCCCTAGTCATCCACTTTGGATGACGCTTACTCGACTCTTACCGGCGTGTCGTACCATCTATCAGCGGATGCACGGCTATTACAACATCCCACTTGGACATTTGTCACATAGCGCAGCTCTGAAGAGCTCGTTGCGGGGCATCAACTCTTTTGTCCTGTTCCGTTGTAGTTTTCTATCATCCCGAACTTTGTTCCGCGTTCTGGGGGATATCACTCACCTAGAGGCTGTCGATCTCGAGGAAGTTATATGGTCAGGCAATCCCCTCATGACGTTTGATACCGCAAACAACATCTGCAGTGGCACCTTCAACAGCATCCGCTTAATAGAGCTGCAGAATTGCACAAACAATCTGGCAGTGCCCGCTTGGTTTCTGGCCGCTGCGAGTACACATCATTCGTTCATCCGACGTCTTGCAGGACCGGCAGTCACTGTAGAAACATGAACCATCACCAAGCTTATCCAGACGTTTTTAGGCGATCCCAGAGTCCTCTTTTCACGATTCAAGGTTGTGGAAGCAACTTCGGGTGAGTTTGATTCACCGGCCTCTCGAACTATCATACTCATAAGATACCCCGAAGACACCTACATATTCACCGGTCATCTATCGGACTACACCGTAGCCGGGCAATTGCCAGGCGTTCATGTTGCGATCCAAGTCACCAGGTCTATGCCTTCCCACGACAGCAACGAGTCTTGGTCTGTTCCCGAATTGTTCTCGCAGCCTCGTACGACCAAACTTTTCGTTCCTCTCCAGCCTTCGATTACTTCCGGTCTCGTAATTAGTCCATGATCCTCTCCCTTCTGCACGCACTTCCACAAATACAACAATTCCAGGTTCTTTGTGGACATGATTACTCGGAAGAGGAAATACGTGCTTTCCATGATCAGGTCATGGTTGCCATGAACAATCATCCGGCAATAACTATTCAATATGACCCCGATATGCCATATGGGAGGTTCTTAGAGCCAACGCTGTTTCTTACTGGGGGTGACTTGGAGGCTAAAAGGATGGAAGCGGCAGGACTGATAACGGTACGGACTGGAAAGTGCGATTCTCTTGCACTACGCTGAACGAAGTCTTTATGCAGAGCCTGAAAGAACCAACGACATATGAGGAGACAACCTCACCCGAGGTATATAATCTGACTTACACAGAACCGCTTCGTCGGCATGGGCACACTATCGAAGTGTGCAATCATTTTTTGCGTCAGATGAGAACCAGCACTCGTCAAATATTATTGTAACCTGGTTTCACTGTTCCAGAATATGTATGCGGGCTGTATAAATGCATACTATATACATGCCCGTTTCCGACAGGAGTGAAGAGATGCAGACCCTGTACCGCAATGTTTGGTGCGACATCGCGCCTTGTGCCGGTGGTCAGTGCCTCCACAAGCATAAAAGAATAGGCGGCGGGCGGCGGCTCGCGCGCGCAACGTCAGCACGAGGCGGCTGCAGGCATTCCGACCAGCGCGTGCCGCAGATGCAAGGACGGGAGGGGACAAGGGTGCATTATGTCTAGGCGAGAGCGCTCTTCTGTCGTTGCCGACCTTGACCTAAGATTGTGCGAATCGTCATAGGACGGCTGGAGTACAACCGTCCGACCACCGGTGACCATACCTAACGGGGGTCACCATGATAAATCTTGTGTTTCGGTTAGGTAGGGCGGGGGTGAGGGGACCCATTAGAGGTAGGTCTAACGTCTGGCAGGGTAGAGTCCATCGACTGGCTCGGTGCTCGTGCGAGGCCAGGGCCGTCTGGCGCGGTTCTGCGAATTCCTCTGCGCCCCCAGGCTTTAGGTCGACCAGGTGAACCGGCACGGACCCTGTTTTGGCTGTAGCACAGGCCCTCATGTAGCAGTAGTTCTACGGGCCTTTATAAACAAACGAAAAAAAAAGACCTTGACCTAAGACGTCTTTCGTCATTTATGTCGAAGGTTCGCGAGCCTGCGCCGCATCGTCACACCGGCAGAAGTACATAAATATTACACATTCAATATTTCAGCCGGTCGCTTGTATATAATCATACCTCAGCATGGACACACAGCGGAGAGGTGTTCACGTTAGATGTTTTTCAAGCGGTGTCTATGATGTGACGACAGCTGCCACCGGATTTTTAGTCGTGGCAGGGCTCAATTATCATGAAGCTAAAGGACGCATGCCTTACCGACTGACGGGCGGCCCGCCGAGCCCCGAGTATGAACACGCCAGGACCCAGCACATAATACATCACCGCATTTGCGATGTATGCCAGCCTGTCATAAGCCTGAGAAGAGGACAATAACGAGCGCAGGAAGAGCTTACTTGCGCATCGAAGAAGCGCACTTGGCCTTTGCTCAGTCACTGGTCATCTGTCTTCTTATTGGACGCTGTATCCCCTGCACCTCTCTTCCACCGGCGTTGGCGCCGCCTTATCGACCCGTACGTGGGTGCCACAGCCACAGCGTGATATTAAAGCACAACCCAAGCAGCAAGAATCAAATTGCTAGACCTGTGGCTGGGGCAGGCACGGAATTTTCGCAATAGAGGCAGCTGCCAGCAAGAAACCTGCGCGGTGCGATGTGCTCTCTTCATGATGCATCGAATGACTGGGGACTGCTATATTACTCTTTGCTTGCAGTAGCGGATTCCGGCAGCTTCGCTGCTCGATTAGAATCCTCGGGGCCAACGTCTTCCGCACCGGACTGAGGTAGCCTAACCTCACCCTGCCACCGCGCCATTCCCGATCGAGAGCTCGGCGAACAATTGATGTTCTTATCCCGAGTCCCGCACGACTGAAGCTTACTCGATGGCGTTTGTACGTCTACAGCGTAGCATGCATATAATGAACGCGTTCCAAAGGCGAATGCTTTCAGTAAGCTCAACCCCCTCTGCCACCCACTCCAAACATCCAACCTCTCTGACCAAAATGTACGACCCTACGCTCACCATCCACGCCACCGGCGCCGCGACCAAGACGGTGGAAGAGCACAAGGAGCCACAGGATGTTACGTTACACGCCGCTTGGGTGTGTGCTTTCGTCGCGGAGAACAGTGCTATGTTCTGACTACACATTGCCCTCAGTACTGTCCGTTCACCCACAGGGGCTGGATCACCCTCGAAGAGAAAGGAGTACCATACGAATACCGTGAGATAAACATCTACCACCGGGACGAGAACTACGAACGTTTCCTCAGTAAGCGCCTTCTGTGCCCTCTCAGCCAGCCGTAGTGTCGTATATTTATTGATCTCATGCAGAGATTAACCCGAAGGGTATGGTCCCTGCGCTCGAGCGCAACGGCAAGGCGCTCGGCGAGTCGCTCATCCTCTGCGAATACCTCGAGGACGCGTACCCAACGGAGGAGACCAGACTACTCCCCGCGGACGCCTTCGAGCGCGCCTTCGCACGCCTCTGGCTCGACTACATTTCCAAGCAGATCGTCCCGGCCTACTTCCGCCTCATCCAGGCGCAGGGGGAGCAGAACCAGACCACCGCGCGCGAGGAGTACTACAAGATCCTCCGCACGTTCGCCGACATGGTTAAGGGGCCGTACTTCCTCGGCGAGCAGTTCAGCCTCGTCGACGTGGCGATCGCGCCCTTCGTCGTGCGTGACGCGGTGCTCAAGGAGAAGAGGGGGTACGAGCGCGTGGACGTTAGTGCCAAATGGAAGGAGTACGCCGATAAAGTGGCAGCGAGGCCAAGCGTCGTCAAGACCTCAAGCGTGCGTACCGCTGTCTGATTTGTTGGCCCAATGAGTATGCTGACCTCTGCTTCAGGAGATAAAAGACTACACACACTTCTACGGCCCATACCTGCGAGACGAGGCTGACAGCGAGATTGCAAAGTCAGTTCGTGCCGGCGGTGGGATTCCCTAAATAGCGGAATACAGTAGGAGCATGTCAGATAGCCTTATGTACCTGTACAATGTAATGTGTACTTCATCGCCCAGCATCCTGTGAAAAGAAATCAATGCGGAGAATAGAGAAATAATCGTAGGTGAACATCAAGGAAGAACTAGAACGACTCCATCTGAGATACTACCTTTCCTATTCGTTGAACCACCGCTGAGCCGGTCATGCCCATCCTCGGACCTTTTATCCCATCTCACGTCCACAACGCTCAGTGCCTCGCCCTCGCTGTCTTGTGCGTCCGCCCCGCCGGTGGGTGTTCTACGGTCCGTAACTCTGATGCGCGGCACACGCGCGTAGCCGCACTCGATCGGGATCATGTTCCACATGAGAGCCTCCTCACTGCCCGGCAGTAGGACTGGAATGCGCCCGCTGCGTAGTCCGGCGAGCACAAATCCATCCGAGGGGTCGAACTCAATCTGCACAACAACGTTCGCCGCGCCGCTCTGCCGCAGGTTGCGTACGGTGAGGCGCATTTGCACCGGCACGTGAAGCTTCGCCTGCGTGGGCACGTCGAGCAGTGCGACAAGCTCGTCTGCGGGTGGCTTCAAAGGCGGGAGCGGGAATCGGCTTGTTGCAAGCGAGCCCTGTCCACCATCAGGTAAAATCCTGGAACAGCACTTGAGTATCGGCTATTGTAGATAGTGACGAACACTCACCTCCTCCAAGTTATCTCATACGCGCCTGGTCCAGGGATATGTTCATCGGCAGTTTCTGCCACTGCGCCGATGGCTGCACGACAGCAATCGCTGAACTCATCGCCGGGAAGCCATTCTGCTTTTTTGTCAGCGCACAATCACAATGGTAAAAACAGCTGCCCTGGTATGCTTACCAGAGAGCAGACCTTCTGAGTCCACGTCAAGCGCACAGCTAATCACCCTAGCATCCGAACCGTCCTACATGAGTTTTGCGGTGAAAATTCGGGGAGACACGCCGTTCGTAAATGCGACACACCTCTTTGACCAGCTTCGCGCTCTCCACCTTAATACCATGCGGACCAGTACAGGTCCACACCGTACAGACAGTCGCCTCCGCCCCAATCCCGTCCACACCAAATCCAGGCTCGTACGCCACGAGATCAGCAAGTCCAGGGCGCGGCGCCATCGATCGGCGGTACGCGACGTCGTGCTTCACGATGATAGGGTCGACGGTCTGCAAGACCAGCGTCCGTAGCGTCTCGCCAGTATCGTCTGTGGCAGGCGACGGGCTCTTGGGAGAGAGCGGGCTGGTTTGCGCTACGGCGTCGCTTTCTGGAACGCGCGAGCGTATGGAGACATCGATGACGGTGTCTGAGGCTGCACCTGCACTTTGTAGGTAGACGGTCTTGAACGTGCTGACTCCCGGAGCAAGCGTGCCGAAGGACACGCCCTTGATTAGGTTCGTCCAGTTCTCCTTGTCCGAGCTAATGCTATTGACTGCAGAAGATCATTCAGTTAAGTCTACTGGAGCGGCTGCCGGAATACTGACCAGCATACTCAGCCTCGGAAGGATGCAGCATGGCGTCCGCTACGATCTCCAGTTCCCTGTCATCTGTGTTGGTGACTTCGACTATAATTGGATACTCTTCGCCAAGGTATGGAGGAGAGTGATGCGACAATACAACCTGGACCGAGTGTGGCCGTGGTCGTACGCTATGGGAGCCTGCTTTCAGAGGTGGAATAACACTGCCGAAAATCACTTACGTCACATGTGAGACTGGATGCGAGGGATCTCTACGTATTGGTAGGAATTTGGGGGGCTCAAGCGAGGTAAGCCATCGAGGCGTTGGGACGATACCGTTTCGGATGCTGATAGGCTGCACAGGTAGCTCAATCCACCAGCTACTTTCCTTCACAGTCAAGACAAGCTTCGAAATCTGGATATGGAAGTCAGAAGTGCTTCCCTGGGGTAAATCTAAAAAGAACATACCGTTAAATTCGTTGGGACAGTTGATACCAGCGTGCCAACGAGGACAATTATGCCGCCAGGCCTCCAACGCAGATCGGCCTCAACCTCCCGTGGAACATCACCCCCGCCAAGTCCAACATGACTCTGCCCTAGGTCTACGCGCTGGATCAGCGGCAGGCCGACGTCGGGATCCGATGACTTGTGCAAGACGGTAACCGGAGCACTTTCCTCGTCGAAGTGGATGGTCAATAATGAGAAGGGCAGAGAAGATATGAAAGTACGAGATGTGGCGCAAAGCGAAAGCTGAAACGCTGTAGACTCGTCAACCTTGGCGTCTGAAGCCCAGAACACGAGTGAAGAGTCCACTGTGAATCGCGGCGGTCAGCGAGACGACGACGATAAACGACTAAACGACGGACAGAGTGGTTCGGCGTCAAGTAAGTCGATAACTAAGGGATGGTCAAGGTCAGTAGGTACAGTGCTCTGTCCTCGGGTCAGACGGACGCGCACAGCGAGACGAGTGGTCCCCGCACCTTCAAAACTGCCAACAAGTCCTCTTGGATTGCATCCGGCTCATCGTCAGCCGAGTAAGCGCCTGTAAAATACGCATGAGCAAAACGCATGAGCAAGAAGGACTATCTCACCTTGGGCGAGCATCTCGAACAGGAGCTGGACACTAAGCTCCATGTCACCTAGCTGTTGAGCGCACTTGAACCAAGTCGAGAGTAGTGGAACGAGCATGGCATCCCATTTCTCACGTCGGTATGTCTTTGCGATGCGCTCAAAGAACCTTGGTCGAGGTAGTCAGCTTGGTGGAGTACGAATCCGCAGGAGCCGTTCTACCTTGCTGCCATATCAAACTTGCCGGACTCGTAGTAAGTCTGGGCGATGCGGTAGGCTATCCACAATGTCTGCCTTCCCTGGTTTTGTGCATTTGTGGGGCTATACTTCTTAAATAGCTCGTATGATCTCGTGTAAAGCTGACATGAGGCACACTAAATCAACGTGCAACGATGTGATGAAATGAATTCGCACCTCCAGGATAATTGCAAGATGATCCACTTTCCGCTCGTTCTCAAAGCTTGGAGGAGTTGATGCTGCATTCTCAGGTGTCTGCTAATTGATTCAGGCTTTGCTACTCAAGCTCGATTTATAGGCACTCACTAGGCTATCCGTGAAGTGTAGGAAACGAGCGCGACGGCTCTCGGTGCAGCGTGCGGCCATGTAGTAGTAGAAACCTGGATGCTGGAGTGCCTGTGTAGGATTAAGTCCTAGGGAACGTAGAGATTCTGTCTCAACCATGCCACGCTGCGAGTCGAGCGGCTGAGATACTACAGTAGATGCCGCTGAAGACGACGAGGGAAGGTAGGTCGGGATTTTCAGCGTGCCGCGTGCTCCCTGCTCTAAAAGCTCTGCAAAAGCACGATGCCTAATCGATGTGTCAGAGAGGGCCCATTTCCTAACACGCACGATACTCACTGTCTTGCCACCCAGCCCCAGAACTCGAATGTCTCTTCGCCAATTCCCCAACCGCGGCACAGGTCGCTAAATCTACGCATGTGCATCGAGTGGTATGCCAGAGCCAATGAATGCTCATGATTGTAGAGGTAAAGCTTGCAAGTCTGACCGGAATGTATTTAGTCTGCTCCTAAGCGGGTTAAGACGATGAGGACTGACCTTGAAGGCGAGGCTATCTGCGAGCACCCTCGCCTCCGCCCACCGCTTCGTGCGTGGGGGCAATATTGCAGTCGAGCCAAACATGACCTGTAATGCCGAATATGCGTCCTGGTAATGTCTAAAGCGCAAGTGAGAACTCGTTCACTGTATGATTGTAATCTGACGTACTTCAAAGCAACCTCGTCTTCTCCACGGAATTCAGCAAAGCAAGCCATCTTATATTCATACCTTACTGTCCACCCCTCCGGCCGCAGCGGTCGTGGCGCGACCGATCCGGGGGCCGAGATGGGGGAAGTATAGGTTGAGACCGCCTGCGTATGCCGATTGCGTTTCCGCCGGACACGCTTGGAGTGATTGGTATAGTATTCTAATGCTGGCTCCCACAAAGCTTCCTGTAGACTAGTTGAGAATAAGTCTCTAGCTGGACAGCACGAGCGATTCTCATACCTCCGAACAAAGTCGCCAATCTCTGAAGGTGCGACTGGACTTAGGACAAATAGAGCTGCTCGCGGGTCAAGTCCGCTTTGCCTCCTAATGTACGTAAGTCGAGTATCAAGCGCAGAGTCGTCTACAACGCGTCATTATATTTTCTCCAGACGATAAACCTTTGGCATGTACCTAACATTCGTCTGCTTGCCATAAGAACAACAGTCAGCTTGATGGACCTCTCGTTCATCAGCTTCTTTCTCTGAGCGATTTCCTGAGCAAGCTCCGTGTCTCTCCTGCGTTCCTCGGCTTCGCGCTCCCGATCGAGGTCTGGGTCTGGCACGTCAAGAGGTGTACCGCCTGACGGCCGCTGGTACTCAAAGATACGCTTGAACAGAACAAAGACTGACGGAACCAAGGAAGTGTGTTTTCGTATCCATATAGGTGCAATCAGGCCGTCTGGGTAGAGTGGTGACGACGGGGTCAACGGGGACAGCGGTGAATGCGTGGGTAGGAACTGCTGGTCCTCGGCCGGGGGCATCTTACGTGGGGGGAAGCGTACATCCTGTATAGTCAGGGATTATTGTCAATGTATAATCCATTAAGAAGCAGTACACAGAGGTCGACAAGGGCAGAGGCACTTGCAAGTTCTGAACGTGCGCATCCTGAATGGCTCAGTTTGCATATGAGATTGTGTACGCACCGGGTCTACGAATATGACTTGAAATGTCTTAGCTTTATCCGGATGCCATACAGCAGGTCTCCGCTGTGCCTGCAGCATATCTTTGAGCCGTAGAGCGAGCAGCGAGAACGAGTCTTGGGACTTCGGTGCTGGAGATTGTGGACCTGTTGGCGGTGGTGGCGAGCCCAGACCTGCAACGAACATTACAGGCGCAAGCTGCGCCAGAAGCTCTGGCGGGTACGAGTTCATTATTCCCGGTCGAAAGCGGACTTCAGCAGAGGAGTGTATACTCTCGGGGACGCATTTGGTCGAAGTGCAGATACAAGTGAAGAAGCGCCCGGCTGGAAATCTTTGGGCATGAGTTGCTTCTAACCGTCACCACCGTCTTGAGTGTGTTCGATGACGACACACTCGATGTGCACTGGCCTTGGCATTCGATGGTTATTCGCTTCTCTCTTATTCCTCATGTCGCCCGTCGTCGCCCAGAACTTCACCGATGATAGCACCTACAACAGCACCGATGGGTGAGCCATGCTGTCGCTTCCGGGGATGCAGTCAGCTCAAGTTCTCTGTAGGAGCTTCGGTATCGATCCAATACTACGATATAGGCCTTCATTTGCCTGCTCTCTGCCTGTCCAGATTCTCATGATAGGCATCGTGCTGACGCTGACCTCTGTGCTCCTCATTCACCTCATCTTTACCGCTCAGTACCACTGGCCTCTCGCTCCTGTCAACTATGCGTTACAACTCTCCGCCGTCATTACCCTGTTGGTGTCTTTGATAGCGACACTACATGTCGTTCTCGAGGCTGCAACGCAGGAGAGCACGGTATGGCCCTACATGCTCACATACATTGCTGTCGACATACCGCCACTACAAGATGAGGAAAGCGCCGCGGGCTGGCGGACAGGCGAACTTGCTGCGTGGCTGCTCATGAATGCTACGACGTCGGCGTTGATACAGGTACGCACTTTGCGTCGCTCTCCCACAACTTACATTGAGCCTGCTTCTCCTGTTCCATAGATAACCCACATTCAATTCCTGACCCTTCTCTTCCCGTCCAACTTGGAACGCCGCCTCATTTTTATTCTGCTAGGCCCACTCGCTATCGTTGCAGCGATCATGCAGCTTGTTCCTCTCAACGACTCTTCAGTTGATGGGAAACTCACTTCGATCGCCTCCGCCGTGCAAAACATCTGCAACGCAACGCTGTCCCTGCTTTTTACAGCTTCGCTATTCATTTGGGGCTTCCTTGTCAACCGTAGATCGGCTTGGAGAACGGACGGTGGCACTGCCGCCTTCGGCATCGGCGCCCTCATGCTCGCTTTGGCTTCAACGGCGATCACGTTCATCTACATCCCGAGCAAAGACCATTACTCGTGGATGCCAGGCCTGATGTGGGCGGTCATCTTATGGCAGAGCTTCCTGGGCTGGTGGTGGTGGGTTGGGTCGGGTATGGGTGTTGGAGAGGTTGATGAGCTTCTACGGCGGGAGGAGAAAAGGAGGATGAAGCGTAAAGCGAGATTGGTAGCGAGGCAAATGCGGAGGGAGAAGGCGCAGACGTTATGGCACGGTGTCACCGGAGCGTTCAGCTACGACAAAGAGAAACGGCGCATGAAGGCCGCCAACATACGCAGTGGCACTCCGACTGGTAATCCTCGAAGCAGGAGCATTCCCACCACGTCAACGATGGACTCCTCCGAGACGTCTGGCAAGGCGAGCACCTCCTCCGTTTCGACGGCCGACGCTTTCGTGCACAAGCTGCAGCAATTTTACGCCACTCGTCAGCTGTATGCAGCATACCTTCGCCTGCGTCACGCACACCTCACTGCCTCGCGTGAACAGGCGGAGGAGAACAACGAGCGCATGCAGCAAGTTTACGGTCCTAGCGAGTCCGGCGGCGAGGTTGACCCTGTGTCTGTGGGTTGGGGCCTAGGGAGCTATGGTGTACGACAGATGAACCGTGAGGACACGCAGGAGCGGCAACAGGGGCTGCAAGGGATCTTGGAAGTCGATGAAGAAGACAAGACGAGCGATGACGGTAGTAGCGTCGGTCGGCGCAAAGAGCACAGCGCGGAGACGGACTTCCGCAGTCAGCCAGCCAATGCTAGACGGCGAAAAAACAGATTAGCAAGACGAGATACCGATGCACGCAACGAAGGTACCCTGCCACAACATACACCCGTAGAGGGTGCGCAACCGCAGTCGATGTGGTATTGGGGGCCGCTGCGGCGCTGGAGGTTACGGGACTCTACTGTTTACAAATGACATGATCTCGTGCACGGATTATTCATATAATTATGGTTGTACTTATATGGTCTGTACGTATAGTCTTTCTGGAATACGTTCTTAATACCGTCGGTTCGAGCTTTGGTTCGCTCATGTAAAAGAACAGCGTAGCTGGAAAACCCGAGCAAAGTAGTTCCGGGTAGCGCAAACTCTTGACATCGATGTGTCTTTCGGCAGTCCTCTAACGGCTTAGAGTGCAGAACTGTAGTTGATTGTATGTGTGCGTCGGTTGGAGGATTGGCAACTCACCCAATCTCTGCAGCGTTAATGTACCGGGCACCACAGACATTCACAGCACTGCAGCGGAATATTTCAACAGTCTTGGCCCTCGCTAAGACACTGCTGCCGTTTCGTAAGGGACATGTCCAGCAACGAGCTGATGACCACGGCCGCAGCGCAGATAATGCAGTAATCGATGAGCACAGGGCGCATAATGTTTCAGACGACATCGATTTCGTGAGCGTAGTCGCCTGGTAAGAGGGAGTTAACTTGCATTTACTCGTTGTTTGAGCGATCCAATAAAACATCTTGCAGGCAGCGTACTTCGCCTTTGTGCTGGCCTCCTCAGGTATTGGCCAACAGCTATGGCCTACTCAGCGCCGCTTCTAACGTCCCCAGCTGCGGGATAGCCCTCGTGAATGCACTTGGCGGGCATGTGAGGTCAGAGGATCTTCTAAGTTACGGCAGCTGAATGAATTCATGGGCTGTGTTGATCGAAGTCCGGAGGCACATACCGTGTGAACCTCTTGAGGCTTTGGCATAAGCCGAAAAGTTAGTACGCGCGTCAGGAGTCAGCAGACAATCAGGGTCTTTGAACATCGGAACGTACAGTCCGGCCAACATTGGACTGGTGTTGATTCGAGGAGGAGACATATGACTCATGGTGGCGAGCGAGGACCACCCAATGGCGCGGATCTTACAGCATACAGAGCACCATCGCGGACGTCCATGCTGATGAGTCCTTCAGTGTGCTGAATCAAGGTGTATGCCATAACTAAAATACAGAATTCCTAGATTCCTACTACTCTCAGCAATGCTCGTCTGGGCGGAGGGAAGTACGCACCATTCATGAAGAATTCAATTAGCTCCGTATCGCTAGAACGTGCCAACATCCACAACTTCTCTGCTTTCTCCTATCTGTATACACAAACCGTTCCCCGCCCAAGGAGGCCGCTGTAGGTGGCCATCTTCGCCAGGGCCCCCTTTGGTTATGCCGTCGCCGAAGAAGACATAGCCAGGGATGTAGCGGTCGACGAATCTGCTCCAATGTCAGTATGACGTCGAGAAGACAGCGGAGATGCAAGCGCACTTCACAACTTGCTCGTCTGTCATGCCTTTGCCTCCATTCACGGCTTTCATGTTGTGCTCCTGCTGTAGCCTCCACTTGTAGATATAGTCGTATGGATGACTCCCCGCGGGCTTAATCTATGAAGGACGTCAGATGCGGCTCCTGTCAGGAAACACGAACGCACCTGGATGAAAGCATCGAAGTATGGCCACCAACTCGCGAGGTCCTTTAGCCTCTGGTTGATGTCAAGGACGTCCTCCTTCCTGAATCCGCGACTAATGAAGAAGTCATCCCCGAGCCCTTGGACGGGTAGCTCGAAGCGATGGTCGATCTCCTCTTTACTCGACGGATAAAACCCCACACACCAACCTTCAAGGACGACGACGTCAACGGGTCCCCTGACATTAGTTCCCTCGGGCACACGGTCGCCTTCGCCAGTGTGCAAGCTCTTGTCAAACCTCGGGATGTGTACGTCCGGGTGGTGCTCAGGGTCCTCGTTAATGCGCTTTAGCCGTGCAAGGATCTCTATTCCAAGCTTCACGTCGTGCGTGCCTGGTTGCCCCCGTCCCTGTAATAGCCTGTTCTCTGGGTAGGCCTTTGCTACAGCTACGAGATGTTCGTGCGGGAGGTACAAGTCGTCTATGGATAGCACGACAACCTTGAGAGAATGCGGCTCAGAGACGAAGGCTTCTTGAAGACGGGTCGTCAGAAATGTCTTCCCGCTTCCCTGTGGTCCTTGTACCGCGACAAAAAGAGGAGATTTTGTGCTGCTGGCGGGCCCTGCGCGATGGCGGGCAAGTTGCTTGAGCACATGCTCACTCATGAGCTTGACCTTCGACATCGGCTCCATGACCGTGTAGAAAATATCTGGCGAGATTTGACCTCGTCCTGGCTGGATAATATGCGAGCAAGGGAGTGAAGCGGTTGAAAAGGATGTTTTCAGGCTAACGGTTCCGTCGCACTTGCGATATGAGAGTGTGCGCGCATCCTATTCGGCCGTCCGCATGGGCGCTCGGTTGTTTTGCACTCAGATTAGACTCCGCCGAAGGCGTTAGACAGACGCGCAAGATGCGTGGCAAGCGAGATGGAGGAACTGCGCGTTCCCGGCGCACCCAACAGCAACGTCGACGCCCCCTTCCCCCCTTTGCATTGTACGCTTCTTGTCGGCCCATCCTCACGAAGATGATGAACTCCTCCGACACCACGACATCCGACACGCCCTTCCAGCCGCTGTCTTCACAGTATGCGAAAGCAAAACGGCAGTATCAACAATGGCTGGACAAAGTCACGCCGTTTGTGCTCTATCGCTGGCTTGCAACAGCTGGCCTGTTAGCCGTATTTGTACTGAGAATCGTGCTGGCTCAAGGGGTGAGTTGCTGGTTTCAACCTTTTCAAGTAAACGTAGCTGACCATGGCGTCCAACTATTTAGTGGTATATCGGTGAGTTGAGCCATCCCTAGCCTCCATAATGTGGTACTGAGTACACGTTCGCCGATTATAGTATGCTGTATGTGCTATGTTGTCCTCTGCCGAAGTGAAATTTTATTAAGCGATCCTTAGATGCTCATGCCATCTACTTGCTTAATCTTCTCTTGGCGTTCCTGCAACCCAAATTCGACCCATCGCTGCAAGAAGACCTTCTTGCAGATGAGATTGAAGGCGGTGGAGAGGAGACCTCACTTCCGTCAGCACGAGATGACGAATTCAGGCCCTTCGTCCGTAGGCTGCCCGAGTGGCAATTCTGGTACGTTGCCAGTCCCTTGTTTGAGTTTCACATCATCTGAGCTTCGTATAGGCTTTCATCGACCCGTGCTTCAGTCATTGCGCTCTTCTGTACATTCTCAGAAGCGTTTGACGTGCCGGTGTATTGGCCCATCCTCGTAATGTACTTTTTCGTGCTCTTCGTGCTCACGATGCGGAGACAGATCCAGTACGTCTCAATTATATTATTCACCGCCAGCCTGCTCACTTTCCTTCAGGCATATGATCAAGTACAAGTATATCCCCTTTGATCTCGGTCGCAAGGCACGCTATGGCTCCAGCAGGTGATGTCTTGTACGAGTCCGCATCTAGACGATCTCATAGATCGGGTTTCACTCTTGTGTCATCTCATCGAAGTTATTTTGGGCCATTTCGTGTATTCGACGGCGTAATGTGGAGAATAAGTTTCGGACCCTGAGCTCAGAATAACAGTGGAATGACAGCCTTGCGTTCCTTCGGATAGTCTGGGAACCTGTTGAGATACCACTTGTGTCCTCTGTAAGCCCTGGGAAGCATCAAGAGAACTTCGGTGGTGAAAAAGACGAATGGTGGTGTGATGGTCTCGAGGAATGCTGAGACTGAGACAAATGAAGGAAGGGGCGAAGCCGCAAGTGCAAACCCGAGCCATTCAATCCACTCGCAGAGATAGTTCGGGTAGGATATAAACCGATAAAGGTAGCCGTAGGGTATCGCGTAGTGTTCCTGCTTATTCTTGCCATTGTCGTCGTCATCTTGCGCGCGAGCCTTGCCTTTCGCTTTAGCGCTGCGGCGAAGGTTCAGAAGAATCTCGTCGTGCAAGATATTGCCCGCGTAGCCGAAAGCCCAGAGGCCGACGCCTACCCAGAAGAGCGGCCGTGAGAATGCACCTTCCAGGAACTGAGTGGCGTACGGCGAGGACAGGTATGTTCCCGAGAGTAAGCCATTGACGATATTGAATACGACTGCACAGAAAACGACACCGATGTGGGACTTCGAGCGTGAAGGGGTGCGGAATGGGGACACGAGAGCCCGGTTGAGGTAGTGGAGTAGGAAGAGAGTACCGAGGAACGTAGGTGGATGCGACAAGGATAAAGGCGGGGAGCGTCCAAAGTTGGTGGGAGACAGAGGCGAGTGCCAGAACGAGTACATGAAGGTTAGAGGCGCAACCAGTTCCATCATAACCCAAGACCTGATACCTGACCACGAGTGAGGACTAAAACCAGGCGTGCACATGAAGCATTGGACTCACCGTCTACGACAAGGAGATTACTATGATTCTTCAGCGCGAATCGACCGAAAGGTGCGTCGATGAAGAAAGTTAACGGGGTGACAACGCCTGACCCGACGACGAACGCTTTCCTCGCTACTGCAGGACTACTTCAGTCGTTGGTTGCGGTTGCCCCGGGGTAGACACACCATCGTACACTCCCTGAATCTGCGCAACTTCTGCCTTTGTCATTGCGAGACGCTGCTAACAACGTGGTTTGGGGGTAGGGAAGGCAAGAGTCCAGATACCAAGCTTGTCGCAGTGCCACGGCAGCGCCGATGCGGTTCAGAGGCGCGATGTCCCGAGCTGTGCTGGCTTGATAGGCGCTCTAACTTTTTCTATCACGCGAACTCGAATTTCGTGTCAGTCTCTCAGGTTGCCTCTGTCTATCTTCGTTCATTTTCCTTGTCGTGATTCGACCTTTGGTCGCTGGTACACGCCTCTTTGTCGTCGGTGACGTGTTACTCCCGACGGCATGACATCCTCTATGTACTTTTCCCGAGGCAATGGCTTCGCGGAGAAGTCACATCTTGGTAACGGATTGCCCACACATAGCTCAGCTGTCCTCGAGAAACGACACCGACATGGCCACAGTATCTCATGGCTAAACCCTGTATCCCTCCCTATCCCTGGCGTACGGACGCGAAGACTCCGACTCATGATCCCGAACATTTCGCGCATGTACCAGGGCAGCCAGGCCAGGTTCGGCAGGAGACGAGGGCCATTTATGCTCTTGCTTGCGCTCTTTACATCCGTGTATCTCATGGTCGCTGTGAATCGCCGCTTCAGTGGCAACGGCGTCTCGTGGGTGGACACTCTATCGTTCCCCGACCCGTCAACACTCGTCTACCGACGCGAGGACATCCAGCGGATATGGGAGTGGGAGATTGCTGCGGGACATTATCCTAGTGGACGGCGGAGTACGTGGCAATGATGTGCATCTTTTCGCAGTTACTCACAGCCTCGCAGTACCTGAACAGGTCGGCCTTTTGAACCCGCCTCGAAACCCCGCGCTTTCTGCGCGTGGCGCGCTATCATTGCCACCCCGCTTTAGAGGACCGATTTCCACCGACACGCTTGGGATAGGCCCTAAGCGCGTTTACCCGGACATCCATCGTCAATTCCCAAATGTTGCGTATCCTCCTCGCCCCATTCCTGGTAGCGTGGCAGATATGGACGCCATCATGGACCACTGTGATTTTTCGACTGGCAAGGCAAGGTTCCTGCTTTCTCTCTGTTGTCATGGACTAATCCTATGCATACTACCAGTATGTTCGTGACTGCCTAGAGGTTCTACGACTCGGAGCTGGACTCGAGAACGGGGCACGAGTCAGGCGAGGCAAGATGGAGGAGTGGAAGTACATCTACGTCGAAGACAGCGCGGTTCACAACGACGCGGACACTTCTGCGTTCGCTAAGCCAGCTTTCGTGCTGAAAGCGCAGGCCGAGCGGGATCTCAGCTATGACCTTCCGAAGAAGCGCGGCGCGGAATGGGAACCACATCTCTCGCTACCAACGCCGCCTCAGTACACCCCGTACAAGGACCTGTCGAATGTTTGCGACGATGAGAATCCGCGTCTCTACCACATGTTCTGGACGGGACCATTTACGGACAAGCCGTATCTCGCACTCCTATCGTTCTTGTTCACTCAGAATCTCGGTCTTCACCTCGACGACCACCACCAAGACCCTAACGTATGCCGACCGCAGTTCTGGCTTTGGATTAATCCAGGACCAGCTGCGTCCGTGCCCAACCCCTCTGCTGTGCGCGACATGTACGATCAGCTCAAGTCTAACCCATGGGCGTCTCCGTTCCTGCACCCGAAATTCAAGGACGTCATTCAGTTCAAGTTGTGGAACACCACTGAGCAGCTTGACGGTATCCCGGAGTTGAAGAATGAGTGGCGCGCAATGCGCGATAACTTATTCAACTCTGGTGGCTACGTCGAGAAAATTCCGCAGCCGGTGGATGAAGAGGAAGAGGAAACGGAGCCCGTAGAAGCTGAGGTTACTGGCGAGGATGGTGTCATGGCCCCTGCGCCTGCCCCTACGAAGAAGCACAAGGATGAAGATGATAAGGTCAACCGTGTTGGTTCGAAGTCACCCTCGTCATACGACCGACTTTCCGTCATTCTCTCGGACATGGCGCGTTTCGTCCTTTGTCATCGTTTTGGCGGCATCTATCTTGATGCGGACACCATCCTGCTGCGAGACTGGGAAGAGCTCTGGGGCTGGCGCGGGGCGTTTGCGTACCGGTGGTCGCGTCTTGAGAAGTACAACACCGCAGTTCTGCGCATGAACAAGAACTCTACTCTCGGGACGTTCTTGTTCAGGACCGCCCTGAAGAATGGCCTTGACTTCCATCCCATGAGTATTTCGAAGTATACCAAGGACGCGTACCTCGAAGGCCTTCTGCTCCGCCTGCCCGACGCGCTGTTCGACTCAGCGTGGCTTAACACCGAGTCATACCAAAGGGACAAGCCGCCCCAGCCGTACTTCACAGAGTATGTTCTCGTACTTCTTGCCTGTCAGCTGTGTTGGCTCATATTATTCTTAGGTTCCAGGACTTCTTCGAAACACCTCTACAGTCTAGCGCTGCACCACAAGCGCTTGGCTTTGATGGCTTCTTTAAGGGGGCATACTCCTACCACTTCCACAACTTCTGGTTCGTGCCTCAACCTGTCTCTCTATTGGCCAGCTAACCTCGGCCTCAGGTGGAGGCCATTCGACCCGTCACGCAATTATCCTGATCTGGGCTCCCGCTTCGCGGCGGGAGAGCGCATAGCCCGACAGCAGCTCGCAGAGAGCACTTCGACGAAGCTGCCCGACCCTGAGACTGAGACCGTGCTAGACGACAAACGGGACCTCGACTGGGCCACAGTACTCAAGCGCACGTTCGAAGCCTACATCCGCGGCGAGCGGCCCAATATGTACGGCGAGTGGATCGAGTGGTAGCCCGCCCCTGCCTTTTTCGCTCCGGCTGCTGGTACTTTCGGCCGGACAATTCTCTTGGTGTGCAGACGACTGTATGAAATGCTTCCCGCTACTAGAGGTGTAAGCCTTGTCGTAATATCCTCCCTTCCCTGCCTCCACGTTCAAACTCGCGCACTAACTACCATTATCGACTCGAGGGCGAAAGTTGTTGGATTGTTTCATCGTGCGCTGCCAGGCGGTGTTTCCTGCGCCGCGCTATCCTTCCCTTGGTACCAATAACAAATATTTCTCGGACGTATATCTGTGCACCTCTACTGTACATCATACAAAAATAATAACTGTCCTTCGCTTTGTTCTCGTTATTCAGGATAACATTGCCATGTTAGGTTCAAGACATTGGAAGCAGAGTTGTGCGATAGCTGGGGACGAATACTCGCTATGAGATGGCTCAGTAGCCCGTACCTATTCTCGTCCCCTCGAAACACTATCAAATTCATTCTTCGAGCAAATCGAGCTCAGAAGCCATCGCAGCGTACGCGACCGAGCCGACGAGCGTCGAGAGCCCGAACGCGAGCCCGCGCTCTGCAGCCTTGCGGACGTCAGCACCGGCGCTGTACAGCGCCCAGGCCCCGCACGAGATCGTCGTGAGGATCGCGTCCCAGCCGACCGACGTCTGCGCGGGGTGGCTGTAGAGCGCGCCGAGCGCGGCGTGCGCGACGCCCGAGACGGAGCGCTGCTCCTGAGGCAGGGAGCGATAGGCAACGACGCTCGCGTGCAGGTGCATCGCGAGGGCGGTGTACATGACGACGCGGTAGAACGTACGGGTGTCGAGGCGGCCTGCGTCGCGCCTATCTGTCTGTGACGGCCGGACGAAAAGGGGGATGAACAGGAGAACGTGCATCAGCGTGAGCGCTGGGCCGAAGGTCGCATCGGTTGTCTGCGGGGTGTAGTAGACTATGGCCATGGTGAGCGGGACGGTGAGCCAGAGTAGGGGCGACACCTTCGAGGGCACACGACCGGAGGGCCGTGCGTTGGCAACCGCGTAGTAAAAGAGGTTCACGCCGACAGAGATGGTGAGCATCTGCCCGAGGAGCATGTAGGCCCAGAGATGCTTGATCCGGTGCTTATTCCCTGTATTATTGAGGAGGTTATTCGAGGAAAGATGGAAGATAGAAAGAGCATTTAACCTTCGACCGCTAAGAATACAGTCCATGTGCCTGCTGTGAAGAGACACAGCTGTTGGTTCAGCCACCAGCTCCACGAGGATCCGAAGCAGACATTTTTCCACGCTTGTTCGAACAAACTGGTGTTGAGGAGCCAGTCGGCGACGCGTGCGGGGAAGTATGCGTCACGCGTTTTGTCGTCGAAAAGTGTGGTGGTAACTTCGTAGTCGTGGAAACTCCACTGGATTCGTGCCGGTGTCAGTGAAGGGCTCAGGAGAACAGCTACTTTGGGACTTACAGAAGCAAACTTCAAGATATCTTCAGGATAAGCCTGATCAGCGTTGCATACGTTCCCAGGCGCGGTCTACTCACAGAACCAAGTGATACCAAACGATAGCCCGGCAAGCACAAGGAACACCTGCGAGCCTTTTCTCTCGCGATCATGGGGCACACTAGCCAAAATCTTGAAGGCTAGCCACCCAACTATCACGAAGAACGAGGCTAAGGCAGAGAGCGCGAAGAACTGAGGAAGAATATTGGCCATGGTGTTTTGACTAGAACAGGCGCCCGTCCTGTGGCGTTATATATCCTGTCAGCTGGATTGGCGTTTAGGATAATTGCGCAGAGGTAGACAGAGGCCCGCAGATCTGCAGCAGTTCCGCAGCGGCCGCGGTGCTGTGCTTGAGCGCGGCAAGAAATGATAACGTAGAGGCATTCCTGAGCTGCATGCTGCTCATCAAGGGCCGAGCCAAGCTTGGCCAGCGCTTGGAAGACAGCCGAATAAACACTGAGTAACGCGCAGCGAAAGCACAGGCGACAAGCGAACTCTACTGAGCTCTTCTCGTTCCTCCAGTAGTCTAGGTATTCTGCGGAACCCCTTGGCAGAATTTTAGATTCTAATAAACGTCTGATGCGTGTAGAGATGAACATTACAAGGAGTGCAAACTTTCAGTGCTATCGCTACAGCTTGAGCCCAAGCAGAAAATTAATACAGTAAGATACGGCGGAGTGTCGACAAACCATGACCAGCGGGCCAGCCTACGATGCATGGTAGGATTTTAACGAATGGCATGCTAACGCCAAAGGCAGAGCCTCTGCACGCAGCGCAAGGGAATTTGGGCCTAAATCAGGCAAAGAAGACGAGCACACTTCCAGCCGCAGCGAGCGCGATAGCCGAGCATGTCCAAAGACCAAGAGCAGTCGCGCCATTGATTTCAGCGTTTATGACCGCCGTAGCATTGTGAGCCTGCAGTCCGCAACTGAGCACCTGGTAATTCCAAGAGATGGACCTACGATACTCACACATTGTTCATTGGTACAGTTGGTAACGGGTGCGACAGAGGCACGTTGGCCAGTGACAAGAAGGCTGCCTGTTTCTCCGCTGTTCACACCGATCATGTCTGCGCGAGGACTGAGAGCCATGTCCCGCAAGTCCAAACGGTCGGCAGCGGGGGCTGTGCGCTTCCATTCAGCGATAGTCTCTCTAGTCCGGACGTAAGACTAGGGCTTACGAGCAGCATTGCAGACAGTCAAGGTCGCGAGGAGGCCGAATACTAGGTGGCGAACAATTTGAGAGCGCATCACGCCAGGTTCCCAGCAAGAAGTACTAGAAGAGAAGTGTGTCGTAAATAGATAGAAGGGAAGCAGGGGAAGGCCTGGAAATGAAAGAGCGATAGGTTCACGTCGAAGGTGCAATGAGGCAGGAACGTGGGATAGTGATAAAATATCCTGAGCTCTCGAGAGGATTTATACGTCTCAAACGGCCTTGTAGTGCTCGTCACTACAATAGCCTCGACGTCGAAAACAAGACGAAAAACGGCTGAAGAGAAAAACAACGCATTTTCGGGCGAGGTTGACTGGCCGCTCTCGGAACGGCGTGTCGTTAGCATGGAACGACGGAAGCGCTGTCAGCCTGTCGCGGACCCTTTCATTCTGATGCCTCGACTCCGAGTCTTGTATAGTAGATTTTCGGCACACCACTGACACGCCTGCCACGGCTAGGCACAATCCTTGAGCCCATTACGGCCTCATGAGACGGTGGTGACCGCTCTTATCTGCGACGACCGAGGGTCTTTGCAAGGAGCGTATCTCTGCAACGTAAATGTATACGGGACGGGGGAAAATTATGAGCGCTCCACGTGAAACAAGGGAGTTTCCTTTCCTGGTGATCGGCGTTGAGTACACGGCTTTGAAGACCCCTCACGTCTGGCTCACCGCTGACCGCGCTGACATCTATTTCCCGCTCAGTGTCGATGATGACGAGCACCCTTTGCTCGCTACATGTCTCATGTCTCGTCCTGGTCGTTAGGCTGGATTTCGGGTGAATTGTTTGGTATGACGTCAAATACAGGGCTATCGGACAATTCCGCCAATCGGCGAGCGTGCACTCACGGGTGCTCTCGAGCCTTGCCCTCATTGGGTTGATCGTTAGGGTTCTCCCACATGGACAGCGTGGTTTGGCCTTGTTGTGTCCCGCCGTCTGGTCAAAAACCCTCCCCTGGCCATCCCCTTCCCTCACGACCGTCCCCTCGTCCTTTCTCGTCGTCCGGACCCTCTGTCGTAATCCCCTCCCTAGTCCATATCGTCTGCCATGCGTGCCACCGCTTTCCTTGCCACCGCGGTAAGCCCTGACTTTGCATGCAGTCGAACTTATCCTCAAAAAAACATCACGCGTCGTTCACGCGTTTTACCACCTGCAGCTTGCCGCCTCGGTCGCCAACGCTGAGACCTTCCAGATCTTGATTGGTGCTAATACGACTGCCAATGCGAGCCAGATCTTCACGCCTCAACAGCTCCAGGCACATGCTGGCGACACTGTCATTTTCAACTGTGAGTTGTAGTTTTTTAAAAGCTCTCATCCTTCTGCGCACTCCTGGCATGGTTCTGTACTGCACGAGAGGAGGTGTCCCCTCTGCGCAACGGCACAAAAACGCGCTCAGTGAGCGTGGGTGAGCTCCTGCAGCATAGGGAAAGACGCGGACTCCCCATCATGCGTTCATGCCTGGGCGCGAACTCGCGCACGCATTTACGTTCTCCAGATAGAAGCGTCATGGCGGTATCTATGTCATCAGGGCATCACCGCCTAGTCAGCCGTTATCGGTACCCTCATATCAACATGTCGTATGACTTGCTGATGCGCCTCCCCCGCAGTTACTAACGGCACCTACGACCTCATTCAGTCCAGCTTCGCCCAACCATGTGTGCCCCTGAATCAACAGAACAACTCGCTCAACGGCTTTGACACGGGTGTGCGCCCTGCGGACAACGGCACCTCGATAACGACGTTCCCGGTTAATATCGTGGACAATGTAACAACCATCTGGTTCTACGAGAACTCGACCTGCGGGCAAGGTGGTGTCGGCGGCATCAACATCAACGAAAGCTCGACTGAGACTCTTGCCGGCTTTGTTGTAAGCCTATCTCCCCGCTTGCTCAGTCTGCACATGCAAACTGAAGTTACTCTAGCGCAACGCTATCCGCCTGAACGGCACCAACGCGACCGAGTCGTCAACCTCCTCCCTGCCGCTCTCTACCGGATTTTCCGGCGGCAGCAGCAGCGGCAGTAGTGGCACCGGATCGTCGTCGTCGCCGAGTGCGAGCCAAACCGGCAGTAACAGTGCTCAGCACAACACACTCGCAGGCGTTGCTCTTGCGCTGCCTCTGGCTGTTGCCGCTCTGTTCCTTTAAGCGACACCTCTCTCTACCTTGGTAGATGGTCGAGCAGAGTCTCAGACGAGTTAAAATAGCTTGAGTTGTGGGCTTGTGGACCCAGGAAACTTCCATTCAGCCCACTGTCTTTGCTCTTTTATTGGCGGCGCGCTTGTATGGCATTCATTGCTCTCACGTACATTCTAGCACGGGCTCTATACACTCCCTTACGTTCTGTACACCACCCGAACCCTGTATACCCTCCCACTATCACTCTCCGTGCTTTATGATGTTGTTTGTTCCCCTACATACATGTATCTGCCCTCTGGCATTTGCCTTCGTGCCTCCACGCAGGCCCATGCTTGTAACCCCTTGTCGCCCGCCGCGTCTGATCTTGGCTCTGGATCGTTGTGCCGTATAGACATTGACGTGCTGGACCTAGTTTACTCGCTCTTTTACATAAGGCTAGCCTCTGATGTTAGATGCGTCTGTGATATATACCCTTCTACCATCCTGGGCAACTCAGTGCACTTCGCATTTGGTGTGTAGGACTGTCTGCGAAGGAACCTTTTGGCCTAATGGAATCAGATTTGCGTTAATCCGATGCTACGTCGTATAGGCATGGAAGACGACGTATTAACGTGGGGTCAGCGGAAGGACTTACCCTCTGGTTAGGGTTATGAAGCGCGCTTAGGTCTTAAGAGATAAGATAACGTTTAATCTAAGCGCCGATCTCATCTCTCTTCGCACTGCTCAAAAGTCTTGTGTAAGCCATGTCTGCCATGCTGCCATTCCCAGACATGTACCAGATGCCTGACGATAAGTCCCAGAGGCCAAGATGGCCTCTCTCGCACTCGGCAATTCTGATCAAGGCACAGCGAATTTGGCCGACCAGATGACTCGACCAGGCGTGATACTTAACGGCCGGGAATCGAGAACTGTCTTATCTGCTCCTTACAACCCGCAACGCTGGCAGCTCTTCCAGCATGTCAGCATACGGCGCCGTGATCTCGCGCAATCGCCCTGCCGCGCCCCTCGCGTCGACCGCCTGGCTCTGCAAGCCGCGCGCCAGCGTGCCGACTCACCTCACGCTGCACCACCTCACGCTCGCATCCGCGTCCATGCTGCCGGGGCTCGTACCGTACCTGCACCGATGCTTTGCGGACGAGCTCGAGCGCGGGGCGACGTACCCACAGGAGATCCTCCCCGGCGAGCCGTACACCCAGGCGCAGTTCGAGACCTATTACTTCGCGGCGGACGTCATCGTGGGCATCGTGGGCCTTGGCGATGCGCCCGACAGCGACGGCGCGGCTGTCCAGGGTGGTGTTGAGGAGGCGAGGCAGGGCAGGGGCTGGGAGGAGTGCGTCGCGGGCGTGTACTACGTGAAGCCGAACTATCCTGGCCGCTCGTCGCATGTGCGTTCTGTGGCTCCTCTTGCCGGGTCATACTCGGTGCTGAATGAGCGTGCCTTTAGATCTGCAACGCGGGATTCTTAATCCCCCTTGCCCAGCGCGCAAAGGGCTTCGGGTCTGTCCTCGCAAAGTCGTACCTGCACTACGCGCCGCGCCTGGGCTACGAGGCGAGCGTGTTCAACCTGGTTTACGTGAACAACATTGCCAGTGTGAGGTGAGCTACACCATCGTACTCCTGTGCTGATGCTCGTGCTGTCGCTGATCTGACGTCCGCACACAGGATGTGGGAGTCGTTGGGATTTACGAAGGCCGGGCTCATCCCGCGTGCAGGACGGCTGAAGAAGGCGGACGGTTCGGGCGAGGAGTATGTGGATGCATGGGTGATCTACAAGCAGTTCGAGACCGTTCAGCAATGAGAAAGGCGGTTCTTTGCCGGTACCGAATGCCTCCACTGGTTACCGCGGCCGGCGGACATGCAGGCAAATCTGGATTTCGTTGCTTCCGGAGCCGGGAAACAGAGCCGCGGCTCCAGGACATTTGGCCATAGTCCATCGCCTCACATTACGATGCGTGGCGTGCGAGCTCGCCGAGCACTCGTCGGGGACGTGAGCCACTCCGCTGGCGGTTCTTATGGCACTTAATTGTCGTTCTTCAATGGCCAGTGCTGTTTTATCGACGTTTAGGCGGCGGTGCCGCGGGTGCCCTTGTGAGGGTTGTGTGCGCTAGTCGGCGGATGGGAACTGCGGCTTTCATCGCGGAGGCGCGTTCCTGTGGAGTCGCAATAATCATCACACAATGCTCATTTTTAGGGTTAATCACGCAAGCCGCCTAGACGGCCGACGCCCAAGGTACGTTAATTTTTCAAGATCGCGTCTGGGGCCTCGGCCGCGTTTCTTCCACACTGAATTTCAATGCTTTCGTTGAGCACAGGTTGCATAACGTCCGAGAGCTGCTTCGCATGGACTTATCACAGGGACGTCCTTGCTGGTCAGTGTGAGGAGAGGGTTTGCCGAGCGAACAGGGCGGCTCGTCATTCTACACAATCAAACTGATTGCATATGGGCACATGTCAACATGTCTCCGCATCCTATCAGCCTCTCGCAGCGGTGCGCGTGGAGTGGTTGTCAAAGTGGCCCATAAAACCTTTGAGGCCTTAGATCTTATGGTTTCTGCTGACCCCCTTCCCCAAACGCTGACACCCTCGTCCCAGGACTTCCGCTAGCGGCATGTCGGAGGAGAAGATTGTCGAGGCAGCGTACCCCGAAGACAGCTCTTTCGAAGGCACGAGCGACTCTAGCTTGGATGTTGAGAAGGTCATTGGCGTGCAGATCGCACAGGAGAGCAACCATGCCGTCAAGTACAGGACCTGCTCGTGGCAGAAGGTATGTACATGATGTGCGCCATTACCCTAACATGAGCTAAGCAATCTCTCAGACGGCTGGGCTACTGTTCTCCGAATACATCTGCCTTGCCATCTTGTCCTTCCCATGGTCGGCAAAGCTCTATTATAATCGCTATCCGAAGCTTACGTTTGTGCAGGTCATTCTCTATCCTCGGGATGGCGCCAGGGATTATCGTGACCATTGCGGTCGCCGCGAGCGTACAATATACATCGCTCATTCTCTGGCGCTACTGCCTCAAGCACCCAGAGGTTCGCGACGTGTGCGACATAGGCAAGAAGCTCTTTGGCGGCTCGCAGATCGCATACAATATCACTGCCGTGTTTTTCATCCTGAACAACACGTTCATTCAAGGTACGCGCATTTTGTCTTTCTGGAGTAACAGTAACATATCTAAAATCGCATGTGTAGCTCTCCACTGCCTCGTTGGCGCAAAGCTTCTGAATACCCTGACCAACGGGCATACAGCATGCACTGTCGTTTGGAGCGTTGTGATTGCGGTCATCTGCTTCTTCGTCAGCCTTCCACGGCCACTCAGCCAGCTCAGCGGGCTCGGCGTCTTCAGCGCTGCAACGATGGGTATCGCAGTGCTACTCGCAATCATCTTCGCAGGCATCCAAGACCATCCGTTTGGGTACATTCCAGGGCAAGAACCTCTTGTGACGCGTCTTCCCGTGGCCGGCACGACGTACGTCGGGGGCATGTCCGCGTTCCTCAACATCACGTACACCTTCGTCGGTCAGATCACGCTACCGTCATTCATCGCCGAGATGAAGAACCCGAAGGACTTTCCCAAGGCGCTCTGGGCGGTCACTATCGCTGAGGTCGTCGTTTTCACGCTCTGCGGCGCGCTCATGTATCATTTCGTTGGCAACCAGTATATGACCTCGCCCGCGTTCGGGAGCCTGCAGCCCGTGTACAAGAAGATCGCGTTCTCGTTTGCGATCCCGACGATCATCTTCCTGGGCTCACTTTACTCTGTATGTTGCTCCCTGAACGCACAATTGTCTGCCTTAGCTGATAAGCGATTCGCAGTCCGTGTCTTCGCGCTTTGTCTTCTTCCGGCTCTTCCGCAACTCGCGCCATCGGTACGAGAATACGCTCGTCGCGTGGGGTGCCTGGGCCGCCATCGTGGGGCTGACTTGGACTTGCGCATTTGTCATCGCCGAAGTCATTCCCTTCTTCAGCGACATGCTGAGTCTCATGAGCTCGCTCTTCGATGGCTGGTTCGGGTGCGTTCATTCCACTCTCTTCCTTCTACAAACAACGTCCACTAACAGCGGCATGCTTGCAGGTTTATATTCTGGGGCATGGCCTACCTGACGCTCTACCCGGGCGCGAAGAAGTGGGCGGGCGCGTGGCGTAGCGCAGAGACGATGCTTAACTATGGCATCATCCTCTTCGGCCTCTATATCCTCGTCGCGGGCACATACACATCCATTAAGAGCATCATCATCGACTTCAATGGGCAGACAGTCTTCAGCTGCGCCAGCAACGGATTGTAGAAATGCGCTTTTGCAGGCGTGCGCTCTGCTTACCGACGCTCGTATTCCTCTGGGCTCCAAATGGTGTACTTCTAATGTGTAAACTATAATTGTATCTATAGGGCTAGACTATTACGACATACTGCTTCCGTTCGTCCACGGGTTACGGTGGCGAAGCGAGGACCTAACCTTTTGCGGTTTTAATGCGGCCAACGCAGAGGTCCTTCGAGCTGGAGTGCGTCCATCCCTGATATGTACGCCACAGGTCAGTCAAAAATAAAGCGAGCATGGTCGCCGAACTCGAATCGCATATGCGTAGGAACGGCGGTGAGTACCGTGCCCCGGGCAATAAACATACAGGCACTAAACATGCGCCCAAGGTCGGATGATGTGACAGTCGAGTCACAGTCAACATCGTGTACAAGTGCCACAAGAAGAGTGTTAATCGATGCGGTTTCGGAGCTGGCGGGCGCGCAACCTACCGTTGTATGGCCATGCTGCTGGCTTGCTCTTGCCCCGCCCGCATATATTATTTGGCGCGGTGCACGTTGCACCAGTCCGTGCTATCGTCGACGGGGCAAGCGATGAATGCCGTGGGTATGCCACAAGAGTACACGCTCGTCAGAGCCGTCTTATCTCGGAGCACACCTGCTATTTCCATGCCCCTCAATTGACTGAGTAAGGTCGTGGAAGACAAGGCTGCTTTACTCGGGGATTGATGATGATTGAACGTTGATGTTTAATGCTGCCCTGCAGGTCACTACACGAGATCGACGTTCCGCACATGGATGTCGGCAAACTCCTTCGCTGTTCCGTAACAAGCACCTTGTCCCCGTATAACAGTTCCAGTGCACTTCAATTTGTTGCTATCAGATTAAATATACGAGTACAATCCACGATGTGTGGTTATCTAAGATGCCAGCTTGAGGTCGTCCCTACGTGACTTCGAGGCGGGGTCGAAGAACGGCTTTTCGCCGATGCCAACGACACGGTTCCCCTGGCGATGGTCGGCGTAGTCGTTCCTGCACATACACGTGTGAGCACATGCCCTTGAAGTAGTAGATGGCAAAGAGGAGGGACGCTCACGTAGCAGTGTGGAAGGTCGCGCGATTGTCCCAGATAGCAACGTCGTTCACGCCCCATTTATAGCGCACCTGCAGATCGTGGTTTTCGGAGATATGACGGAAGAGATAGTCAAGAAGCGTTGCGGACTCTTCAGGGTGCAGCTCGATGATGCGCTTGGTAAAGCTGTGGCGCATGTCAGTGGCACGGGAAACAAGGGGGTGTGGCGCACGCACCCCTTGTTCACGAAGAGTGACTTGTAACCAGTGACCGGATGAGTACGAGCAACGGGACTATGTGCAGATAATGAGAACGATGACAGGCATGGGTAAAGCCTCAAACTTACTGGATTGCACGCAGGTCTGTACTGTTGTTGGCTGGGTTACCACGATCTTTCTGGATGGGTATGTTGAGCTCCTTTGAAGCCTATGGCAGTGCATACAGCATATCGATAAGAATCATGTTAAGACCTTTGAAGAGTGCTTACTTCGTGGAAGAAGTTTCCATCGTGCTCCGCAGTCAACGTCTCCAGGAAACGCTGCAGTGCAGGTGAAAGGCGGTCATACGCTTCGTATCCACTATATAGTGGAATTAAAATGATAGCAGCAGGAGGCTATTGCATATTTACTGGCCTGGCCCACTACACAATTTATCAAACTCACGACTGGTGCAGCGAATATGGGCGTAATACTCACGAGAGTGTCTCCGCCAACTGCCATACGAGTTCAAGTGAGACCGAGCGTGTGTGTGCACATGTCTGGCAACGTACCTTTCGGCAGAGTATGCATCTTTAAGATCTAAGAGACGATTCAGGAGGACGGAGCTTTGGAGATGGACCAGGCGGACTCACCGCGTAGTCCGACGGGACAGGCTCAAAGGTGATATCCGTGTGCCAGCCGTCGCTTGCCCTCACATTCCGGGCATATCCAGCACGCGCAATCCCTCTAACGCGTCCAGACCAATTAGACACACAGAACAAAACTCGCAAATTCACGTACCCCGCAGAGGAAATGATCGACGTGTCCGCGCCGAGCTCCGGCGTGTCCTCCGAGATGGGATGCTTGTGCAGGCCCGACTCCGCCGGACGTCCGGTCAGCTGCCCGAGCTTTAAGGCGAGCACCTTCTGTTGCTCGACGGTGATGTCTTGGTTCTTGAAGAACACGACCCCGCGGTGGGACACGAGCCGCGCGAGGTCGCGGATGAGCACATCAGCGTCGTCCCCGGCGAGCCACGCGCTCAACCGGACGTCATCGGTCTCTGGGAAAGACGTGCCGATATGTGCCGTCTCGTCGACGGGGCTAAAATGGTTAAGAGAGCCGTATACTGAGGGCGTGGGCGCGATGACCATGGTTTCTCTGTGTATTGATGGGCGAAAGGGCTCAGCGGCCGCCGTGGGTGGTGTCCGGGCTGATATACTGGACCTAGATCATGAGGTCAGGGGCTTTCAATGGTCAGGAGTACAGTAGCACGCTATGAATTGGAACGTCGAAGTCGTTAGTGATTCAGTATCTCCAGATCCTCCACACGCATCCGCCTGCACAGGAAAGCGCTTAAACTCCACCTCATCTTGCGCAACTCAAGTTTCGAGTTGCACATCATTTTACCAGAAGTGCTTCAGAACAGCGCGAAGATGTTGTTCGTGATGATAGTGGGCCCATCAAAACGAGGAGAGAATTTTTTTTCTGCACAGCAAAAGAGTAAAGTTGCAGAACCAGCAAGAAGCAGGTTATCGCAGTCATGTGCTTCGAGTTCGTGGGAAGTGACAGCCGGATATGACTTATGGGACGGAATCGAGGCGATAGAAAAGCTCTCGTAGCAGAAGATGGGTCCACCGGTACGCTCAACCCAGAAATCTGGGGCTCGCGACACGTGCATATGAACAAGAGTAATTTGAGTCAACGCGTAAACGTATAGAGCCGCTCACAATCAACATAATTGGCTGAGGACGTGCGGGGTATCCTAGTCTATCAACACGTTTTTGTCCTCTGACAGATCTTCGAGGCTTGCTGGGTATACATATTACGAGAGCTGGAGGCTATTAGAGGCAGGGATTACCCGTCTGGCACGACCCCCAGTGTAAAACCCTAGCCGGACGGCGTTCTCGCAACGAAGGTTAGATTAGACTCACCTGCGTCGCCGTCGCGTGGATCACGACTCTTAATTGCGTCCTAGCAAGCTCGCCGTTAACGGATGAAACCCGGACTGATAAGGTGAGGAACCTCGCGGCTAGACCGCCGCGAGGACCGCTTCGATATGCTGCCTGCGCGTAACAACGTGGCACACTTGACTGCCGTAGCGTGGGCCAATTTGTGCGTCGCATGTACGGTATGTAGGGTCCCGATTCGTATTTCCAGAGCAACTGGAAAGGGAGCGAAATCCTGTCGCCAAGGGATACACCCTCCCGGGTTTATAACAAGACCCCTACAGGACAAAAATTGTGAGCGGCCTGTCATGCGAAGCTCTACGTAAGTCACGTACATGGGTATCTGGAAATGATCGGTGATGGCTGCCATAGGCTGGGTGTTGGGATATCCATAAAGGACCTATACGGACCTACAGGAACGTGCCGTCCTGCGCCGTGCGCCAATCCCACCCTGGAGTCCCCGTGCCTGCAAAAAATTAGGCACCGGCGGAGAAACTGCCTCGAGGGGGGCTCGAATCCGGGACCAATCTGCTGAGCTGGCAGGGGAACGGTAGCGTAATGGTTTGGACGCCCCGCTTGTTCTGACGAGGAAGGGGTCTGTGGGAGGCACAGTATGTCCTCGTGCTATAACATAATGGAGAATACAAATGGGCTCTGCGATCAGCGATGTTAATGTAGCCATGGAGCTTGGAAAAGAACGCACCCTTGTGTTTTTTCAATCCGAAGAAAGGGTCGCACAAGAAGGGGTATAATATGGAGCATAGTAGGCACGACTCGGGACCGTGCTATGCCTTCTCGAGCTGAAGGAACAGCCGTGCTGAGCCAATAAGGGGTAGCGAAGGTCGCACTACGCATCAATAGATGCTTTGACCCGCACAAACGAGGCAGTTGGCTGTGCGAGGCGTCTCTGTGATATACGGCGGCTGACGAAGCCACACCACTGAAACTGTGTGAAGACTGGCAGTAGCTGAATGGGGCCGTCGGCGTGCCATGCATCCAGCTGATGAGACACGAGCCACATGCCTGCGCTTCCTGCTCGTCCAGGCAATATTGCGCTCTACAGCACTTGCTCTGAGCGATACCGGATAGCTCCATCGATGGTCGGCCCGAGTGAGCATGGGTGCTGAGACATGTATGGCGAAATCATCGCTCGATGCTGAGCACGTCTGAGATGGGGCTAACAGCGACCACCGGACGATCCGAAAGATAGACTAACGAACAGGCTGGCGCCCCCTCCGGGTAAGCCAGAGTCATCTTACCGTCTTCGTCGTGAGGCGACGCGCAGGTGCTGTCCCCAGTCTTCCATTGCGCGCCGGGCTGAGCGCACGCGTTGCTCATTGCAGCGGCAACGGAAGGCGCTGCGGAGACGCGTATGCGGGCCCGTTGGTCTCTGCGTCTCGTCACATCGAGAGTGCTAGTGATGCATCATCCGAATCCGTCAGTGTGAAACGGTGCCACCGCTCACTGCGGTCTTGCGCCGTCGTAAGAGCACAGAAGACGCGGCGTGATGCGTTCTGCAGCGGCACGAGGTGTAACGTTCTTCATGCTTAGGCCCGCGACGCGATCCTAGGAAATTCCGCAGCTAGAGAATGACGGCCTGCAAGCAGACAGAGGCGTCGCCGACGGGGAAGGGACTCACGCTCACGCAGTGGCTCTCGCCGGTGGCCGGATGCCCGAGCCACTTCCTCTCACGGCTGTAGCGAGCCGTCGGTGGTCACTTGCTTTGTGGCCGAGCTCAATGTTTTGTAGCGATCCAGCCGCGGATTGGCGCGCCAGGATCCATCAGAGCTTCTCGTGGAAGACACGTGCAGCCGCCGGTCCAACCGCACAAAGACCAAGTGGGAAAGGTTGGGAAGAAAAAAAAAGAGGCCTGGACACACGCTGTGCGTCTCGCGTGCGAGTAGTTGGGGTCATCTCCGTCGAGGGCCAGAAGCGGGCCCGCTGCCAAAGAACATGACGAGCACGGCGGGATAGGGTCTGCGCCTGCACCGCCTCGTCAATGCAGCGAAGCCCCACGGCCCACCAGGGGCTGCTATGGCGCGACAGATCCCCGGTGCTGCCAAGGGTCCATACATCCAAGTAACTCCACGGTATACATGGCGAACGAAGAAACGCACACGGTGTCTGTAGGAACGAGGTGCCTTCGAGCGGGACACTGCGGAACACCCTGTCGCTCGAGAGCATTTCTTCCAACTGGCCCTTGACGTGGTTATCGCGGAACGTCCGCCTAGTCGCCATGCTACGGCCACGAGTTGGGGTAGCCGACGGAAATGCTGAGGACTCACTCTATCGCCCCGGAAGCGTAGGACTAAGTTCGTGCGGACATGGGCACAGGCGCCGCGAGATAGTCAATGTACATACAGCGGCGCGCACCGGTCCATCTCGGGAGCGTGGCAAGCGCGAGCGCGAGAGGAAATACGTAGCAGCTGTGCCGTACGACTTGAGTGCGCTGGCGGAAGTCGGCGGTGCTACGCAGGCCCGAGGACGGCTGTCGTAAGTGCGCACCGCGCATGAGTGAAAGGAGCTCGGTTGAGTCCCGAAGTCCGAGAGCAATAAGTCACCGAGCTCACACAGCTGCATACACGCACGTCCTAGACGAGATTGAGATGTTTAACAGATTATAATATTTGATTCATTCCGTCTAGCCTAGAAACCCCATAGCCTATACACATGCCTACTATGATACAGACATACTTGTTTCTTGTGATGTAACGAAAGCCCCAGTCCCAGTAATTAACTACGCATGCAAAGGTGGTATTTGAATGGGTGGGGTATAAAAATTGTGCGGCGGTCCATGTAGGGAAAGTGCGATGCGAAACACTTGACGAGAGACGGTCAAGCCAAGGCGCTCAGTGACGATGGAAAATCCAATGAGAGGGTGGAGGTGGAGCACGAGACAGAGACATCAATGAAAGAGGAAAGCAATTAAGCACCTGCGAGAGAGCGACGATGGAAAACGCGGAAATAATTAGCGGCGCCGGGAAAGAGGACAACAAGTGTGGGGCGGGCATCGCCGCGAAGCTCGCATGCAAGCGAGGTTACACTTCGAGCCCTCCTCCACTCTCGGCGCAATAAAGAATAGAGCGGGGGCGCGTCTACCACTCGATCGGGGTCGCGAAGGCGAACAGGTCGCATTTTGCGGACGGTCTCCGCACCGGCTGGGGCATCGGCTGCGCACGCGAGCGGTGCTGCGACAGGTGTTTGTGTGACACCGCCTCCATGGACATGGGCATCGATCCGGCGGGTGTCGCGATCTTGGCCGTGAGGTCTTCGACGCCAGGCGGTGTCGGGGGCGATACGGACGACGCCGGCGATGTCGACGTCGAATGTGATGCCTCAGGGGTAGAGGGAGTTCCCGGGGATGATGGCGGCGTGAGGTAAGCGACCGCCGTTTGAGGCGCCAGCGGCACCGAGGAATCCATTGGCGGTGGGGGGCGCGGCGTTGGCTTTGGTGGAGACGTCGAGGGGGCACGGCCGCTGACGAACGACGGCGTGCGGGCGGTGCCCATATACGGGGTGGTCGACGGCATGGGAGAAGGAGCTGGCGAGGGAGCAGCGTATGTGGGATACGGACCTGGTCCCTTGAAGTCCCTCTTCACCTTCTCCTGAAACTCGACGAGCGCGGTGGGCTCGACGTTCAGTTGCCACTCGAGGTAACTGCACATCTCGCGTTCCATCTGGTTGATCTCACGAAGGGCGAACATGCCCTGGCCGACGATGGACCACGACTTGTTCGAGTATGTGTCGTCGCAAATGACTTTGGAGGAGAGCATAAAGGCGGAGATAAACAACCGGTGGCCAGACGAGCCTCGCGCAGCGGGGAATCTTGCTTTTAGTCGTTGCAATAGATAGAGAGCTGCGAAGGTGACGGATTCGTGTAATCTCGTTCTGTGCAGCGCATAGGCGATAAATAAATCGAGACGAGGCGCCGGCTGCGAAGGCGACTGGGCCGGGGGCTGCTCCGGGCATGCGAAAAGATGGGTGACGAAATGCGCGCACACTTTGGCCGTCTCTTCGTGGCCATAGTAGGGGTCCGGCTAGTAAAACGGAAAGGGATATGTGAGTTGCACGTCCGCGGGGCGGGAGTTCCCGAGCGACCACTTACCGCTGAACCGTGGTGCGTTGTGCCTGTCCGAGCCATTCTTGTGCTTCGTCTGTGCGGTGAGGATTGGCGAGCTACCGACGCAACGCCAACTGTGGCCATATAGAGGACGGGGGTGCCGAAGGAAAACGACGGGGAGGTCGTTAGAGCGTCAAAACGACAGTGACTTGAGGGCGACCTGAGTGGCGGGGGAGGGAGTATATAAGTCTGGAGCCGGCAAGACAGACTCAAGATCTCACGATCCGGATGAGAGTACAGGCCCAGGAGCGCATGGACAGAAGAGACCCTGCTGCTGCTGGCATAATAAATCCCGTGGCGGTTGCCGTTCCGGGCACATCGACAGATACGCGCCCCCAGCATCAATGCCGCAAACAAGCAAAAATACGCCCGGAAAAAACGATTTTATTCTGGTCTCCCATCAGTCCCCAACACGCGAGGGCTCTTCCCTTCTGATCCGCGCGCTCTTCAAACGGGCGACCTCTCTGCAGAACCTTCCCTTGGAAAACACTCACCTCGACTGAACCGTTTGTCCACACGGGGTGCGCGAAATGCGTGTCTTTACTAGCGAGGCCTTGAGGCGCGGGTCGATAACGACTGGCAGGCTGTGCTGCAATGAGAGACGGGAAGGGGGGAGGACGACGACCGACCGCTTGTCTCTTGCGACGTTTAAGTACCTTGCCCGGCTTGTGAGTCACCTTTGTTGATCCAAACGCAAGGGCCATGGGCAATAGTTGATCATAGTTTACGCCAACACGTATAACCGGGACCGCCACAGCTAAAATTTTACCTGCCCTTATCCGGAGCATATTGTCATTCCGACCTCGGCATAAGCCCTCCGAGTCCGACAAGAATCCGACAAGACCTCATAAGTAATTTTGACAAGTACCTTTCGCTTACATAATTTTGCTTTAGCCGACCGTGCTTGGTCTCGCCGCCTTTGTCCATGTTCGAGCCTCAACGCGCTGCATTCTAGGTAAAGAGTACAATGTACTAGTAAACTGTCAACCGCGCAGCTCTTTGAGTCAATACGATCTCTGCATTGTCTACCTGCAACATTTCTGGAGCCAAGAGTCGACATTGCCACATCATGCGGAGTCAAACTGCATGTTGTAAGTCGCAAGGCAGTTTGGTCATCTCTTCTACTCATACGGCATGTAGTAGTTCGACATGACAAGTCCCGGCCTAAATGATTGTCCGCTTTGTGCACCGCCTCGTTACGGAGACTACGTCTTTCACGCCTTGTGCAAGTCGCTACATCTCTCTTTTGGGTCCTTGACGAAAGTCGAGCCAGGATAATGAGTCCAACTTGCACGCAACTCCAAGCAAGGCTACCATGCTTGGCACGGACCGCTACATGCTCTTCTGCGCATTACTAATCATCCACAGGATGCATGCCCTTGACCTTACTGTGTGATACAGGTCACAGCCCCACGTCCATGTACGATGAGTCGACAGCCGCTCCTCGGCAAAGCTAAGTCTTCTCGGAAGGTGCATCCGCAGCGATAAATCCTATCTCGCTACATAAGCCGCCTACAGAACGCCGTGTCAATGTCTCCGCAGCTAAGTACCACTGCTTCTCTCAATGGGGACGAGTGCTGGCGGCGCAGCGGCTGGCGGCAGCGCTTAACAGCGACGTCATCGCCGACATCTGGCGGTGACATCCTTGTGCCGTCGTAGAGGCCTGTGCCGTAGGTGAACCGCCGCGGCAATACAACGAAGAGCACTCTGAGAATATATCTCGCCAATAAACCAGGAATACATGTCTTCTCTGACCTTGCTGCCTGCAGCCCCACTGCGGTCGGACTTGTTTTGTGAGTTCTTTCTGAGCAGCGGGATAAGTCGAAATCAAATTAGAAATTAACTTAACGCCGCGTGCACAGCAGCGGCCAGTGCTGTGCCATAATTCTCTCCCGATGCGCGGACCTGGTAGTTATATCGCGGGGCCCCGACGAGGCCTTCTTCCGAGGCCTGTCGTTCGATAAAGCGTGCATTTTGTCCGCCAGTCGGTCGAGGCAGGGGACATGGCGGTGCTTTCCTTCTACCGGCCGGGGCTCTTCTGGATGTGGCCATCGTAGATTCTAAACTAGGCCAGCAGGCGGCGAGAGCCGCCGCTCGATATGGGCGGCTGAGACCATTATCTTGTCGATTATCCTGCTTCAGTCTAGCGCATCCAATTTAGTGATACGCACCCTAGTTGCCAGCCTATCAGGCACCTGCCACGAAGTCGAAGCGAACGTGCGGATGCGGCTTACTTTCCAATCGCGCCGCATCCTTTCCCCACACTGATGTGCAGAGGCTGTGTCGCGATTCGCCAGTTTCCTGCACTCCTTCGTACGTAGAGCTTCTCGCTAGCGTACGCCCCGAGCTCCATTCATATCGACAGCTTCCGTTTGAGATGGTACTGTGGCTACGCTATCCGATCCCAATTTACCATACTATGAACCCTTGACTGCCGGATCTTGGTCCGACGCATGTTTAGGTTGTGCAAGTTTCAGGCAACCTAGACGAAGGAATTAGTAGACGATGCCAGGGGCGGCCAGGGTGTTGGGTCATAGGACACCGCACTGCGTTCCGGTACTTACCCCACACTTCTTCCCGTGCGACTGTGACTACTAAAATTGTTCTTTCCGCAGGTTTTCGGTGCACGCTGCTGGATGGCTTGCACTCCAGTCTACTGCTGCGTTGAATGCTCCACACAGCTCACGATGTTTGGGAAACGCACTACGAGCGCACCTATGCTGCTGGTACTCCGAGTAATACATAATGCTGACGTCAAATTCTGCACATTGCAGCTGCATGTTCACTCTCGCCTTTCGCAAGCATAACTTTCGCACTCTGCGCAGTTCATTCCAAGCACAGAAGGATCTGTTGCCCCTGCTCCGTTGCGTCCGTTGCAGCACATGTCCGCGCTTGAACCCCCACTTGACGCGTCAACGCGTTCAACGCGCGTATCTGCCTGGCGTCTGTTGACGTGTCGAGATACCTGTCGCGCTCAGCGACCCTCGTCATCACACCTCGTTCTTTTCCGGAATTACGACAAGGCACTGGCGCCGACCGCTACCGCCGACAAGCTCAGGCCGCTCTTCACCTCTTCGCGTGTAACATTCTTGCCGCGGCAGCGAGCTAGCGATGAACGGAGCAGTTTTATGACGGTACGCACTGACGTCCCGTCTTTGCGATATGTTCTTACTCCCGTACGTATGATAGGCGGACCTCGTTCTGCCCGAGGGGCTTCCGTACATCCAGGTGCATTGAACGCATCAGATATCCGTCCATGGCCGCATCGTTCTCTGACGTCTAAACAGTTGCGCAGATCTGACGCAGCGAGCTGCAGTCGCGACGCATCACCATCGCTGTCGTACTTTTCGATGCGAGAGTCAAATTTTCTGCTCTGTCGTCTATCCTACGCCGAATATCCCGTCGGCCATTCGCGTTGCTATTCAGTGATGACAAGATACTCGCCGTCACCCTCGCGCATTCCTCGACGACGCCCGCATGCAACAGCGCAGGTTACACAATGCGCCATCGAAAAAGAGCACAGCCTCGCTCAGCCTGTCACCGCAATCCCTTTCCGGATACGAAGTCTCGCTGCGTCCCCGATTGGTCTCCGGTATCCCACGGCACTTGCCGCACTGGCAGGGACAATGAGGGGAGACCACTCGCTAGGCTCGGTCTCTCGGGACGCTTCTCGCCTATGGGAGAATGTCGTTATGGTAAGTTACGTTCATATGGCCACTAGAGCGTTCACGAACTCACTCTGGCTCTGAGGCAGTGTACGCAGTGGTCACTCTTTACTCCACTGAGCCTCATCCATACAACATGACTTGGCGTAGGAATTCCGGCTACAGAGCCGCACCTCGTGCCAGACGGTTCTGCAGGCGCAGCGTCCCGGTGTCCCGTTCGGGGCCCGACATTGCCTTAGCGCGCTCTCGTGCGACGCGACCTCGGAGCGCAGTCCTAAATTCTACAGGTCGGCTTTCAGTTTTCAACCCGTGGCCGTTCCGACGCAGCCCTGGGCCCACGCTTTGCTTCTTCCGGTTGACTACAAACTCTAGCCGTAGACTTGCCAGGCCGGTCAGAACAGACACTTCGAACGCGGTCCACGCTCGGTGACTGAGCTAGGTCGTTTATGCTTCCGAGAAGAATTGCTCCGCTCGCCGATCGGTCCACGGTCAGGTACATCATGTCTGTTCCTTTGCACATCATTTAACAAGCTTTGGCAGACCCTTGGGCAGGCCGTTCCATCTTCTTTGGCCCCGCGGGGTGTGGTGCCATACAGCGCCGTGCTGGCAGAGGTTCTCTCCGCGAAGCAGTGCAACTTTTTGGACGCTGCGTGGGCTAACAGCAAGCAGTGCACGCATTTTTGTCTAGGCTCCTGCAAGCTCCGTCTACGGAGATGAGAGCTGGCAAAGCTTGCTCGAGCTTCCAGCGCTCAAACCCCGAGTCCATGGCAGCAGACGCGCGGAGAGACGGCACATGACCTGGCTGACCAGACACGCGCGACAAGGGCCTTCCACAACCGCTGGTTCTTAAAGACACCTATCTCCATCTGTGCGACTTCGCTCTCCAGTGCGCCTCGCTCGATGATACGAAGGCGAACCCTAGGACGCCCGGTCTACCGTCAAGTCCACTGCGGACGCTTTACATCAGAGTCTACTGGGTCGGAGCGGCGCCGGTCTCAAGTTATCTACCGAGCACACTCCGCCATATCGTCACTGTCCGTTGGTGGGCCATGCGCTGACAGTGCAGAATCAAAAGGTTGACGAAGAAGTTGCAACCAGCATGACGGAGGTCTCGGTCATTGGAGCGTGTTAGCGGGGCGTACTCGGGTGGAGGTGGACGGGACATGGCTCCAGCCATGCACCCATGATACGTCTTCACCAGCTGCCAATGACGATAGCACGTTACTCACATCTTCTCACCGACCACCTTGCGTCCATTCTGCTTGAGGTGCGCAGAATGGCCTCCACTTCTCCATGGCAATGTCCGCCTGTTATTCAATGACAGGGTCGAGATGACATCACGCTCCCGTCCGTATGCACCCTGCTTCTCGTGAAGGGTATGTTCTGATCATCGGAGGATCGTCCAATAAGTGGGACATAGTACGAATCCTGTGCTACTTGGAACTCAGCTCCCGTACTCACACGCGTTACGTCACATAGCAGGTAAGTGGGCGTACTCGGTGCAAGGGCGTCGAGAACTCAAATGCTATTATGGCAAGTATCCACGTCTGACTTCGAACCTTGCGCAGCTATCTCTGGCAGATGGGAACCAGGAAAATGAGGAAAGATTTCACATCTTATATCTCTCTCTGTACGTTCGTACTGCCTTCAGCAGTACCATCTTGCGCAGTGACGACTTGAAATGCAGAAATCTTTCCTCGACCCGGCCAATTTCATTTCGGTCTCTACGGGGATCGTCAGTCCTTATCACCTGGGAACGCGTCTCGAAGAACATCTGAAAGCGGGCAGGGGCTGCTATTCATTGCCTTGCAGTGATGCATTCCCACGCGGGTCTGCCCGGTAGCCTCGAATTCCAAGGCGAGATGTAGTTGTGTTTGACCGCAGTGTAGGAAGCTATTCTTGTGAGATCGCAAGTATAGCCAGCTATGCAGTTCACGAGCAAGGACGTTTCAATGTACAACAGCCACCATTCAGTTACGAAGCCGTTGAAGCACTAGCACAGCCTGCTGATGCGAAACATGGTAGGTACAGTGGTCTTGCAAGAATATTTCGTTCTCAGCTGACCTGTTACAAGTTGCTACTACAGCGCATCGATGTCGCCGGGTCATCTATCGATTGAGTGTCGGCGGCGCCCCGACGACTCTGTACGGAATGAAGAAGCAACAGGCTCCGCGGTCTGAAGTTGATTTCATCGTCGCATGACCTCCCAAGGCCTCCTGAGTCAAGCTCCTTTGGCGTACCCAGAATTACCCAGTCCAGCATATGGAAATGCTTCATGTCTACGCTGCGTTCATGCAGGTAGAGTGGCCGATGTTTACGGATCTTATGAACCTGGTCCGCTCATATCGTGCTCGCACTTGTCTTGTAATACTGAACGCCGCCATTTCGGCGTCGCATATAACGGGACGACAATCCTATCTGCGCTGGCCCGGAAATCGGTGCGTTAAGCGACCGTCCTGGCTTGATATCCATAACCAAATATCTTGACTTGCGAACAGTATTCTGGACATTTCTGTCTCACTGTAAACCCCATCGCAGCAAGAAGGACACGTATAAGTTCGCACTCATGCCACACTGCACCGTGCGCAGGCCAAACACTCATCTGCGAATTCACACGTCGTCACCAGATCAAACATTCTGCGTTCCCGAGCCACGCCAGCTAGCCCTCCATCGGACCCTGACTAGTTTCTGATTCGTCTAACGCCACCCGGTGCACTGACTCAGTCGGCCCCACGTCTGGAGGGAGAGATCCCGATAAGCGTGACGGCTGTGCAGAATTTTCGCGTTCCTCATCAGTTCCCTGGCAACCTCTCTTGACTTTAACAGTACACTTCAGCTCCTCACGCGACGCCGTCACCGAGGACGCCAAATACTTGAGCGCTATGCAGTGTTCGATTGATTGTCACGAAGACTGGCAGCCTGCGGGCGTGATATCGTATCGCGCCTGAGCGGTCCTATTGTCCGTTCCATAGGCGTTTGGACCGTTTAGGCATGCTTAGTATTCACAGCTATGGACAGGGCGAAGGACAAGGAGAGCTAGCAGGATATATGTACATCCCCGACGATGGGCACAATAGGTTGGTGCATGTGTGGCGCTAGATTTGCTCGTGAGAAATCTGTCGGAACGGTCCTATTGAAGCTTAGGTGTATTGCATGCATGGTTGAGTCGGACATAAGACCATTCCTTCAAGATGCCTTTCATGCCCAATATTGACGTTCTTCGAAGAAGGTCAAGCAGCTTGTCGCACAGTATTCACTTCACGACTCCAGCAGTTGCCACGATATCGGGCCAACCGCCCGAATGCTACCATTAAAGATAATCATTTGCGCTGTCCGGCCGGTCCCTAATCCTCGGAGAGTTGACTAGGTCCACTGGGGCAGAAGAAACTTGTCCACAGGTACCGGAGACCGGAAGTAAACGATGCAGGAACTCAATCATAAAAATCCAACCGCAAGTTATCGGAACTCACGACTCTATAATGCATGTATTCCGCGAGGCGACGGCCGGCACGAAGCCAGCATCAGCTGACTGCCGGACAAGAGAAGTCAATCGTCCCACTGAACAAGGAAGGAAAAGAACCAATTAGAAAAGGGTAGGGCGTGCATGTCCGTGGGGAGGCATAGGCACGACTAGAACCATTATCCTGTAGGACATCGCTAAGGTCTAGGACGGCCGTTCGTCCTCAATGAGGAGAGCTCCGCCCTTGTCGACACTCAATCGGATGCGATCGCCAATTTTCACATCCTTGAACTGGAAGCAGGGAGGATCAGCGAACAGGTAGGAGTAGACCCTGAGCTCGGGGAACATCGCGGAGCAGAAAGAAGGTACACGCACCGTAAGCTCTCTGGTCCGGTGCAGGCTCTCGATCTCATCGACCCTATCGCGCACGTCGTCGAGCTGTTGGTCGAAGCCTTCTTCTTCGACCACCTCTTGTGCGGCGCGCAGCAGCAGAAGCGAATCCGGGGTCACGTCGTGGTTGATCTGCGGGTGCCGGCACAGTCAGCCTCCCCACTCGTGCAACGAACGTGAAGCAGATGCAGTGCAACTCACGTCAATGGAGATAATGTTCAGGCGGTCTAAGGCTACGAACGGTTCAGGGTTTGGTGAGATATGAGGCACGTTGAAGGCACTACGCACCTTCCAAGAAGTCCGGCCGTGTCATGATCTGTCGGCACCGGTACTAGCAAGGGCCAGACAATGAGCACGGATCAAAGGGGCGAGATAGAAAATGCGTGGTGGAGTAGATTTGCACTTACATATGGTATTTTGGGCAGGAGCAGATCCGTGAGGGCCTCCGGAGGCTTCTCACCCGCGGCAATTTGCTCCTCTATCTCGCGCACCGTTCCTTGCCGCATCTTCACAAATTCTCTTAGCAAGAGCCACGAGCACGAACTCCATTTTTGCTAAACGAGGTTAAGCCCATGTTTCACTATGATCAACTGCGATCACACACCTCATCCATAACGTCGTCGTCGTGGTCGGGAATGAGGCCAATTTGGCTCTGTAACCAGGCTTTCTCGATCCCTAGAAGCTCACCAGCGTACCTAAGCATGTCCGGTTGTCTCGCAATCTTGTTTAGGTATGCAAGTCTTCCACCAGCGTAGTTCACAACCTCCTTGTAAATTTCTTCAGGCTCGTCGGGTCGGTTACAAGCCTTGCGCATCTTCATCGCCGCTTGCAATGCTTGTCGATGATTCAAGTCTCTGACCGACACGATCTGACACAAAATAATATGAGTCACATCCCGACAACGCATCCTTCCTGCCGCTTACTTGCATACGGCTTCCAGTTTTACCTAAAGCGACTTCAACGATCATTCGTGAACATAGTAGGACGAACTCACGCATGAGGTAAAACGGCCAGAAATCATCCCTAGAGGAAGAAAGAATTAATGAACATTTATGTGACAGACGGAAAAGCGGAAACACACGAGCTGAAGACAACGGTCAAGATCCCTGACGACACGGCATGAGCCAATATTTGTGTAATGTGGGAACGGTGTGAGCGCACCGCTCGCTGCCCATGCTTCTGCCCGCTGCTGAAACTGTAGCAGAATGTTCTTTCCGTCATCGTCATTCTTGAAGAAGTGTATATTGTTCAAGATCAGGACAAGTGGCCGTTTCTTCTTCTCCGAGTAACGCAGCGCAACCTTTTCCAGCTTGTTCAAAGCTCGTGGGAACTCAACACAGGTCACAAACGGGATATTAACGAGCCTCACCTCGTTCAATGTCCAGCGCCGGCCCGCCTGCACGCCGTCAATGTGCTTCAGAACCATACATATTAACGCATCAGCCGCACCTTCCCTCGGGTCGCGCCTCTGGAAGAGGCCCGTTTGCGAATCCTCGTGGTACTCGTAGTTCAATGCTTTCCCCAGGCGGAGGCGGAAGACTTCCAAGTCGGGATGAGCTTCGCAAATGGAAACACCTTCTGCGTGGATCTTTTGCATAGCATCGTAAAGCATGGTGGTTTTCCCTGTACCCTACGGGAGACAGCGCTGCTGAGGGGCGTTACACGCCGCATTGGGCTTAGAGACTCACCTTAGGACCAAGTAGCATGAAGTAACGGCCGGTCTCTCCACCGCCCACGATGTCGTCCATCAGGTCCTGGTCATCACGGCGAAGATGCTTGTTCCATGGAATATCGTCTGACTCGTGCTGCACGGGAAGAGGTTCTTCCCGCTTCGAGGTACGGTTTGCAAGCTCAAGCGCAGGGTCATACCCGGCGGTGAAGGCGAGTTCAATCTATCCTTTTGGTTAACGGCCATTTGGTAGCGCGGCACGGGCAAGCTCGCACCTTATCCAACACGTTGGTCTTGTACCATGCGACATACGCGATCCCTCCGAAGAACACTAAACAGTACGAGGTCAATACAACCGCCACGAGTTGGCTCGAACGGGATGGGAGAACAATCTTCGAGACAGACACAAAATGGGACGTCCCCTTTAGAACAATCGACAGCAAAGTACATTCGGGAGACATGACGCTATATACATAGGCAGCAAGGCGCTGTAAACGATGAACTACCACACTCACCCATACTTAGACCAATGACGGTGGTAATGAACGCGTCAACGATGCTCGACCCAGTTGTGAACGGTGTCGTATTGGGGCCGGCTGGACCTTGAGGTGGCCCTGTGGGAGATGGCGGCGGCTGCGAAGGCAACGGCATCCCTTCGTTGCCCAACGCTCTGCCAGCCAACTCCAGTTCCTTTCCGCTGCACGTCAAGCCCCTGCCAGCTCTATCGAGCGCATTCGCGACTTCCTTTGCTGCCGTTCCATCACGTTCGGCTTCCGGGCTTTTATTCTGTTGAAGGACAGCAGTATATGACAGCCCCCGCGCATGATGGAGAAATGGTGGATAGAGACGAGCTGCAGAGGACGAAAGCCTGGAAGAGAAAGTGGGAGTTGTTCCGGACAAAGCAAGTCGGAAAGTGGCGTTTGCTGTATTCGCGGGGGGCAGGCTAGTCAGAAAGCGAGGTATAGGCTTCCAAAGAAATCTAAGAGGCCCTAGAGAGAGCATGATGTGAGTTCACAGAAACAGCCTCCGCCGACCATTCTGTGACAAAATCGTTCATCACGGCGCCGCGGCATGTCCTTTTCGGCTTGGCATCGCGAGAGATCCAGGAGTAGTCTGAGGAAGTCGGTAAATATTGCCGGAAATTCAGCTATAATTTGACTCTGGATATTCGAACATAACGGATTTCTGAAGCACAATCCATTCTCGAGCGAGAACGTTGTCGACAGTGATGAGGACCGCGAGCCCAACTAACGAAGAACGTGACAAGTCACGATAAGAGTCAGTTCTTACTCTCGTAAGCAAAACTCTGCAAGTGGCGTGACTTCGTTTAGCTTAGTGTCACGCCGGCAGTTTCGCTTGTGGTCATCACAGCTTCGCCTCAACGTCCACCATCTCCTCACTCTACCATGGCATTTGGCTTGACGATTGGTACTGAGCGTGCTACGGCATTGCAGGTATGTCAATATGGCAACAAGTCTGCAGTTCGCTGACTGTGTGGCTAGAACGCAATCCAAGATGAACTCACAAAGCGAGGGTATAGCCCTGACGCAGGTGAGTGCTCTGGAGCGCAGCAGTAGCGTGTTGCTCACCGACCTTGCAGATCCTGTCATGGCAGAATACATTACTATCATGATTATTAACAATAAGACTCCCGGTAAGTGGCGAGTACAACCGAAGAACGCCTGACAACTGACAGCGCTCCAGCTCAGATATCGTCAGAGTTGGAAGATCGTGAGTGCTCGACCTGTGGTCTTTGAAAATACGCTAATCATGATCTATAAGTCATTGGCTCCGAATTTGGTGAGATATATGCGCCACCTCTGCCTTTAAGAGTGTGCTGAGTCGTTGCTAGATGCAAATTTCGTCGACTGGCTTTTTGCTGAGGTATCGAAGGCTGCACCAGAAGCTGAATCATCAACCGCTCCTGCTCCTGAGCCTGCGCCCTCTGCCGTACCTCCCCCTACCCACGAAACTCCCCCGCATGTGCAAAACGAGCTACCAAGACGACCCCCAAATGGCCCGCGCGCCGGCCCCTTTCAGCAAGCTATCGCACAAGCTCTTCCTTCTACTTTACCTTCCGCACAGAAACGTCCTGCATCCGCACGTTCGCCTTCACCAAGTGGACATGCGCACAAGACGCGACGGATGGACCTACCTACCGGGCCACGCGCAATGCAAAGAGACGGTCTCAGCAACATGCCGAGTGGCTCTCGCAGTCTTCTCGAACGTATGAGCTCTCCACGGAATGGTCACTTCGTGAAGGATGACATTCAAGCTCGTATTGACAACATCACCGCACAGAACCCGGAGATGGCTATGTTGATGGGCGGCGCACCCCAAGGCTTCCCGATGAGCGGTATGCCTGGGATGGATATGGCGGCGATGCAGATGACAAATCCGATAATGCTGCAGGAGATGATGATGAACCAGATGGCGTTAATGACGCAAATGGCGGGGGCGATGGGAATTCTCAACCCTGCAGCGATGAATATGAACGGCTTTCCGATGCAACCGGGCATGGATATGAACATGATGGGTGGCATGAATGGTCAGCAAGGTATGAGCGGGCGGGGAAGGGGCAGGGGAAGGGGCGGCATGCGGGGCGGACACGGAGGACGAGGAGGCCATACCCCGGCACCGTCGTCGAGCATGTTGGACAATGCACCTCCTGCACCTGCTATGAAAGCTGAGCAGGCACCAACTGTTGCAGCTATGCCTACCCCGATCATCGCAGCACCGACCCCGGTCGTTGCTCCTCAAATCACGCCGTCTACGTCCCAGAGCCGGTCAGGTTTCGTCCCCCCGGAACGACCTCAATCACCTACACTCTGCAAATTTGGTGTAAAATGCTCCAACTCAGTCTGCCGGTATTCACATCCTTCCCCTGTCGCCACTCCGGAGAGCGGTGTTGTTCTCAGCAACGAGCCTTGCGAGAATGGCAAGGACTGCAAAGACAAGGACTGTGTCAAGTCCCATGTAAGCCCCGCCGTATTGAAGGCAACCGGTACGTCGCATTCCTGACACGTGTTCTGACGTTTCTGACGGCGTTCTCGCAGGTGAGCAGCTTAATCCCAAGGCACCAGCGTTCACGCCAGGCGCTGCTCAATCTCCCGCTCCCTCGCATCAGTCCCAAATTCCCTGCCGCTTCGGCGCAGCCTGTACACGACCAGGCTGCGCTTTCCTTCACCCCAACCAGAAGCCAGCGAACTCGGTCTCGCAGCCGTGCCGGTTCGGCACTGCCTGCACAAGGGCGACGTGCCCCTTCCAACACCCCGAGGGACGCGTGTTACCTACGACGTTCCATCGCGGCTTGTCAGCTTCCGGAGGGCTTGTCACCGTCTCAACGCCGGAGACGGGCAGCATGGGTGCACATAGCCACAACAAGAGCGTTACGTTCAATAATCCGGCTAAGACTGGTGCGAACGGCGCTGCATCGAGCGCGGCGGAGCTGGAGAAGAGGGTAAAGGAGGTTGAGGAGAAGAAAGCCCAGGCCTTGCAGGCCGTCGCACAGGCGGAGGCTGCCGCAGCTGCAAAGAAGGACGACTCGAAGCCCCCAGTTCCGATATCCGCATAATGTGTTGACATCCACGTTCGCACGCTCGGTCACCCAAAAAAATAGCTGCACATGGCGGGACCATCTCTTAGAAGTAACGATTATCATTCCTCTGCCCATGTAATATTATCCTCGAGCTTAGCTTACATCAGTGCTTCTCTTTCTCTCGTCTGTCTCTATACCTCTTTCTGCTAGTGTAGCACTCGACTTCCCTTTTTTTTGGAGAGGCCGTATCAATTGGAGAGATGCTCAGAAGGAGGTCTGCGACGACGCTGCGTTCCTCTGGCATATTCCCCTCCCCTTGCCTGGTATGAGCTGCAACGGAGTTTCAGGTGTGAGTGGAAGGCACTATATTCTCTTGGAGGGCGGGGCTTGTAGGGACCTGGCGGCCCTGTCCCTCTAGGCTTGAACCTATCGAACCTCGCCTTCTTGAGACGTGGCATGCTACTCTCCATCGGTAGCAGTTACTTAGGGGGTTGCCGTCTAGTAGGCTCGGAAATCGGGCCTCGTGCGAACGATGTGCTTTTCGGACTGGCTACGGTTGCACGCCGAGAGTATGTGTGGCGCAATACGTCAATCTCGCATCCATCATGTCAGAGCCTGGGGATGTTGACACTACAGTTTATTCGCGTTCGTGCGCATGTCCCGCCCTTCATATATTTATGCACCGACTCACAACGATTTTGGCATGTTATAGACGTCAATGGACATCGATGCATGGAAGTCAAGACAGTCATTGCCCGCTTTGTGGCGTTCATGCGTGAAACGGGCTATACCCTTTTTCTTTTGTCACAACGATCTTGAGTAATCTTGAATAATCTACATTTGCCTATATTCCTCCAACACAGATTGCAGAGTTATTTACAGCACACTGAAAATACTGAGCAGATATGAAGTGCTACCGCGACCCCAAGAAGTTCTCGACACGTTTCGTGAGCCGCGGCTGTTCGTTATCGCTGTCCGAGTTTCGGTCCACGTCGCGCACCCGTTTGCCGAGGACAGACTGTGACAGTCCAGCGCACGCTGGCCCCACCACAAACTCCGCAGAGGCAGAGATACGAGAAGAGGCATAAGGGTCAGCAAGCTGTTCGGGACCGTCCACGTCACATTGGCCACTAGCGCGGTCCGAGTGCTCGTCACGGGATATCGCTTCGCCAAGATAGAGAGACGGTCCAGGAGCCGCCGCCGCCGCCCCGGCGGTAGTTTGGGCGTGGACCCGGTCTGATTCAGGCGAGGGCGAAACAGCCTTAAGAAGGTGAATGGAGTGGTACGGCGTCGCTTTGAGGGCAGGGTCCGGGCAATATGACGGCCCCTTCCTTGCGGTGGGTGGCCGTGACGGTCCAGCAAGAGACGAGGCGACGGGCGTAGACCGAGCACCGAGGCGAGCGGAGGCAGTATTGCCGTCGACTTTCACCGACTCCGTTGGCTGATAGCCGAACCGTCTGAAGACCATCTTGTTGTCCTCGTCGTCGTCATCGTAGTGTGGGCTGCGGGGAGGGCAGCACAATCTCGAACCTTGGGGAGGAGATGTGTCAGAACGATCATAGTACTGGCCATCTTGAAGTACGCCGGGACCCAGTCTGGTAGAGTAAAATTCACCTAGATGGTCGGGATCCTCGACCAACGGAAAGATACGTTTGCGCCGCTTGAACCAGTCCTCCTCTTTGACGTAGGGAAGCTCCCAGCGGAAGAAGTATCTCCGCACATCGGGCAGGTCCCTCTCGTCAGGAATTGGATACATGCTCCTGACATGGTGTCGACAATTATCGAGGCTTTTGAACGTGATCCGACCGTTGTCCCACCCCCTCGTTAGAACGTCAAAGATGTCGTTTTTGTGGCGAGGTTCAAGAATGATGCCGTGTTTGAACATGGTTCGCATGTATTGAGTCACGAAGTCCACGATGACCGACTCCCTAGTCTCCCCTTCTGGTGGTACAATGGTATCCGGATTTCTCTCCCTCGACGCCGTTGATAGTGGACGTATGGTAGTGCTCACCTGTATATGGAACCCCGCCGCATCGATGGCACAACAGGCGATACTCCCGCCCTCGCTGCTGTCTCGATTATCTGAGTCGTCGACGTCCTCGTACTTCAACTCGGCTGTCTCTGGTAGTCTAATATCCTGCATTTCCTGGCCTTGCGGCTCTAAACGCGAAGAAGGAAGCCCTTGGGAGAAGGGCGCGTCGTCCGGGATGGTAGGCTGCGACGCTTTCCGCAGCCACGTATCGCATGACTGGGACGAGCGAAGCCCGAACTCCCCATAGTCGGACGCATCAGTGGATATTGAAGAGAACTCCTTACGCGGGGATGCTTGGGACGGACGCGAAGGAGCTTGAGATGCGGCTAGGACATCTTCGGGGACGGGCGCACGCCGCGGCGCGGTATCCCTCAACGAGTTCCTCTTCCGATCCCTGCTGCCAAATCCTTTGAACACCATCTCGTCATCGGAATCATCCTCGGGAGGTCGGGAGGTCCAACCAGCTTGTGACGACTGTGTTAGCATAGTTGCTAGCATAGTTGCTAGCTGGGCGGTGGATGGTGTTGTTCGTTTCCGCACAACCGAGTAACCTTTCATCCACTTGTTAATCCTGAACAGGCACCAATGAGCAGGAATCAGTATACAACACGGATGACAGAACAGTGGGTACAAACATCATCTGTTCCAGGCTGAGATCCTCCGCAGCTAGCTCTTCGCTCATCGCACCGGATGAGGTGCTGTCACCAGCCTTTGTCCTGGCATCGAAGGCGTTGGCCTCGACGGCCCTGCCGCAATATGTCTGCGGATGCTGCCAAGCCAGGTACAGGTGGCTGCCGTCTTCGGCGATTGTCCTGCGGCGGTGTTTTGCACAGTCAATATCGAGGCGTTATCAGAAGCGGTCTCCTTCGTCGAAAGGAGAGTGCAGGAATGTGCATCGACTGCTATGGCATCTTCCACATCAAGAGCCAGCGGCCAGCGCTAGGATCTGGAGGCAGTAGCGACTGTATGAGAGCCGTGTGAATGTCAGGTATGCATCCGCATGTTGTCCAATAACTCACAGCTGTTAGTGCAGACTTGGGTAGATGGAGAGTGAGAGATGTGAAGTCTTCAGTCTCGGGTAAAGATTGTTGGCCGCCGGTAGCGAGGTCTCCCTGTGAGCCAATCTCACCTGATGGCGGTGTCGCTGGCTCGCCTGTGAAAGCGGCGCAGCCTGCAGAACAGCGCAAATATGTCAATGACAAAGGACCGAGAAAGGTACTGTAAAAAAGCCAATCAGGTGCGGGAACGATGAGCGCGAGTAGGCTCTGGAGCAGGTCTTTCGAGCACTCTGGCCGCTTAGTCTCTGAACGGCTTGGTCGTCCGGGTTATTTCCTTTCAAATCCAGTGATGCCACTCGTGTATCAGACTAGCCGGCTACTGTGCATAGTTAATTAAGCCTGCACGCCTTCACGATATGTTGAAGCTCCTTGTAACTTTGAGTCTTGAGGACGTCGGAAGTAAAGCGTGCTGGCATGATGCAGGTGGTCCCTGATGTCAACAGGAAGAGGAGAAGAAGTCTTTAAATGACAAGCTCCAAAGGTTGTCACAAGCGAGCTTCCATGCCCGTGTGCCTTTCATGTGAAGTGACCGTTGTGCTTTGGCCTGCCGACTGGTCATGGCACCAATCACGTTGCCTTGGGTAGCTCGTAGCAACAGGCTCCTTTTGGCACATGTAAAGCAAAGTGCATCGAGAGCAGCTTCACTGAAAACCACCCTGCCACACGGCATCGTAGTGTTATGACCACCTGCAGCTGGCTACTGCTGGAATGACTGTCGGATAGTTCTGGGTGTGAAGAGGTATCTGACTTGATTAGCGTTCTCCGAGGCGGCGATAGAGGTGTGTTCATTGGGCTGGCGTCCTCGGTTAATCCCAAGAATCAGTATATATGCACGGTGCACGACGTGAAGTCCAGAGAGAAATAACTTCGGAGGGGCTCCCAAGGCTTCCACATGTTCGTTCTCACATCTTAGATCTTGAAGATAACATCGCTAACATGACAAGATGGCCGAGTGGTCTAAGGCGTGTGACTCAAGCGGAAAGCTTGCCAGCGGAGGCTGGTCTTCTCATAGCGAAAGCTGCGTGGGTTCGAATCCCACTCTTGTCATGGTTTTTCTATATATTTTGTGCAATGAGCTGCAAATGCTGAAGTTTCAGTTCGAACAAGGCTACTCTCTATCTTTCACACAGGGATTGGACATGGATGAAGAGATCATTGACTTGGAAACCCTTGGAAAGGAGGAGATATACTAATATGTAGCAACATCGAAGTGAAACGGCCAATGGATTGCGTATTTTGCGGTACCCGCGTGAACTACCTTCCGTTTTGGGATGGATAACCGGCTCAAGCCGTGCCGAGCCGTAGCAACACTACTCGATCATAGCTGATGCGCCATCACATCCAAATATGGTGATGTACGATGCTGAGACCGAACTTGGATGATGTCGGTGTCGATCTCTGTTACATCGTGAAGGACCGCGAGATCGGGAGATAAAACAGAAACAGGTGTTTGGTAACATGACAGCGAAGATTATCCGCCGCGTTCGCCATCGCTAGGACCTTCGAACAGGGTCATGCCACTGGTTTGGCCACTCATCATTCTTTGTTTTGTTTTTGAAGGCAGCCCTTTGTGTTTTCCTTTGTGGAATCTTTCGTTATTCACCTTGCTCCACAACTCTTCCCACTCTACATTCGCCACACCGTGCAACATCGTCGCGCATCCCATCTCACACACCGCCGCGGTTCTGGATATTCATGTCGCCATACGAGCTGAGACATCGCAACGGGAAGGATGCCGGAAAGAAGCAGCAGACTACTACTTCTTACAATGCATGTAGAATCTTGCCTTTGGCACTCATTTGCTGATCATTATATTCTGCAGAACCCAGGCAGAGCACTGGTCAAGGCTGGAATTAAGAACAAGAGGAGGAACGTCCAGACGAAGAACTACGCGAAAGTCTCCGGCAATGGTGAGCTCCCCGCTACGCCGATAATGTAAGTGTCATGAAATATCACTTTACTCGGTTTTGCCAAACGTTCATGTAGACGGCAACCTGCGAACACCGACAACTTGCAACGAAGTAACGCTCCTTCGCCACCGATCCTTCCAAGTCGCGGGGCTGTGGAGGAAACATGGACCCCACTCCCCTTCACAATTTTGGCTTCGACGGGTTTCGCAGGCGAGTTGCAGTCTTCGCCGGCCTCATCACCCTCAAGGCCTTCCGCGCGTACTCGCAGAGGCACGCCACCTCCGCCACCGCTCTCTCAGACGACTTTCAGCCCTTCTAGGAGCACATCTCCCGCACTTCTCAAGCTTCAGACGAATACGCCTTCTACATCGCCACTTACCTCCTTATCGCAGATATATTCGACGATAAAGGCCGCGTCCTTCATGCCCAATGGGAACCCACGCAAGTCGGCGCGGTTCAGCAGACGGCTTAGGGACGAGCTACCTCACGTGGGGCCTGACGTGGGCGACTCTATTTCTGTCGGAGGCAAGGACGCATCGCTTCTAGTCACCGAGCGTGACTCCTTCGGCGACTCTCCTTCGGGCGAAGATAGAGCTCAGTTACAGAAGGTGCCGTATGGTCAGTGCGGCTGAGAATATTTTGATCCTGATCAGTACTTATATCAAGCACACACAATCCCCAGAATCTCAAGGACTATCATTAGCAGTGAGCGACGATGTTGACATGGACGACGCCACCGATCCATCTGTTGACCCCGGTCCGAACGAGCAAGACATGCGGTCCAATGATGACGAGGAATACCATTACAGGCAGCTCTCGAAGTACACGACCGCGCTCGGACACCCGGCTCCACCAAGGCTTCCACCAGCCGTGATGAAGCGCGTCGCAGAAGATTCCGAGTATCGAAAACTATGGTTCACCGAGCTACGTGACCTATCCCCTCAGTACGAGCATCTACCCGACCTGGCGCAGAGAAAGTGGAGACAGTTCGGCTTCCGCGACGAAGACGACATCGAGCTCGGCGACGAGGACGGCGACGGAGGTCTGGGGCAGGATGAGCGCGAAGAGAAGGAGGATGAACTAGGCACGCTTGTAGAGACCATTAAGGTTCTCTGCGGTCAGTACACTGAAATAACGAGCACCTTGCAACGCGAGGTATTGCCCGACATCAACGAAGGCCGCCAGCGCGCACAATGGTACAGGCGACTGACGAGTCAAGAGCGCGCCGAGTTCGGACGCATATGCACATGGATGGCCGTATGGAATCCTGAGACGAAGGGCAAGTGGAGTACGAAAGAGATGTGGACGGGGTTCCCCTTCAGAGTCAAGAAGAAAGACGGCATCTGGAGGGAGCTCGCAAGTGACGAGGAGAGAGGTAGCGAAGACAGCGACTCCGAGTGAGTGCATTGTTATCAACCTTGTCGAAGGCTGAAACTTATTCTCCACAGCGATGACGACCCCGCCGATGCTTCCGCACGCAGTCCCGTCGTCAGCCCGTCTTCTTCGCAATCCGTGTCACCGGAAGTACGATTCCTCTCAGTGCGGCCGACAGCACGCTCCCCGCCGCCACCGCAGCCCGTTGGGCCAAGTCGGAAATATTCGGAATACGGCGTCGCTCATCAACCGCGAGACGTCACGCTGTCCTCGGATGAGGATGAAGGAGATAACCTGGGTGCACGAGACAAGCACAAGCAGCGTGGAGTCCGCGGCAGCCCTCGAGGTGTCACCTCTCGGTCGTCGACATCCTCTTCTTCCTCATCGGCGGATGACGACGATACTCAGGACAAGCCTAGACACACGATACCCTTGTCACGTCGGCCGGCGTACGGGGCTATTCGACCACCGTGGTCACATACGCCAGACAGCGACGATGCATCAACATCTTCCGGAGCCGCCACCGTTGGCAGCGATCTGGGAGATCCTGCCCCAGTTGATGAGGGCGTTCCCTTCGCACGCTCTCCACTGTCTGTGCTCAACAACGGTGCTCGACGGCACTCTACTCCCGTTGCAGCTTCTCGTGCGGGTGAAACATCGGACATCCTTACGGAGACAGACAGCAATGTTCAACAAGCCTCCCCTCTGACAGTTGCGAATGGTAACATGCGAGTTGCAGCTCCAGCTGTGGAAGGTAGCGGTGTCCAAGCAAACTCGTCCTCGGACGCGGCAAATAACAGTACGGGGAGGCATACCGTGGCCGCCCTGGGGAGATCGAAGGAGCCCTCTCGGCCTAGTCCACCGGCGTATGTTCATCGTCCTACGGGTGAGAAGCGGGGACGTAACCCGTGGCATCCTGGTTTCAGCAGGAGCCAACCTGAGCTGAACCCTGCCCCTGCGAAGAAGAGGCGGATCAAGCACAGAGACACATCAGACTCTAGCGACGAGGAGCAGCGACCCCTGAATATTCACCCGGAGCCTGAGCACTTAACGGCGGTTGGAATACAACAGCCAGAAGGCAGTACAAGTCGCGCTGTGCCATCGGTATCATTCGCTACGACCGCTGGACCTTCTGTAAGACAAGAGAATTATCCGTCGTCTGGGAGCAATGCTCCAATCAAAGCGTCGTCTTCGGGAACTAGGCCTCCATCCAGCTCTACGCCGTCCAAGGGTAACAAGGAGAATCCTGCTTCACCTGTCTCAGGCAGAGCTCAAGCTAGTACCATCCCATCTCGTCCGTCGACCTCATCGTCACCTATGCCACCTCCAAGCACGATCCCCAGGCGCGGCAAACCTCTAACTCGTACTCCTACCCCCAATCCTCAGGCCCTAAGTCGCACCCCGAGCCCTAGCCCTGAGGCTGGTAGTTCAAAAGGTCGACGCCAGAATACGAAGCATATGACGCCAATCATGGACAGATCCGAAGGTCGCAAGTTTCTTGTTCCCACCGACAAGCTCAACGAGAAGCTCAGGCAATATCAGGCAGATACCTTGGCTTCTCTTGCAACCCAGACGGAGGAGAACCGGCGGAGGATTGGCTTGATGGACCGGGAGCAAGCGGCGATGCGCACAGACGAAACTGCTCGTTCGTTCAACCCCACTGTTAGACGGCCCACAATGACCAGTTTTCGGCATGGCTTCCCTCTGCCGGCATCAACGTGCACGTCTGGCCGTTCGAAATCGCCCACCTTGGTCAGAAAAGGGGTCGCGACGCGCAGAGGCCCGCCTCTGGCTCGTCAGGTGCCCCGCGACGTCAATTTGGACCCACGTCCGGAGTATCTATCAGGTGAAGTAGTGCCGCTTACATTGGCGCATCTGCCTGAAGAGTTGCGCAAGAAGTGGCTTCGTGGAAAGCCGAAGACTGCAGACAAGTCCATGAAGTCCAGGAAGCGGAAGTCCGACGAGCTGCAGGACGAGGAGGACTCCTTCGACGTCGAATGTATGCTAGAGGACGCTCAGTCACCTCCTGACACGGAGGCAGAGTCTACGCCTTCTGATATACTCGCACTCGAAGAGCAGCTGCGGGAGGAAGCAGAGGCTATGGCAGAGGCTGCTATCTGTGCAGGGCTCATGGACCCGCAGGACGAGGTTGATGCCATGCTGATAGCTATGATCGAAGACAAAGTGCGTGACGATAAGAGCGGCGAAACGGCGACTCAACCGGCCACTTTCTCGATGAGGACGCTCCCGTTTTGGGCGAACCCAAACGACGACAGCTCTTCTTCCGATCACGAGGATATAGAAATGGATGTGGACATGGAAGTGGGCACGGATAGCGACACAGACGTTGAAGATGATGCGAACGAGCCCTTGCCAGATACTGTGAAGGAGGAAGCTGATCCTATCGCGTCAGAAGGAAAGGGCAAGGGTCGCGCAGATGGGCAGCCCAGCGGCTCATTCAAGGTGCAGCTCGAATAAGTCTTGGAGAGGTGGTATATTGGTACTGTTACATGGCGCCCTTCTGCTACCGTCTATACCCCTTGATTGAACATTCCTCGTTATATTTCATACCTGTAGATGCCTCTCATCCAGTCTAATGAACGGCATACTCAGTCCATTAAGATCCATTGAGATGTCCAAGCAACTTGGAGATAGAAGGTACTAGAAGTACAAGCGACAGCTCGTCGCCACTCTATGAATACTTTTGATGCTCAGTAAGGATGAAGCACAGCAAATCAATAGCTTCTGCAGTTTGTTTCCTAACGCAAGGACAAGCGAGCATTTACGCACGCTTGCCAACAAACTCGCGCCACGAGCGAACCTCGGAGGGGATCTTTCCTTCAGTATACTTCCTTAAGCCGCCCTGGGGTATCTTTTTTGCAAGGGCCTCTACGAACAGCTGCGCACAGCGAGCGTTGTTGAGGAGCGGCAGACCAAAGTCGACAGCGTTTCTGCAGGTGACAGTCAGCATATGCGCGGCGTGCGACAAACAGTAAGGCAGCTCACCGCCTCGCGACGTAGTCCTCGTCCACCAGGTCCTTTCCGCGGGCCTTGGCGAGGTTGAAGACGCACTCAATCTCGTACTCGTCAAACACCTCGCGGAGCTTGCGCTTGTCGCGCGTGGGGAAGATGATACGCTTGGCCGAGACGTACGGGATGCCGTTCAGGAACTCCTCGACGACGGGCGACGAGCAGTACAGCTTAAAGCCGAGGTCCGCGAGGCCCTTCGCGACGGTGCGCATCTCAGGCTTCGTGACGTCGCCGCCAAGGAGTACGCCCGAGTGCAAGCGCGGGATCTTGAAGCCGTTCGTACTGAGGAGCGCGGCCCAGTACGCCTCGTGGATGTCCTTGCCGAACGACGCGACCTCACCGGTGCTCGCCATCTCGACGCCAAGGAATGGGTCCGCACCACCGAGACGCGTCCACGAGAACTGTGCGACCTTGACCGCAGTGTAGTCGCGCTTCTCTGCCATGGCGTCGACCGGCTCGGGGATGTTGACGCCGGCAATTGCTGCGGAGGCGTACTCGACAAAGTTGTATCCGAGCACCTTGGACACGAAGGGGAACGATCGCGATGCGCGGAGGTTGCACTCGATAACCTTGAACTCGGACTCCTTATCGTCCTCTGCAGGCTTCTTGATGACCTGCATGTTGTACGGGCCGGAAATCTCGAAGGCTGCTGCAACCTTGACCGCGATTTCCTTCAGACGGGCCATGTCGGTCTCGGTGAGGCTGACGGGCGGCAGGACAAGTGTCGCGTCACCAGAGTGGACACCGGCATTCTCGACGTGCTCAGAGACGGCGTGGATGAGGAGCTTGCCTTTGTGTGCGACAGCATCAACGTCAATCTCCTGGGCATTGTCGATGAACTTGGTAATGACCACGGGGTGCAGGGGAGAAACGGAGGCGGCAGCTGAGAGGTTGTGCTCGAGCGCCTCGGGCTCGTAGACAACGTTCATGGCCGCACCGGAGAGAACGTACGAGGGCCGGATAAGGACAGGGTAGCCGACGCGCTCAGCAAACTCCTTGGCAGCCTCGAGAGAAGAGACTTCAGCCCACTCAGGCTGGTCGACACCGATGCTGTCCAAGACGGACGAGAATTTGTGGCGGTCCTCAGCGCTGTCGATCTTCTCGGGATCGGTGCCGAGAACAGTCACGCCAGACTGCTTGAGACGGAGAGCAATGTTCTGAGGGAGCTGGCCACCGACGCTAACGACAACACCTTCAGCGCCCTCGAGTTCGTAGATATCCATGACACGCTCCCAGCCAAGCTCCTCGAAGTACAGGCGATCAGCTTCGTCGAAGTCGGTCGAGACGGTCTCGGGGTTGTAGTTGATCATGATCGTGCGCTTGCCCATGTTGCGCAGGCTGCGCGCGCAGGTGACAGCACACCAGTCGAACTCGACACTACTGCCAATGCGGTACACACCAGAGCCAAGGACCATGGTGCCATGCTCGTCGAACTCGACGTCGTGCTCGCTGGCGTTGTAGGTGGTGTACAGGTAATTGGTGTGTGCAGGGTACTCGGCAGCGAGAGTGTCGATACGCTTGACGAAGGGAGTGATGCCGAAGGACTTGCGGCGAGCGCGGACCTCGCCCTCGGTGCTGTTGACGAGGGAAGCTATGTGCGAGTCAGAGAAGCCCTGGCACTTGGCCTTCTTCATGAGCTCGGTGGAGACGCCGTCGAGAGAACCGATGGCCTTCAGCTCGTTGACAGTATTGACAATGTTCTCAATCTTATACAGGAACCACTTGGGAAAGGAATAAAAGGTCAGTAACAGTATGCACTGTAGGACGGAACAGACCAACCTTGTCAATCTTGGTCAACTCATGAACCTTGTCGACGTCGTAACCCTTCTCGTACATGGCGTACGCGATAACGAAGAGACGCATGTCAGTGGGCTTTTGGAGCATGCTGTCCATCTCCTCATTGGTCTCGCACTTGACGTACGGCTCGAAGCCGCGCCACCGCGGATCGACCTGACGGATAGCCTTCTGCAGAGATTCCTCGAACGTGCGACCGATAGCCATGACTTCACCGACACTCTTCATCGCAGAGCCAACTTCACGCCCGACATGCGTGAACTTCGCAAGATCCCACTTCGGGATTTTGGTGACGATGTAGTCGAGGGACGGTTCGAAGCATGCAGTGGTGGTCTTCGTGACAGCGTTAGGGAGCGTAGGGAGAGTGTGACCAAGAGCGATCTTCGCAGCGGTATATGCAAGAGGATAGCCAGTAGCCTTGGATGCCAGAGCACTTTAGAGTAACATGTTAGCCAAGCATGTTACCCACAGAAGAGGTGAACTTACCTGGAACGACTCAGCCGAGCATTGACCTCGATGACACAGTACTCCCGGCTAGTCGGGTTGAGCGCATACTGAATGTTACACTCGCCGATGACACCGAGGTGGCGGATGACCTTGAGAGCAGCAGTGCGAAGCATGTGGTATTCGTCGTCCGGAAGAGTCTGCGAGGGCGCAACGACAATGGAGTCACCGGTGTGCGTGCCGAGCGGGTCGAAATTCTCCATATTGCAGCAGATAATCGTGTTCTATGATGAAGAATTGGCGGGTCAGCCAGAGGACCCCGTGAGAGAGTAATGTTGGCGCACATCGGCAGCATCGCGAACAACCTCGTACTCAAGCTCCTTCCAGCCCTTCATACTACGCTCAATCAGAACCTGAGGTGATAGACTGAGAGACTTGGCGGATAAGTCCCGGAGCTCCTCAGGATCGTTCGCGAAGCCAGAGCCAAGACCACCGAGGGTGAACGCGGACCGAAGGATGACAGGATAACCAATTTTCTCAGCAGCAGCGAGGGCATCGTTGACCGAAGAGACAGCAGTAGACTGGGCGGCAGGAATATCAATCTCTGCAGTGCAGCAAGTTAGCAGGATAGTTTAAAAATGCGATCACGTGACACAGCTTAAAGGCAAAGATAATGCTTCTGCGACCGTGAGACCGAGAGAAAGACAAGCTGCTCACCCTTGAGTGCCTGAACGAATAGATCGCGATCCTCAGAAACTTCCAAGGTCCTGATCGGGGTACCCAAAACCTGCACACCGAGACGTTCCAGAACACCCATGCGGTCGAGCGCGATACCGACATTCAACGCGCTTTGGCCACCGAAGGTGAGCAGAATGCCATCTGGACGTTCCTTTTCGAGTACGTATGCCACATAATCCGGAGTGACGGGGAGGAAGTAGACCTCGGACGCGAGCTCGTGCGAGGTCTGCCACGTCGCGATGTTCGGGTTGATGAGGACGGCGTCGACGCCCTCCTCGCGGAGAGCCTTGAGTGCCTGGGATCCTGAGTAGTCGAACTCGCCTGCTTGACCAATGGAAAGACCACCGCTGCCGACAATGAGCACTTTGCGCACGTTGGGCTTGGGAATGTTGGGGAGAACCTTGGCAGAGATCTTGCGCGCAAGCTCAGAAGGAGAGTTGAGGACCTCCTTGTCATTGCCTGAACCAAAGGAGCCTACGGCTGCGTTGGCGACGGCATTACGAGGTTTGGTGGGGACTAGAGCCTGGCGATGTGGCAAGGAGAGGCAAAAATGTCGAGTGCCATGCGGTCGACGGGGGGCCAGAGCCCGGACGCCCCAGCGTAAGAGGCTCATCGTCGAGAAGAGCACGGCTGGCTCTGTCTAGAGCCGGTGGTGGGCTGGCGAGTCGAGTCACGCTTTGGGGGAAGAGTGAACGCGAACTGACTCGACCGCCCAAATTTACAGGAAGATGATTTTGACCCTAAAACAGGGTTTGAGACTTTTTTGCCCCCGCTTCGGAATTGATCGCATCACGCGCCAAGACTTGCCTTGGGTGTTCGTTCCACGTATGCTCCAGCCGTCTCACAGACCTTGCCGTCTGGGAATATTGCAAAAAAGTACTGACTAGTCTACTGAACGGGAATGAATATTCCTCCGTAGTCAGCAATGACACCGGTTAGGTCTTTCGCAGAGCTAAATCTCTTCAAAGCGCTATGCCGCGCCAGCTACACTGTCGCGTAACTACCATACAGCAGGCGGATAAAGATTTACTTTCCTTGGGATGTCTACTGACGACATATCCAAATCGAGCTGATACATCTGGCCATGGGGACCTTCCGATGAACAGCACTCGGAAGCAGCCCAAGCGAGTTTTAAGTGATACGGGTTGATCCAAAGCGCTACGACTATGTATAATCTTACTCGTAGCGTTAACGTTTAAGACATAGTGCTTGGCCATCATGGCCCTGGACTACCCACGCTGAATGTCCTTCGGGTAGTCTTCGGCATTCACCGAGCGCCACGAAGATCCTACCAAACGCGGAAATTGTGGCGGACTGTCCTAGGAGTAGAATAAACCAAAGGTGTACCCTCCCATATGAATTTCAAGTCTAACAGGTACGGAGTTGATACAAATATTCGATCTTCCTCATTTCCTCCTTTTCTCAAGCGGTACCCGCGCACAAGTCATCTTGGTCGCACAGCTCTTCCAGCTTCAGCGGCCTTATCGGCAGGCCCATACGCGACGATGTGTGCGCGTTCATCGTCCTCTCCAGGGAAAAGCGCGCCGCAAGTTCTGGGAGAAGTTTACCTTCCAATGCGTCGGCCACGAGACGTCCGATGTTGGGCAGGAACTTGAACGCGTGCCCGCTGCCCGCCGTCGCGAAGAGCAGTCCCTGCGTGATGGGATGGAACCCGATGACCCAATCATCATCTGGGGAGTCATTATACCTATTTGCCAAATATGTCACAACCCGACATCACAATGGATGGCAGATGAGATACGTACCAGCAGAGACGCGTACCAGAAAACGGCTTCTTGCCCAATTCCGGGTAAATTCTCTTGAGGGACCCTCTGAACAATTTGACCATCTCCTTAGGAATCCTCAGGCCATCTTCACCATCAGTCAGCGCCGTTCGCGGAGTAGAAGCCATGGAACTCGACGGCTGGTGCAGATAGCCATTGCCGTGATAGCCCAGTTTCACTACGTTGTCCGCATTGGGCTGCCGCAAAGGATGATGATTAACTATCACGAAGTGTGAAGACTGAGAGGACTCTTACCGGGAACATGTATATTCCCGAACCATAGTCGAGTACAATAGGAACAGAATGATAACGATCTGCTTCTTCCTGTGTAAGCTGGATCGTTGCAACAACCTGCCTACAACGAGTCATTAGCAACAAGCATACTAGAAATAGTGAGTGTACATACCCAGTAGCAAGGCCTACGCCCACATGCCGGGTCGGTTCATACTCAGACTTCTGCGTCCCAGGACCAGCAAACTCAACGCCCAGACGCTGTACGAGTCTTGGCGTCCAGGCCCCTGCGGCGACAATAACCACGGCTGCATGGTATTCCGACCCATCCGTGCACTTGACGCCAGTGACATGAAGAGGTGCCTGAGAATCAGACGCAGCACCCTCGCGCAATACTTCCGAGACTTCCTTGCCCGCTATTACTTGTGCTCCAGCCGCACGGACACGCTCCAAAAGTATCTCAAGAGCGCGGCCAGATTCTGCCCAACCGCCCTCGTGATTGAGGAATCCGCTGAGTTCAGCCTCGCTGCTCTGGGAGTCGAAACCAGTCGCGACGTCGACCGGAAAGACCTTCTTGAGGTCGTCGAAAGAGCGTACTTCGGAGATGCGGGCTCCAGCTGCGACGTCGTTCTCGTAAGCCTCTTTTGAATACAGACTTCCGGTTGCAAGAGGCATGAAGACACCGCATCTACGAATCGAAGAACGTCGTACTTGTGCGACACATGGCGATAGGAGAAACGCACTCATGGTAGCATCCCTCCCACTCTTCCTTCCTCCAGAGGTCAATAGCTTCACGAGCAAACTCGGTGTAGAAAGGATCAGCATAGGAAGAGCGCACGACTGTAACACATTCAATGCGTTAGACATAGGGTGAAGACAAGCGACCAATTAGCGTGCTCACCCTTATTGAGGTCGTAACCCGCTGCATCTTGAGCAGGTACCTCACTTGCCCTCTCAAGGACAGTCACGCTATACCCTCTCTGCAGCAGGTGCAGCGCGGTAGACAGTCCGAAAACTCCAGCACCGACGATCACCACCGTCCGCGTATATTCTGCCTCCTGGTTCCTCGCTTGCATCTTCTAAGCTTAGAGCAGGGTCTGACGGCTAGCAGGGGAGAAGACGTGCGACGGTAGACGTCAGCAAGAGCGTATAGGTCTCTCAGCATTGTGACTCACCGAGTCTGCGCTATCTGATCGGCACGGATCCCGTTACTGTAATGACGGCCCAGGGCTATTCGACCCACCAAGTAGGCCTAGGTCCCAGTCAGAGCGGGACGGACGTAGTAGATGTAAAGATCGTGGACTTCGAGAGTGCGGCTCAGGGTATCCAGTAATCGTGGACACCTGGTCATCGTGATATCATGAGTCGAGCACGGGTGCAGGTCCTGGGAATGTCGACCTAGTATGACGCTACAATCCGGACGGGCTTCGCAGGAAGCAGTACTGCAGAATGTCTAGACCATGTGTAAAGAGGCAATATTTGAACCTTGCTACGCCATCGCCAGCGAGGTTGAAGGAAGGGGTGAGAGAGCTCGCACAGCGTTGGCGCCTACCTGTCTTCGCCCAAACCATCATGGAATCTTGCGAGCAGAAACTGAGGAGGTACATGGACCACCGAATTCCTCGCTGAACACATTTGTATCTTTGGGCCTTTAGGATGAAAGTGCGCTGGATTGACGCCATGCACCACCGAGCAGAAACTCCATAGGCATCTCATCTTACATGCTCAATGTGCCATCAACGTGTTTTGAAGACTCTTGCATCATGTGCACCAGGAAAAACAACCGCGAGCCTTTTCCTAGACTAAGCTCCAGGGACTTCGATAAACATGGGTATCATGTGCCCCGGTCATTCTACGCTGGGGTTTGCATCGGATCCGGAGTCATTCACTTTTTTCCATCTTGCGGATGCACATGGTGCGGGTCGCAGAGCCCCTCTACATACTGCCATTTGAGCCACCGTGCATGGTAGCAGTAAGGAAACTGACGCCTCGAACCGTGCGGTATAAAGATATTCAGATATGTCAACAGTCCTCATCACTTCTCTACCCGGGCCGCTCATGCAACAATTCACACCACTAGTACAACCTCATACTACTCGCACGCCTCGTCCTCGCTGTCCGTACTTCAAGATGAGCGCTTCTCCAGACAACCCGAGGCTGGCTTCGAACGTCCTTGAGGTGTGGCTGATTCAAGCTTAAGCAATCGGCTACCTGTACCTCCGCGCCATTAGCAAGGTTTGTCACCGTGCCATGGGACTTGCTACACAAAACATAACATCCCTCTGCAGGAGAACGGATTAAGAGCGGTAGGAAGGGCGGTACAGATAGAGAAAGCTCTGCTCATCAAATGGTCAGCCGGAGATCTGGACGCCAAAACGATTGGGGCATGAAAGTGGGCCCGTCGGATGCCAGCATGCCCTAGCCTTTTGATGGTTAGTAGTCATTCCAGCGTGCCGACCATCCGTATACCCTCGATACACGTTCCTACCCTACCGACTCAACCGGCCACGAGTTTAGTACGAAAACAGCTCCCCAGGTTCGACATCGCCTAAGCCAGGCCAAATAATGCTGACTAGTAGAGGCTTTTGGCGCGGCTTGTATATCAAGCCGGCCGAGCCAAGCCGCTAGGCCGTGCCTATTGAACACTAGTAAGTTATCTGCTACAGCGAAACGCGAGATTATCTGAGCACGCGGTACCTTCACCGACGCTGCTACGGTGTCACTTGGGCCGCCCCAACGTCACCATACATCCATCGGCCACGAATATTGATTAAACGTTCGCCGTTCACGATTCACACCGGCGGTGAGTCTGGCTTGTCTTATGATCCTCACCTCTTCTGCTGGCCTTTGTGACATGTTTTTAGTGGCAGTGTCGTGGTTTACACCCGACGAAGCCGTGACTTGACCGTATCGTAGCAGCCTGTAGCCGTAATACTTCTGGCCCCCAGGCTGCCCAGTAAGGCATATTTATACTTCTCCGAAAGCTGTCAGACAGCAAGAGCGAATCTCCGAGCATGGGAAACTCATCTGTGGGACACAGCTACTCTTGATCATATGGTGGAATGTAAGTGCGCAATATTTTGTTCCGAATTCACTGCTGATTGTCCCCATAGCCGAACTCTATTTGCATCTCTCCCTTGACGTCACTTTCGAGTGCGTCAGGAAAATGTCCGGATGCTGAAGGGGTCTCACGACGGGCATCTGCGCATGTAAGCACATCGGAAAGCACGCCGAGAGTGCTCCCGTAAGATCCGCGTAACGTCGAACTGCTCGGAAAGACACTCGTGCCTGATAGGTTCTCTTTCAGACAGCTGGGCCATAGCTCTCCGAAGGTCGGACACTGGTAAATATTTATCGTGTCTTGGATTAGATGACGTACTTTAGCTTGCCTGGGCCTTGGGAATTGTTGAGACCAATCTTGGAGACGTCGATCAACATCACCAAGGCACACACAAGGCACTCCCAACTCAAGAGGCACATCAAGGTGCTTGGAGGTTTCTCTAATCCGCCACTCACTTCCCGCAAATTCCTGTCCATCGTGGCGAGCTAGGGCGAGCTTTATCTACAGTGAGAGAGCCTTCCCCCTCCAGGCCGGTACCGTCACTAGCCCAAGGCGTAACTGAGTGAAGGCGGGCCTTGTCAAAACCCTTCAGCTCCCGAAGCATTTCCTCAAGCACGATCTCAGCTTCCGGGATCCTGCACCGCCCTCTCTCATCATGGAGTCATCAGGAAAGTGCCCAATCGTCTTGATGTCGCCTGCACGTCTCGAGTGTGATTCAATATGTCTTGGGTACCTTGACGATGCTGATCAACACCTCCAAGACAGGTCCCAACAACGCTCAAAGCAAGCTCAAGTGTTTATCCAGGAGCCTTAGGATCTCGTACTCCTATATAGCGATAAAGTAAATTTGTACAAATAATTACAGCGGTTTATCGTGAACATACCCACTGGGCAATATAAGTTTTAGGACAATTTTCTTGTTTACAAGCCGTGTTTACATCGTTACACCCAGCTTACGTTGAAAGACATTTATCTAGACCCTCTAATATTCAGTACAGCTACATATATGTGGTGTGTATGCGTATGTCATCTGTGGCAGTCGTAGAACGGCCTGAGAGCAGAGCTAATCCACGGCATCTGCCTAATCAGGATGCCGTCTCGTCGAGTCGTTGCACGGCAGCAACAGCCTTTTAACTTTGAGTTGACACATGGGATTTCGTAGTATCTGCTCACTGTAGTCCCAATTGATGTCTTCTACGGCGATTCCAGCCATTTTGATTATGTGTTTTGTCATTGAAGTCGGGCAAGCGGTGCACACGCTGGGAATATAAGGGGTATCCATGATGTGACAAACTAAATATTGGTCTAGTGTTTATACATGTAGGTGGCACATAATGATACATCCAAGTCCTCTAATTACTACATTGCCGAAGAAAAGAAAAGAAAAGTCCAAGTCCCGCAAACATCAAGCTCAGCCCTCTACACCTCGCCCGCCTTGAGCGATTTGACGAGCTGCATAATGACACCCTGCATCTTGCCGTCGCGGATGGCCTCGTGGATGAGGGATATACTGCCGCCGATCGTGCCGTCCTCGACACCAGGACCCATCTCGAAGCCATGCAAGTTCTCGATGCCGTGCATGCGCACGCCGAGTGTGACGCGCACGAACTCGTACACCGCGCGCGTCTTGCCGAGGTACTTGCTTGCGGGCGCAGAGCCGCGCTCGCCCTCGAGGTACTGTACGCGCAGGGTCATCAGCGTCTCCGCAGCGCGCTGCGCGAGCTCCGCGCGGAAGCCGGTGATGTGCGCGAGCTCGGCGGCAAAGGTGGCGTCAGCGGAGAGGAAGTCGACCAGCGGCGTCGTGGTGGACGCAGCAACGCTGTTCATGCGCGCCTTGCAGTCCGCGGTGCTCGTAGCATTGAGAGAGCGGAAGACGGCACGCTCGAGGATCGGCAGGAGGACGTCCGCGTGCTTGGCCGCAGACGGGAAGTGCTTCGGCAGAAGCTCGCGAACGATAGCCGACAACGAGGACTGGAGGTCGTGGTGCATTGAGCGGAGATCAAGTGCCTGGCACAGCACGTAGAGGCAGCTCGCTGTGAGCAGAGAGAGCACGTCGAGCGCAGTGATCGTGTAACGAGCCGAGACGAGCGCAAGCGAATTGACGGCCTGGTTGTGCATCTCGGCAGACTGGATGTGCGACGAGACCGGGTTCGCGAGGTATCCAAGTTCGCTGACATACGCGGCGAGGTGGATGTCGATACCCTTGGCGAAGTAGTTGTGCGACGGGTCGGTGGCGGCGAGGTTGGGCGGCAGTCCGCGGTTCATCATCGGATTGATGAGCTCCGTGCACTGGGCAAAGAGCAACTTGCCAATATGGTGAATAGACAAGCGAGTCTTCTCCATGGCATTGGTGACAGCCATGGCCTGGAAATTGCCACCGTGATGCACAGTGCCGGTCTCACCGTCGATGAGGGGGTTGTCTGTGGCTGCGGAAGATATTGAGTGACATTTCGGGGCAAATAAGATGAGAAAGACTTACTCGAGTTGCACTCCAGCGTGACCGTATCCAGTGCAGAGAGGATATCTTCGACCTGGGGTCCAAGGAACTGTGCCGAAGTGCGGAGTGGGTAACGATCCTGACGAAGCTCGCCCTCGTCTTCGGCAATGTGGACCTCGTCTTCATGCCTGAGTGCCATCTGTGAGTCCTCAAGGAGTGCCCTAATGTTGCGTGCGACCTCAACCTGACCAGGGTGCGGACGGGCGGTGTCATGGATAAAAGGGTCGAAGGAGGCGACGGTGCCAATCATGGCTTCGGTGGCTATCGCTGTGCAGACCTGCGCGAGCAGCGAGAGGTGAACGGCCTCATTAAGGGCAAGCGCACCGACGGACGCAGAGAACGCAGTGCCGTTCAAGATACCGAGGTGCTCCTTGGAAGAGAGGGGGATCGGAGCAACGCCGTGGCTGGCCAGCGCAACGCTCGAGGGAAGAATGCGGCGCGCCCCAAAGGATGCAGGGCCATCATAGACGCGAATCGCCGGATTACCGGTGAGAGTTCCTGCGATGTACGATAGAGGGGAGAGATCTGGAAACCAAGCGATTGGGTTAGCGCCAAGCGCCTGCGCTTCAGCAGCACAAGACTGACCTCCGGAAGCTGAAATACTGCCACGCAGGGGAACAAGTGGTGTGATGTTCTCCCGCAAAAGCTCACCCATCTTCTCGATAAGCTCCCAGCGGACGCCAGAGTGACCGCGGATGAGCGAGTTCATGCGGATAAGGATAGCGCCCCGGACCCAGGCCTCTGGCATGCTCGTCGTAGCGAGCGGATCGCCTAGGGGCAAGGCCTGAAGGGGGGTTTCGGTCTGCGACGGCAATACACCCACGTGCTGGTGCTGGAGGAGAGCATGGCCGAGCTGGAGAGGGTCGTTTGTGCGGGTATCGGCTATGCACAGGGTTCCAGATGAGTCGATGAAAAAATGAGACGAGCGAACAACTCACCGCTTCCGCCAAATCCTGTGCTGACTCCGTACACGCTGCGCTGAGTGTTGACCTTGTCCACAATCACGCGTCTACTCTGTAGAACGCGCTCACGTGTCTCGGGCTTCTCGTCGAGAGTCACAGCAGCTCCATAGCGAGCAGTAGCTGCAACTGCGGGGATGCTGAGGGTATGACCGTCAACGACTACTGGCTTGCCTTCCCTGCAAGTATGTCAGTGCATAGTAGCTGCCGAAGGAAGCGGCGGTACGCACCTGTAGGCTTGCAGTTCGTCGTACGCCTCGACGAACTTGGCCAAAAGTTCGGGATTCCTGTCCGTTGAAGGAGAGGCATGCCCGTTATAAACAGCGGGGTCGACAGGGGGGTGTAGGGCAGTGCTCTTGCGGTTCTGGGCATAGTCACTGCCGTTGGAGGTGGAGTAGTAGTCGATGCGGGAAGGCATGCTAGCACTGTTGAAGTGTGAGAGGCTGAGGTGAGCGAAAGAGGTAGAGCTCTCTAGTGGGGGGAGGAGGGGATCTGGATGTCTCGGACAAGTTGGCCTGCATTTATAGCTTTCGGCTGGAGGGGTATGAGGTTGACATGGGTTCTTGGGAAATAGGTGCTGGAACAGCCTGCGCGCTTAGACTATGATGCGTGTCTTGCCCACATCTAATCGGTAACCTGCCAAATCAGGGTAGCCGATACAGAGGCCGAAATAAACCGCAACCTCCGTTGGGTTCAGCCTCACGGCCGGATCCTCTGTAAGGGTCAGCTATCTGGGTCGTTTACGAAAACGTGACAAGAATTGGCGGTGGAATCAGACTGTTCTGGCCCGTTTGAATCCGTTCTCCACATGAGATAGCGAAATGTGGAGGCCGTTCCAATGAGAGCATTAGATCCGTCCGGGCAACCATCTTGTCCTCCCACCTCCGCACACCACCTGCGCTGTAGCTCACTCCGGACTGCAACCATCGCGATGTCGGCGCTGCCCGGAGATCAGGTCGACATCGAACTGCCGCGCCGCAGATCAACAGCGCCTGCCCAGGAGATGCGATGCATCCGTTGACCGCGGCCGTTCTTAGGTTCAATATTGAGAATTAAATTCCACTTACAGGTCTTGCTCAGATACGCCAGATGTCATTGCCACCAAGGACGAGGACAAGGAACACGCGCTTCAGGTGTGACTCGATGATGCGGTCCATTGCTGTGGCAATGGACACGTCTTCCCATACCATTTCGATGACTGCAATACAGCCTCGGGATTCGGACTCCCAGATAAAGGAAATGTTCAGCGACTCGTTGGATACGAACTGATCTTAATCGCGCCCACATTCTCACGCCGATCTTTTTCCCAGCTTCGCCTCGGAGAGCGGAACCGCACTTTTTTGCAATGTGCGCATTCAACGGACGCTGTGCCAAATTGTACTTGGAACATCCTGCACACAGCTCATGTCGCCGGAGTCATTGACCGTGGCACTACAGCTTAGCTTTTATGGTTGTCCTAGTCGTAATCTCCGGACACATGCATCGATGGACAGCTCGGGATCCGCGCTTGGTTGTCCAAGACGAAGTTTGTATATTCGGGCTCACGGCATCCTGGGATTACCTGCAACCGCCACGTATTCCATGTAGTACCACTGTTTAGTGCACCATTAAACCTATAGCACGATAGGCGCAGCTGCGTAGCGCACGATGCAGATTCAGGAAGAATTCGTTCAGGATCGCTCTCCGCAGCGCTGTCTTGACCGAGGAGCACCCAGGGCACCCACTGAGATTGCGCCCAGCACAAGAAATGCACCCCATTTTCGTTCCGCACGCGAGGAATGCGGATGTGACCCCCGCTAGCATGCGCACCGCAGGCGCGCCTGACCGCGGAGACAGCGGCTGCGGTGGTGCGCATTCCACACCAATACATTCACCGTATTTCTTTTTCCTGTCAGCTCGAGGAGAGCTAAGTGCCCCCGCCTTCTCCAGCGACGAGCGCCATGTTCCGGCCGAGAGACTATGCTTGTGCACATGCCTACGAGCCACTGAGAGTCTCCGGTGAGATCAGAGACCACACGACCTTGCAAATAAGCAATGAGCGACTATTCTGATGACGAACTATGGGACGGCGGCTTACCTCGTTTACGTCCAACGTGCGTACGGATTAACTTGCTATCTGCCGCATGCCGGGAAGCGCCTGGGATTTGTTCCTAGTCTTGTAAGCTAGATTCCCTGCTTGTCTCCTGGATAGAGCATTCAAGGTCCGTTGAGTCTTCGGATAAGTTAGAAGGCACCCTCGCAATCGTCGCAACCCAGACATCCGCCGTCCCTGCCAGCACCAGTTATCGTCACTCTCTGGACCAGTCTCGAAGCCAAAGGGATGGTTATCTAGTGAGTCCCACGTCTCCAAAAATATTTCGCTCACGATACCCAGGGCAATGATACGCCCACGTACCAGCGGCGCTTGAGCGCGAGTCCGACGGAAGCGTATGGTTTCGAGCTGCCGCGGTATTTGTCTTGTCGAAGGTCAAGACACGATATCGACAACTGCAAAGGAAACATTCGGCACGTCTGCCTGCGATGAGACCAGGGTGCCCCGCTACGGTCAAAGCCACTGAAGCTTGAGTCACACCGCAAAAGTCGTGATGAACAGCAGCCCTAACGTCCACTGATGACATCTCCTCTCCGAAGCGGAAAGCTGCGGTGAACGCTGCGGGTTGTTTACCCCGGTACAGCGCCACAAAGGTTTCGATGTCGGCATCTGGAAGTCATGGAATTGCCGCTGCAGGCCCTCAACTTCCTGGAAAAGTGCCTACAAGAACAACAATGTTGGGAGCACAGCCTCAAGGTGTATGGGGTGCCGCAGTACACAGGCATACTCGTACCTTCAGCTCATCTTGCAACCGGAGAATTACATTGTTCGCGATCCCGCCGACATCTCCGGGTCAGTGAGCCTGTGTAGTACTTGTAGGTTCCTTCCCGGTAGCAATCATAGCCTTCCAGTAACCGTGATACGGACGGCTTTAGCATCATCGGAGAAGTTCCCTCCTGCGCCCATTGGAAGGTTGTGAGTCACCGCCGACCTGAGGCCGAGTCATCTGTGGTCGTCAAAGCGCAAGGCGGGACCGGGGCGTCTACATGTGCCACCACGCCGACGCGGTCCAGATCTGGAAGTTGAGCACGTGAAAAAAAACAGTTTCTCTAAGCGCCCCACCATCTCAGTTTCGTCCTTGCATATCGCGTCCGCTTTCCATCATAATGGTGCCATCCACGTCGATTCTACTATCAATTTAACATTCATGCTCTCACTACGCAGGGAAAGGCTAAGAAAACCCGCAAGTTTGCAACGGTCAAACGCTTGCTGAACCCGAATGACATTCGGCTGTGCGTGCACTTTTTGCACCGCAGCTGCCCATGACTGACACGCCCACGCACTTTCACAGGAAAGAGAATCAGGCCAAGCAGGCGAAAAAGGAGGCGGAGGTGAAGGAGAAGGCAGAGCGTCGTGTGTACGTCCCCCATCGCACCCATCCCCATCTGCCGGGGAGAGCAGTCTGACTGATATCTGCACAGGACACAGGTTGCCTCATCATTGTTTTTGCAACATAACAACGCCCTTGTCCCGCCGTACCGCGTCCTTATTGATACCAACTTCATCAACTTCTCCCTCCAAAATAAGCTCGAACTCATCAGCAGCATGATGGACTGCCTGTATGCTAAATGTGAGTCAAGCTTGCTGCGCACTGTCATCCGTAGATAGCATATTCATTTAAGCCTTAGGTATACCATGCGTCACAGACTGTGTCATGGCGGAGTTGGAGAAGTTAGGGCATCGGTATCGCGTTGCTTTGAGGTATGTTTCAAGCATTCAATTTCCTCCACCATTTCTCATCTCTTGTTCACGTGTAGGATTGCACGGGACCCTCGCTTCGAACGCTTAGCCTGCTCCCACCCTGGAAATTACGCCGATGATTGCTTGGTGCAACGGGTCACATCACATCGATGCTTCATTGTCGCTACTTGCGATAGAGAATTACGGAGACGTATTCGCAAGGTCCCCGGTGTCCCTCTGATGTATATCGTCAGGCGGCGGTATGCTATTGAACGATTGCCGGATCAGGGTGCCCCTGTATAGGTGGCGGTCTCGGCTCTCGCTTGTACTATCACTTCGCTTGTAGCGTTGTAAGCCCATGCTGCTCTATTACTCGCCGCATGATTGTTGATTCCCTCTGCACATCCTAGACTGCTAAAAGTAACTCAACTTAATGTCGTTTATGTTCCATCCGGTGCTCATGTGCCATCCGGTCTCATGTACAGCTTACAACGTCATCGCACCCTGGCCATGGTCAGGAGATCCGCCTTCTGTCTTGCTCTGCGTTCTGTGTCATGATCCGCCGTATTCCGAGAACTGCGCTTCGGTCACTTGCAATGTATTCAGCTCCTCTCGACTCTGCCGCCTTTTAACCTTTGCTCGGCAAACTTCCGTATGGAGGACTTGCTCGTCCACAGTGGGGAATTCTTCGGCACTGCATTACGCCCTGGACGACGGCGATGCTTCCACTCAGACACGTTTGCCTACAATGTTGACCATAAACCGCTCCGCGGTCTACACAGAAATATGCACGTCCGATGCCCGTGGTAAGCGCGGGCCGTCCGATGCTGAATTCTTGTTGAATTCCGGTATTCATTCTTCGGAGGTGCCTCGCTCGTCGGCGTTCTATGTCGTGTCTATCTTTTGCGTCTTGGAATGCTGCTCTCGATTGCTCCTGAGTCCGTCTCGACCGGGATCGTCAGTCTGCATATTCCGTGCAATCTTCGCTATCCCCCAGTTGTCCGCGACCGGCCTGTGACCAAATAGTGCCACATAACACGGTGTCATGGCGCTGACTCATCGTAGACGCGCTACCGCGTTTGTGCTCACTTCGTCATTTACATCCACGTTGTTACCTTTCCATTTTGGCTTGATATTATCTGGGCCCCTCAGACTACACTCTCTGTTCTTGTTCACTGGGATGTCAGCTAAGAACGAGGACACAGTCCCAGAGGCGTATCCATACTTCTGGAGCAAAGGGGCCAGTGAGGTGTCGCTGAAGGATTTTTTGATGAAGGTAAGCAGACTAGGGCATGCTCAAAAATTTCGGCAAATTAACCGATATTAATCAGTATAAGCCGTCAATGGTTCAAGATGACGGTGCGAAGCCTGTAAGTGAACACCTGCATGAACTATATCCGCTGGCACAGCATTGGCCATATATCTGCAGTGGTTGTGGGTTAGGAAGTCCGCGCCCACGAAGGAAGACGGAGATGCAGAGGCCGCTACGGAAGAGGCGACAGAGCTACGTCAGTGACATGAATGTCTTCTGAGACGTTCTGAACTAACCGGCTGCCGCACAGTGAAAGAAATGACGAAACGAGTGGAAGCCATTCAGGTCTGTCATGAGAATATGCCAGGGACGGGTTCTCACAGAATAAGTGTAATATGTCCAGAACGACGACTCTATTCCTTTGCGTGCGAACAAGAAAAAGGGTACGAAGAGCAAGAAAGAACTGCGCGAGGAGGTTAGCCTCCTTTCCGGACCACTGGTACCGAAGGTAATTTTTTCCCAGGTTCAGCAAGAAGCCGCGGAGAAGCTCAAAGATATATCCGTTAAACATGGATTTGTGTCCGGAAAGTGGTATGTGAATGTATTTTCCATCTGTCTCGTATATCCGAGCTCTGAATTGGCCCAAACATGTAGGCTCATGTTCGCGCCCGCGGACAGGGTGGATGTCATTTGGAATAGCGCCGCCAGTGCGTCTCTGACATGCCAGATGAGCAATGATAACGTGCTCATCATGGCTAAGCTTCGCTTATCGAGGGGCCACTGGCTGCGACGTCTGCCTACCTGACAAAAGTGGCGACAAGCCCACGCGAGCAGCAGCCGAATTATCAGCACGTTCTGTGCCTTTATATCCCAGACGTCTACGACAAGGACGATGTAACCGACGTGCGTAATCGAAGTTGTGGCCGAACGCTGTGGATTAGTAATTTATCTCAACAACAGGTTATGAAAGTGCTCCTAAGGAGGCATGGCGTCAACCTTAGCGGCGTGAAATCGAACCTGTACACCGCAATTGGTTGGTTGCCTTCTCTCCGCCGAGGTGTACAAAGGGTTTGATTGAGTGCGGTTTGGTCCCGCAGGTCTGGACAGCAAGCATCCGAGTGGCATCCAATCAACGGTGAGCATTGCACCGGTGACTGACGATGTGATGTTATTACTCCCTATCGCCCGCTAACATATGTTTACTTCCACCTAGGTATGGAAGAACGCCGCTCTCATGAGCGACACCGACATGAAGGTAAAGTGTCACCGACAAACTTCTCTTCTCCCGCGAACCCTGGCGTGCGTGGGCACCCGTTCCTTATCTGAGCTCGTTGCATTGCACAGGCACTAAAGGACGAATATTTCGCTGAGCTCAATGCGACCAAGGCTGCGGACGCTGAGAATGCGGCTGCCTCGCAGGGGATGCCTGGGGACACAAAGCCTGCCAAGCTCAAGTTGAAGAAGAAGACCAGGAACGACGACCCGTTCGTCTCAGATGACGAGGCGGAGGGTGTGAAGAGTCCCGGTCGGGCAGAGGTGTCGGCACCGGCTTCGAAGGCCAAGAAGCAACCGCTGCGAAAGAAGGCGAAGACTGAGCCTGAGTTTGAGGATGATGACGACGAAATCGAGGGAGTCGGGGAACAGCAGGTGAAAAAACAGGCTCCGGCTAAGAAATCGCCGACCGTGAAGTCTACTGCCGGTAGGAAGAGGTCCAAGTCCTCCAGCGACAATGACGATAGTGAAGAGGAAAGACCGAAGAAGTCGATGAGGAAGACTGGCAAGAAATGACCGCTGCATTCCAAAACTTATTGCTGCTCATCTTTATTCCGGACGCCTCTTCAGTGCTTTCCGTTCATTTCGCACATTGCCGGGTCTATGTTCTCATTTATGTCCCAATTGATATATGCAGAGTGTATGGGCTTGACGTGCCACTGTTCGAGGACCTTGACGACCTGCGTCATGAACTAGTATGGGCGGGCCCCACCGCCTAAGTCCGCAGTCAACCGAATCTCCGCGCCTCCCATCTCGCGGTGATGCGTCGGAAAACGACTGCACTTGTAAGTTTGCTTGTGTCTTATGTTCTGCACCAATACTGATATATGACAGACTATCCTAGCGAAGATGCAAGGCGTCTAAGGAGATGTGCTCCGCTTGCCCACATGCACAGTAAGCATATCAAAATCAAGGATTGCCTTTTGTCGACCCGTGAGGTCGAGAGGGAGCCATAGCGCTCAATGACGGACCATTTGACCGACCGCTTTCGCTCTCTTGACTATTAGACAAAATGGGCGACTCTTTCGGTGGCGCGTCTCGTAATTGCAACGTCGGCACAGCGGGATGAGTGATGCCGCCTTCATGTCAGTGTCAAGCGTAGCTATATGGTGAGCGTAATTAGTTCAATCACAACTATGATACATGAAACTTCATTCTCGCAAGTGGTCAAAAGGGCGAGACGGAGCGCAGCGCATCTCTTCCCTCGTTGTCATCCATGTCTTCACCCTCGTCTTCGACCACAGCTCCGCCACCGCTGCCCGCCGCCATGTCCCCGCGGTGGAGACCATGGTCCGTCCCTGTAGACATCACCCGCATGACGCGGGAGATCTGCGGCCTGCTCAACAGGGTCACCCGAGCGAACTTCGACGCCGTCTCCGATCGGATCGCACGCTGGGCCATCGTAATCGAGGCAGACGGGAGCCGAGCCGCCCTCGACACCTTCGTCCAGACCGTCTTCGCACGCGGTGTGCGTGACCCCGCGCGAATGGAGCTATACGTAGCCCTTTGCGTGCGGATCATCGACGAGCTGGAAGGCGAGCGAAACCTGTGGAAGAGGGTGGACTTGTACCATGTCGGCAATCCCCTATGCTCCTTCGAGACCGTTATTCGCTTAATGCCGAGTGCGAAGTTTCAAGGTGCTCTCGTGAGCGGAGACACAGATAACATGCTCTTCTTACTCGTATTCCTTGGAGAGTTACTCGTGCAAGGCATCTTGTACGTCGAGGACGTGCAGGATGTCCTGGGTGCCGTCCTGGAGCGCGTCCGCAAAGGCGACGGAAACGCAGCGATAGGCCTTCGTAGGTTCCTCCGTCCTGTGCTGAAGGCCTTCAATGCGATCCATATCCTTAACTCCCTGGAAACGACGCAAAAGATTCAGTACGTCTTGCAGACGCCGGGGCTCCCTAATATGATTCGGTATATCCTCCTGGTATGTGTAGCTTACCGAAAACCCAAAGCGGTGCTTACTAAATCGTACAAGAGTCTTCTTGACCAGGTTTCATACCCCCAGCCCTCGGATGCGTTCAACTCCAGTCAAGAACGCATAGAGGCCTATGGCTTCCTGTCAGACGACGGAGCAGACTCGCCTATGGAGATGGACGACGAGATAGACATGAGTCGCCTCCTTCAAAGCTGTCGCGAACGTGCAACCATTTTCTTCGTGAGGCGCAGCCACAGCTACGCGGAGCAAGCTCTTCTAGACTTGCGTCCCGAGCACCGGCACTACTTCTTCCAGCAGCTCATCTCGGACGTGCTCCACCACCACGATCCCGCCGAAGCACGTCTGGTCGGGTCGCTGTGGCTGCTAGAGACGACACACCGGCTGTGCGAAGAAGACCACGCCTTCTTGCGCGCTCTCGAGGCAGAGCTGTTCGCACTTCCAGATACGGTTCTCGACGTGCCCGACGCGTGTCACCTCGTTGCCACCATCCTGCACGAAACGCCCTTGGACATGCAGATGCTCGAGTCGCTGGTCTGGCAGTCTATCCCGCCAGAAGGCAAGGTCAGAGAGCGGATGTTAGGAGAGCTGAGGACGAGGGAGTTGGAAGGCGAAGAGGAAGAGCAGTCGAGACGAAACAGGTTCGACCGGTTCGTCCGGGATGACCCATCTTCATCTACTTCAGCACATGCTTTTTGATGCTAGGCACCTCTCGTTCGTATAGAGAGCAGACGAGTAGTAATCTAGGGTATTGTACAGTGACGTACTAGATAGGTGTAGGATGTGTAAGACGTAGCCCAGTCGCCAACCGCGTACGCAATCAGGACGACCTATCGCCGCTCGTCTGACTTGCGGCTTGCTCGACCTTCTCGCCACCATTTGACGGTGTTACAGAAGCTTTCCGGTTTTCGGCCTTCTCAGCTTTTTCAAGAACGTCGTCCGAGGGGGCAACCGAAGTCTTCCTCTTTTTGGCTTTCTCGACAGTTGGCTCAGAGAGTTCTCGCGAACGCTTGGTGCCTCTGGGTGCAGCCCGTTTTCGACGACCCTTGACCTTCGCAATCTCTTCTTCCGAATCGTGGTCGCCGCTTTCGTCCTCCGGTTTGTAAGCCTGGGAGTCCACCGCTAGTCGTTTACTCCTGCGAGTAGGGAGAGGCTTCCTAGAAGTGGTGGGCACTGACTTCCTAGCTTCGTCTTCATTCGGTGTAGCTTCCCCTGCGTTGTCTGCGGAAGGTTGGTCGGGACCTGCGGTTTCCGGGCCTACAGAAGCAGACTTCGCGGCGCCTCGCCGACGCTTTGACGGGCGCTTGCTCTCCTCTTCGCTCTCCTCCCCATCCGAGATGGATCGATTAGTGAAACTGCTTCCAATCGATACTCGACTGCGCGCGGGAGAAGACGCCGCAGAGGCAGACTCAGCAGTGGCAGCGGGCGACTTCTTAACGGCGCTCAAGGACTTTTTGGTCAACCCGAGGCCGTTGCGGCTGCTAATGGCGTCGATATTTGAGATTCTACCCTTCCGATCGGTTCCTCCAATCTTGAGCTTCTCCCCGGGTAATGGCAGGTAGAACAAATCGCGGTCGAGATCCTTGCCGACGAGCTGGTGGAGTATACCAACAAGGAATGCGAACCCTCTGATATTGAGGGCCTCAACATTCGATCGCAGTCGTCTCACATCCTCAATGGTGGGCTCGCCTTCCTCCTTGATATAATACTGCTCCATAAGCTCTGTATTGCTGAGAGAGCAGGCAGGAACCACGAAGTACGAACGATGGCGATATTTATCCCTGCGTATACTGATCTTGCGGAACCGACAATGGGATCGCGTTACTGGAGAAGTGCTCAGTGACGAGTACTGTGGAGGTGCGGGAAGCTCAGCATGCTGCGGCTCAGCGGATGCGACTCGTGGGGGTGCTACATCAGGAGGTGCTGACGCCTCGTCGGGAGCTATCGCGACTTCCACGGGCTGAATAATGGGCTGGCTGACAGGAGCCGGAGGAACCGGAAGAACCAGTGGGGGCGGGGGAGGTGGGGGAGGTGGGGGAGGTACACCGTGATGATGACGAAGGAATCCTTCTCGCTTGAAGGCAACGGACAAGGACACTTGCTCCTCGGTTGGTAGTGCTGGTGACGAAGGTGTACGACCAGTAAATTCGCTGGGTTCAGTAGACACGATAGAGGATTCCCGAGAAGGCCTTCGTGAAGCCGATGCGCTAGCAGATGATTTTGGCTTACTCGGGATATCATCTCTTACAGCCGCACCTTCAGCCTCGCCATGGCTTGATGCAACCTCCTCTGGAATTTCCAGAAGCGCTTTCTGTTTCCCCAAGCTCTTAGCGGATCGTTGAGGCGCCTGTGGGGTCGCAGAGGCCTCGTCAGTTTTGGACTGCGACCGAGTCAGGCGCTTGGGCGCGGTGGGTTCAGGGGTTGTCCGCTTGCGTTTACGAGAAGGTGTAGGGGGTATCGGAAGCTTCACCACTGGCACAGTCGGCTTTGACGCAGGCTCTGATATGGCGCCGTCGGGAATACTTTCAGTTTCAGTGGCCTTGGGGCTGTCTTCTTCCGCGCCGGCTGCACTGTTGGCAGTCAGGATGGTGCCTGCCACCATTTTGATGAAACGACTCACCTTGGCCACTCGCCTTCTTTTACAGCGCTGTCTTTCGGCGCCAGTGGCTCAGCCGAGCTGTCCTCTGGAGCCGGTGATAGCTCCTTCGCACCCATGCCGGCTGGAGTCTCGATCGCTCTCATTTCTTCAGCCTCGGCGACTAGTTGAACCACTTCAGCTTGCTCTTCAGCCTGCGCAGCCACCGTAGGTGCCGGGTCGTCTAGGGTTTCCGTGATAATAGGCACATCTGCTGGAGCGTCGGGATGAGGGGGCACCAGGATCGCAGCTGTTGTTGGAATAACTGTCTCCTCGACATCTCCTTCGACATAATCAGGGTCAATATCGCCGTCAGCATCCAAGTCCGCATCGTGGTCTTCGTTGTACACAGCTTCGACAGATGCCGCAAGAGGCGAAACGATAGGTGACTCCATCTCGCCTTCGTCCTTCCCGCGACCGCCGTCCTTGTCAGCGGCAGCAGTCGAGGTACCCTTGGAAGCCTCATCCTCGAGCGTAGGGATAGAGTCCTGCAAGGTTGGGGAAGAGGGACCAGAACTAGCCTCACTGTAAGGCGTGAATAGGCCGCTGAGACTTGATGGATGGGAAAGTTTCGATAAGAGACTCGGTGGAACAGCACTCAGTGCGTGCTGGACAACAGATCGAGAGCTAGGAGAGCGAGGGGATTCGGCGGGAGAGTCATGTACGCTTGCAGGGTCAGGGACTGTCGGATCCGCGGACACAGGCATGGGGATGCCGGGTTGAAGCATCTTGGTCGTCGGAGACTCCGGTGGTGGTGGGTCGGCGAGTTTTCCATGGGCGGAGTGAACATCAATCTGGATGACAGGCGCAGTACTAGTGGACTCAGACCCAAGGCTGACTTCTGAAGGTCGTCCTTCGGCGACTGTCGCTTCTTCGACGGCTGCGCTAGGATGAAATTTCGCCGCTTGCTGAACGTCCCTGGCCTCTCCAAAGAAAGCGTCCGCGTCCTCCGACACTTCGGAAGTCGTCATGATATCTTCAACAGCAGCTTCGCTGGATTCAGTTTTGTCTCCAGCAAATCCGGGCAAGACATCTTCACGGGTCGGTTGAACGCCAGCTTCGTTTGTTCCATCGATAGGGGTGCCCTCGATGGGCGAAGGGGAATACACCGATTCAACAGTGAGCGACATCCCCCTAATATGAGCAGCTGCTTCCGGTTCCTATAGCAAAATATGAAAGATGCTGAGTTCTGATGTGAATAAGCCTTACCTCTGTTCGACGACCTTGGGTGAAAGCCTCCTCGATATCGAAGTCGGCAGGCACTGCCGGAGTCTCTCCTCGATGGGTCGCGACTTCGATACTGTCGCTGACCACACTGTGAGCCCGGACAGTCTCCTCTTCGTTATCGGTGATCTCTTCCACGATCGAATAATCACCTGCGGCTGGAGTTTCCCCGTGATGCGTAGCGACCTCGACTTCATCACCGACAATACCGGGCGTGCCGGTCGCTTCTCGTGACTCGTCATTGAGCACCTCCTCGACATCGACGTCCCGGGCGGAAACTATGTCCTCTACTCCTTCGCTGATTTCGACAATGTGCAGCATATCATCAGAAGAAGTAGAGACGATCTCTGCTGCTGACACGGCTTCTAATTGTCTCGAGGTGCTCCTGTCGTCTTGCGTTTCCTCGATAATATCATGCACGTCATCTTCGACAATCGCAGAGTAGATCTTCTCGAAATCAGAGAACGAAGCGGCAGCGTCGAGGGCATCTTTCTGGGAAGTAGCGGGCTCGACGCTCACAGACGCATCAGCGATTACGGTGAAGTTTGCCGCGCCTTGGCCTTGTTCGGCACTCCGCTCGATAGGATCATCGGAAGAAAGTTGGTGCTGGGCATCGAGTTCGTCTACATGACGAGCCTGCCCGGCGTCGAGCTCTTCTGTAACAGACAAGACGTCAAGAATACCTTGCAGCGATGTATCAGCGTCGAGCTCAATGTCCACGCGAGTCTCTCTTGTAGGAGGGTTAGGCAGATCACCGAAGTCAGTGTCGCCTTCCACGACTGGTTCGAGAGGCTCCCTTGCGGCAACAGTGGCGTCTTGGGCGCTCCCTATCGCGTCGTTGTTCGTGTATCGCGACCCGAGCTCCCCGAACGAAATCTCATCCTCATCTTCGAGATCAGGCGGTTTAATCGCAACGTCTGAGATTCGGACTCACATAAGCGAGGTAGCGTCACAACGAAATAAACTGACTCACCTCTGGCTACCAATTCCTCGCCACTTAAGATCCTAGCGAGTTCAGCGCTGAAATCCGCAGATATTTCCTCCGGAGGACTGAAGCTGCCTTCGTCTTCATCATAGGTAGCATCGACTGGAATGTCGAGATCGCTTGTGCCCAGTGGGACAGGGCCGGTAAGCTCGGGTTCCTCCTCATCGTCGCTAATTTCCAGGATCTCCTGCTCAGAACTGGGCTCGATGTCGGCTGTTGCAGGGATGTCCTTGGGGTCTCTCTTGAATGCGGCATTATCGACTGACTCCAGGTCTCCGAGACCCAATACGGAACGGCCGTTAGAGAACGCCAGGGGGTTGTTCCAGTCAACATGTCCTTTTGGAGAGATTTGGTGAGGACTTGAATCGCGCTCATGCAAGTCAAGGATAGCGGCGGCGGGGTCTGTGACGGGTGCAACCGGGGTAGGCGGAACCATCTGAGCAGCTTCAGGCAGCGGCTCGTCGCCGAGATCAATGTACAGAGTCTCTATTACAGAGTCCTCCTGAGGCCTTCCGCGAACTCCGACAGATGATTCGATGCGTTTGGCCTCGTGTTCCGACTCTGGGGGCATGGAGAAAGTCGGAACGTCTTCCACGGGCGGTGCTCCAACATCGCCATCATAAACTCCAATGGGGTCGAGGTACGGCTCTATGGGAGGCGATTCGGGTGTAAGTACGCCAGGTGTGAAGAACTCCGCTACGGTCTCCTTCTCCACACCGGGTGTTCCTGCTGGCGTCAGATGTGACGGTGTGCGCAACCGAGCGACATGAGAGGGAAGATCGCCTCCAGCATAGAAGTCTTCCGCATAGGTACGAGGTCCTTCCCATTTATCAGCGAGCTGAACGGGCGGTAAGCTGAGGTCCTCATCCGCTTCAGTAGACACGAATTCTGCGAGGTGTCAGATATGCAGGAGTGAGAGACAAAGCCGCGTACCTCCATCCTCGTCATCCATAGCGACCGAATTCTCAACTTCAGAGGGTAGGACGTGAGCACCGGAGGCACCCTCTGGTACATCTCCGCCCGAGTAGAAATCTTCTGCGTATGTGCTGGGTCCCACCCAGGGGTCGGGGATGTCCACCGGAGGTGGAGTCTTCTCCTTTGAAGTCGCTCTCGGGGGAAAATCTGCTGCCATGCACTGTCAGTCGTTGCAGAGATGAAAGGAGAAAGCAGAGCGATACCCGACCTTCGTTAGCTTCGTCGTCAACAACCTCGATGAATCCGTTGTCGCTATCGACCTCCTGAATTTCGTCTTCTTCACTCTCGTCGTCCAGCTCCTCGTCATCCAGAAGTACCTGAAGCCCTCGGACCACAACTTCCGTCTCCTCGTACTCCCCGTGGCCTTCTTCATCCTCCTTGTCTTGCTCCTCCTCCAGCGCAGCTTCGTCGTCGTCGCTATCAAGAATCTCAATAGGTGCATCGGGTTCTCCCAGGTGCTCCGGGCCCTCGCCGTCAGATTCGCTAAGTTCGTCAGCGGAGGCATCTTCTTCACTGTGGCCCTCAGCACCGTTGGCTGGTCCCCAAATATCACTTTCCTCATAATTCAACTCTTCCTCCTCGCTGTCTTTGCCGTCTTCGAGTATAGACGTCTCGACCTCCTGATCGTCCTCGTCGTCCTCGTCCAAATCTTCGTAAGTGGCACGCTGTTTGCCCTTGGCGGCGCGTCGGGCTTTAATCTCTGCAAAGGAGTCTTCATCGACCTCTTCGTCAAACATGGACACGTCTGCCCTAACATTATGCTTCTGCAGGCTAGATTGAAGCGGTTCCTGCCCCAGAGCACGCCTCAGTTGACCGGTAATATCACCAATCCACGCGTCAAACTCCTCCGCGTTGAACTTGTCGAACGGGTTGTAGATTGGGGCTCGGAGTGCGGAACGCGCTGCAAGTGGCGTCGGTTGAGACACAGACGGCCTTCCCGCGGTAGGAAATCGTCCCGCCATGTCTTTGAAAACGTTGAGGAGAATGAGGATGCAAGTCCACGACAAGAAATATTTCCGCGTCTACGGTAGTGCGCGCAGAAGGATCGTCGTAAATAGCTGTCACGTGAATTTCATCAATCCCGCTGCTCTTCCTTTTTCGGACTCGCTCCCGCCCCTCTTGCTCGACTTGTTCTGAACGGTCGGCCCTATGCTTAGACTTTCACTCCGGCCGCTGCTCAACTTCAGGAATCCTTCATTTTACTCTCAACGCGCCTTTGTATCTAGTCGTTCGATTCCTCCGATGGCTCTCACCCCGCTGAACTTCGCAGCTGGCCCCCTCGTCTGGGTGGACTGTGAAATGACGGGCTTGAACCACAAGACAGATAGGATCATAGAGATTGCTGTGAGAATTCAAGTAAATTTTCCGAAATACTGGGATCAAAAGCTCACAGCGATGTAGGTCCTCATAACTAATGGCAACCTCGAGTTAGTGGATGAAGGGCTCGAGTATATCATCCGAACAGACAAAGCGAACTTAGACAGGTTCGTGGCAGCTTCCCATCTTTTAAAGCTCTCTCTCACAAAGATGTTTTAGCATGGACGAATGGTGCACGAACCAGCACGGCAAGGTATGCGGTATCTGTTCCAAGCTGAACATGTTTGTCATGCTTCCACAGTCCGGCTTGACTGCCGCTTGTCTCGGCTCCCCACATTCCACGGAGTTTGTTGCTAAAGAGGTGCTAGCATATATCAAGAAGTGGATTCCAGAACAGCGAGTCGGTGTCCTCGCGGGGAGCACCGTGCACTTCGACAAAGTCTTCCTTGCTGAGCAAATGCCAGAAGTCGTGAACTGGCTACATTACCGGTATGATTCCGCTCGCTGAGCATTTTGGACAGCTTCGCTGACTCATTGATTTGCAGTATCGTCGGTGCGTTGAATGAAACACTCCCGTTGTTCCACATAGCTCACCATTCGCGCCCCTTCAGACGTGTCATCGATTAAAGTGGGTAGCACATATAACCGTCAATTATTCAGCAAAGCTGATATATGTTCTAGGAACTCTGCCGCAGGTGGTATCCCAAACTTACACCGCAAAAGTCGGCACCTAATGAGATTGCTCATCGGTACGTTTCCCATCTATCCGACTCTGCTCCTCTCACGACTGCCGCAGGGCGCTGGACGATATTCGAAGCTCTATTCGGGGTACTTCATGACTTTGTTTTTTTGGCACAATTATCCCACTGACATTTCTGCATCCCGCAGAGCTGAAATGGTACCGTGAAAACATCTTTATCTCGCCGAATGCATCAACTTCGGCACCTACCCCAGGATCAACGGAGACGGCCGATTAGTCTTCCGCCCTCTGCCTGGAACATCAGCCCTGATTAAACGCAGAACAGCTACTCTAGTGGCGCTTCAGTTTCCCACCGGCTTCCGGTTGCGCTCTCACAGGCAAGACCTGCCATGGTGCTCGAGGCAAGTCTCGACGACCTTCAACACGACGACATCATTCATCTGTTCGTTGTGTCAACATATTTCGGATCGCTACAATCGGCCATGGGTGTATCCTAGTCTGTTGCTCTGGCCTAGAATCTCAATCTATATGATCCCTTGCAAACGACACAGGTCGAGACGCGCTAATTGTCTTCAGGAGCGCTTAGTTTTCAGCATGTCCCTGTCTCTTTGTTTCTGCCAGGCATGTCGGGGCGAGTTCGACGCGCTCTCCTATACTGACGGGAAAGCATGCCGTCCACAGGTTCCGAGAAATATACAGGTGTCCTCAATCCTCTGCTCAAAAATATTCTGTGGCGCGATGGTCCGAGCTGTCATTCGCGCCAACGGAATGCGGGGTGCGTCATGTTGCGCAGGGTCTTCCATGCCTTTAATTAGCCGATGTTCACCATCTCAGAGTAGGTCCATCTTGACATCTTCATGTTCCCCGCCGCCGTTCTCGTTGACGATAGTACGTCATGACGAGCGCATCTCTGCCTCTGCCCTACACTACACCCGAAGATATTCCAGAATACATAACATCCCTTTGACGCGCTCACACGACAGCCGTGGCCAAATTGGCTGTAAAAATGGACACAGACTGCTGGCGTCGACGAACCGCGCCAAATCCAGAACCCGCCCAGGATGGGCCCGGCGCCGCCTACGCCAGGCGGACACAGCGGACGGCGCTCATTATTCAGGTCTCAGGGTCCAACTCTAATCGTAGTAGCGCTTCTACCCTAGGAGACCAACGTCAGCAAGATGTATCCCGACGCCTTCTACCGAACATTATCCACCGTCATAGTCTGGGGTAGTACCCCGCCTGACGTCAATTGAATTCCGGAGATTCAAGATGTCTCGTTTCGTGGGCTTTGCTCGCTTGTTCCATTACCTAAGTGCTCAGGGCCCTCGAGATCACCGCGGCGGTTGTCCCTTTATGCCTGGCCGTTATCGGATTATTAACCGTGGAATAACCGTAGCAGTGTACTGCGCCCATTCTGCGCCCATTGACGACTACGAGGTGCGAAACCCGATTGCTTATGCTGGGATGCTCTATCACACTGAGGCCGGTCTCCGCTTTGGGACAGACGATCGGATACTCCATGCAATATGAGGCTAACATAGACGGCTGGTCTTCAGAAATGCAGTGTACTGCTGTGGAGGTATGCCACATTTACGCATGAGGTAGGACCGTCAATAGCCGCCGAGGAAGCACAGAGAGATGAACGAATAGGTTGCCTATAACATGCTCATGTCCGCATTTGCTCAGCTGAGCGGCCTCAGGGTCGAATGTCAGGTAAGCTGTACTCATGGTAAGAGTTCCACTTCATCAGACAATTATTTTTTGCTAGCATCCGACTGCTCGATGGCTGTTTACATTCTGCGGAGGTGTGTTCGTTTTCACTAGTATAGCTTGTCTTCCACAGCTGCAGTTGGCCCTCCGCAGAGTGATATACGTCGATTGACAACTTATGGTCATCTTCACAGCATATTTGGTACTGTCTCCTATCAGCTGTGTATAGAATGTGTCTGACATGGGTCTCTCATCGCAGGGCGCGTCTGGAAGACTGGACTTGCCAAAGAGGGACGAGAGTGCGGGAAGCGCCTTGGATCTAGGATCTAAGCGGCGACGTCGGCCCTTGTCGAGTAATTTACGATGTGGTCCGGTACAGGGCCATCCACACGACCTCCGCACCGTTCGTCGCAGGTTTCCCATGCTGTTCATTCTCCGCAGGAGCCCGATAAGGTGTGTGAATCTGTGGGACCGCAGCCGAGATGGTTCCTGCTGAATGTGTGTCTCCACCTTGGGTACCGAAGGCGGGTTTCCAGCACTCGCCGGTACAACCGGAAAATGTGCGCGCATCCATCTCGGTTGCACTCCGCTCATAAAAAGCCCTCGGGCTTTCCTAGGAGACATGACCGTCTATTCCGTGCTCAATCACGACCTGCCTCGTTCGCTCGAGCCTCGAGTTTCCCTGGCTTTATCTCCTCACCCTCCTGCACATTGCTTCAGCACCTCCGCCCCGTGTTGTGGCAAGCGCCTCCAGCTTTAAGGAGGATAGCGTGAGGCCTTTTCTCTAACGCTATCTATCATGTCTACCCCAAAGCTCGTCGACGATCCCGAGAAGGCCATTGCCAACTACCTCGAGCTCCTGCCCATTCCGCTAGAGAAGGCGCCCGTAGTCTCACTGCAGGGCGGTATCCCCACATCCAAGGCGTTGCTTGCGGGCAAACCAGCACCTCGCAAAGTCAATCGTTGGATTCGCTTCCAGCTATGGTTCAACACGTATCGGTGAGTACGACACTTTTTGCTCGTCGTTTTGCTCAACTTTAAGCTCTCAACTAGGAAATTTTACGCCTTTGTCACGATCATCAATGGCATGGGGCTGCTTTTGGCTGCTCTGAACATTTGGACGTATCCTCGACGCTACACTGGTGCATTCGTGCTGGGCAACCTCATTTTCGCTATCCTCATGCGCAATGAGCTCTTTGGCCGTATGCTGTACGTTACGGTCAACTTCCTCTTTGCCAAGGTATAGTCGTTATCTTCACACGGGAAACACTTGTTGCTCACAACGCACGCGAATAGTGGTCACCACTGTGGTTCAGACTTGGATGCACATCTGCGTTGCAACACCTGGGTGGCATTCACTCGGGCTGCGCAACCTCTGGGTTTGCATGGCTTATCTTCAGAGTCACTCTCATCTTCATCGACCACAAGGATAATCACGACGCCGTCCTCATTATGGGAGTCATTACCAACCTCGCCGTAGCCACCAGCATAGCCAGCGCATTCCCGTGGGTCCGGAATACGCATCACAAGTATGTCAAATTCTCGCCTCAGCTGTGCATTTTTTCTCACAGTGCCGCTCAGCATTTTCGAGCGACACCACCGCTTCATCGGATGGTGAGTATATGCTGCCCCATTCTCACCTTAGACGCTCCGGGTAGCTGACAGCCGGATTTGTCTAGGGTCGGTCTCGCGTCAAGTAAGTATTGGTCCACCAATGGGTATTCGCCAAAGTGTTGCGGCGCAGGTCTTGCGCTCAGTCATACCCCCCTCACAATATCCACTCGCTTCTCCTTACCCTAACTCTGGTTGATGTGTACTAACTGCTTTCTTCGGTTAGCTTGGGTCTTTGTAGTTCTCGGGGACAGTTATGACCTCGATACCCATACTTGGGACCCAAGTGTTCGCGTCATTCGTCAGCAGGACTTCTGGTATTGCTTCGGCATGACTGTCTTGTAAGCAAATGCCCACATTTGTCTCCACTCACTGGGTCGCTCAGGCTGATCTGTCCCTTTCCAGCATCCTCATTCCATGGTTCACGGTTCGCGAAGTACCAGTAGATATCGAAGTGGTGAGTTTTAGTGGTATCCAATCGTCGACTATCTCTTATAGTCCGACAGCCGTCTCCAAAGGTTGCAATCCTGCGCTTCGAGCGTGGAATGCAGCAAGGTCTCCTTGCTCGCATCTCTCGCTCTTCGATCATGGAGTACCATGCGTTCGGTATCATCTCGTGAGTGTCCATGGCTCGATTATGCGGAGAGGCATGACTCAATAGTCGTGCTTAGCGAGGGCACCCATGCGAAATATCACTATTTGATTTGCGGTGTTCAGGGCGACTTCACCCGCAGCCTGGTGAACGACCCTCCCACACACGTCTGGACGCGTCAGCTGAAAGTTCGTCGCGTGGATTTAACATACCTTCCTCCCTCATCAATACGTTCTATGTTTAGTTTGTCGGTGTCTCGAATACCTCAACACTCTACAAGCGAGGCATCCGCGTTTGCACAGGCACAGGTCTCGGCGCCGCTCTATCAACTTGTATCCAGGTGGGTATTCATATTTCAGAACGTGTAAAGATTCTCATGTTCGTGTCTTCCAGAGCCCAGATTGGTGAGTAACCGACCGATCGTTCACCCTCCCGCTCCCCCTTCCCTTGGCGTGTTACTCAATACGAACTAACGTTATTTGCATTGCTCAGGTACCTGATATGGATTGGCTCGGATCAAGAGAAAACGTTTGGCCCCACAATCTCGAACCTCGTTCACAGACATCTCGGCAAAGAGCGCTGCTGCCTGTGGGATTCGAAGGCGCGAGGTAGCGTTGTCGTTTTGAAAGCATGTCTACCTGCTGACTTTGTCCCTCCAGGTGGCCGTCCAGACGTAATGAAGCTTGTCAAGGAAGCGTATTACGCGTGGGGAGCGGAGGTTGTCTTCATAACATCGAATTATCAGGGCAACAAGGAGATCATGGAAGGCTGCAAGGAGGTTGGCATCCCCGCATTCGTGCGTTATTTCTTGCTTCTGTGGTCACGCATCCGGCTAACGTCTGCCCTCAGGGTACCCTTTGGGACTTCTGAGTCCTTCCTCGCGCTCAGACATCGCGGGGCGGCTTGGTCCCTGCGTGCAGGATAGATCAGCCCGCAAAGTCTGGACACCCACACGCTTATCAATATATATCACAGCATACTTTATTTGTCCTATAGCTGTAACTCTAGTTGTAACTTTTCGTCGCTACATCGAAAGTCTATCCTGTACCTGTTCTGCAAAAGATTCACCAATGGATAAATTGTAGCTTTCTGTCTTTTGTCGCTCTGCGTGCGTCAGATGCGGACATTCGCATTCGGCTTGGAAGCAGTTAGCGGCGTCTTTTGAGGCATTGCCAGCGCGTGCATCGAATTATGAGGTGTATATTACTGGAACACCAATCATCGTGATCCAGCCATTCACGCTCGGCGAAGACTCGCCGCGCCTGAAGGCACGTACGCCTGCGGAAGTGCAGCAATCAGCCGGGCTAGATGCATTCGCCGCCTCACCATGCGTTATATCGGGGCATCACGTTAGACTGCAGACCCAAAGAAAAAACAGACAAGCTAAGAGTTCAAAATTTTTTATCGTTTGTACTTCGCTTTAGGGTTGTATTCCCGCAGCATTCAGATGTAACTTTCTGAACAACTTACGTCCCAAGTACGAAGGCACTACATTTGCAAGGATGAGTATCGTGGCACGTGTATTCTAATCATTTCGAGACGCGAATTGAACCCTTTCCCTCTATCCGTTGACGAACCCAGCAAGGCCGAGTGCTGGATAACAGCGCAGCCTTCATCGAAGCTGTGGAGAAACGCGCTCCTCTGTAAAAGAAGACCTAGCGTGGTCTTCGGGGTCATCCTCCACAGCTCAGCATCGCCCCAGGAGCGTGCAAGATCGCCAGGTAGAAGAGTGTACCCCTTCAGCGCTTCAGCTGCCGAGAGTAGTGCCTCAAGGCCTCATGACAACCCGTCTTCTGCCGAATCATGCGGCGGGAACTTCGTCAAAACATCCAGCATTCCAGATTCGCCATGTTGAAAACAATCCTTTCCTTCAAAATCAGACAGAGGTCTATTGGGACGAACGGTATCGACAGGCGCAGCAGGGCGAGAAAGAGGCAAGCATGGGTGTACAAGCCGGCAGAGGGTCAACCCAGCGGCGAGCACCGATTAGCGAGCCGGCGGGCTGTGACACGCCCACTTTCAAGACTACAGGTCATGGAAAACGCACCAAGACATCCATATTAAGGAGGAAGTATAAGCCCTGCGGACCTTGAGTGGCACAGGGAATGCTTGAATTCCCTATGTGTGGGTGCGCGCGCCACCCAAGATGGATCAACGTGTAGTAAAGGTAAAGAGCTCGAGTACACCGCCAACTTGCACTCGGAGAGCAGACAGACGGGCGCTTCGGGGGTGAGCCACATGTGCATGCGGGTGCATCGCAGACGTCAGACATTCATGGTGCAGGTGTCTCATTTGTCTGCGTTCCGTATGTTTAGTACATGTGTTACATATTCAACACACATGCAATGCAAATGAGTTTTCGGGAGCGGGAGGGCTGCGGCAGGCGTTTATTATGGGCCCTCTCTTTCGTGGAATTCATCGGTGTTTCGCAACTGTCGGCTATCTTTCCCATATATTTTGAGGCTTCGCAAAGTGAGCTTGTGCAGGGGTTGACAATTATCATTTTCCAGAAGCTTTATCTATCTAATAGGTCTAAATAAGTCGTTTGCGTTTGCGGGGGTGCTCAGACTCAGGCTCTTCGGCTGCACTCTCAGCCTCGCCGGAACGTTCGAAGCTGTCCTCGGGAGCGTCCGATGACTCTGCTTCACTGCCGCAAGCCTCAGCTACTTGTTTTGTACGTGCTTCGCTTTGTGCTCCTCTCCGTGATGGTCCACTTGTCTTTGTTTTCTTCTGCCTCTTCTCCTTCGCTGCTTCTCTCTTGGTGTTATTTGTCTGACGGAGCCGCCGCGCTTGCTCGAGATGTTTTGCAGAGCGATTCGGAAATAGGAGCCGATGAGCTGTCAGTGTCGGGGGAGCACTTGACGAACGAGATGGGCATTATGAAATGATGTCATGTTGATGATAAACTG